TCGGGGGTAATTATGCTGGGTGTCGGGTGGGATTTATGCATTTTATCTCATTGCCTGTGATTTTTTTTGATTCTATTTTATTTTTTTCTATTTTATTATATTTCACATGTATGCTCGGAGAAATACGTAGAGAGTGATTGTGGGGAGATCTGGGAAGCGGGTGTGACATCTGATATACGGGGTCAAGTACGGATAGGTCAGATAGCGTTGTACAATATGCCCCCGAGAAAATATGCTCAAAAAAGAAGAAATACAAGAAATATCAAGCAACTAACCGAACCGCATCGAACATTCCACGTCTGGCAAAGACACCCCGCAGACGAAGCAAGTTCAGTCACCACTGGACCAGTAAAATCACCCTACTGCAGGACAAGAACCCAACACAAGTCAAAAAAGAAAGGATAAGCCGAGTCCGACCCGACCCCGGAAGAATCGGTTTGCCATAGAGAAACCTAAGTGGCTAATCTCTGCATGCAAGACCGCCAAGTCGCACCGCGCACAACCGCGCCAAGCCCCGCCCATCCGGACAAGCCTTGGCATTCCGCCCGGGGGACGCACCATCCAATCAGGACGGGGGCAGGGCACGTGGTGCGGCCGGAATCGTCTGCGTCATGGTCCGCCACTCTGCCCGGGAACCCAGGATGACTGGCACGAGGGAGTTTCATTGGTGCTTGGCGGGAGGAACCTCTTCCGTCACTGTCTGGGTTGGTGTTGGCGTCATATGGTCCTCGTTGTGCTGTGACTTGGTTTTGGGGGCTGGGAGGGGGCATGTGTAAACTTAAATACTGGCTGCATCCCCCGGTTTTTCTATCCTCTTTATCTCTTTGTAGAATAACCAAGATCATTTCACTTCAAGGCTAAAGACGAAGATCAAGAATCTTAATCGTTTGGTCGATCTCTCGTGGATGGACTCATACTCTGCTAAGGATACAATCTATATGGAGCCTCCTTAAGACTCTAGATAGACTATCACTCCTATGAAGAAAGACATTCTTATTATTTCCCTACCCACCTACCTACCTACTACCTACTACCTATCTACCTATCTACCTACATACATCAGTGCTTGATGGCCTCAGACAAGGAAAAGGCCGTGGCCTCCCCAGAACAAATCCTCCCCCAACCCGCCCACACCCTCTCCCCCGAAGATGCCTGTCGCGAACTGTCCGTCGACCCCGAAGAGGGTCTCTTGTCGACGGATGCCAAAGCCCGTCTCGAGAAGTACGGCCACAATGAGCTGGAAGGCGGAGAGGGCGTCTCTATGGTGAAGATCGTCATCCGCCAGATCGCGAACGCCATGATGCTGGTATGTCCCCCCCTTTTCTCCTCATTCTTGCCTCTCGTTTACAAAAGACATGTGACCCAAGTGATCTATATACTAAACTCCTATATTATAGGTCCTCATCATAGCAATGGCCGTCAGTTTCGGCATCCAGTCCTGGATCGAAGGTGGTGTCATCGCCGCCGTCATCAGTCTGAATATCATCGTCGGCGTGTATCAGGACTACGCCGCGGAGAAGACCATGGACTCGTTGCGCTCGCTGAGCTCCCCCACCGGTGTTGTGACCCGCGACGGAAAGACTAACACTGTCCCCGCCCCGGAGATCGTCCCTGGTGATATGGTGGAGTTGAAAGTCGGGGATACGGTTCCTGCGGATTTACGGTATGCTCTTTTTTTTTTCTTTCCTTCCTTTCCCTTTCCCTTCCATTATATCGCACATGTCTCCTGTAAAATATAGAAATATGAAGCTAATAAGTGCAGTCTCGTCGACGCCATGAACTTCGAAACAGATGAAGCCCTCCTCACCGGTGAATCCCTCCCCGTGCAGAAAGAAGTCAACGCCACCTTCGACGCAGACACCGGCCCCGGCGACCGCCTAAACATCGCATACAGTTCCTCAACCGTGACACGAGGCCGCGCGCGCGGCGTCGTCGTCGGCACGGGAATGCTTACAGAGATCGGAGCTATCGCGACCGCCCTCCGCGCAGACGACCGGAAGCGGCGGCAGGTGAAGCGCGGGCCCGAAGGCGAGACCAAGAAGCGGTGGTACGTGCAGGCGTGGACGCTGACGTGCACGGACGCCGTGGGACGCTTCCTGGGCATCAACGTGGGTACGCCGCTGCAGCGGAAGCTGTCGAAGCTGGCGCTGCTGCTGTTTGGGATCGCGGTGGTGTTTGCGCTTGTTGTGGAGGGAGCGAATGACATGCGTGGTGACAAGGAGGTTATTATCTATGCTGTTGCTACGGGCCTGGCTATGATTCCCGCTTGTTTGGTTGTTGTGTTGACTATCACTATGGCTGTTGGGACGAAGCAGATGGTGAAGCGCAATGTCATTGTGCGCAAGCTGGATTCACTGGAGGCCCTCGGCGCCGTGACGAATATTTGCTCCGACAAGACCGGCACCCTGACGCAGGGTCGCATGGTTGCGAAAAGGGCGTGGTTGCCGGCTGTGGGCACGTACTCTGTTGGCGCGTCCAGCAACCCGTTGGATCCGACAGAGGGCGATCTGAGCCTGCTGACTGAAGCCCCGGTCAAGCTGGACCGCGACACGCAAGGCGAACCGACGAGCGCCGACGAGCTGCTCAAGGAGAACCGCTTGCTGGAAGACTATCTCAACGTGGCTGCCATGGCGAACCTGGCCCACGTGCACTATTCCGAGGCAGAGAGCGAATGGCAGGCGCGCGGCGAGCCAACGGATATCGCCATCCAGGTGCTGGCGTGCCGCTTCAACTGGGGCCTGAACCGCTGGACCCGAGGCGAGAAGCCCGCCTGGCATCAGAAAGCCGAATATCCCTTCGACTCAACCATCAAGAAGATGTCGGTCATTTTCGCCAATAAAGAGGACGGTCGCGAGATGATCTTCACCAAGGGCGCCGTCGAGCGCGTGCTGGAGTCCTGCTCGACAGTCTCCTGGACCCCCGGCGCGGAGCCCGTCCCGATCACCGATGAAATCACCAACGAAATCCTACAGAACATGGAAGCCCTCGCCAAGGAAGGCTTGCGGGTCCTGGCCATGGCGTCTCGCGAGAACGACCTTCCCGTCAAGGGACCCGACGACGTGCCCGACCGCGATGCCATCGAGCAGAACCTGACCTTCAACGGGCTCGTCGGCCTGTATGACCCCCCGCGCCCCGAGACCGCAGGCGCTATTGCCCAGTGCGCCCACGCGGGTATCAGCGTTCACATGGTGACGGGCGACCACCCGGGAACGGCGCGCGCCATCGCCGCCCAGGTGGGCATCGTCCCGCCGGACATGCACCACCTGGCCCGGGACGTGGCGGACGCGATGGTGATGACGGCTAGCCAGTTCGACAAGCTGAGCGAGGACGAGATCGACGCACTACCCACTCTGCCGCTGGTGATCGCCCGGTGCGCGCCCAACACCAAGGTGCGCATGATCGACGCGCTGCACCGCCGCGGCAAGTACGCTGCCATGACGGGCGACGGAGTCAACGACTCGCCGTCTTTGAAGCGCGCGGATGTCGGTATCGCCATGGGCCAGGCGGGCTCGGACGTCGCCAAGGACGCCTCCGAGCTGGTGCTGAGTGACGACAACTTTGCGTCGATCATCAACGGCATCGAGGAGGGACGTCGCATCTTCGACAACATCCAGAAATTCGTGCTGCATTTGCTGGCGGAAAACGTCGGTCTGGCCCTCACCTTGCTCATCGGTCTCGTCTTCAAAGACGACAACAACCAATCCGTGTTTCCTATCGCCCCCGTCGAGATCCTGTGGATCATCATGATTACATCCGGTCTGCCGGACATGGGCCTGGGAATGGAAATCGCCGCAGCAGATGTCATGGACCGACCACCTCAAAGTGTAAGCCTTTAGCCCCCCTTCTGACCTCCCATTTAAAGAAAGACGAAATCGCTAACAGCAACAGAAACAAGGAATCTTCACCTGGGAAGTCATAGTCGACACCCTCGTCTACGGTGTCTGGATGGCCTCACTCTGTCTCGCCTCCTTCTCCCTCGTCATGTTCTACTGGGGCGACGGCAACCTCGGCAGCGGGTGCAACAGCCAGCGCGAAGGATGCGAAACGGTGTTCCGCGCGCGCGCAACAACCTTCATCTGCATGACGTGGTTCGCGCTCTTCCTCGCCTGGGAGCTGATGGACATGCGGCGCAGCTTCTTCCGCATGCAGCCCGAGTCCAAGAAGTACTTCACGCAGTGGATGCACGACGTGTGGCGCAACAAGTTCCTCTTCTGCGGCGTGATGATCGGGTACATCACCATGTTCCCCGTGCTCTACATCCCTGTTATCAACGACGTCGTGTTTAAGCATTCGGGAATCTCGTGGGAGTGGGGCGTTGTCTTTGTGGAGGCGACGATCTTCTTGCTGGGTATTGAGACCTGGAAGTATTGCAAGCGCGTCTTTTTCCGGAGACAGGCGCGCAAGGCTAAGGAGCGTGGTGAGGGGAAGGATTTCTCGAGGTATCCGACTATGAGTCGGGAAGATACTCAGGCGACGAGTGATGAGAAGGTTGAGAGGTCGATGGTTTAGTGCTTTGTCTTTTTTTTTTCCGGTTATGAAGCGAGAATAAAACCTGATGGCGGGTTTTGGAGAGAATCGGTCTGCGCCGATACTGAACAAGATCTGTGGACAGACGCGGTGGATGATTGACGGCCGTGTTGCATTTGCATAGCGTGTTATGAAGTCGATAGATCTAGATGTCTCCTACTTAGTGATTTAATTAATCAATCAATCAATCAATCAATCAATCAATCAATCAACGTGTCCAATAATACCTACCGGCGGATGAATTCCCAGCAGTATGGCGATTGAGGAATAGAACTGCCATATGTTATAGACGTGAGATGGATCGCTCGGAATACACCGTTAGTCTTGTAGCTCTATAGTACATGGAAAGGACGCAGGAGTGTAAAAAGAGGCTAGGAGAACGGAGAATGACCATATAGACAGCCAGAAATATAAGCAACCGCCAAAAACTATGGAATGGTCACTACAAGACGAGGGCACGGAATACATAGAAAGCCAGATCGAGTTTCAATTGATTGTAAGTGAACTATCTACCTCATGGGCATCCATTTACGACGCTACGGCCGGCGCAGGAGAGACTCCCGGGACGTCCGCAACGGCTTCCTCGGGCTGGGGAGCAGCGGTGAGCCGACCCCTCTCGAAACTGCGCATAGGGTAGTACCCCCACCGCTCGAACATGACGCGGTCCTCGTCCCAGCCATTGCAGTCGGTAGTCAGCATCTTCTCGCCCGTGAACACGGCGTTAGCGCCCGCCATGAAACAGGCGACCTGCTGCTCCTCGGAGAGCGAGATGCGGCCCGCGGCCAGTCGCACGATGGTGGACGGCATGACGATGCGCGCGGTGGCAATGGTGCGGAGCAGCTTGTCGAACGAGATCATCTTGCGGTTGCCTAGCGGGGTGCCTGGGATGGGCACCAAGGCGTTGACTGGGAAGGACTCCGGGTGGGAGGGGAGGGAGCCGACGGTGTGGATGAGGCCGATACGGTCTGAGTCGGCTTCCCCGAGGCCCAGGATGCCGCCGGAGCAGACGTTGATGCCTGCGTCCCGGACATGCGAGAGCGTCTGGAGGCGCTCGTCGTACGACCGCGTTGTGATGACGGAGGGGTAGAATTCGCGCGAGGTGTCCAGGTTGTGGTTGTAAGCTGTCAGACCGGCGTCTTTGAGCTCCTTGGCTTGTTTATCGTCGATCATGCCCAGCGTCACGCATACCTCCATCCCCATCTCACGCACGCCCGACACCATCTGCTTGACGTTCTTGAGGCTGGTCTTGCGACCGCGCATGTCCCGCCAGGCGGCACCCATGCAGAACCGCGTGCTGCCGTTGGACTTGGCCATGCGGGCTTTGTTCAGTACGTCGTCGACGGGGCTCATCTTGGTGGCTTTGAGGCCGGTGGTGTAGCGCGAGGACTGCGCGCAGTAAGAGCAATCCTCACTGCAACCGCCCGTCTTGATGTTCATCAGCGTGCACATCTGGATGGCGGCGGGGTCATGGAAGCGCCGGTGCACGGCGGCCTGTGTGTGGCAGTCAGCATAGAGGTCCTAGTTCAATCTTGACAAGACAATTGCTGTCATACCGCCGCATAGGTGAGCTGGCTCAATGGGGTCTCGTAGACCTGCTGGACCTCGTCCCTGGACCAGGTGGTGCGCGGGGTAGACGCCACTGTAGCTTCCTGCAGCGCCGGGGGGAACTTGCTGGACAAGGAGCCCGCGCTGGGGGTGGACTGAACGGTACCGTAGGTGCGGCGCAGAATGGCCCGGGGAAAGACCCGCGGCAGAGGAAGACCCATGGTGATGATGGCCAAGGTAGAGATGTTGAATGATGACAGGAGTCTGGTCCGAGAAACTAGGGAAGCAATATGAATGGCAAACAGGCCTGACTGCACCAGGCCAATGCGATGGATCCAATTCGAGTCAGACACACCACCCCCCAATACCCAGCGTGACAATACATCAGAGCGGAACTAGAGGATGAAACACCACCGACAGCCTCGGAAAGGGATGGGGAGGGGAAGAGGGGTAGGTCTTCACCGAGACAGGGACAGTAACCGCCGGTGGGGAGAGTACAGGGCCAGTCAACGTGTCGCTGAGTAAATAAGATTCAACGCCAGTTGATTAGACCAGGATCAGTTGGCCCCAACGTACAGCAGAGGATATGGCCTAGCCGGGGATTCTGTAAGCGGTGGGATCGACATTATCGTGTCTCTACAATTTCCTGTCTGACACGGCACACAGAGACAGAGGGATGAGCATCCTCCATAGTCCGTACCGATGTAGGAGAGCGTTGAGCTCAACCAATAGTCGCGGTTGTGTACTCTCACCATGATGGAAGACCAACATGCAATCCGGTGTAGATCAGGAGGGGAGGGGCCCACACAACCGGAGGAAAGGAAGATGTCGACCGTAGACTCTTGTTCTCGCCCCTGTAACATCTTATTGAGTGGAGTCGAACTAGATCCAGGACCAGACTGCATGAAACTGGGAAGGTGGAAATCGGACGGTTGAAAGTTGAGGTTAATTGCGGATCACCTGATCTGCGCCCAACCAACCACATGTGGCTGACTCAGTACTCATGATGTCTCTGATTGGCTGCAACCGACCTCAACCGGTGTTTGTGCCTGAGGTATCGACTTCGTGGGTGATCCAGGACGATGACTCAATCCGATCATTCAAGATGCTACAGTATACAGTATACCGGTGAGTCGGTGACCCTTTGGCTCTTCGGTCAAGCATTGGGATTAATTTCAATGGTCAATTGATTTGTTTACGAACCTCACATCCCCTCCACTAGTACCAATCCGAAGAAGGAAAATCTTCCGTCATTCCACCCCACTGGCGAATCCAACCTAGAAGGAACAGTGGAGAAAAAAGGTAAAATAAAATAGGGCCGGAGCTCAGTGACTCACTCCGAGTGGGTTGAGTTGAACTACAGCAGCGCCGCCCGCAACAGGCCCTCGATCTCCCGAAGTGCCGTGGGCCGCGAAGTCACACTGGACATTAGGTAAAGCACATTGCCTAGCACGCGCGAATGCACGGCGAAATTCGGACCACCCGCAGATAGTTTCTGTTGGAGACCCCTGGCTGCGGTCGATGTGTACCCTGCGAGGTGGTGGAGAAAGTCACATGTCAGTAATCCGGAGCGGTTGGCGTCGGAGAGGATCTTCAACTTACCTCCACTTCCATGCAGATCCTGCAGAGAAACAACGAGCACTGTGCCGATAGCAAACACGCCATTGACTGACTCCGCACACGACAGATCCCGGACGAGATCGTGCGACCAGACGCTCCAGACCTCGGGCGTTGAGGCTGATGCCCAGTCGCGTCGGTAATCATCCCACGACCCGTTGCGTTCGAGCTTCATCATTGTGTTGAGGGAATCCACGGCGACCTGGCATCCCACCGCGTGGGCCGTGTAGCTGTGTCCATGGAGCAAGGCGTCGCTCTTGTCGGGGCTGTCAAAGGCTCGGAAGATCTCTTGGCTGGCTGCGGTCGTGCACAGCGGGACCAGCCCGCCGGTGAGCAGCTTGGCGTTGACAGCGATGTCGGCGTCTACGCCTATAAACGAGGCAGACGATCTGCGACCTAGACGGTATAGGCCGGTGAAGACCTCATCGAGGATAACCGGGAGTCCAGACCAGGCGTTACCCTCGGTGGGGCGTGGGGCACTGGGCGCGAAGAGTTCGAGGTGATGACGAACAACGTCTACCAGGCTGCGCTGGAAGAGGGGATCACTGTAGTCCGAGTTAGTATCTTCCTTCTTTTTTTTTGTTTTTCTTTTCTTATCCCTTAAGAAAGTGGATACACACCAGAAAAGCATCCCCCCGGCACCGAGGATAATAGGTTCCATGATAAGGGACCCGAACTTCATCCCCTGTTGGACTAAACCTGCAATAGTAGTTCGGATATAGTCTCTGTAGCGCTTACCCTCATCCGAGCGGACGCGTTGCTCCACATCGAAGACGGCGCCCAGCGAAGGAAACTCGAGGTCAGCCCCCAGATGGGGCCGGAGACATTCAGGCACGTCGACCCGCCAGACGCCCTGAGACATGCGCACCTGCGGAAAGTCAAACCAGTAGCCGCGGCCTCGGTACCACTCGACCTTCTTGTTGTAGGTCGATGGCTCCGAGCAGTCCATAACCCCAATGGTGTCTCCATGGTAGCTGCCCTTGAGGCCAAGGATACTTATCTGTTCCGTGCTGGCGTCCCACCCGTACCGGTGACAGGCTGCCCGCAGGCCCATCTTGACGGCCACCTCCATCCCCGTACTGCCATTGTCCGTGTAGAAGATCTTCTGTAGTCGCGCGTTGCCAATCCCTTGGAGGAGCTTCTCGGCCAAGGACAGGGCTGGTTCGTGGATGTTTCCGGGAAACATGACGTGGCCATAGCGGCCGGCCGCGTAGGCGGCGGACAGGGCTAGGGCGGGGTTGCCATGTCCCAGTCCCTGCGTCCACCAGGACGCCGACCCGTCAAAGGTGGCCTGGAGCTTGGGGGCGTGCGCATCGTCCGTGGGAACAAGGGTCTGGAAGTAGTCGTCGTAGGCCGAATCTATCGCCGTGATGTCCTTGGGCTGCATGCCGTGATGCTGCGTGAACGGATACCAGATGGTTTGCTGTGCGCGACTCGCCATTGCTTCCAGCCGGTCAATGCGCTCCGTGTTTTTGGCGGCCAACTGGTCGAGGAGGCCCCCTACATCCGTGCTTTGAGCGACGCGCTGGTAGTAGGTGGTCATTGCTTCCTCATCCCGGGCAGCGGTATCAACATCCTGTGTTTGTGGACGCACCGGCGGCGCAGGTAGTGGGACGAGCGGGATACTCTTATCCTGGAAATAATGGCGTAGGTACTCGTGATTCTGGTAGTAGTCGTCGCGGAACAGCAGGACGGAGTGGACGTCGTAGCCTCGCAGCAACAGAGACTCGTAGGCGGAGATGGAGGAGGAGATGCCGCCGAGACGGGAGTCGGCGACAAGCACGATTGGCAATCTTAGCGGACGGTAGAGGTCCGCCTGAGAGTTGCCATTGGGGCCTGGAGAGTGGACTCCGCCGGCGGTCTCGACGAGGGCGAAGTCGACCCCGTTTCCTGCCCACTCGGAGAGGGTTTTATGGATTGAGGCGACGATATCGTCGTCCCGGGGGGGCTTTGCACGTCATGTTCATTAGCTAAACATCCAATCTGATAGAATATATTGAGTACACACTGTGAAATTGTTCTGCTTCGCTGCAATGTGCGGGCTGACCGGTTCGTCGAATTGATAGAGACAGCGAGTCAGAGTCCCGGGGGCGTGGCGTTGAAGGTGTCTAGACGATCAGTACTCATCACATTTGATAGACTCTGGCCCGGAACAGCATACCTATCATCTGCATCATCCAATGGCCCCGTCGACACTGGCTTGAGGAAAGCTGCCTTTCCTGGTGAGGGGAGTCGTCGCACAGCATTACAGAGGACGGTGGACACCAGGGTCTTGCCAACCTCGGTGTTGGCACCATACACCTGGTGCGCACGTAGAGAGCGCCAAAGAGCAGCACCTACAGAAGGCATGCTGCATGTAGCCGTTCGAAGTCAATGGTAGTGGAATGAGGATCACAATGAATCTAGAAACGAGAGATGCGGGGACGAATTCATAGTTGGAGAAAGGCCGGATGGGGAAAATTACGGTAATCTATTACAACGGCCATACGCGGCCTGAGGCAGGGATATATCAGACGGATTCCAGGCACCCACAGGCACCCACAGGCATCCACAGGTCCCCACCGGTTGGGCCCAACAATTCCTCCTATTCTTGGTTTTTTAATTATGTGGATAATTATCAATAAAGGTCAAAATAATTTGGGTAATTTACAATTCCATGTCTGGTTGAATCCTTTGTCATGAGTAACACATGCACGTTGACTCAGATGCAATGGTTGGCAACCTCAACCGCTCGTTCTCCACCGATCAACGCATCGTCAACCAATGTCAAACACCAAATGATTTCGTCCTAAACCATGCCGGAATACCCGCGGGGATCACTGCTTGTAGAGATGGTTCCGCAGAGTAGCCGCAAACTGCCGATTCCGCTTGAAACGAATCGGATCCACTGTCGAGGAAGCAGCGTTAGGGCTCGACGGACTGGTATACTAGTAGAGTTAGTTTGTAGTCATGGCTTTATGCCATTGCCATTTCCATTTCCATTGCCATTGCCATTGCCATTGCATTGCGCTTTGATCCATATTGCTTTTGAGCTCAGCATCATAACCAGAAACCGCAGTGAAAGTAGTATACCTCAACAATGAAGCACCCAGCACAAGTATCACCACAATCACCACCAACAGCATCAAAAACACCAACATCAATCCCACCACCAAATCTCCAAACCACCCTCCACAACGCCCTCCAAAACAGAGCTCTCCGCTCCTCCCGCCGCCAACTAACCACCCTCCCCCCCACAGCAATCGACTTCTCCTCCAACGACTTCCTCTCCCTCTCCACCTCCCCCCTCTACCGCACCCGCTTCCTCAACCACCTGACCTCCGCCCCGCCCCGCCACCCCTTCGCCAGCGGAGGGTCCCGTCTTCTAGATGGAAACTCGCACTACGCAGAGTCTCTTGAGTCCCAAGTCGCAGCCTTCCATAACGCCCCCACCGGCCTTCTCTTCAATTCCGGTTTCGACGCCAACATAGGTGTGCTCGCCTGTCTGCCCCAACCAGGCGATGTCATTGTGCACGATGAGCTCGTCCATGCTTCCGCGAGGGAAGGTATGCGTCTGTCTCGTGCGGGGCGATGTTTGCCCTTCGCGCACAGCGACCCCAAGAGTCTGGAGCGCGTGCTGCTACACGATCTGAGTGAGCGTGAGCGTGCCACCCGCAACGTCTTCATCGTCGTAGAGTCCTTGTACAGCATGGACGGAGATGTTGCGCCGCTACGCGCCTTCGTCGGCGTCATCGATAGGATGTTCCCCTGCGGGAATGCGTACTTCATCGTTGACGAGGCGCATGCGACGGGGGTGTTGGGGCCGCGGGGTGCGGGCGTGGTGCAGGAGTTGGGACTGGAGGAGAGGATGTTTGTGAGGGTGCATACGTTTGGGAAGGCGTTGGGTAGTCATGGGGGTATTTTTTTTCTTTCTTTCTCTATAAATATTTCTCTATTATGCTTGGACCTGGCTAACTGGATCGCAGCAATCGTTCTCTGCTGTCCACTCACAAGAGAATACCTCGTCAACTACGCCCGAAGCCTAATATACACCACAGCACTGGGCTTCCCTTTTCTCGCGTCCATCCGGACCGCATACGAGCTTCTCTCAGAAGGGGAGACCGAGCCAGTATGTCCCCCCAGTCCTCTCAAATCCATCGTAAAAAAAAAAAAAAACTTGCAAATTCTAAACAAGAACTAGGCCCAAAAAACCCTCCACCGCCTCACGCACTACCTCAGCAAGCGTCTAGACGAGCTTACCACCTCTGTCGACCCTACTCTCTTCACAGTGGACCACTTCCCTGGATCGCCTATCTTCGCCCTGCGGAGTCCCGTCCCGCGACGCCTGGCGGAGGCGTGTCAGCGGGAGGGAATCGTCGTGCGGGCCATCATGGCTCCGACTGTTCCTGTAGGGAGGGAGCGGGTGCGTGTTTGTTTGCATGCGGGGAATACGACGGCGGAGATTGATTTGTTGGTGGGTGTTATTTGGAGGTGGGTGAGTGGGGGGGTTAGGTTGTAGGTATTCATATACTTGGTTTAGGATCTCAGAGGCGCGAGGGGCCGGGTGAGGGGCTATATGTTATCCATTGTTCTTGTGGAGATGGACACGCTCATGAAGGTAAACGGGATATTGAAAGGAAGTAGTGCATTATTGAAAAATAAACGCCTGGCTAACAACAACCAACCATAAACCTCCGTGGACAAAAGTAAAAAGGGTTACTCAACCCACTCCACCCATTCCCTGCGACAAATAGGACAAGTAGGATCAGCATCCCCCCTAAACTTCTCAATCCAGCGGTCCATACAGCGACGGTGGAAGTTCGTCCCGCAGTGCCCGCGACACCACACCAGCATATTGACATCATAGTCACCTTTAAGCGGGAACAGGTCGTACTCAAAGTCCCACTCGTCCTCGGGCTCCTCACTATTCTCGTCGTCCCCTTCATCATCCTCGGTCTTGTCAGGTTCGCCTGCATGTCCGTCTACAGGATTGCCAGGGGCGGAGCTCCCATTCGACGGTACCTTGTCGTTCCACCGTGCCTGCTTCGCCTCCTCGCCCACAAACGACAGGAAACAGATCCCGCACTCTCCTTCTAGCGGGCGCGGCTTGACCATGCCGGTTGGCCATTCGGACGCGGGCACCGTCAGACTGGCCGTGGAGTTATGCGTCGCGGGGATAGTGGGGCTGGTAGGAGTGTTAGTATTTCGATGCGCTAGGGTGGTACTAAACGGGGGAGGCGGACGACGCACATAGAAACTACAGGCGGCGGAGCGGAAGTCGGCACCGGGGAGTAGCCCTGTACTTGGGGTACAGTTCCAGCCAGCGCCGTGGACGCGCTTAGCACACTCGACGTATAGAATCGGCTGAATTCGTTTTTCCAGAGACCGGCTAGGTGATTGGCTTGGTGTTTGTGGTGCTCGCAGAGGAACGCCGGGGCCATCATGTCTATAATATCGTACATAGTTCCTCTGGAGGCAAATCTGTCCCAGGTGTTGCGTAGGAAGTAGATGGCGGTATCTTGATTGATGGTGTTGGAGCAGCCGGATGGAGCTGATTGGGGGTTGGTGGTGGCGAGGCAGCGCATGTAGCTTTCGCGGTGGATGGCGACGCCGGGGAGGATGTTTAGGATTTGTGCGAGGGAAAAAGTTGGAGGTGGAGGGGAGACCCTTGAAGGGGAGGTCATGTCGGTGGTGGGGCTTTTGTTGATTGAGATGGTGATACGTAGGAGAGTAGACTGAGGTGGGGACGGGGGTATTATGGGTAGAGGAGATTGTCAGAGAAGAAGGAGATGGAGGAGGTACATGGGTGTGAGGGGATTGTGGTCACTGATTCGGAGAACACCCAAGAGAATAGATTTTTCTTATCGTTAAAGGGGTTTCAAAGAGATTGTGTTCCTGACAAGTGAATGGTGATTAGAGTTGGAGTCACGTCAGAGGCGGCTTGGACGGGTTTGAGCGGGGATGATGAGGCTGTGAGGGGTTGAGGTTGAGTTACTAGATAGATTCACAGAGATCATTACAGTCTAGTCATAAGGTATCAGGCTGATGATTGATCTTTGCTTTGTCATTATTTTCAAGAACAAAGAAATAGCAAAGATTGAGGTTGACATCGATTATCTGATTGAACACTTGATCAAGCCACAATCCATGGACAGTATATCATATTGATTGTCTCCACATATAAGAATGACAGTAGAATGATTGGTTCAGAGCGTAATAGATTGGTAAGTCAACTGATATAGGGACACAATCGGTCTAATAATAGATTAGCATGCTATACATGGCAACAAATAGGGTTGCTCCGAACAAAACATTCCACTGTACCTACCGGATATCTCAACTGATATAATATGATCTGATATAATCAAATCAGATAGATCAAATAGCCCTCCATTCAACAACACTACATCTATATTTATAATGATACTAGACAGATAACAAATGACATCATCGCCAGGGGCCCGCCAATCAACCCACTGTCTTCCCCTCACCTCATCCCACATCAACACAACAACAACAACCTACCTCCTTACTATAGGTAACCATGGAAGACATCTTAATCGTAGGAGCAGGCGTCTTTGGCGTCAGCACCGCCTACCATCTAGCAACCACACACCCAGGCCCCATCCGAATCACCCTCCTCGACCGTTCTCCCCCGCCGTCCACCCGCGCCGCTTCCAACGATGTCAACCGCATCATCCGCGCCGACTACTCTAGTAAGCTCTACATGGAGCTAGGTTTTGAAGCCATCGAAGCCTGGAAGACACTTCCATTTTTTCAAGGCACTGGCGTGTACCAACAGAGCGGGTGGATTGCGATGGACGAAAAAGGTAGCGATGTGCCGGTGCGCATAAGGGAGAATTTCCGCGCGCTGAACCGCGACGAGGTCATTCTTGACATGGAGGAGGGAGAGGTCCGCAGGAGCTGGGGTGGTCTTTTGGCTCGGACGGACTGCGAACCGTTTGGATCGTACTACTATAATCCATCGGCCGGGTGGGCTGATGCGGGGAAGGGACTGAGTATTATGGCTGAGGAGGCGGTGCGGAGGGGTGTGCGGTATGAAGTTGGGGAGGTGCGTCGGGTACTGCTGGGGGAGAATGGAGTGCGAGGAGTGGAAACGGAGACGGGCGAGGTGTATATGGCAGATAAGGTGCTTTTGGCTACCGGGGCGTGGACGAGCTATTTGATGTCGGCGGTTGAGGATGAACTCAGGATGCGTGATGAGGAGCGGATTGAGAGGCAGATCTCGGCGGCAGGAGTATGTGTTGCGTACTTCCAGCTTTCCGAAGCGGAAAAGAAACAGTACTCGCAGCTACCAGTGTTTGTGTATGGTGGACAAGGTGGGCCTATTCAACCCTGTAGGAAGCGTCGTGACTGATCTTGATAGGCGAGGTGATACCCCCGACGACATCCGGGGAACTCAAGTTCACCATCGCCACCTCGTTCAAAAACACCATCAAGACGCCTTCCGGTCATGAGATATCAGTCCCTGCCGCTCACTCAGTCGATGTACCACAGGATCTCAAAGACGACTGCGTCTTTAGCGTCAAGAAACGCCTTCCACAGCTTCTGGATCATGGTCGACATCCAGATCGATATCGAATATTCTGGGATGCCATCTCCCCAGCCCAGCAGCCATTAATTACGCGACATCCAGACCCTCGACTGTCTAATTTGTATTTCAGCGTGGGAGGGTCGTTCCACTGCTACAAGTTCCTTCCTGTTATTGGGAAGTATGTGGCCAATGTGCTTAACGGGGTGGGAAATGGAATGGAAAAGGATCAGGCGTGGTCGTGGAAGCCTACTGAGGGAGGAGAGCGTGGTGTGCATGAGAGTCTGGTCCCAAAAAGAGAGTTGAGAGATTTTGTATGACCTTGCATGACTGTTTTGAGTGAAAATTGATGTCACAGTTCTCAATGTCCATCATTGAGTTTTGTTGGTTTTGATGTTCTCTGCGACTTTGCTTTCTCATTCACTGCTGCATTCCTTCATTCTGACTTGGTATATCATGAGCTTGCTCTTGTTTCTACGTAGTTATTTTGAGCTCCTCTATATTTACCACTCTTTGTGTAGGCTTACTTCAATATCTCCTACTCCTCTCTTTCTACCCTGTGTTTGCTTCAAATATACGAACTGCCTTTTGATTTTGAAGACGTGCTAGTCATTGTTCGTGCCACAATCTGATACCAGCCACACTATTTAGTCTCATAGACATCAAAAAAGTTTTCTAAATTAGAAACACGAATATCTTAGAGTTTAAAAAACAGCTACGAACATGAATTTCTGCCACCCGCCGAGATTGTTCACGACCAGAGCGACGAAAATGAGAACAGGGAGGCGCACAATCTCCCCTGTTGGCATACTCTGATGGTTAGTCCTGAGATCACATTTGATATGGCTGCTGTATAGCCTGGGTTATACTACTTATGTATTTGTTTATAACTTGTCCTGCATTGACATACCTTGAAGGAATGTAGGGTTTTGTTAACCACGTGACATCTGCTATATCTACTCAACTCTCTACACTTCATATACATGTAGACGTATATACAGTATCCCTATACAGTTTATACAAGATCAAAGCCGCGCCCCACCCCGCTGCAACACCTTCCACTCCTCCCCCCCAAAGGGCACATAAGCCCCCTCCCCAGGCGGCAACCAATAAAAGCGATCCCCGGCACCCCCAGGGACCTTCTCACCAACCCTCTCCAACTCAATGCCCTCCTCGCGCAGCGGCACCTTATTCTGCTTATGATTATGAATATGTGACGCGCTGTCGCCGACCCGCAAAAACACCGGCACCGCATACTTCGGCAACTTCGCCCTCGCGAACCGCGCCAGCGCCCCGAAATCAAACTTCTCCCTCGCCTCAGGCGCAATCAGCAGCGCCGCGCACCCAGCACGGCCCTCATGGTGCGGCACGCTCACCCCGTAGACATTCGCCTCCTGCACGCCTGGAAACTGCCCCAGCACGACGGCCACCTCGGCTGTGGCGACGTTCTCGCTCTTCCACCGGAACGTGTCGCCCAGTCTGTCGAGGAAGTACCATCGTCCGTCCTCGGCGCGGCGGAGCGCGTCACCCGAGCGGTAGAAGATGTCGCCCTTTTTGAAGACGTCGCGCAGGAATTTCTTGTCCGTCGCGCTGTCGTTGCGCCAGTAGCCCTGGAAGGCGGATTCGTCCGGCACGCGGACGAGGATCTCCCCGCCTTCGGCGTAGGTCGTGCGGGTGGCGAAGCCCGTCTTGCGGCTGCGGAGGATGTCGCCGGTGGAGGGGTCGATGGCGACGGGTACGTACGTGTTGTGGAGGACGAGACGCATGAGGAGGCCGTGGTGGCCGACGGCGCCGGCTGTGAAGGGGCCCGTGTTGTAGTTGAAGAGGGAGAAGACGCCTTCTGTGGAGTTGAAGAATTCGCCGACGGAGGGGACGCCGAAGCGCGCTTGGAACCGCTCCCAGATGTCGGGGCGGAGGCCGTTGCCGTACATGCAGCGGAGGCGGTGATCGCGGTCGAGTGGGGAGGGCGGGGCCGCGAGGAGGTAGCGCGCGGATTCGCCGACGTAGACGAAGACGGTGGACTCGCTGTCGCGGATGTCGGGCCAGAAGCTGCGCACGCTGAATTTGGGGCCCAGCGCGATGGACACGCCTGTGACGAGGCTGGCGATCATGCAGATGGCGGAGGTGCCGTGATAGAGCGGCATGCAGCTGTACCAGCGGTCACCGGTGGGGCCGGGGGCGTCGGGCATGGCGCCGCTGCGGAGGGATAGGGTTGTGTAGAGGCGGGACATGGTGAAGGCGCAGCCTTTGGGCATGCCGGTTGTGCCGGAGGTGAAGAGGAGGATGGCGGGAAAGTCTGCGGCGGTTTGGGCGGCAAGACGGCCGTCTTCCGGGATGGTGGATGGGAAGCTGGGAAGGGTGGCGGTGAGGAGGGCGGAGTCGAGTGGGATGAGGGTCATGGAGAGGTCGGACTCGATGGTCGGGCGGGCGCTCTCCATGCGGGCGACGCAGTCGGCGTCGTCGTCGACGAGGATGAGTTTGGCGCCGCTGATGCGCAGACAGTGGACCAGGGCGTCGCCCGTGAGGTTGTAGTTGATGGCGGCGGGGGCGCACCCGATGCTGCAGAGGCCGAGCCAGGCGAGGAGGAATTCCGCCCGGTTGGTCAGGAAGAAGGCGACTAGGTCGCCGCGCTGGACGCCCTTCGAGCGGAAGAAGTGGGCGAAGCGTGCGGCCGTGTCGAAAGCCTCACGGAAGGTGTAGACCCGGGAGCGCGTCCAGATGCAGACCATGTCGGGGTACTGTGCGGCGTTGGCGGCGAACACGTACCAGATGTTGCCCGTTCCTTGGGCAGCAGCTTTCTCATAGCTGCGCAGGCTGCGGTAGAGAGTCCACAGGGCGCGGACATCGTGCGACAGGTGGAATTTGCCATCCAGATAGGTGGCGGCCGCGAGGCCACCGGCGACAGCTGCTGTCGTCGGTCAGTGTGTCTATACTTGGAGGTGAGAGGAAAGCATCAGCATACCAAGACTCATGATTCAGGGAGTGAACAGTGAATGGTGAACAGTGGAAGACAGTTGGAACGAGGTCTCCGCACCGTGTCTTCTATCCATCCTGAACTAAGTCTGTTGGAAAGAGCAAAGATCGGCCATGCGGGGTTCGTCGGTTGTCGGCTTTCGTGGATGATCTGGCCGAACCAGTCAACGAGCCGATCAATTTGTACGGTAAAGTGAACACCGGACGTTGAGCATCGTAAATGATTTACTGATTCATAGGGTTTGACTGATTCATGGTTGTTAGGGCTATTGATGTCTGAGGTAAGCGTATCTGCATGGCCATGTCATTATTACAAGTATCGTCTAAAACCAGCGTCTTAATAGATCATACTTAGTATCATAGAAATGTAGTATATTATTATATTATCAAGATGTATACAATGCCAGTGGCACTAATTTAATCATATCTACTAACATGACAAGAAACAACTAAGAATAGTCAAGCGTTGAGCAATCCCAACACTTTCTTTTATAATCAAAAATGCCGAGGTCCTTGGAACGCGGGGCATGGATCTACACCGACTGACGGGTCGTTGGGCGGATCATTCCCTAAAGCGGGGCCATGTACGGAGTACATCCGGCAGTGTATTCTTCCTGCTTCATACTCAAAGTTCAAGAACAATCAAACGCATGGTAAACCAGTACTTCACATCCGAATAATACCCTGACCGTCCAGCCTAATGGTTCCTTCAAAGTCTACTCCAAAAACAAAGCATCCAATGTCTTCAAAGCCACTTGACAACTCGTCAACTCCTCAGCCGGCGAGCCATCACCATTACGCTGGAAAGCATAGTGCACCACAGCGCCGATCCTGGCAGCCTGCATCGATCGCATGTTCACGGATCTCTCCCCCCCCGGTGTACATCATCATAGACTTGGCATTGAATCCAGAACTCTTCCTAAAAAAGCATCCAGCATCCGCAAGCGGCACGTGTAATTATGCCGGCCGCTGAGATCCATGTAGCCGGTCGCTAGTAGAAGAGTGTCTAGATCCATGCCGAGCGGTAGTACTTTGGCTAAGGACCAGTCGACCACGCCTGTGATGTCAAACGTCTCCTCGTTTAGTAGGATGTTGGCTTGAGAGAGGTCGTTGTGGGTGGGGACTTGGGTATGGTTTGCTAAAGAGGATTGGGAGGCTGCGCTCCAGTTCGGTGTCTCGAAAATCTTGTCGATGGTTTGCTGAGTCCACGAACGCTCCTCCATGGGTCTAGACTATCAAGTTGGCTGCGTCCTTGGGGAGACTGTTGAATGGGAGAAAAGATAGAAAGGTTACCATACCCCGCTAAAACACAGTCAGGACCAGAAAGGTCGAGCAATCGCGCCTTGGGTCAAAAGAGGTAAACTGGTGGCCGATATTACGTGAGTATATTGGATGCATCTGCTGCCGTGCATTTACACTGACTGATGGAATGTTTGTCGGCCCTTTTTTGCCCTGACCCTGCAGGGGCAGTTGGCAGATGCTAGTGCTGCTGTCCAATTGGAAAGGGGGAATTACGCCCTACAAAGTATTCAGACCCCACCGAGTAAGTAGAAAATACATCTATTCTAACATTTTGTCTCTATCAATTCGAGGTGATTGTCCAAGCAAACAGGCTAATTCGTCAAATTCCATACATCGTCAAGCATCCCCTTATTTCTTCAGACCCAGCAGGTTGATGCTCTTGGGTCGCTCGATGGGCAGACCCAGGGCGCGGTCCCAAATCAGCTGCGCCAGCGGGCCCAGCGCGCGGCTGACACCGAAGGTGACAGTGTAGTACAGCGGTTGCTGGAAGCCGTAGTGGTGGAAGAGCACGCCCGAGGCGGCGTCAACGTTAGGGTGGGGGTTCTTGGTCTAGGGGGAGTCAGATTAGATGATGTTCCATGGAGGGACAATGATCAGAAAGGAATATGGGACTAACCTTGCCGTGCTCGGTCAGCACGCCAGGTGCGACCTGAGAGTTCTTCTTGACCAACTGGAAGACGGGGTTGGCCAGCACGTCGGGACGGGTGTCGGCAAAGTCCATGAGAGCCTCGAAGCGAGGATCGGGCTTGCGCAGGACACCGTGGCCGTAGCCCGGAACCACGCGACCGGACTTGAGGGTGGACCAGAGGTAGTCGCGGACGTCCTGTTCGGTGAACTTGGTGCCGATCTTCTCCTGCATGGCCAGGATCCAGCGCAGCACCTCCTGGGCGGCGAGACCGTGCAGCGGGCCGGCCAGACCCAGCAGGCCGGCGCTGTAGCTCAGGTAGGGGTCGCTGAGGGCGCTGCCGACCAGGTGGGTGGCGTGGGCAGACACGTTGCCGCCCTCGTGGTCACCGTGCAGGGCGAGGTAGAGACGGAGCAGGTCGTGGAAGTCCTGGTTCTTCGCATCGCCCTTGCCCAGCAGCTCGGCGAAGTTGTGCGACCAATCCTGGGCGCCGTCGAGGGCCTGAGTGCCGACGCTTTCGATGGCATCGGGGCGGAAGACCAGAGCGGCGACACGGGGGATCTTGGCCAGCAGATCGATGCTGTCGTCGAAGGTGGGCTCCCAGTACTCGGCCTTGTTGAGGCCCTGCTCGTAGGCCTTGGCGAAGCGGGACTCGGTGTTGAGGGCGGCCACGGCGACGGACAGCTGGGTCATGGGGTGCATGTTCGCGGGGAAGGACTTGATCAGGTCCAGGATGTGCTGGGGGAGGTGGGATTTCTCGGCGAGCTCGCGCGAGAAGGCACGGATCTGGGGGGTGGTGGGGACCTGACCGGTCAGGAGCAGCCAGAACATGGCCTCGGGCAGCATCTCGGTGCCGGTGGGGCCCTTGGGCAGCTCCTTCTGGCAGTCCTTGATGGTCTTTCCGTGGAAGCGGATGCCCTCCTCAGGGTCGAGGACGGAGCCTTCCCAGAGCATGGCCTTGAGACCCCGCATGCCACCCAGGGTGTTGCCAATCTTGACCTCCCCAATGACATCATCGCTCTGCTGCTTGACCTGCTGCAGCAGTTCCCGCTTAGCGGGGATCACGGACTTGAGGGTAGCCTTCAGGTCGGACTCGGTCGCGTAGGAGCGGCGCGAGGCGGAGTTGACCCAGCGGGAGGTCTTTGAACATTAGCGCTGTACCGTCCAATCACAATTGAAGTAGGGCTTACCTGGGCCAGCTTGGAGGCATGACGAGAGGTACGGAGGGGAAGAGCCATTGTGATAGTGATTCCAAAAAAGATGGAGAAAGACAATGAAGAGAAGAAGAGAGAAAAAGAGAAGAGAAGGAGAGGAGAGCGAGGAAGAGGGGAAAATAAAAGGATGGAGAATGAGAAAGAAGGGGGGAAGAACAGACGGTCCGGTTGGCCGCGGAGTAGCCTCAGGCCGAGGCAAGCAACGGTCGCGGTTGCATGCGGGACCCTAATAGGACCGACTAGTAGTGTGCAGGGAGGTGCGTTACAAGGTACCTACTGGGGAGTGGAAGGCGTAGGGGACCCCAGAAAGACTGGAGTAGAGTAACCGATACTTCCGGTCAGACGGAAGTCGATCCTTCCATCGGCCCGTTCTGTCTTTGTCTGGAAGAGTTCGGTCGGTTATCACATGAGGTGTCGGGTATAGGATGCTAGGGATGAGATCGGCGGTCGGTCGGGGTCGGGGGACGTCACGATGTTTGCTCGAACCCTGCAGAAGTGGTGTCGATCGTTGTGTATTTCTGGAATGGCAATCCAACCGTACATAATATATATCGAATGGATTTCTGGGAAGAATAAGATGATTCTATACAGATGTCCTCGGTTGTTGGAACTGGGGTGCGGGGTAGAGCGAATCGGGTTAGCGGGCCCCATCACGGGGTCATCACGGGGGTCATCACGGGGTATCACGGGGTCCCCGCGTGCCTCAGGAATACGCTGATTCATATCTGAGTCATCATAATATTACTCAGCATTGAATCAGCTGAGTCAGCTGACTCATCTCAAATCATGACTAAGACATCACGATCGGCACAGCCACCCGGCCGAGACCGACTGCGCCACTTCCCTCCGGCGGTGAGCACCCTCGCCTCAGGCAGAAAACTCGGCCACACTGGGCAGAAAAATCATCGCCGCCCCGCCTTTATCTCTTTATCTCGATCTTTTTTTTTGATTCTTTTTTTTCCTTTCTGACTTCAACCTCTCCTCTCTTCCCCCCTCTCCCCTCCTCCCCTCTTTTTGGGATCCTCCCCTGTATAGTGTCTCTTATTGTTTCTGTTTCCTTTCTGTCAGAGATACCCAAAAAAGTTTTTTCATTGATTTCTTCTCCCTCGTTACGACCATCCATAGGGGAGGTTCCTTTTTCTGCTTACTGAAAAGTTCTTCATTGGCTGCCTGATTCCCACAACGTCAGATTATCCCAAGATACGGTGACAACGACATCAATATCCATCGTCTTGTGAAGAATGCCCCATCAGGAATCGCCCGCCATGACGACCGCCGTCTCCAAGACTCCCTCCGACGTTCCCCCCACTTCCGAGGAGGTCGCCTCCCTCTTTCACACTATCTTCAATGCCGACACCTCCGACAAGGCTCTCGATGCCGCCTATGGCCTGACCAACCTGTTGATCCAGAGTGTCGGATGTGCCGGCTTCCAGAAATACGACATTCTCAACCCCATCAAGAAGGCCGCCCTCGACAAGAAGGATGGTGCCCGGCGCGAGAGCGCTATGCTCATCCTGGGCGCCCTGTTCGAGCGCTTCCCGCGCCCCCACCCCCTGAGTGAGGTGTCCTTCCTGCTGCAGGATGGAGGTCTCCTGCACATCGCCCTCGATGCTCTGGCCGACAAGGGCGCCGTCGTGCGCGATGCCGCTCAGTACGCCATCGACGCCCTGGTCGCCACCCTCAAGCCCGAGGCCCAGGTCAACGCCCTCTTGCCCGCCCTTCTCGCCTACCTTGGCAAGGGCTCTGGCAAGTGGCAGGGCTTCGTCGGGGCCTACGCCCTGATCGAGCAGATGGCCCGGCGCGCCGAGATGGGTGCCGGCACCCGCGAGGAGGAGACGGACAAGGATGTGCTCCGCGAGGCCATGGGCAAGACCCTCAAGGAGCTCATCCCCCTGATCGAGTCCGGCATGCACGACCTGAAGAACGAGGTCGCCAAGCAGGCCTGCAAGGCCATGCACGCCGTCACCACCCTGCTGTCCAACGACGACGTCGCCCCGCGCATCCCGCTCCTGATCAAGACCATGGAGCAGCCGTCGGAGAAGACGCTGCAGAGCGCCATCCACGCCCTCTCCCAGACCACCTTCGTCGCCATCGTCAACTCGCCCGTCCTGGCCCTGCTGACCCCGCTCCTGGAGCGCTCCTTGAACGCCCCCACCACCCCGCAGGAGACCCTGCGCCGCACCGTCGTCGTCGTCGAGAACCTGACCAAGCTGGTCCACGACCCCGCCGAGGCCCGCACCTTCCTGCCCAAGCTGAAGCCCGGTGTTCAGGGCGTCAAGGACCGCGCTTCGCTGCCCGAGGTCCGCGACCTGGCCACCCGCGCGCTGAGCGTCATCGAAAAGGCCATGGCCGACCGCGACCTCGCCAGTGGCGCCATCGCCAAGGTCACCCCCGAGGAGGTCCTCGACGTCCTCGACCACCAGATCCAGCAGCACGGGGGCCTGGTCGACCAGACCCAGCACACCCTGTTCACGCTCGGCAAGTCCTACGTCGCCGAGATGGTCCGTGAGGATGTCAACTGCCGCCTGCACGACCGCATCCCCGCCTGCATCACCCCCTACCTGCGCGGCCTGCTGCCCGAGGGCGCGCCCGAGGCCGTGGCCGCCGCGGTGCAGGAGCACTACGTCGCCGAGGACCACCGCAAGTACGGCAAGCCCGTGCCGGAGGACCCCAACGAGGTCGAGATCGTGAACGCCAACTTCTCGCTCGCCTACGGTGGCATGCTGCTGCTCTCCCACACCAACCTCCGCCTGCTCAAGGGCCACCGCTACGGCCTGTGCGGCCGCAACGGTGCCGGCAAGTCGACCCTCATGCGCAGTATCGCCGACGACAAGCTCGAGGGCTTCCCGCCGCCGGATGAGGTGCGCACCTGCTTCGTCGAGCACAACCAGGGCGAGGACGCCGACCTGTCCATCGCCGAGTACGTGTCCAAGGACCCCAAGATCGCCGAGACTGGTGCCGACCACATCCGCGAGGTCCTGCTCGAGTTCGGCTTCACCGACGGGCCCGAGGGCCGCCAGTCGCAGAACGTCGGCTCCCTGTCCGGTGGGTGGAAGATGAAGCTGGCGCTGGCCCGCGCCATGCTCATGAAGGCCGACGTCCTCCTGCTTGACGAACCGACCAATCACTTGGACGTCGCCAACGTCCGCTGGCTGCAGGACTACCTGAAGCGCCACACCGACATCACCAGCTTGATCGTCAGTCACGACTCGGGCTTCCTGGACGAGGTTTGCACCGACATCTACCACTACGAGCAGAAGCGCCTCGTCTGCTACAAGGGCAACCTGGCCGACTTCGTCAAGGTCAAACCCGAGGGCAAGAGCTACTACACCTTGTCCGCGTCCAACGTGCAGTTCCGCTTCCCGCCCCCGGGCATCCTCTCCGGCATCAAGTCCCTGACGCGCGCTATCCTGCGCATGAGCCACTGCACCTACACTTACCCGGGCGCCAGCAAACCCTCTCTGGAGGACGCTTCGCTGACCCTGACCCTCTCGTCCCGCGTCGCCATCATCGGCGGCAACGGTGCGGGTAAGTCGACCTTCATCAAGATGCTTACGGGCGAGACCATCCCGCAGGAGGGCAAGGTCGAGAAGCACCCCAACCTCCGTATCGGCTACATCAAGCAGCACGCCCTGGAGCACGTTGAGATGCACCTGGAGAAGACCCCCAACCAGTATCTGCAGTGGCGCTACGCCAACGGTGACGACCGTGAGGTCTACCTGAAGCAGACCCGCATCCTCACCGAGGAGGACAAGGCGCAGCTGGCCAAGCCCGTCGACCTGGGCGACGGCCGCGGCCCCCGCCGCATCGAGGCACTGATGGGTCGACAGAAGTGGAAGAAGACCTTCCAGTATGAAGTGTACGTTGTCCCCTTTCCTCCTACATTCCCCTTATAATGCTTCGCCTTTTCTTTCTTCTGTGGTTTGGGGAATACTAACACTCAAAATAGGAAATGGGTCGGTCTGCTGCCCAAGAACAACACAATGATCTCGCGTGAGACCTTGACCCAGCTTGGCTTCGTCAAGATGGTGCAGGAGTTCGACGACCACGAGGCCTCGCGCGAGGGTCTCGGTTACCGTGTCCTGGAACCTAAGGTCATCTCCAAGCACTTCGAGGACGTTGGCCTGGACCCGGAGATCGCCAACCACAACCAGATCTCGGGCCTGTCGGGTGGACAGAAGGTCAAGGTCGTGCTGGCCGGTGCCATGTGGAACAACCCGCATCTGCTGGTCCTGGACGAGCCGACTAACTTCTTGGACCGCGACTCGCTGGGCGGCCTGGCCGTGGCCATCCGCGACTACAAGGGCGGTGTGGTCATGATTTCCCATAACGAGGAGTTCGTGGGCGCCCTGTGCCCGGAGCAGTTGCACATCGCCGACGGCCGTGTCGTCTCGCGCACCAACGCCGCCGTCTCCCTGGACCGGTTCGAGGACAGCGCCGCCAGCTCGCCGCAGCCCGGCAGCACGGCCGCCAACTCGACGGCCACCAGCGCCGCCGCCTCGGCCGTCAACTCGGGCGCCGAGGACCAGGGCGACCTGAAGTTCAAGGCCAAGAAGAAGAAGAAGATGACCCGCGCGCAGCAGAAGGAGCGCGAGGTGCGCCGCCGTCTGCGTCACATCGAGTGGCTGAACAGCCCCAAGGGCACCCCCAAGCCCGAGGACACGGATGACGAGGCTTAATCGGTTTGATTGGGATTGAATTTGCTTATGACTGTTTTCTGGTTTTCTTTTTCCTTTGTAATGACTGGTTATTAAAAATTCTGGCTTGCCGATGCTCGATTATGATAGACGGATCGGTGTTTTGATTCTGCAAGCGTACCGTATATAGATGAATAGATTTGTCGATTTACTCTGATATCCTAGACCGTTATCCTCCGTAGAACCGTAACTGATAAAAGGGGGCTGCCTTGTGGGTCGCTCTAGACTTGTGTCCTGAGGCACGATGTTTGCCACGTTTGGCAATGACGTCTGTAGACGCGATCGGAATCTCAATCCGGCTCATCCACAACCCTCTTAACTCATCGATTGCTGTGTCTGGTTAAAGTGAGGATACAACCTCCCTGCTGAATATATTCCCATTCTCAACTACCATTATATCCATCCAGACAGTGGTTAAAGAAGTGTTCGACTCGGTGGCTGACTCGGAGATACAATACTCCGGCTGATCCATCCATTCCCCGAACCACCACCGTCACCTTCCTTCTCCTGACATCCCCCCTTCCCCTTACACCCTTCTTGAAACACTCAGGATTTAGACACAGCATGTTCAATCGCAACAATCTCCCCTTTGGATCGAGACCGGCTCCGTCCCCTCGCCCTGGCGGCGGCGGTGGTTACGGTGGCGGCGGGTACTCCCCCGCGCCCGCCGCTGCGCCGCGGTCTCGCCTCGATGCGCCCATGCCCGACGTCCCCATGAACAACGCAAGGAGCAGTCCGCACGCAGATGCCGACGGGCCGGTGTGGATGCTGCGCTCGGAGAAGAGTCCGACAAACGACTACACATATGGGAATTTGTACGTCCCCCCACCTCTTTCCTTCATACAAGCGCTGTAATGGGTAACGTGGCTAACGTGGTAACAGGGTGGCCGTATCGCCACAGGACTTCCCCCAATCCGGCGGGAAGGACTTCTTCCTTGTCATCAACGACCTTTATGTGTTTACGGCGCGCACGCTGGATACCTTCCCCCGCGGATTCATTTCCTTCTCGGAACCCCAGCGCACGTGGGCCAAGATCGCGGTCACGGATGCGGTCAAGGTGCAGATCTACAACCCCTTTCATCAGGATAAGAAGGCGTATTTGGGATCGACGGATATTGAGGTCGGGTTCGCGGGTCGAAGTCGTACCGATGAGCCGTATGATCAGAATGATTTGGCGAACAGTGTTCGAACGGTACGTACTTTGGTTTTCTTGTGAAGGTCTGTTTCATACCGGGACGGAGGCTGACAGCCGCAGAAATTCACCAACCAGATTCTCGCCCCCGGCCAGAAGATTCTCATGGATCACCGCGGGATCGTGCTGGCGTTGACCGTCAAGACCGTCGAGCTGGTGGACTTGATGTCGGAGAAGCCGGAAGAGGCCACCACGGCGGCCACCGTGCCCACAGCCCGGGGTATCCTCACCCCGCACACGGCGGTCAATTTCTTCAAGGACGCCCGGAGCAATATCAACGTCAAGCCGTCAGATCGCCGACCGGCGGCCAACTCGATCATTCGGCCCGATTTCAAGTTTGAGAACATGGGCATCGGTGGTCTAGACTCGGAGTTCAGCACCATCTTCCGGCGTGCGTTCGCGTCGCGGATCTTCCCCCCGGGCCTGGTCAACAAGCTGGGAATCCAGCACGTGAAGGGTATCCTGCTGTACGGCCCGCCCGGCACGGGTAAGACCCTGATCGCTCGGCAGATCGGTCAGATGCTGAACGCGCGGGAGCCCAAGGTGATCAACGGTCCCGAGGTGCTCAACAAGTACGTCGGTGCGTCGGAAGAGAACATCCGCAAGCTCTTCGCGGACGCGGAGAAGGAGTACAAGGAGAAGGGCGAGGAGAGCGGCCTGCACATCATCATCTTCGACGAGCTGGACGCCGTGTGCAAGCAGCGTGGCGCGGGCGCCGGGGGCGGCACGGGCGTGGGCGACAGCGTTGTCAACCAGCTCCTCTCCAAGCTGGACGGCGTGGACCAGCTGAACAACATCCTGCTGATCGGAATGACGAACCGCAAGGACATGATCGACGACGCGCTGCTGCGTCCGGGCCGTCTGGAGGTACACATGGAGATCTCACTGCCGGATCAGAAGGGCCGTGCCCAGATCTTGAAGATCCACACGACGAAGATGAAGGCGAACGGTGTGATGGCCGACGACGTGGACGTGGCGGAGCTGGCCCAGCTGACGAAGAACTTCTCCGGTGCCGAGATCTCAGGTCTCGTCAAGGCGGCGTCGTCATTCGCCTTCAACCGGCACGTCAAGCCTGACACGGTAGCAGGCGTCAAAGACGACGTCGTCAACCTCAAAGTGTGCCAGGAAGACTTCTATCACGCCCTAGAAGAAGTCAAGCCCGCCTTCGGCGTCGCCGAGGAAGAGTTCGAGAACTGCCTGTCGCGAGGCATCGTGCACTACTCGCCGCGGATCAATGAGATTCTCAACGAAGGCCACCTCTTCATCAAGCAAGTCGGCGCAGCAGACGCCACCCCCCTCTTCTCCGTGCTCCTCCACGGGCCCTCCGCCAGCGGCAAGACCGCGCTGGCCGCGCGCATCGCAATGGACTCCGACTTCCCCTTCATCCGCCTAATCAGCCCCGAAGACATGGTCGGCTACAGCGAGACGGCCAAAATCCAACACATCAGCAAGGTCTTCTCCGACGCCTACAAAAGTCAAACCAGCGTGGTGGTCGTCGACAACATCGAGCGCATCATCGACTGGGTCCCCATTGGCCCGCGCTTCAGCAACATCGTACACCAAAGCCTAATGGTCTTCCTGCGCAAGCAGCCCCCCCACGGCCGCCGCCTCCTAATCCTAGCCACCACGACGGAGCGCTCGCTCATCAAAGAGCTAGGCATGTACAGCTCCTTCGACGCAGACATAGCCGTGCCAACGGTGCAGACCTACGAAGAGCTGCGGACTGTTCTGGAGGAGTCGGGCGCGTTCACGGCGGAGGAGATCACGCGCGCGCTGGAAGGCATTTATAGCGTAAATGACGCGACGCAGATCGGGGTCGGCATTAAGAAGATTCTGTTGGGTATTGAGACTGCGAAGCAGGATCCGGATAAGGCGGGACGGTTCGCGAATGTTATTAATCGCATTATGGATCAGGAGAGAAGGTAGTTTGTATGCTTTTTTCTTGGTCTGGGTTTGTGTGGTAGATATTATAATAGAATATATTGTTTTGAAGATTGGTTTGGGTATGTTTTGAAATCTAAACTGTATTTGTATATAAAGGTTAGTGGGAATGGTTGTGCTACTCAGTGGAGACATATATCCGATCCAGGTACTGATATAGTGGAGATAACATGTGGTAGAGGATAGAAAGATAGTTTTTGCTAAATATTAGCTATTCTAACAAACTTGTTTTGTATTATTCTTGAATTTGTAAACCGGTGAAATGATTCGATTTCATGATTATATGTATACCATGATTAGGTTATATGCACCTAAACCTATATAATCACCCTACATACACAATTTGTAGGCTGGATATCTTATACCCTGGCACGCCCTTAGGTGCTGCAGGTTGTAGAATCTGTGATGCCTGAATCTTCATAAACCAGTCTCTATCCTGTGACTTTGTGTCTGCATACTGAATCAATTGTTTTAAACCTTGGTCTTCATATACGTTTCCGGTTCACTATATGTTGGTTTTGCAGGAAATTCTCTGACCATATGATTATCTATGCCAGGTTGTGATCTTCAGGATAATAGAAGATATAATATACCAGTAAGACAATACAGTGGCTTATAACTGTTACAAAGGATTGTCCGTCGGTTCTAAAAATATCCATATATCTTCTGCGCTTTGTAAGTGATCCGCATAAGGTCATATATCATAACAGAAATCTATTCCCCAGCTGGCAGCGAATCCGAAAGGACACTGCTCCAGATTTCATCATTCCGCAGATAACTGGCCACTGCCGGGTTAAGCACAGCAAGAACCTCCCAGGAATCATCCGGCGCTCGTCGTTTCGGCGCCAACGTGAAGTATCCCATGGCAGGCACATCGAGACACACATCCAACGGGAAGCCCAGCTCTTCTCCGAAATACGCCTCGTACATCGCAGAGTCTCTCCAGCTGGATATATTCGTATCGTGGTTGTACTCGTAGATCAGAGGGACTTGCGAAGTCTGCATCAGGGATGTGATGTCTCGTGCGTAGTCATTGTTGACCCGGCTCACAGCTTGTCGGACAGCTAGTGCCACCTGGCAGAGTGCATCGTCGCGAAGACGCTTAGGAACAGCTTCATTCGTGAGTAATGAGCTATTACCTATGGCAGAAAGGAGAGGCTGTGCATCCATAGCTGGTTTAACGGGCACAGCGGCATTCCCTAAGAAAGTGGAGGGCAGCGGAGGATGAACGCGTGGTCGGATATTCGCAGGCATGCAGATTCCGGGATTGATGGCGGATGGCTGCGTAGTCGATGGCAGTTCCGAGCGACGTTTTGCCCGATTGTAACAAAGCCATATCAATGCGGCCAGGGTGTCGTTGTTGCTGATCCACTTCGTTGAGCCGAACTGCTTCTGCAGAGACTCCGATTGAGCGATGAGGATGTTGAGGTGATTTTTCAGATCTTGGATTTTGGTGGCCGAGAGGCGGAATCGTGATGCTGGAGGAAGCAACCCAAACCCGGACTGGTCAAACATGATAGGCCCTGGGTGAGGCTGGAGGCCGTATCGCGAGCGATCAAGCTCGGAATCACGAGCCACTGGGGTGAGTTTGTTGAGAAAGACCCTCGCGCTGTACTGCAACTGAGTGAGGGTGCTCAAATCTAGCCCTAGTTCCGTGCCAGAGTCGGTGCGACAGCAGCATGAACCAAATGCTTTCACTACCGTACCGGCCCCTATTGCATCCATGACGTTGTGATGCAGAGCAAATCCAAGGCCCACCCCATCGTTGAATAGGTTGATCTGCAAGCGGAAGATGGGACTCGGGCTGACAATATCTGCAATGGGCTTCAGCGGCAAATGTGTCACATCCAGCTCAGCGTGGGCTTGCCCCCCAGGGTAGATTTCTCGGTATGACTCGGATACTCGCTTCACCGCCGCGATGACCAAGTCGGCATCGCTTTCGCGGGGTGGTATAATGTGGCAGCCACTGTCCGGATTCCCAGGAATTGGTCCTGTGAATACATAGCCTGCCAGAAATGGAAACTCTGAAACTAGGCGCCGAGTGCCGGCTTCGAGATGTGCAAGAGCAGATGTGATGTTGGATGCTTCGAAGAGGATGAGGAATCGGATGTAGGCTGGGGGAACGAGAGTGTCTAGAGCAGTGAGGCCTTCATGACAAGAAACGGGTGGGGATGCCATCACGGTTGAGAGGATAATAATGATGGGGTGTATACACTTTCGAAATTCAGAGTACGTTGCAAGGCACCAAGACTGTAACTGATTGCAGGGGGGTTTAGAAGATAGCTGACGATTATATACCGATGCTGTCTCCGTTGGGCACGGTGGCATGCAGTATACGACCTTGGTTTTATGCCTCCCTGCCCCGGCCTTCAGTCAGTCAGCTCTATACTTTCTGACCTCGCTGATTGAACACCCTCTGCTTTGCAATGTTGACCGCTTGTGTTGCACTTTCCACCGCGAAACCCTCGACGCAAGGCGCAAGTCAAATTGCACCCACTATTGAATCAATGCAGTGATAAATACAATCTGCGAGAAAATCAGACAGAGCGTAGAGATTCCGTATTGATGTGTCTGTAGTCTGCAAGGATCCCTCAGCATGTCCATGATGTCGGTGTACATGACCCCCGACTGTGATTTAGCGCATGCTTTCAACACATGAATCTTGCCAGTATCTTATCAAGTAACCCGAGAAGCCTGGTAAATTATAGACGGGGGGCTTCTGGAGTATCTAACGAGTGCGATACCGCATCGTCTGAAGACAGCTATCGAAGCAGAGGTTTGGTATACATGGACCTAATATACATGACGCGGCCCTGGAATATTGCTATAAACTTGCTGCAGGTCTCCGTTTACCAATAGATAATGACATCAAACTAATGTGAGCAATAGAAACTTTCACTATCAGCTCTATCAATCGGACATACGCACGTGGTGCAGAGGACAAAGTTATTCCACCAAGTCGATGGCTTGTGATTACATACAAAGGTTAAACATCCGTGTGGCTTCGCATGGACTCAACGTCTCTCTCCTAAGCAGCTGATACAGTGAGTAAAGCCCTCCCCGACTATTTCACTCAATGACATGGATTTCGATTCCTTCGGAGGCAAGGGGGTCCCATCCACTAAGGTTTTCGGCCATCTCCAAAGCGTGTGAAGTCGAACGCTCGCGTATGTATTCAAACGCTTTTCTCTTTGTTCTGGGATTCCGAAATACCAACAAGCTTGCCCAGTAAGCTGAAAGTCTCGGTGAAGAGGGCCACAAGCTGATCCCCCAACCAGAAAAGCAGGCTCGGGATACCGCTTAGGATCATGGTGGTAATAAACTGGGAAACCAATTCTAGGCAACCTTAGCGCTCATCACTTGCTGGGAGTCACTGACGCCACTTACCGAAGACCGATCTCCGTCCGGTGACGGAGTCCAGAAGCTCGTTGCAGATTACATCCGACGCCCCGGGCCATACCCACGGGCCGGCGAGGCGAAACTTCGTGTTCAATGTTCCCCCCAAGGCCCAGAATAAAGTCACCTTCCAACCGTGGGCGAGGGCTTGCAAGAAGGAGGGGGACGAGCCTATATCCAAAGCCAGTCGGTGAGCGAACAAGTCGTGGTCCACTCCGTATTCAATTCGTCCGCTGGGATTGCTGAAAAGACGGTAGGTGTTGTCTTCTTCGAGAGGGCCCGGGAGGCGGCCGAGGAGCTTCAACACCCAGGCCTGGGCTTGCATTTCGGCCAGTGGTGGGATGGCGCCTGTTCTCATCAAATCACATATTAACATATGCCTCCTAGACTGAAGAAAGGGCAGTTAGTCGTCTTACCAAAGCTGGGCCGCACGAAGCCAATGTAGCCGACGGATTCGTCGCCTGTCCGCCAGATTCCGCGCTGGTCGGCCTGATCGGGAGTGCAATACTGAGAATCCAGGAACGGGAAAGACTGGGTGTATCCGGTTGCTAGGACCACTACGTCGGGCTTACATGGTTCCTTTTGGAGCATCGTCTGGCCCTCCGGCCGGCTGGTGCTCTCGAAGTGCACGACCCCATTCTCATCGATGGACTCCGGCCAGGGAGCCAGGTCAATCGTCCGCGAGCCGGTGTCTGGCACGACGGCCTGGATAATGCTGGATCGGAGACGGTGGATCCAGCTCTTCGATCGATAGGGGGCACTGATGTATGGCATGGCCTTGGTGGACTTACAGTAGAAATCTAGGGAGTATATGTTAGTGGGCCGGCACACACACCGCGATAGACTTTCTGTCCCATGCTCCTCTTCTGCCGATGCATATCAACGTCAACTTATGGGACTTACAATGGGACTCATCATATTTATTTCCCGGAAGAGCTCCCACCCATTGGTCGAATCCCCGGGTAGTACCAGTCGTCAGCCAGTGAAGAGCCGAGACCGTCCATCGGATCAGAATGGACTGTGCTGCCCCCCGGAGCTTGGGATGGACATACGAGGTCATGAAGAGGTAAGGCCGATAGACGTCAACGGGAAGCGCCTTCCCTGGTTCCTTGTAGATCGGCCAGCCGAATAGTTTGATCTCGGGTAGTCTCTGTGCGCTGAGATGTTAGCATACTGCGCGCCCCCATAGAGAAACCATTCAGCGACTCGCCTTGGATCCGATCACAAATCCATTGCGGTGGCATACGGTTGTGGACTTGGTCGCATCAGCCGTTACCGAGAAGTACGCAATGTCCATTCCCGTCTCCCCGGCCCCGAGTACCATCACGTTGGTGTCCTTGCCCAGCTGCTGCACATGCTTGTAGTCAGACGAGTGGAAGACCACCGGCACGCGGTCCAGTCCTGGTATGGATGGGATGTTGGGCTTGACATGCAGCCCAGAGCACACTGCGACCGCATCGCAGTCCCAGGTGCGCGTCTCGCCCCCGTGCGAGAACGTGACGCGGTGGCCCCCCTTGCCCGTGCGCTCGATCTTGTCAACTCTCGTCGAGAGGTGGATATGCGGCCAGAGCCCGAACCGCTCGCAGTATCCCTCCAGGTAGTCGACGTACTCCACTGCGGAGAGGTAGTCGACGTCCTTGTCCGGCCAGCGATAGTCGGAGAAGGTGGTCAACTGGGCGGACGAGACAAGCTATCTCGTTCATGAGCTCAGCTCCAAAGGGGAAGGACAAAACACTAGGTACTTACCTCGGCCCTATCGTAGGTACGATAGGTAAACGTACCCCCCACTCGATCTTCCGATTCAAAGAGCTGGACTTCAATGGGGTCCACCGACTGGAAATGATGCGCAGCCACGAGGTACTTCAGGGTGACGAGGCCCGATGGCCCGCCTCCAATGACGGCAACCTTCATGATGGCTCAGAGGGTGATTTTTGCAGATCACTTGGTGTTGCAGGAGGTAGCGCTCTCCCTTCCCCAGGTATATATCCCCGAGGGAGAGGTGATTTGTGCACGGAATGTCATTTCTCCCTGATTGTCATTCCGTGCGGGCCCTTACGGGCGCTCGCATGGGCTCCCTTACATGGGCTCTGGCTCTGGATTCCTTGATCCCTTGTTGCATGCTCTAGTTTACTGTCAGTGTACGTAGTGGAGAGGAGTGGTATTATCCCTTGCATGCCCTGAGCCCGCACGTTCTCTCATTCTCTCAGTCGCACAAGGGGCTCCCGTCAAATGCGACTCCTGAGCCCGCCACTAGGAATTGGTGGATACCAAGGCCCTACCACTGGCCAATAAATGTTTTTGATCGAATGATCAAAATCAAAGACATGCTAACAGAAATCACGGAGGACTCGAGACCCCGGTACGCTCGCGGGATGCTGACATGCTGGTATAGTGTCATTGCACCGTGTCCATACCGACACGGCGGCAAGGTCGGCATAGTCGCATGTAAGGAAGCCCTGCATCCCTTGCATAACAAGTGTGTCCAATTTTGAATGATAATGATAACAAGCATTGTCGGACTAGTTAGTTTTGGTGTCACAGGATTCACACAGGAACTTGCCGTATTCAGGATGCAGCTGTTAAATGATCGCATCGTCAGTTGTACATAAACCCCCCCACGAGCTCAGATGCGAATGAAGTCCAGTATACTCAGCCTCCGAATCACAACTCACACCCGTCTCCGATTACGAGGCTCCGTGAACAATGCTGTCATTTACAACAAAAGATGTCGCCGGTTGGCTCATGAACGTCGTGTCCGGTTCCGCCGCTGGGGTTCCTCTAAAGAGACTGGAGAACATGGCCGAAGGATCGAGCGAAAAGGAACCTACTCTCTCCTTTCTTGAAAAGAGGAAATTTTTCTGCACCGAGATTGAGAGACAGTATTTGCGCCCAGAGCACTATCCAATCCTGCATAAAACCTCGGTGGAAGATCCCGCCGTCTTTTGGGGGACCGTCGCCCGCCTATTGCTGTCCTTTGACAACGATTTCCACACAGCTTACTCCGCCTCATTCGCGCCGGGAGGAAGCCGTTGGTTTCTGGGTGGCTACCTCAATGCGAGTTTCAACTGCGTTGACCGGCATGCGCTGGAAAATCCCGGACGTCTGGCGTTGCTATCTGAAGCAGACGAGCCGGGCGCTCAGCGCCAAATTACCTACGACGAATTGCTAGAACGTGTCAGCAACTTTGCGTCTTTACTCCAAGCTTACGGCGCCAAGTGCGGTGACGTTATCACTATATATATGCCGACCATTCCGGAGATCGTGATTGCGATGCTGGCATGTGCGCGGATAGGGGCGATTCATTCCGTTGTCTTCCTCGGGTTTTCGGCGCAGGCGCTCCGTCAGCGCCTGCATGATGCGCAGTCAAAGATTGTTGTCACAGTCAACGAGGGGAAACGAGGTGGAAAGTCTATTCCAGCGAAGCTCATCGTGGACGAGGCGTTACAGGAGTGCCCGCTGGTCAGCTCCGTTATTGTATATCGGCGGACAGAATCAACCGTGCCGATGCAACCACAGAGGGACCTGTGGTGGCACGAGGAGGTAAAGAAGTATCCGAAATATATGTCTCCAAGGCCGATGGCCTCGGAAGATCCTCTCTTCTTGCTGTATACGTCTGGCTCCACGGGACAGCCCAAAGGACTAGTGCACAGCACCGCTGGGTATCTCGTCGGTGCAGCCGCGACGGGAAGATACACGTTCAACATTAAGAAGAGCGATCGAGTCTTCTGTACTGGCGACATCGGATGGGCTATGGGCCACACGTACGCCGTATATATGTCGCTTTCGCTGGGTGCAACGACTGTCCTTTTTGAAGGCACCCCCACATACCCATCGTGTTCCCGATACTGGGATATAGTGAAGGATTTCCACGTAACGCATTTCTGCTCAGCGCCGACAGCACTCCGTCTTCTTGAAAGCGTGGGCGACGAGTATGCGCCCGGCGACTTGACAACGCTGAAGGTCCTTGCTACCGCAGGGGAGCCTATCGCGGCCGAAACGTGGAAATGGTACCACGACGCCGTGGGAGAGGGACGGGCGAATGTGATTGATGTGAGTTAGGACGTCTCCCATCATAACATAATGGTGTGAAAGAACTTAGTCAATGGCTGATAAGAGGACAAGACATACTGGCAAACTGAATCTGGCGGTCATTTGATCACCCCCCTGTCTGGTGTCACGACGACGAAACCAGGAAGCGCATCTCTTCCTTTCTTAGGAATTGACCCAGTCATTCTGGACTTGGAAAGTGGAGACGAGGTTGTAGCACGCGGCGAGAAAGGGATGCTAGCAATCAGACGACCGTGGCCCAGCATGGCGCGCACAATCTGGAGATCACATCAGCGATTCGAGGATCTATATTTCGACAAGGTGACGGGCTACTATGTAAGCTGTCTTGACTTCAGCAGGCAGGAATCTGTGTTAACTGTAATTACAGATCACAGGTGATGAAGCAAGGAGAGACGAAGACGGCCACTACTGGATCCAAGGCAGAGCAGACGATGTGATCAACGTCTCTGGCCATCGATTATCAGCGACTGAGATTGAGTCATCTATCCTCAGTAACGGTATGACCTCTTCTCATAGTACCTGCTAGTTACTGACCGAGTAGACTCTATCGTCGAATGCGCGGTCGTTGGCGTACCGGACCACATCAAAGGAAGTTCATTAGCTACGTTTGCCTCCGTGAAGCTATGCGGTAGCGATGTGGAAGGGCTGAAAAACGAAATCAAAGCCATGGTCAAAGCAAAGATCGGATCATTTGCTGTTCCAGAGTTTGTGTTTATCGTGTCTGAACTTCCTAAAACTCGAAGTGGAAAGATCACGCGAAGGATTCTGCGGTGTTTAGCAGCGGGGGAATACAGTCAGGTTGGAGACACGTCCACAGTACGTTCGCATTCCACATATTTCACGTCCATCCTAGCTTATCATATTTGTACAGCTCCAAAACCCCGAGGTCGTTCACCAGATTGCGAACCACTTGAAGCAAATACGTTGATTCACAAAACAAGGCCCTCAAAAGGCCAGAGCCGAGTGGCAGACAGCACCCGCAGTCGGATATAGTTAAACAAAGATGTATATGTAGAGAATATCAAGATTTCACAACAGTACCCCTGGTGTACCAATTCCGACGAGACTAGCGAAAACCAACCCTCAAACCTGGTAGGCAAAGCGACCACCGATGGATTGGTCTCACCCAGAACGACGACCTAGGACGCCTGGATGCCATGGGTTCCCGCAAGACACGCCATGATACCTGAATGGGGAAATACATATTGGGAATATTCCTTGGTGAGACATACAGATCTGCAATGCATTAGGTACCTTTGTAAGAGTCGGTGAGAACGGCTTCTGTTGTCGAGAATGATTTCTTAGCCACTGCGCCAAAAGTATGTATGAATGGCTGTTTGGGAGGGCTTGACCTAACTGATATTCCTAACAATCTGTGAGACAAAATAAAAAATAAACTGAATTGTTTCCATGGTATGAAACGGTAACATGATAGCCTTATCATAATCAGTGCAATCAAGGAAATGGTTGGACCGGAGCACTAAGCAACTTTACACGCCGTCCATAGTAAAAAACGAACAGACTCTATGGACAAGCCAGCAGGATATCAGCTTCAGAGTTACTTTGGGACACGGCATGAGTACGACGACAGAATCCCATCAGCACACAGTCGTTCCATAGACTCCGGGCACAGCGTCGCCTCAACCTCCCAGAACGCATCTCCGTCTCCGTGATGTCTTTTCCGCGGCAGTACATAGAATTGGCCATCGATCATGCCCTTGGGCATCCTGATATCAGCAGGCACGCCCAGGTCACCGCCATAATCAGTTGTGCAGAAACTCAGATCTTGGAGACAGCTGATATTGAAATCGCTTTGACCGATAGCAATGGCGGAAAGATCGGAGACTCCCTCGAGATGAGAGATGGCGCTCCGAACGAATGTGTCGTCGATGGAATGGAGCTTCTGACGAATGGCGTATGCCATGTGGGATAGAGCTTGTACGGTGTCTGAGTGCTTTTCAATGCACCGTTCTCCTGACGACGGAGCGTGGTCCCCGAGAATGACGTCCATACTGACACTTTGGCGGAGCATAACAAACGCATTCCCTACATAGGCCGCGGGAATGGGTGGAGCAGTCCTGCCCCGAACATTGACTGCCATGCAGATCCCGGACGTAGACGGGGTACCAGTTTCTCCAGAAGTGGTGGTTGTTTGACCCCGCCGGGCACGCGTGAAACACATCCAGAGAAGGGAGACCACCACGTCATTTTTGGATACCCACGGTTGATCTTCCGAAGATTCGTTTGATTTCCGAAGCCAGTCATTGCATGCATTTGTCAGCGTCTCTATCTTTTTGGCTGGAAGAAGAAACCGCTGCAATCTCAGCGACTTTGCGGCTTGCTCTAGAGCAGAGGTGATAGTCTCCCAGTCTGCAGGCTGCGGTGCCACTACCGGAAACTCTTCGCTGTGGTCTATGCTCAAACGCGGAACAGGTGCTCCCAAGCCCTTCGAGCTTAAAAGCGCTCGTCCGGCAATTTGTAACTCATGGTCCATCTCAAATGTCCCAGGGCTTGGGGCGGTGCCTTCTGCCGCGAGCATACAGCATCTTGCAAAGTCGCGTAGTAGAGCTCCCCCTCCAGTACCGTCTATAGCTTGATGGTTAAACACAGCACCTAGAATGACCCCGTCTGACATCGCGTTTGCCTGGAGACGAAAGATTGCGGCCGGCTTATGCGGATGAGGAGCAAATGGAAGAGGCAGGTATTGCTCTTCAGCGACGGTTGATTGCGAGTAACAAGAAGCAGAGTGGTGCTTCACGTTGAGTATACTCGCATGGTCACCTTCAGAAGTGGCGATCGGCTCAATCTGTAAAGCACCCTTTCTGGCGTTGGGGTCCCGGACAGGTGTGACATAGCCGGTAACAAATGGGAACTCAGATGCTAAGAGGGCAGCGCCTCTTTGCAGGTACTCTACTCCTGAAGAGACCTTGGGCACGGGAAAGACTAGGGCAATCCGTATATAGCAGGGAGGGACCGTATGGTCGAGGCTTGGTAGGCCATAAGCCTCAAAGGGAGTTTTGATAGTCATTCTGGATCTGTCTGAAATTGAACCTGCTTAATCCTTGAGGCCTCGACAGTTGGAGTGGGGGAGATTAAGGACAAATTTCTCTGTCATCAAAGAGATGTGCTCAGACAAGGGATTTAATGTCAACATGCTGGGTCAGGATTCGGTGTCGTGCCGGGGATTAACTAGAATGGATTTGTATTATGCCGTAGAGATGGATAGTCAAAGTCCTTGCATTGAGACCGCTGGTATCAGTTGTAACGGAGTGGGTGGCTTGAGAAGCATTGCACTGCACTGCAGGATAGATGCATTTCGCAAGGAGATGTACGTCATTGACCAAGAGAAAGGCTGGATATGCGGTGAGTTGTATGTATATAGTCCTGATAGGTTGTCAGACATAGCTAGGAGAGTTGTTGGCTAGGTTGTAGTGCTGAACAGCAGCACATATCTTTGCTCCACATACTGCCTCGTAGTCCGGATGATGTAGGCTGGTGACGCTGATATTGATATTTCCTACCGGGGCCAGTGTACCCACTACGATTAGGGATAAAGATACCGTATCCATCCCATTCGGGTGGATACTTAAGTTGACTCAATTCTTAATTACAGTCAAAATTGAGTGGGATATTACTCAGTAGATCGACGCCCGTAGATTGCTAGATATGAATCCCTTTGCCGATGACAACATACGCTGGCCTGAAAAGCAAAGGCAAATACACCATTGAAACAGTCTGATAGAACCCCATTTATGTCTGCTACTATACTCTAGCCATGCGTGCCTGCAACAAGTGCGAAAGTGGAATTCGGTATATGGACAAGACTCGTGGTTAAGCCTGTTACTTGTCAGACCAGAGAGGCTAGGGAGGGTAAGCTGTTTGTTTAACAAACGTTTTATTATTACCGTGTTTTTTAATTGCTATGTCAAACCTTGTCCAGTGAGCAAAGATGGTAAACGTGGGAGGATGTTAATTGAGCTGTCAGGCCTTGCTCTACCTCATATTCTCATAAGCACAATCCCTGAGCAAAATTAGACGTCTATGATGATCGATGCCGACTCGCCAAAGACAACGAGCGAGTGTTAAATGTGCCATTGGTCCCCCCATGATAATCAACTTAAAGTCGCACTTGCTCACTGTTGATCCATCCTTTCAAATCCTGGTGCCGGTAAAAGAAGGATCCCGCCTATTGCAGGTCTGCTATCCTACCAGTTCAGATTGTGCATTTGAATATGGCTATGCAAACACCACTGGTTCTTTTACAGACCTGCAACAAAGGGAGACAGAAATCCTTGCATGTCACTTGCGGTAAGGGGTGGCTATGTATTATGACATTCGAAGAACGCGGCCTGCACACCGCAGGGGTGATTGGGATACCAGTGCAGGCCACCCTAACCTCAAGGAAATTGCTGTAACGCAAGGAGCCTGCATGGGATTGACATTGTCACTCAGTTGTACGTTAATAACTCGCCTCTCAGCGCCAATCACTCGAGACAATACAGCCAATCGCGAAGACATACATCGGCCGTCGAGAAGTATGTAAATGTTACCTATAATTCTTACGTTTACTTCCACGAACGAAAGAGCATTTGGTTCGTTGGGATATGTCAAAGCTTTCTCCAGCGGCCGAGAAAACAGTGCTGTGCTATTGGCATTACTTAGGTGACTACTTTCAACATGATCTTCGTTTGCTTCTAGCGGCTCGGATCCCAGTCTACCTAGAGCCATGCAAGACACGCCCAAACGCGACAGTGAAGCCCGAAGCAGGTGTATCCACCACCCAAAGACCGCCGGAAAGCCAATAACGTAGATTGAAAGGACTGTCTCCGTGCGCTGTGTAGCCCTCAGAAGCCCCCTGCTCGTTTCTTGATCAAGATCGGCGTGGTCAGATTCGGGATGATCTTGTCACCGATCACCACGTTCTGAGGTCTTCCCTTCTGACCAGCCTCGAAGCGAAACTCGTATTCGACGAGGAACCGACTCAGAATCACTTTCATAACATGAGTGGCGAAGAAGCGGCCGGGGCATGCATACCGACCGAGGCCAAAATGCATATGAGTAGGCCCCGTGCTGACGAGAGACGACGTCGCTTTTTTCTCCTTTGCATAGCGAAAGGCGTCGAATGTTTCTGGGTCGGCGACGATCTGGGGATCGTGGGAGATGGGCCCGGAGGCCATACAGATGTGTGTACCCTTGGGCAAGAAGAGACCGTCTGTTAGACTCAGATCATGCTTCACGACTCGGTGGAAGGATACTAGGAGTGATTAGTTTTTATAGTGTTCGAGACAGGCAGTGAGCCATTGGGACGTACATTCTCCGGGCGGGTTGTGTCTCTGTGATTCTTTGAGGAAACTATCCATGCCTCTCAGGGCTAGGACTTCTGCCTGCGTGGTCTCCCGCCAGTTGGGATTCGCAGTGCGAATTTCGTCACGGAGTGGATCCTGCCATTCTGGCATGACGATCAGATCGTACATGGCGTGTGTAAGAGTCATCGCGCTCGTATGCACAACCGCCATACTTGTGATCCCAAGGAGTCTGTGCGCGATATTATGCGGGTGACCCTCATTGTCGTCTTTCGCAAGATCCATCATCCACTGCAAGAAGTCGTCAGGTTTCTCATATCCCTCGCCCGCGGAAGCTTCGCGTTGTCTGCGCCACTCAATGACCGGTCCCAATAGTTCCTTTTTGACATAGGCCAGCTGCCGGTCCAGACGTCGGCTGCAAGGCAGCAGGCGCCCCACGAAAGGTTGAAGAAAACCTGGCACTGGCCGCAGAAGTGCAATCGTCATGAAGATGTCTTTGGTGTAGTCGATCGAGGCTTGCAGCCATTTTTCGTCCCGGCACAGTTCGTCGCCGATGAAAACTTGCGAACTGACACGGGCGATCAACCGAAGGAAGATTTCATACGGATTGATGGCAACAAATTCTCCTAGACCCGGATGCACGGTCAGAGAGGGCCGTCGTTGGGGCACGCCAAAAAAATACACTTGCTTACCTTCGCACGGAGGGAGCTCCACGTCGAACGCATGATCCAGCTCCGATATAATGCGCGGGATTAGTCTGCCTGAACCCCAAATCAGCGTGGTGACAGAGAATGCTCGTTCTAGTACTCACCAATTGCAGGCGTCAGACGCTTTTGGATTGTTTCTGTGTGTAGGTAACTGTCGGTGAGGATCGTCGTGTAGTCTCCGACATGATCCTATATCCGCACCAGATGAGCGCTGATCGGTTTTCCGTCAGACAGGGTGAATACCGTACCGTAAAGGTTGCCTCGAGAGCATTCAAGGAACTAGAGGGCAATTGACGTAGTTCTTCGGCATATCTGGTCGATAGCACTACGAGGTCGCCATCCGGCTTGAGTATCTTATAGGCACGGCTTTTATACTGATGGTTGATTAGCCGTGAATTTCGACAAGGTCTCCAAACGAAGATGTCTCTCACCTGGCGATAACCGCCATAGATCACTTTGACAGCGTTGGAATTAAATTCGAGCCGGCTCAAAAGTGATGGTAGCCAGGGAGCGCCAAACTTGACGGTTGGAACGGCAACCTTGGTCCGGTATGTCGGTCTCGGCAACATACAATAGCCCAGGACCAATACGCCCAAGCACAACCAGCCAGCCTCCGGTCGACTGATCGACTGGATAAAACTATCCATGGTGAGAATTTTTTCCAAGGAAGTAGAAGAGCCAAGCCGGACTAGGCTTGTGGTGATAAAAGTCTAGCGAGTGATGTTGCGGTCTCTGGCGGCTCATGTCGAACGGTTCGGGGTCTTTTGGAAGGACGATTTAAGGGATGGATAAGGGACCCGTTTCTCAAGATCAAGGTATGCCCAAATTTGGTCAGTCTCAATGTAAGCTCCTTGCTCCATTTGACATGTCGGCTGAAATGTTTCGGCTGCATGCCGGTGGCTGCATCGCTATGTCAGCTTCGGAAGCAGCGCAGTATGCAACTGTGTGCGTTCTGCAGCTAATAGACTGCTGGGTACCCCTGGCGTCGCAAAGGGAGGGCTGTGATGAGTTATCAGCTTCTCGAATAGACGCCACAGGTAGTCATCTCAACCGGGACCGCCATTCATGCCTCAATGGTCCATATCAAACTCTCCAGACAATATAGCATTATTCCCTGTCGGAAGTTCAGATGAAGGACCTATGGCCACCATGTCTGCAACCTTCAACGACATACTATATGCGGAAAATTCTAGTTTCTCGGTGGTGTTGCTCGTCATAGGGGCTCTGTCCATCGGTTGGGCAGTACAAAGACTCCGTCGATACTATGCTGCCTGGGTATGCCAATATTTCAAGCCCATGTCTCTCGAATAGATCTGACTCCCATAAGGTAGATGTTCCAGTCGTTGGGGATCATGGGGCCATTGGAGCATGGATCGCTGCTTATAAGTGGGAAAAGAACGCTCGGCATCTCATCCAGGAGGGCTACGAAAAGGTATGTTATATACGAGACATCAAACCATTCACTGGCGGACAGTCTACTCACGCCATCCACTCGAACAGCATCGGGACTACGCGTTTCAGGTTGCAACGCCCAGCCGCTGGGAGGTTTGGATCTGCAACGACCAGATGGTCAAAGAATACAAGAATTTGATGGACGAGGACTTCTCCGCCAACGCAGTGACTGCCGACGTAAGCGTGCGAGGGGCGCTGGATATAAAACCCTAAATTTCTAACCATCAACCACAGCTCTTCCAGACAGAATGGACTCTTCCTGGCGCAGCCGAAGGCGTCCATAAAATTCCCATTCCGTTGCTTCACAAGGGCCTGACGTGGCAACGGGGTCGATCACTCGCCAAGGATGACCCATACTTTCAACAATTTGTCACGGAGTTTTTTCACGCCTGGGAAGTCGAAACCAATATAACAGGGGACGGTAAGTTGCGACAATGAGTCCACTACTCCACACATCTGCCCGTGATTGACACTTTCCATGTAGGATGGAACGAGCTTTGCTGCTACGAGATCGGCACACGCATTGTAGCGCATCTTACCGCGAAGTCGCTCGTCGGATATCCCCTCTGTCGTGATCCTGAGCTCATCGAACTTTTTGCAGCGTACGGGAACGCAGTACCCATTAGTGGGTTCTTTATCTCCATGTTTCCTGAGTTTATGAAGCCGTACAGTCCCTCTACGGCCCCGGAAAGGGCCACGCACCAGCGAAGATGATCGGGAACTAACGGAGGTACTAGCTTCGTCGCCCGATTCTGCCAGGCCCCCAAAATGGCAAGCCGGTTGGACCAGATGTTTCTCGACGAGATGGAACGGAGAGCGGCGGACCCTCCAAAGGAGCCAGGTGTATGCTAAGAAGGACTTCCATACCATGCGGATACAGCAGGTTTCACTGACCGCAGCACAGGACATCATGGATTGGACATGGCAGTATACGGAGAAAAATGAGCCGGGCGTGTATCAAAGAGTCCACATTGCGCGCTCCATCACGTCGTCTGTCTTCGGTGCCATTCATACGACAACCCAGGTAGGCTGTAGTCTGCCCCGGTATCGATGACGACAGCGGCAGGCGTGTTAATCATGTCTCTATTACCAGGTTCTCGCTCATTGCCTCTTTGAGCTCGCCGTACGATCGGAATACGTTGATCCTCTGCGACAGGAGGTTGAGCAGGCATTCGAGTCGCACAACGGCTGGACGAAGAGTGCGATCGAGTCAATGCCGAAGCTCGACAGCTTTGTGAAGGAGTGCCAGCGGTTTAATCCTCTCGACTCTGGTGAGCATTACCCCTTCTGTTATTAATCGCGGGCGTTCTATTGACCAGCCTGGCAGGCTCGCTCGCTAGACGCGCCACCCGCGACTTCCAATTTCAAAACGGCTTGAAAATCCCCCGAGGGACATTTGTTTTCTCACCGAATGCTCCCGTGCTGTTCGACGAGCGGTACTATCCCAATGCGAGCGAGTTCGACGGATATCGCTTTTACAAACTCGGCCTGGAAACCGGAAAACCTGCGGACCACAAGTTCGTCTCGACTAACCCCAGGTATCTCCAGTTTGGAGATGCAAGACATACCTGGTGAGATGGCCTACGCCGTTGGTGTCTATTCAAGTTGAATATGCTAACATCGCCCCGTCGCACGATCAGCCCGGGTAGGCATATGGCTGCAGATGAAATCCGACTCATGCTTGCACACATTCTGAGAAATTATCACATTTCTACCAAGGATCATGGGCCCAGACCGGAAAATTGGTTCTTTAAGAAGATTTTGTTCCCAGATATGAGCGGTTTGGTTGTATTGAAGCCTCGGCAGGCTGGGAAGAGAGGGGATGTAGTGGTCTAGTTTGTTGCTGAGGGCTAGTTCCTATGTTCGATGGTTTCAGTTTTGTGAAGTTCATCTCTCCGTAGCAACAGAAGCTCTACAACACTGGGATGCATTGGACTCCTCAAGCATTCGGAATCTGCGTGTCAGCCTCCTCTCTGGGCTCAGCGAGTAGGATCACCAAGTTCAAAGGCCGCGCCATAAAGTCCAGGTTGTGGTATCTGCAAGGGAAATTAGGAAAACCAGAGGGCTTTGATACCGGCGCCAAACAGTATTATTTCACAGCATCTTTTGGAACACTCCTTGCGGACCCTTGCGTCACCGGAAAGGCAATTGTACTGTTACTTGCAGTTCATATCTATCGTAGGTAGTCGGTCAGAGTCCAGCTATCTGGACCACTATTTGTGTGGAATCTATTCTCCCCAGCCGGCTGGAATCCAACGTTTCTATATTCCAGAGCTCGTCCAGTCTCGAGCAAATGGAATCCTCACTGCTCACCATCGCCACCGGTGCCGCCATCGTCGGTGTCCTCAGCCACCAGCGTTACTTCATCCGTGGCGAATGGGACCGACATGCGCTAACCCTTCTGTACATTTTCATTGTCAGCCCGCTAGCTCTAACCCTATTCCTTACGGTGTCAGTTAATTCAGCTCCTGTACTGCGTCTATGGCTGGTGATTTGGGCGTCATATACCGGGGGGCTTTTACTCTCCATTGCTGTCTACCGGGTGGTGTTTCATTCTTCATGCCAATTCCCTGGGCCATTTGCCGCGAGAATAACTGCATTTTGGTCATTCAGAAACTCTGCCGTGCAGCTACAATGGCACAAACGAGTACAAAGCCTCCACGAAACATATGGCGATTTCGTCCGCATCAGTATGCTTCCCGCAGTCTCATAGGGGGTTCGCAGAGGCTAATGAGGTCTGCCACTGCTTAGAACCACGCGAGATATCGATCAATGACCCTTTTGCCATCAAAGACATCCATTCGGCCTCGACTCAATGCAGCAAAGGCCCGTTCTACGACCTCAACTACCCCCATCAGTCTCTGCAGATGACTCGGGACAAGCGCTTTCACTCAACCCGGCGGCGATTATGGGATCGAGGCCTCGGAACCAAAGGTAAGTAAGAAGGCTTTATGCTCTTGGTTCCGTCTGCACCTGCCACTGTTTTGTTCCCGTGCATTGACTCTGCTTCTACCAACGCAGCACAGGTCGAATATGAGCCTTTCATTCAAGAGCACTGTGAGGAACTCGCCCGGCAACTTGGTATCCGCCATTCAAAGCCAGTTGAGGTTACGACATGGATCAACTGGTTCGCGTTCGACACTATGGGGCGGCTCGTCTTTGGCAAGTCCTTTGACATGCTCAAGGCCAGTGCCTATCACCCGAGGATGGAACAGCTGGAGAAGGTGAAAAAGCTCGGTGGTCTGCTACATTGTGGGCCATGGACCTTGGTAATGCTCCGTAACCTGCCCCTCATTCGTCATAAGGCTCGAGAATGGATCGACTGGTGCGCGGAGCAGGTGGAAGAGCGTCGACAGGTATGTCTTTTTCCATACAGGGAGTTTTGTGCTCCAGCTGATGAGCGATAACAGAGGGGACTGGCCAACATGGACCTTTTCCATTTTCTCATACAGCAGTCCGTAGGTGAATCTAAAAGCACCGGTGATGCATCAGCAGGATTCACCGACCAAGACCTGATATACGATTCTGAATTGGCCATCGTGGCTGGAAGCGACACCACGGCAGCAACGACCAGCGCCATTCTGTTCCTGCTAGCCCAGAATCGGGAATGTCTGACGCGATTGCGAGAGGAGATTGCCGTTCTTCGGTCGACTGTCCCGACGACAGCCGCGAGCCACAGCTCGCTGGCTGCCCTCCCGTACCTGAACGGGTGCATCAATGAGGGACTGCGTCTCTATCCCGCCGTCATGAGCGGCACGCAGCGACAGACAGGGCCTAACGGCGCGGTGATCGCAGGGCGATTCATTCCACCCGACACCCTAGTATCGACACCAACATATACGCTACATCGGGGTGAGCTTCTCTCTCTCTCATTTTTGTTTTAGTATTGAGCACTCTGTGCTGACCATCTGGGCGTTCTCAATCACCCTGTCATCCAGATCCTCGCAACTTCACACTCCCAGATAATTTCATCCCCGAGAGGTGGTCCACTCGGCCGGAACTGGTATTACGTCGCGAAGCATTCAACCCTTTCTCGACGGGCCCGTATGCCTGTGCCGGCAAGTCTATTGCCCTGATGGAGATGCGTATGCTACTTGTCACCCTCGTTGGTCGGTTCGACTTTACATTTGCTCCAGGATACGACACGAAAGCGCTGTCCCTCGCTTCATTGGGCGGACACGGCGTACAGGATTGCTTCACGACGCATGTTCCTCCGTACGAGTTGGTTTTTACGAAAGTGACAGCGTAGCTAAAGATGGAAAAACAGCAAATTAGCAAGTAATTGGATCTTCTCGGTCAAAAAATTGGTTTGTGTTCTTAGGGCGACGTGCTACACGGCATCCCAGGGCCGCTATGCTTGAGGACTCCAGTATTGATGCATGTTTTCTTCATATCGAGTAGATGATGGTGTCCAATTCACCCGAATGCAAGGTAGGGAGGGGTCTTCTTTTCTCTCATTTTAATTGAGCATGAGCCCATAAAATCAATAGTCTCGCCTGCTCTGCAAGGGCTAAAAAGATGGGTCCCTCCACATGCCCTTCAATGTAATCAGGAACTGTCCCGATATCTTGAGGCCGAACACTGGTCAGCAAGGGAGTGAACGTATGTTCGTCTCCTGTCAACCACATATCAACTACTACGCCCTAGAAACTCACCATATTACAGAGGTCCACCGTTCACCTTCAACTACATCCGCCTATCCTGCCGTCCAAAACAACGTTCATCCAGCATGGGGTCTCTACGCCACCTTTTCCTAAGCTTCTCACTCCTAGGCGCTTATTCAATGTACTATTTTGCCTTTCAAAATGGATTAATAGCCAACCTAGAGCTTGCTGCCGCCACCGGAGTTCTACCAGGAAAAGCACATATCCCGCTCGTCACCCAATATACCACCATCCCCTTGCTTGACGTTTTCCTCCGTAGCACCGTTATCTTCTTCTGGCCTGTGACTCGCGGAGTCGACCCGCCAGGAATTTCAGCCTACGGATGTGCCTTTGCGGGCGGGATGGCAGCGGTATGGGTTCTTTGGACCCTCGAAAACGCCCGACGATATAGCCCAGTCTCGGCACTTGTGCGGTAGGTACAGTGTCCCCCAACAATCTAAACCTTGCAATGTACGTTTCTGACCGCTGTTTCAATGTCATGTAGGACCACTTTCCAGGGTCTCGCTCTCCAGGTCGCCGGACCAGGGGTCATAATGCCACTTCTGCTGGGCTGGGACCTCCTCCACTGCCCCCTTCGCGCTGCAAGGGGGCAGCACCTGGCAATGCTTAACCATTTGCCAGCAGCGCTGCTCTTGGGCTTTCTTGCGCCAATTCTGGGCGCCACTTTTCTCTGTCCAACCGTGATTTCATTCGACCAGTGCCAGATGCTGATCGCTTTTTGGCAGGGCTGGCCGATATGGACGACCGTCCTCACACTGACGTTGTTCTCTATCCGCAAGCCAGCGACCATACAGAGCCCCGGGGGAAAGAAGCAGGCGACATCCCGTGACGCGGGCCAGGCTCTCCATGCGTTTGCCTTTGCATGCGCAGCCACCAGCCATTGGATCCTGTGCATATCGTCGCTTGTCCACCTCGCGAGCGCCGGCAGTTCCCCTTCCTTAGTGAATCTCATTCTCCCCCGCCTCCCATGGTCTCACCCAAAACCGTCGTCAGTCGGCGAGGGCGTGTTGTGGTTCCTTCAGTGGGACTACTCTATCGCAGCGGTGGCCGCCCTGATCTGGTCGGTGACGCTTTGGCTACGGGCTGCTCCACATGCTTCAGTGCGTGGGAGCGCAAGAAGGCTCGTTCTCCAGCTAGCAAGCTGGTCCCTCGTCAGTGGGCCCTGTGGAGCAGCTGTTGTGTTGATGTGGAAACGAAACCGTCTCCTCTCCCGCTAGACCTGCGAGACCCTGATGGACCTGGACGGAAAGCCGGTGATTTCATCTGGGGGCGGGGTATGCCTGGAGAAGGTGCGTTTTATGGTACACATCGAAAGTCTGTCTTTTGTGAGACGATGTAGATCAGCTTTGCATCGTGCGGTGCTGTGCGAATGCTGTGGGTGATGGGATCGGAAGGTTTGCCATCAGTGATATCCTCACCATACCACTTTTTATCTTTATATCAGAGTGCTTGTAGATTCATATAGTCGTTCCGGATCTCTTTTTGCGCAGATTCATAGTGAGTTTCGCTCGTGAATTTCCGCTTTGAGAAGAGTCATGATATTAGCAGCGTAGTTTGGCAGCTACGCTTGCTATCATAAAGAACAGTTTATTGGAAAGTCTCTTCGGTCATGAGGAGAAGCTTTACGAGGGCTTAAGCCTCGACAGTTCCGGTAGCGCACGAGTTAGTTATAGCGAAGATAGTATCTTCCTGCGGAGGAGAGCTAAACAGATTTCTTGAATTAAAAATTCTATAATTACAGCAAAGCCCTTGTTTATTATCTCTATCCAACCATCAGGTTAAACATCCCATTACCCTCTTGCGCCTCGCAGTCCCATGTCGCACCTTCAAACTCCTTCCGTGAGGACACTCTCACAGGGAAACCACTCTTAAACGGCCTCATGGTAGAAGTAATTGCCAAAGGGTTACCCGGCGGAGAGTTCCATTTCCCATCCACGGGGACCAGATCGTACCGCAGGATCATCATAGCGACCATTCCCAGAATTTCCGAGCTGGCAAAATGCCGGCCCGGGCACAGAACAGGCGATACGCCAAAGGTCATGAGTCCACCCGTGCGACGGGGGTTTTTGCTCGTCTTGAGGAATCTCTTTGGGTTGAAATCTCCTGCTGTGCTTCCCCATGCGTCCGGGTTCCGGCCTATAGATGGCCCCGGCATGCTAATCACGCTTCCGCTTCGGAGGAAGTATTCATTAGCAAGCACAAGATCGTCCATGACGAAGCGGATCGGCGAACTTGTGCTTTTTATGCGCAGAACCTCTTGAAAAGCGGAGACTAGGAGTGGACAGTGGTCACGCAGCGCCGAGATATCAATAACATGCACGTTGTCATCGGTTACGCGCAGCGCATTCTGGGCGACTTCCTGGCGAGTCTCCTCCAGCAGTTCGGGTCGGGAATAGAGCTCGGAAAGGAGCCAGAAAGTGGCAGGAACCGTGTTGGTAAGTAGAGCGATACCCATTATCACTTCGGAGCGCGCGATATCCTCGATCGTCATCCCCCCTTCTCGCAAGGTCTTATACCGGATTCGCGTCATCTCAGATCCGTCCTTATAGCCTCCCAGCCGATAGTACTTCACAAACGCCTTGACCATAGTCTCACGCCCTTTCCACGCCTTACGTGCAGTCAACTGGGGCACAATATTCGCCATCAATGGGCTAAGGTTCGATTCGAAGGCCCTAGAGTACTTAGAGCCGATTCTACCTATCAGCAATGGAAACCTACCAGAACGCATCCTCGATCTCTCGTCTCTTATATGGGTTTAAAGGCCCGTAGGAGGCCTCTGTGCTAGCCATTGTGATGGCATGGGAGCACCAAGAGTACATGTCGACTGTCTTATATGTAGCAAGCTCATCAACCAGCGGCCTCAGCAGCCGTGTCATACGCTCATTCATGCGATCTAGCGGTCGACCGGACAGCGTCGAATTGGTTGCATGAGTCACCACGTGGGTTAGTCCCTGGCCTCCTGACTGCTTCCCACGTAGTAATTCGACCCCTCGCCCGCGAATCCCCACGATGCGCTCTGCGGACATCGCAATAGACAGGTCGAAAGTAAGAGCCTTATTGCGCTGGACCGCCTGGAGCAGGGCGGGCGACGTCACCACATAAAATCTGCCAACCACCGTACTCAACGAGAATATCGGATAGTTATATTTTTCACTGAAAGGGTTAAACTCTGGAATGATATCAAGCACGAAAAAAAGAACTCACGCCATGAGGCTGAAGTATTCCGTGCCATACCACAGCAGTCCCAGCAGATGGCCGATAATCGGGATACTGCTGCCCACTGAAGGAGGCTCGCGGGGATCGCGCTTCTGTCTTCGACTCAGGACAATTCCCAGAACTATCAGCGCACCCAGCGCAGACAGTCGATACATATCTGACATGATAAGTTGCGCGGTTTTCGCTTCCGGTAGTGAGGTTGACAGGAGAGGTTGGCAGGGATTCGGCATGGAAGACCTGGGGGAAAGACGCGTTTAAGTATTATGGTTTGTGCATACCGCGGCAACCCCTTGCTCACTCACAAGAACTATTGGGGGTGTCAGTCAGGTCAAGCTATCCCAAAATGCCATTTAAATCTTTGGGTGTAGTGGCTAAGAATAATATTAATGTTACCTAGAGACTAGTAAGCATGCTAATCAAGATATACATATATAACTTGCTTAACTTTTCACCTTATTTTTGGTTTTTCTCTTCAACGTCGCTATATATAATTTTTTTTCTTTATCTCCTGTATATAATGCTGGGGATATCTGTCAGGTTAAGATCTATACCAAACCCTGGTCAGTGTTTGGCCTAGCGGCTAGGATATAATAACCAAGATACGTGATCTAGTATTGGATTGTCTTCTATACCATGATTGTGATATTTTTTTTTCTATCCCTTCACACATTCCTTCTAGCTTCCCCATCACAGGGCTCACTTCAAGTCATTGTGATCTTCTTAATATGGTGACGCGCAACTACAAGAACCAAAAGGGCAGGCTCCAAGCCTGAGATGCTCGTAGATTTTTGTATTAAACGGTCGACTGCCTACATATTCTACTCAATCAGTATGGATTCAATAGGGTCACACATAAACAGTATTGATTTCTTATCGAAAATACTTGTAAACATGAATACTAGAAGAATCCTACTACTAACAAGTACCGAGATGAGGCGCCCGGCGGGATAGAGAAAAGGTTACATCGTAACCTCCCGACCGCTCCGGCTGAACCTTCTCTCTTCTAACCTCATCCTAATCGACTGTCTCATACCTATATACCTCCAGCTATCTAGCTACGCTAGCATCTGAAATGTCTTGGCTTCTTCTTCTTCTTGCGATGATCACCACGGCCGTCTCCATTCAAACAACAACTCTCCAAAGACAGACCTCCTTCTCTATCCGCAACAGCAAGCACCTCGTTTCTGCTGCTAGTTTCTGTCCGGAAGAGTAAGTTTCCCTTCCTGTTGCTCTGTACTCTCTTATAATCAGACAGATATAAAAAGGAATAAATCGCTAATGATCAGTCTGAGCGCCCCACTCTGGAAATGCTCCAATTCCTACTGCGGTGGCCAGCATCCTTTCTGGCCCGGACGGTGTCGGCTGGAGGTGCCTCCAGGGGACGAGGAGGGAGGCGCGGATGAAGTGAGGCATTGTGCCTGTTTGGGGAGATTCTAATTTAGGTCTGTTTTTATTCTTGTTGTTTTTTTTTGCTGGGGGTGTTTATATGCTGGGTTTGTTAGGGTTGAGTATGCTATATTAGGTATACCGTACTGTACTATATTATAGTTAATAATAATGGAAGAAAAATGAGTTGAACCTCTATACCATGTTGATATCGTCTATTCATGAGATCTCTGTGGAGTTTTAGTGTGAGTATATTAGGTTGGATGCCATGGAAGATCTCATATAACGAAGGAGTCATTTGGAACCAAGTATCATTTCTTCTATCGTCATGCCCTGTAGTATATTCTGGATATAATCACAAGATAATCAGTCCAGTCCACAGTCAATTTCAATCAATTGTCCTGATCATCCCCCTTTACCTCCTCCACAACTCTGTCCTCCGAAACCACATATTCTTCATCGTCCACCTCTTCTCCATACTCCTCTACAATAGGCACAGACGCATTGGAGAACGTCGCCTGAAGCACCACATCCCCCACAGCCGCCCCACCAGGAACATAAATAACATCTCCCGAGGTCACCCGATAATAACCCCCAACATATTCGTCCACACTCACCTCGTCGCCGTCGACTGTGGCCGGTCCGCTTTTAGTGTGCTCGTTACCGTCGTTACGACAATTAGGACGCGCCTTGCAGTACTCCAGTCGCTTCTCGTTCTTGAACCCGATGGTGTACTGGCAAGGGCTTTTCTTGTCGCGCCCTTTGTTGCGGAATTCGCCGTAGGAGTTGTAGTAGTCGCGGAGGTATTGGCCTTGGCCTGTTTGTCTTAATATTATCATTTATAGTAAGACAGTAAGAGGAAAGCTCACGTCGATTATACCGCGCCAATACACACCGATTCAACTGTCCTCCCCGGTCCGCCTCGCGCACTGACTTGAACGGAAACTCGTCACACTGATAGCCCGATCCGTAGGGCGATTTGCTGCACCGGTTGCTGGACCCACACCCAGCTTTCGAGCTCCGTTCGCGCTGTTTGCTGGTATTGGGCTTATCCCAGGTTAGGTTTTTGGCTTTGCGCTTGCAGTTGACGGCTGGTTTGTTAGATCGAATCCTGCTGGTTGGTGTATGGGATGGGCATACCGTAGCACATATTCTTGCAGACCTCTGATATGGTTGGTTTACGTTTTTGGTTCTGATTACAGGGGAAGAAGACGTACCGCCGACTTGGCTATACGAACAGTCGAAGGTGAGAACCACTCGCGCTGCTGTGGAGGTAGAGTCTGTCACCTCCGGCATGGTAGATCCCATGGACAACAGGGTGAAGTAGCTAAGACAGATGAGGAGATGCATTTCTGTATGTCTTGGGGCGCAATTGCTTGTAGATGTCATATCGATTCAGCTTTGGCTGTCCCCACGCATCTTATATCTATCCTCCCAGCCATACGACTCGAAAGCTTCGTTCTGGACTATGCTTGAGCCCTCATCCCTGCTCAGCCCGCTGGGCCCTTGGAGCTGCTGCATCGCGGACAGCACCGTGGCGTGTCGGTAGCATTAGAACCCGATCGACCGATACGAGATAAATGGCTTCAGCTGACCTTGTGCCTGACCTGATAACGGTGACAGGGACCAGGAACGTCGGAGCATATACGACTGGTGCTTTTCTGGTGTGCTATGGCAGCCATTGTATCAATCATGGAATAAGTATCTGGTAGAGATTGATGTGAGTGATTCCAAGATTGTATGTTGCTGGCTTCGGGGTTCCGTAATGATATCGACGTATATTAGCATTGAGCATGGTTTACAATGTTGGCTTATTGAGCATATATAAAAATAAATAGATAAGAACCGCTGAGCCAAGGGTTAGTGTCTTAAGATGTAAGATGGGTGAATGAAGCTTGTTCCACCATGACGTCTTGGCTGTCAGACATCCATCTCTTCCACCACTTCTCCTATTTCCCTACTACTTCTACATCTACTAAACAACAAGATATATCAACACCATTCAAATCGGTACCCTCAACAAACCAACCAGCAGAATACCAAACATGGAAACTCCCGATCTTTCCCTCCCCCCAACCTGTCCTCCCCTGGGCGCCTTCGAGAACTACAACATGGACGACGCCGCCTTTGCCCTCTACACCCTCGTCGACCTCCCCCCCTCCTCGCTATCAGAACTCACCACCCTCGTCAACAGCGAGTGGATCACCAGTCCCGACGTCCCACCACTCGTCCTCCTGCCGGACCGGTACAACTTCACGGGGCAACCCCTCCGTGCCGTCCTCGACGCCCACGTCGCCCTCGACAAGGACATCACCCCGCGTGACGATAACCCCGACGTCGAAGGCAACCTGCACTGGTTTCCCTCGGCGTTTATAGTCGTCACTGATGTGGATTGGGCGACTAGGGGTCTGCTGTTTGTGTATCTTGATGATCGGGATGATGAGGGTGAGGGGTTGGATGCTGAGTCGCGTTCGTTGGAGAAGTTCTTTTTTCGTGCGCAGGATGCGTATCCTTTTTTGGGGAGTGTGAGTTATGGGGATTCAACCCTTTGTCAGGCGAAAGAGGAGCATGCCATTGAGTAGATCTTGGTCTTCTTCTCTTCTTACTTGTCATTGGAGGTTTACTTTATTCCGTCCTTTCGCTTCGTTTTGTACTCCTTGTCTTGTTTGGTTTGATCGCAGGGGACTACCATGGAGAGAGATGTGATGATGTGTATGTACATGAAGTGCATGTTATGACTGCTCATCCTATGTTGTATTGCATTGTTTGATAATCCGTTCACCTGCTACCCCGTGCTTGTTTGCAGAGGAAGCCTATGATCAGCCTCAGTTTCATCGCGGCGTTACCACTCTATCAACCGATCCTTTGGCGTCCTTCATCTAGGGTATGAAGCACCCCAAGAGTTGTAGTGGGTTGTCTGAATTATTCATCACCTGGGTACGTTTGTACGACTAATACCTAGTCCCAGTGTCTAGCAAATCAAGTCCGCCGTGTCTCAGACCAAAGCAATGCACATGTGTATTGAAGGGCGTGAATCGAAGACACAACTTAAGAATCCACCCGTGAATGAGGATAATCCAAAGACTCCAACATCATCAAATCCCCCGCCGAAATCGGCAAGATCCCGAAATTATCATCCGGCCAGGAATCCAACGACTGCAACGCCGCCGGTCCCCCCGGCAGATCGCCCGACACGATCGGATCGTCCGCAACCATACCACCCGCTTCGTGATGAGCACTCCGGTTCTGCAGTACAGCCTGGTACCAGCTGCGAATGCCCTTCCACTGCTGGAGGAGGTTCTGGAAGTAGTGCCCCTGATCCGGAGGCGTGTTGGTCATGGCAAGGAGCTCCTGTGTGCGCGTCGACACCACGTCCAGTGAGCCGTGCAGCCGGGCAATCCGCTCCGTGGAGGCCTGATCGGTGGTCGCGGCGTCGATAGCCACGGAGATCTTGCTCGCCAGCATGGTAGTGTAGGTCAGCTGCCGCCAGTCGAAGGCTGTCCAGGTCTGCATGTCCTCGCGCGAGATGCGGGTCGCTCGGTCCATGAATGCCTCGACGTGTGCCAGGCAGTCGAACATGATGGATACCCGGGTGGTGGAGATGGGAGCGTGGCGGACGTGGCCGTGGAGACCTATCTCGTGGGCATATGCGCCGGCAAGATCGCCCCATGTGTGGAGTTGTACTGCGTTTGTAGTTAGTTTGGTATGGGAGGATGATATTAAAGACACTTACTGTGATGAGACAGTTGCTGTGGAAGGCTGGCCCTCCATGTGCCCAGCTGGTCTTTCAGCGCTCGCACCGCCATCTGGACTTGGCCGTCGCCCATGGGTGTGTCGCGGTCCGCGTCTCCGATTACGAAGACATGGTACACGTCGTTGATGATTCGCACAACCTGGATAAAATATAAGAGCGACTTGTCGGAATCTACCTCGCTATCTTCCTGGAGGGAACGTGCGCATTGTTCCATGTACGACGAGTACGGGAGAGGTGATGGTTTGCGGCACATAATCGAGCATCTTCCTGGGTCAGTGGGTAAATGGACGAGCCGAGCCAGGTTGCGTACAAGGAAGATTGTATGTAGACGCCGATGAGCGTCCGTCGTGCCTCATAACTCCAATATTCCGGGTTCTCGCTAGTCCCGTGCTCGAGACCCAGCTGGCAGTTTACCGTCGACTCGTGCGTGGCTCGTGGTGGCTTCTGGTTAATCCCGAGGTCCACGATCATGGTGACGCATAGAGACGCCAACCGGTAGGCATGGTATTGCCCGGATTCAGCCACGTTGAAGTGATACCTGGACAATTATTAGAACCCCGATGGGTGACCGCAAACGGGCTCCATACCAGGCCAAATAGACTAATAAGCCCTGGAGAAGATCCAAGCTGCGCTCTCCTTTCACAAAAAACCTCGCGCTCAGATCGCCGAGAAAGAATGACTCGAGAGACCCCTGCCGCGGTTTATCTTGCCACGAAGCCACGACTAATATGGCCTGAAACAGCACCGGCCTCTCATACTGCAACCCCCGTACGCCCATCCCTCGAGGAACCAGCACGCAGGGAAAGTGCTTCTCTGTCATCTGTCTATACTGCCGACAGAGCATTTCCGCATGTGGCATACTCAGCAGACCACTGGTCAACGGATCATGGAGGGCGTTACTCGATCTCGCGAAGGACCCGACCTCCCGCGGGGAAGCATGGGGCGACGGACCGGGCAGTCTGTCCACCAAGCTACCCACCATGTCCTCGAGCGTCGCCATCCGAGTATGCAGACGACTCGGTCGCTTTCGAGGACGCTTGTCCGGGACTGTACACTCGATCCCATGCTCATAACACCGGTGACAAGTGGCTGGTGCTTCTCGGCTGGCGCAACATCGCAGTTTTTTTGCTTTGCATTCGGCGCAGGCACGCGTTTTTGACACTCGGTCTCGTTCCATTCCGTCCACCTATCGCTGATTGCTTGCTGACATATCCAGAATGTCTCCTCCCGATATCGTTCGGTAGGATCGACTGGATTGATGAATGTCGGGAAAAACAGCCTTTGAACCTCCGAGCCCCCGAGATGGAGTCCCGAGGATCACGTGGTGACCCGCATTTCCCGGGCTCGGAGACTCTTTTGTCTCCGAAGCCCTAAGTCTCGGCGAGTATCAGACTCGTCGGTATGAAATCCGGAGATGGGATTGGGATCTGTATATATTGCCGACAGTGGGTCTGGTTAAGAAGGGCGAATCTCCCCAGAATGATATCCCTATTTCTTCGCTCCTACCCTGTTCTGACCAGAAACACCTGTCTCAGTATACTGCAAAATGGGTGTACTGCCAACTACTACATCCCAGGACCCGGTTGAGTCCTCCATACTAGTCGGACTGACCAGAAAACCATGGCGACTAAACGTCACCAGCTCCCAGGACATTTTAGATTACCCCTATCAAGGAAGCGGCACTGCGGAAGACCCGTACATCGTGGGATGGCTGCCGGACGACGTCGAAAACCCCAAGAACTACAGTGAGACGCTCCGATGGAGCGTCACCGCGTTAATCGCGACCATGACCCTAGCGGTGGCCCTCGCCTCCTCAGCCTACTCGGGAACCGTCGGGCCATTAATCGCAGAATTCCAGTGCAGCCAGGAAGTTATCATCCTCGGGCTATCCCTCATGGTCCTCGGATACGCCATCGGGCCGTTACTCTGGGCTCCGATCTCCGAGTCGTTAGGACGCCGTAACATATTCTTGCTCTCGTACGCAGGCTATACAGCCTTCACGGCCGGCTGCTGCGGTTCGCAGAACGTCTGGACTCTGATTATCCTCCGATTCCTCACAGGCGTCTGCGGATCCAGTTCCCTGTGCATCCCCGGCGGCCAGATCGCCGACATGTTTGCTCCCGAGCTGCGGGGTCTGGGAGTCGGTGTCTTCTGTCTGGCTCCGTTCATTGGCCCCGCTCTGGGCCCCATTATCGGGGGGTTTTTGGGAGATGCGGGCGGCTGGCGTTGGGTGATGGGGCTGCTTGCCATAATGGGAGCGCTTTTGACCCTGACAGCCTATCTCTTCATGCCGGAGACGTACGCCCCAGCTCTGCTGAGAGCCCGCGCCGACAGACTGTCAACAGCCACGTCCAAGGTCTACAAGACCGCCGAAGACGCCGAAAACCCGCTCGTCTTCAAGGAGGTCGTCAAACATGCGCTGTTCCGCCCATGGGTTCTTCTCTTCCGCGAGCCCATCGTTCTCAGCTTGACGGTGCGCAACCCCAATACTCTAGTAACGATAACATAAATTAACAAGCCTAGCTCTACATGTCCGCCATCTACGGAACCCTCTACCTCTGCTTCGCCGCCTTCCCCATCGTTTTCCAAGAAAACCGCGGCTGGAGCGCCGGAATCGGCGGCCTCGGTTTCACGGGGGTCTTAGTCGGTCTATTCGTCGGCATCTTGATCATCTGCTGGGACAACACCCGCTACGTCCGCATCTATCGCGCCAACGGTGGCATCGCCCCGCCCGAGTGCCGTCTTCCTGCGGTGATTGCCGGCGGAGTCTCCATCGTGGTCGGACTGGCGTGGTTTGCCGCTACTGATGCGCCAACCGTTCACTGGGTAGTGCCCATTATTGCGGGGGCTCCGTTCGGGGCGGGATTCGTGCTGGTCTTTATTTGCTGTGCGAACTATTTGTCCGTTCTTTCTTTCTTTCTTAAACTTGAGCGGTATCTATCGTCTAACAGTTTGTTTAGAATCGACGCCTACACAATCTTCGCGGCATCTGTTCTAGCCTCCAACTCAGTAATGCGGTCTGTCTTTGCTTGTGTCTTCCCCTTATTCACAACCTACATGTTCAACGTACGTACCTCCCCAAAACCAATCCACTAGCTCCACTCATTCGAGCCATATCCCTCTAATATGCTGATGTGTACGTATAGGACATCGGAATTCACTGGGGCGTAGCAGTTCCCGGATTCATCGCCCTCGCGTGTCTGCCTTTCCCGGTCCTGTTTTACTTGTATGGGGCACGGATCCGTGCTCGTTGTAAGTATGCGGCGCTGGCTTTGGAACATACGCAGAGGGGAACGAAGACGATGGCAGTGGGAAAGGGGGAGGATGGGGATGTGTAGGTTTTGGTCTCTTCATTACATACCAGTGAAACTGGAGATTGAGCAGCTGGTGCTTTTCATTGGCAGTGTGTTGACATGGCAGTTGGATGATACATACAGATAGACTAGACTTATGTGTTATGTTGAATAGAGGTCATAATGAAATCTCCTTTCTAGTGCTGCAAATGCGAGTAAAATACGCAAATGGAAACCCACCCTTTCCAATTGTATACAAATAATATATAAATTTTATCAATAATTTCCATGTAGTACCTTAGCTACTATACTGCACTATGATAAGTATAAAAAATAGTAATATATACTATACTATATCGTAATGTAGTATATACAATCAAAGCTAGCCCTCTCCCTACCACTCTAATCAAGCAGCAGCAGCAGTACTGCACAAACAAGGGGTATTCAACAATAACTCGATCACCATATAAACCAATAGAAAAATAAAAAAGAAATCAAATGTATATACCGGCTTTCACATCAGTTTATACAATTGGCCAGCCATCCTCCCACTTCAGCTTGTTCCACCCAAACTGGTACTGGCTGGGATTGAGACCCTTGTTAGTGTCCGCGTACTGGTAGTAGAGGATTAGGCCGTGCTTTTTGTCGTTCGTAACTCCCCTATTTGAGTCAGTTTGGTCAGACATATATATAAAGAATAGGTAGGTGGAAAGGATGAGGGAGACATACTGGCCGCCTGGTCCGTAGACGTGTCCGTGGCTGGCAAGAAGGGTGGTTCCGCCGCCTTTGAGGCAGGATTGACCGTTGCGGTCGACCTTGGTTGGTTAGCACGGTTTAGGAAGGGAAGAGGGAAAGAGGGAAAGAGGGAAAGAGGGAAAGAGGGAAAGAGGGAAAGAGGGAAAGAGGGAGAGAAAGAAGAAAGACAGGAGAAGAGAAGAAGAAAGAAGAGAAGGAGATATAAAAACATACAAAGTTTCCCTTCCCCCCAGGTGAACGACACACCCGAATACTATATTCCTCACCCGGAGGCGGCTTCTTATCATCATAACCGAGACCGACTCCCGACGAAAAGGTCATATAGTAGAAGCCGTCATGCTGGAACTCAAAGGCAGCTTCCTCACGGTGGGAGCCGGTGGCGTTGTAGGCAAGGTTGTAAGGGGTGGCGTCGGTGATCTTCAGGGGTCCCTTCATGGGCACCTGGTACAGGTCATGCCAGTGGGAGCCGAAGTTGAGAAAGGGAGTGTCGCCGATGCGGATCCAGTTGGCGTCGATAGCATTGTAGGGCTTGTCAGCATTGGAGGAGAGCCCTGTGGAACCGTGGTCCTTCCACGATCCGACTTGCATGTTGGGGGAGCTGGCCACGCCGATGACAGAGTTCTTGGAACCCAGCTTCGAGATGGAGTAGTACATGTAGTAGGTATCCCCTTCTAAGTGGACGTCGGGGGCCTGTGATTGTCAGAGGGAGTACAGTGGGATATGTGGAGGGCGATGTGTTGTATTGTCTTACCCAGAGGTTCTTTGAGCCCGGGTGGTCGATCGATGACCCACCCGCGAGGGCCTCGCCTTTGACCGTCCAGGGTCCCTCGATCGAGTCCGCCACAGAGATGTGAATGCCCTTTCCGGTTGCAAAGCGGAACCAACGCCCGTCAGATTTGCGCTGCAATAGTCCGACGTCGTGGGTCCAACAGTCGCCGGAGCAGGGGCCTGGGTCGGAGAAGGCATTGGCCAGTGAGAGGAAAAGAAGACTGAAGATGAGTATGACGGAGGCCATGGTGGTGATTGGGGGAGGACGAGGTAGATGATGATAAGGAAGGAGTGAGATGGAATCAGCTCTCGAGTCCATTCGATACGAGCAGCTCCCCGGTTTATATAATGTCCAATGCCATGTGTGCCGTCCCTGTCAGCCATGGCCAGGTACGCCTGGACAGATGCATATTGTCCCAACACAGGTCACACGATAGAAGGTCCGCATGTAGTGGGGTGGGATTGCAACTGACGCTGAATATGTTGTCGCATGGGCCAATGACGGAGACAGTGGATATTAGGAGACAACAAGGTTGTTTGGATGTTAGGGGGTCATTCACCATCCGCAAGGGAGACTGATACTTTGGGAGGTAGTGGGCATTTCAGAGCCTCGTCTTGGTGGGTACAACATTGTTCTACATTATTTAGAATTTAATTCGATAATTCAACATGACGTGTCATGCTCCATGGCGTGCTTCATCCGCAGCAAGGTACTATGCGACGGAGTATATGGACATTAACGACACTGTAGCCGCTAGGCCGACTGATTCATGGTCCATGACCCGCGCCATGGAGGGTGTTGAGCCCACCCACCCGACACGGTGACTCGATCAGGAGCGAGAGATGGCTGAGTGAGAGAGGGGGGAAGTAGAAAGAAATGATGAGATATGCCAAGCAGAGTGTGCAGCCAGATCACACTAGTCGGACAAGCAAGGGTGTTGTTCTTTTGGGGTCTGGGGGCTCGGGATTTTATTATCAGAAACCTTATACATAACATTGCATTATGGGACTGGGAGAATCATCCAGTCGCCGCATGGCGTTTCAGTGGATAGTTGACAAGTCGAGATGATTCCCCACAGGGAAAGAAAAATAGTACGGGCGATCATCTCCACCAACGATGATGTTATGGAAGAGTTAGGGCTTCGGAGCGGTCTGGCTTACTTTCATCCATCCCATCTTATCCATCACATTCACAACGGATCGGATTCTCTCTCCTTTCAATCACCTTCCTGGTAGATCTCAGTCAAAATCAATGGTTTGGTTGACAAAGTTCATTGATGGCCATGCGACCGCCACTTGCGACCCCCTTGATCGGGCTCCATCTCTCTAAGGCGTCCAAAAAACTTCCTGCCATGCATTATTAGTCCCGCCATAGCTGCCTTCTTCCCTTGGTGGGGTCCAATTCAACCAACCCGAGACGCATCGCATCACCAGAGAAATCAAGTGCAATGGGTGGGCACGAAAATGAGACGAAAGGGGGAAAGTCAAAGCATCCAAATCCCGCACATAAGCCACCCACACTTTTACTAAAGTCTGACTTCCCAAGCCCCGGTACTCCTAGTAGAGTACACCGATATAACTCTCTGACAAGGTGTGTCCGGCCGAATATACAAACACATGATAGACATCGGCGACTGTCCCGAGTTGGGCCCCAAGGCGTTCGTGGCTCCAATCAGAATGCGCGACAAGCCCTAGACTGACTAGCAGTCGGACTAGCGGTTGTAGGAGACTATGGTCACGATCGAAATCATTGACCACCTGGCAAGGCTGAGCATGACTTAAATCGTCAGACTTAGCCAGTCAGAGAACACCTACCTCCCATTTTTTATTTTTGGTTTTTTTAGTGGATTTCTTTCACCCTTCCCAAGCCATGTTTGGAATCATCCACCCCAGACAATTATACCCTGGGATCGACGATGTTGGACACGAGATGTAACCGATCCTTGACGTTTTGAGATCGCCGCAGAGTATCATTCATGGCGTTTTGCGCATCCTTGATTGGGTTAAAATTAAGCACTGTGGCCCCTCCCCCCATATGGCGGGATGGCGGGCCATGGCTGATAACATGGGCTGATATCACGCTGCAAGTAATTTACTCCGGAGTGTGTCAGGTGGCTGATTGTTCTATTATCATATGGAAAGTTATTGTCATCACGGATGAGGCTGGGCCGCCGTTTGCTGACTGCATTCCCAAGTCTTCCGAACTCATCATTTTTCCCTCTTGCAGAATTAGTGCGACATGATACTGGTCGGAGATATGCCTGGATGGCCTTGCCATGCCTCTCGCTTGGAATGCATCTTGCATCTTTTTTTTAATCCCCGAAGTTCTAGCCACGAGCTGTGACCCACAGCCCAGTCACATTGATACGATCATTCGGTATGGTCGCTTACGATCGTGGATGTTAGGCCTCAAATATGCCAAGATTCTTTCTCCCGTGAGGTATTAATACCACGTATTATGATGCCATTTTGGTTTCTCTAGCCGAAGCATTACGAGATGTCGAGAGATTGAAAGTTATCGTATGTAGGACACTACCCCGCGTTAACCCCACGAACAACGTGGCTGTGAGAGGCAGACGGTGTAGATACGCTGTTCCTTCAGTAAGACAGCCAGCGAAAAGTGCGACCTGAAAATCAAACAGAACCGGTGACACAGAGGTCTGACCACAGGGCCCGAAGGCGTGCTTTACCGCGGTCCGGTCTGAGCCTTTTCGTCGAGCTTCATCTGTGGTGGCACCGCCATTGCCAGCTGATTCAGGACCCCACGGTACTGCCATGGGAATCTGGCCAAGCTTGTCTCGCACGTAGGATGATTTCTACCAAGCAAAAGGAAAAGAAACCAGTATATATCCACGTGACCTATACTGCCCTGACTCTGCCCGCTGGTTCACCCCCAGGTGGCCCTAGAGATGGTCGCAAGCTCTTAACAAGGTCCATTGGCGAAATGGTATCGCGTCGGTCTCCTAAACTGAAGATTGTGGGTTCGATCCCCATGTGGATCGCTTCTTTTTGCCGGATCAACTGATAACATGATTTTTAGCCCGAACCATGCTGCGCTGATCGGGTATGAGATCATAAAACGCGACGCATAGGATTCATTGGTGTCCCTCCGAGACGGGACTCAGCATTCCACCCGATTGCCAGGTACCAGGAATCCCCTGGGCCCTCCAGAAAAAAAGAATCATAGGCATTGATTGGTTTGACCATTCTACCAGATGCCGGACAAAGGATCTATTGTTCGGCAGAGCATTCCGCACTCCCTAAGCGATCTCAGGGCAAAGGACCGCAATGTAGATCATGCAGGTACCAGTGGGAGACGCGTAATGCGACAAACTTTGGGGGTTCCTCACCTCCATCGACGAGTTACGTACAGAAGATTGACTGGGCGAGAGCCAATAGGTAGTGTCTTATCAGGGGTTTGTGAAGATCTGCTGAAAGAACCGGTGTTTGAATCGTAGTATGTTGCTGGTTGCCTAGTATGCTCCTGGCTGCTGCCGGAGATGCTCAAGAGACGATCAACACCGAGGACAATAATGACATCAGTCGTTTGTCGGGTCGTTTCACCAGTGTCCATCAACGGACTATGAAAACTATTCTCTCTAGTCTCTTGTCAACTGTCGCCCCGGCAGAAAATTCTTGATTTCGCAGTCTCACTCACGGATAGTAAAAATAGTACTTCCCCCTCGGGACTCGGGATCCTCATAGTCATACCCACTGGGTTGCAAGATGCAAATCCCCTATCAAGGGATGATGGCTGGATCCACCACTGGACGCCCCATTAAGTTCAATTGTTAGTGTCGATCCTGGCGCTGGTGAAAAATGAACATGATGTGTCAGGTTTCAACCACGCGTCAAAATCTGCTGTTTGCTTAGTCGTGATTCTATAATTATATGAATCGAGCGTAGCAATTGTTTTGCCAAGCAGATCCTAGCTTGACGATGTCTTAGAAGGATGAGCCGATCGGTGATGTCCGTCAGAGTCGAGGAGCAAGTTGAATAATGGAGTAGGAATCGAAAGGGGAATCGAGATCATGTGCTCATCCGTGCCTGAGGCTGCATTGGCTAGCTTTGACCGTCAATTTCATTTTTTCCATCTCGCCAGTTTGCTCGAATCCTTCGACCCGCAACTTGATGCGCCCTGTTGACCGTGTTATGACCTCTTTGGTCCAGAATCCTTTCACAACTCACTCTGGTCACTCACCTTTGCCCCAAGGCTGACACCGCCCCACTGGACCCCGCCCAGCAAACAGCCTCGCCAGGTCTTTCTACTGCGCTGTCCGAGCCATTTGTCTTCGCATTTTGGGTATCATGCATGTCCTGACAGACACTCAAAATCATCATGGACGTCGACACCAGCGATTATGTACTGGTCAGCAGCCGAGGTAAGTTCGAGTGCACCGCCAAGCCGAACATCGGTCGCTAATATGCTTAGATACCGGCTCCGAAGCACTATCTGGAGGAAAACCCGAGACGATATGTAAGATTATAGACTGGCTAGAGCCGACGGATTCGGATTCCCCAGCCAGTGAGTATCGAAAACACCTGAACTCCCATGTGCCTGGTACAGGCCAGTGGATTCTGGACACCGACCAATATCGCCAATGGTTCGAAGGCGGTGACCAGGGCGCCCTTTGGATCAGAGGCATCCCAGGGAGTGGGAAGTCTGTAGTGGCTGCTAGTCTGGTCAGGAAGCTGCAACTTCAGGCCGAGTTTCCGGTCTTGTTTTTCTTCTTCCGCGAAATTATCATGTCGAACCGCACGCCCCAGGCGTTGTTACGAGATTTCGCCCGGGGCTTGCTGCCGCGCTGTCCGTCGCTCCAGTCTGGTCTCAAGCTACTGATGGAAGAGCATCCGAAAGTAGAGGCAGTGCCTTTCGATGGGCTCTGGCGGTGCGTTTCGTTGGGGTTGGCGGCAATGCCGAAAGTATACTGTGTGGTTGACGCCTTAGATGAGATGGAAACGGGTCATGTCAACTTCATACGCTCGCTGATTGACCTCGCAAATCAACACCCCAGTTCTATTAAGCTCGTGTTGACCAGTCGTCAGATTCTGTTTCACGAGAATCATTTCCAGGGAACCTCTGGGCTCGTCGACTTGCGGCTCGACCGTCAACACGTAGACAATGACATCGCAACCTACATCACCTATCGCTTGAATACCTCCCAGCCCCCAGTCAGCCCGGACCAAGCAGCTGCTATCAAGGTGGCTTTTTGCTCCAAAGGGAAAGGATTGTTCCTATACGCCCGCCTAATGATGGAGCAGCTATTAGCGCAACCCCAAGACATCATGTCGCGACTTGCCGACTTGCCAGATGGGCTGAGAAATATGTACACAGAAATACTGCGTGAGCATGCGATACGCTCTGGAACGAGCTCCCAGTTTCAACTATTGGTTCTGCAGTGGATCACGCATTCAGTCCGTCCACTGCGCTTGCTTGAACTAGCAACCGCCATCCAATCTTTGCCGGATCGAGGTGGCCTCAGATCTGACCAGGATGCAAAAGGCGCTGTGCAAAGCTCATGTGGACCGCTCTTGGAGCTTTGCGAGGATGGCGTGCTTCAAATTATCCATCATTCCTTGACGGAGTTCCTCCGGGATCCTGAGCTAAGCCATGCGCGAAGCTTAGGACCACAGGCCGGCATGCAGTCCGTAGACTCTAACATAATACATGGTCACATTGCCAGTACTTGTATTGATTATGTACTAACGGTGTGTGTCAACGAGTCTAACGCTATATATGAGGAGGATGGCAGCCAGTCCGACGAATCTTTCTCCAGAAACCTCAAGGAGTCATTTCGCCGATACCCGTTCCTACGGTATGCCGCCAAATTTTGGCCGTCACATGCTTCCAGAGCAACTGACGCCAACCAAACGCTCTTCGCAAAGATGGATGAAATACTCTCTCCAGAAAAAAGCGGATTTGAATTTTGGAAAGAGGTCTACCTAGACTGGGATCACCGAGATGTCAATTACAGCGCTCGCCCATTGCATTTAGCTGCCTTCTGCGGTCTCGATTATTATGTCAAGAATGTTATTCTCCGTGAAACGGACGTAAATATGGCAGACCGGTCTGGACGCACCCCACTGGTCTACGCAGCCATGCAGAACCACGTCGATGTCGTGCGCACCCTACTGCGGCATGGCGCCGCGCATGACATACCAGGTAACTCAGGGTTGACTCCTTTACACTATGCCGCGCAAAGAAACCATGTCGAATCATTACGGGCCCTACTCGAAGGTGGCGCTGATCCCTTGGCATCCAAGTCGAAGGAGAACGATCGTTTCAACCCTCAATGGAACGATTCCACCATTGGTGAGACAGCCCTGGTCTACGCCTGTCGCTACGGCCACGTGGAAACACTTCTAGAGCTACAAAAATATGTTGAATCGCATATTGTCCGAAATGGCCCCATCCACTGGGCTGCAAAAGCGGGTAAAGCAAGTATCTTACACGTCTTGTTACAAAACCCGCCGGTTCAACTTGGCATCAATGACAGAGACGCCAATGGAAACACGCCTCTATATCTGGCGGCATGTGAACATGAGAGTGCTGCTGTTCGGACACTGTTGGACCACGGGGCTGATGTTCGCACATTGTCTTGGGACACAAGATCACATCGCAATTCAGAGCGGATGGTGTCAAGCCGCATTCGTACTACAGAACCTCAACGATGCTACACACCTCTTCATGGATGGGCCCACTTGTCTGGTTTTTATTCCCGTCGAAATGTGCATACCAATCTACAAGAAATGATAGAAGTAGTGCGGCTTCTCGTGGCTGCAGGTTGCGATGTAAACGCGCGAGATCATTTGGGCCAAACAGCGCTGTTCGTCTTGAAGAAAATCGCGAGCTATCGTGCCAAGGAGGAGGATCGCGCTGTGGCCACCATCTCTGTACTTGCCACCCATGGTGCCGACGCCTCTGTTGTGGATTATGAGGGAAACTCGGTCCTTCACCTTCTTGAGAGTCACATCGTCACGGAAAGTGTACTGCGCTTGCTGATCGAAGCAGGGAGTGATATCAACGCTAAACGAATAGCGGATGGGAAAACGGCATTGATGATTCAGGCTGTCGCCAGCCTTTTGGCTGTAGATCTCAAGCCGTTTCACACATTTGGTGCTGATTTCGACATTCAAGATGCGGACGGAAATACAGCAGCACATCTCGCTGCAAATGGGGCTATGCGGAGTAGCCGGCTTGCACAGAGCTGGGTAGCTATTGCAAACCCAAGCCTTCGAAATAATTCCGGCCAAACAGTGCTGCACAGCCTGCTCTGCAGCTCCGGGGTGGATAGGCCAGGGTTGATATCGTCTATGGTGGAGAAGGGCTTCTCTCTGGAATCACAGGATCACCGTGGCCGTACGGCTCTTCTTACATTCGTCGATGGGCAACGCTGGAGTGACTCGAACGAGGTTCTGCTGGGGTCACTCCTAGGGCTCGGTGCTAATCCACGAGCCACAGACTACCAAGGCAAATCTGGTAAGTTGATGGAACCCTTATATCGCTGTAGGGAGGCTAATGGGGTATAGCATTGCACTTGATTGCAGTGTCAGTCGTGTCATTTATTGACGCGGGGAGGTCCGATGTAGAGAAAAAGAAAGGATGGATGAAACAGCTTATTGATGCCGGTGCCGATATTCGCGCAGTTGACCACACAGGAAACACCGTCCTGCATGACAGTATGGCGTGGCGTGAGAGCTGGAGAATGGTCCAATCCTCCGTACATGCGGCCGTGGAGCTGGAAAGCCCGGTTCAGGCGTGCAACCACCAAGGAAGAAACATTTTGCATCTAGCCGCACTGGCTGACGATAGTACTAGATCAGAAAAGCAGGAGGGTAAGGACGGCATGGCCACCCGACTCGGGTTTGCGCTGCAGGCACATATAGGCCTCGATATTAATGGCCCGGACCATGAAGGGATCACTCCTTTGCATTTGGCGTCCACCGTGTCAGAGCAAAATACAAGGAGACTGGTCCAGTCGGGCGCCGATTTCCGACTTCGAACCAACAACCATGAAACGCCTCTTCATTCTGCTGCAAGGGCTTGCCAAAGCAATATTGTTGGCTACCTACTGGAGCTGTACCAAGGCAACTTAGACTTGGTCAATGCCCGGAATCTCACAGGACGGACAGCTTTGCACGAGGCTGCCAGGAACGGGAGACAGGAGTCTGTGAAGCTCTTGCTCGATGCCGGGGCAAACCCCACCATCCAAGACGCCCGGGGCCGGAGTGCTCTACATGCGGCAGGCGAGTTCGAGGCCCGAAGCTGCTTTTCAAGTGAAGGCAGTCAGCCTAAGAAAGATACCACTAAGGACAACTCTCTTCAACGGATGAGGGTGATGATTGAAACGGAGGATGGGAGCAAGAATATTCGGGAAGTTGTTCGATTGCTCGTAAATTCCGGGGCTGATCCTGCACAACTTGACAACGAAGAACACACCCCAACCGATGTCGCCTTGATGCATGGATCATCAGCCGTGGTCGAAGAACTCGCACCGAGGATACAGGCTATATACAGCCGTTCCGATGGGGATGGGGACGGTCTTTCACCGGTCGATCCTCTAGGCGAGTCCTTGTATAACAACAGTTCATCTGCCCTCCGCTGGGTAGATGATTTCTCGGTGCCTAAAAACCATCGGCAGCTGCTTGAGCGTGCGATCTCTACTGGCAACGAACTGTTGGTGGAAAAGCTGGTACGAACGAAGCGGCTTAGACTGATCGAGGATGATGGCACGTCGGCTCTTTGCTTCGCGGTCCGCTGGGGGTGTGTATCGATGATGAGGAGATTGGTGCCCTATTCCGGTGATCTCAACTCATGCTCTCCTCCGCTGTTGATTGTTGCCGCAGAGCGGCGTCTCCCCAACATCGAGATGATCAAATTGTTGGTTGAATGTGGCGTTGACCCCAATGCCCAATATACTGACGAGAAGTACCGGCATGGTGTGACTGCGACTCACATTCTGGCCAGAGGGAAACATTGGTGGAATGTCAGCGGACTGGCATGTCTTCTGGACGCTGGAGGCGACACTGAAGTCAAAACATTGGATGGCAAAACACCACTCCATACCGCACTCGAGTCTGGCGACTCGGGATATTCATCGGGGGAAGTCTGGCCTGACCGGACGCTGCAGGTTCTCGTGCAGCACGGCGCCGATGTCAACGCCACCACTTCGGAAGGAGTCGCGCCTCTCCACACTGCCTTGAGCAATCAAAGGGACGGGGATACCCTCGCGCTCCTGCTTAGCAGTGGCGCAGACCCATCCCTAGGAGACACACCGGCTATATTCTCTGCGCTGCGTGCGCGCGACCCATCAGCACTGAAGGTCATCCTGCAAGCCGGCATCGACCCAAACCTAGTACATAAGCCCCGCGGCAAGAAGCGACGCCCGAAGAAGGTCGAGGAGCAGACTCCGCTCGAACTAGCCGCGAGTCCATCCGGCTCGATCGACCTTCGCTGGACAGATATCATCGCCGCCCACGAACAGTGCATCTCGTTGCTCCTCGACCACGGTGCTAACCCCAATCTCCCCCTACGAAACGGCCTGTCCACCCCTCTCCACGAGATCTGCAGCCTCAACGGCCTCATCAAGCCGATCATCCGGGCTGGATGCGATCTGGAACAGCGGGACGCAGACGGTCGAACCCCACTCCACCGTTCGTGCATTGGATCCTTTTCTTATCCTTACGACCCGAGCATCAACAAGGAGTATGCGTCGCTGCAACTGGTCGAGAGCGGAGTCAGCGTGCACGTCGCAGACGACACCGGATCCACTGCACTACACTACGCGGCGCAGCACGGCATGAGGTCCACCGTGAAGGCGCTCCTCGCGGCGTCCGCGTCCCCAGCCGTCAAAAACAACGCCGGCTTCACCCCATTCTACTACGCACTTTTAAAGCCCAGGTGCGACATCATCAATGCGCTACTAGACGCAGGGGCCAACCCGCTGGAGCGCGGGCCAGACGGCCGCACCGCTCTTCACTTCCTCGCGCCCTGCCTGATGGAATACGACTACACCTCACTCTATGATGATTCCGAAGAAGAAGAAGAAGACGACGACGAAAACGAAGACGAAGACGCAGAAAACCTCACCCGGTTCGGCCGCCTCTACCGCCGCCTAGTAGCAAGCGGGTGCGACCGTTCCGCACGCGACAACGACGGCAACACGCCACTCTTCGCATACGTAGCGACAGTGAAACTCTACCACGAAGACGTGGAGACGCCTCGGCCTCCGACAGCCGCGGACATGGGCGCGCTGTTCGCGGAGCACGACGTGCAGGCGCGGAACAACAAGGGGGAGACGCTGCTGCATGTGGTGGCGCAGCGGGACGATCTCGACAATGCGCTGGTGGATGCGCCGGAGATCTTCACGGCGCTGGTGGAGAGGGGGCTTAGTCCGTGGACGGAGGATGGGGAGGGGGCGACGGCGTTGGATGTGGCGGCTGCTTTTGAGCAGGATGAGATCTTGGCATTATATGCGCGGGATGAGTAGTAGGACAGTCGAGATGTACATCATTTCTATATCATCATTGATCCATATATCATATACATATACATACAACATCCAACCATAAAGCATACCCCATTCAACCACAAACACATATCAATCCAACCTCACCCCCCTTTCCCAAAAACCACATCTCAAATCATAAACTACGCCCAAGAGAGAGAAAGAAACATCTCAAAGATACTCCCAAGCGGCAGCCCCAGCTCCCTCCTCCCTAACAACAGCCATAGCCGAGAACCCCAAGCAAGAATCCCTCTTGCCCCCAGGCACAGTGGCATTCTTCAGGGCGGCAAACACCTGCCAGCGCGGGATGGTCTCATTCTTCGCCGGCACCGGACAAGCCATGAAGCCGTGCGCGCCCTGGCCCTCGTAGGACCAGCGGCCGAGACCCGTGCCGTTGGTGCTTCCCTGCACGGCGGGCGGGGTGTACACGAAGGGCCCGGTGGAGGAGCCAGCGGGGATGGAGGAGGAGGCGTGCGGGGGCGTGAAGGAGAGGGAGCCCGCCGGGGAGACGTAGATTTGCTGGGAGCCTGGGACCATTGCGTTCTTCATCATTTACTTGTTAGCATTGGGATGATATATTTGGAAATGGGGGGGGGAAAGGAAAGGAGATGAAGGAGAGGGGTACCAAAGAATGATCTCCAGAGATAGCAGTCTCCTTTCCAGGAGGACAGTCATCGTTTTTGGCAACGACTTCAGGGCAGTAAGTCGAGGAACGTCCGCCGAGCCAGAAGTGGCCGTCTGAGGCGGTTAGGGTCAGGTAGTGGATGGGAGAGGCGGAGCGGGCGGCGATGACGGTGAAGCTGTCGCTGCCGCTGTCGGGGGAGGAGCGGAGTTGGGGGAGGGCGGAGACGGCGCCCAGGAGGGGGAGGAGAGAAAACAACTTCATGTTGTTTGATTGTTTATGAGTTTGGGGTTTCAAGTGAGGTGTTTGGTTGAAGTTGGAGGATTGAATGATTGATGAGGAGGAGGAAGGAGAGAAGTGGCGGAACTTTATATCTTTTACCACTCTGCGTGTAGATGGATGATGTAGGATCATTTACCTATCTGGGATAGACGTCGATCACTTACTGACGTTATTCAATAGATTTAGATTTGAGATGGAATAGAATCGAAGCATGCTAGTATAGATTCATTAAGGATCGTCATACAACAGTTTACAGCACACAGTGTAGTATAATTATAGTCGACAACTCAGTGTACACCTATCTCTACCTATCTATCTATAGCTGTACCTCAACTATCCTACTATTCTAGTCCAGTCTCTACCCAGTAAACGCAGTAATATCTGCCTACCTACAGCAAAGCAAAACAAGAAGAAAAATAGTCTGTATCCACAAAAGGCAACAAAATTCACCCCAATCCCAACCAATCTCAACCAGTCAAACCAACAAAAAAAACCAAAACAAGCGCACTGATCGCCGGACAATCCTTGCTTTTCCCTCTCCAGCTCCGTCATCTGTTTCAAACAAACACCCCATGAACCTCAGAACCATAGTTAAGAAGGGTCAGTGACGATTCATAGCGCGTAGAGATCCCCGTGCATGGGAAGTACCCCCATATCTCCACTGAAAGATGAAGATCCTTCCATTGTTCAGAAGCATCGATCACATGGGGGAATAGATTCTGGTTCGGTTGGCTCGCAAGGTATTCCTCGTAGATGTTTACTACTTAGTACCTACCTAGATACGTAGATACTGCTACTAAATCCAGATCGTTCCACGGTAGATATACCAAGAACTAGCGTGTAGACGACCATGTTTCAGCCAGAGGTGGGAAGGGTACACGATCCAAGGCGTGGATGATAGGATCGGCAGCTAGTCTCGTTTTGCATTCTCCTGATTAGGACAGAAAAATAAACAAACAAGTTAGTTAACGCGATCTTGAGACGAGAGAAGATTTGGTAGCGAGAGTGGAGTGGAGTTCGTTTTTGGTGGCGGTGCTGTGATTATTTGGTACTGTAGTGGAGTGGAGGAGGAGTGTGGCGGTGCTATGTTACTTATGTATATCGTCGAGTATGGAGTGCAAGTTCTACTAATGTGTATGAACTGTGGATATACTGTAGATACTATGTATAAAAAGTCTTATGTAGCTATGTCAATGCACGGATATATATATATAGAGAATGTAATAATGTACAACCCCCCAAAGAATAACCTACAACGTCCCCCCCAACGGTAGATCCCTCGAACTCTGGCCCACCTTGATCTCAAACGTCCCCGTCGGCAACACCCAATTCTGCTGCGCCTTGCTCCAATAACTCAGGTCTTTCCGAGTCAGCGTCATCGACACCGTCTGCTGCGCTCCCGGCGCGACCTCTACCTTGCTGAAGTTGCGGAGGACGCGGACGGGGAAGTCCACTGGCAGAGTCACCAGCTCCTGCTCGCCGGAGCCCTCCTCGGTCTCCATCCAGACTTCTTCGGTGACGCCGGATGGGAAGGAGACGTAGGCTTGGATGACGGTTTGGCCGGTTCGCGCGCCTGTGTTGGCTACTTGGACCTCGACGGTCGCCATTAGGTCGTAGAGGGTGGGGTTGCCGCCTAGGCCGCCGCCAGAGGGGGAGCTGCGGCGGGGTGGGACCACGGTGTAGTTCTTGGGGTAGTGCTTGTATGGGGCGGGGGAGGTGCCCTCGAGGGAGGTAAGGTACGGGTAGATGTACTTGGGGACCGGCGAGAAGCCCTCCGGGAATAGCACGCCGTCTGCCGGTGGCGGCTGGCGCTCGTAGTCCGGGGCTGCGCGCGGGTCCGCTACTCGCGCCGGCGGCAGCGCTGACCGCGATCGCAGTGGCGTGATCTTGAGGTCCGATAGCGAGAAGCTCGTGTAGGACAATCCGTAGCCGAACTCGTACCGCGGCGTCACGTTGTACTGGTCAAAGTACCGGTGGTCGATGTACAGTCCCTGGTCAAAGTCCACCTGCGGCACCGGCGCGTTGGCCTCGTACAGAACCTGCGCCCCGGGCCCGTAGTCCTCCAGGCTCTTGCCCACCGTGTAGGGCAATCGGCCGCTGGCATCGACGTCGCCGAACAGCACGTCCATGAGCGCCGTGCCGCTCTCCTGGCCAGGCAGGTGCGCGAACAGCACCGCGTGCACGCCCGGCAGGTCGATCCACGGCTCCACCACCACGGGTCCCACGGAGTGCACGACCACCACCGTGCGCCCGGCACCCTCGCCGCAGTTCTCCGCCACCGTGTTGATCAGCGTGTCGCCGCCCTTCTGCAGGAAGAGGTGGTTGCGGTCGCCGTGGATGCCGTGCGCCGAGATGTACCCCTCGCCCGAGTCCGCACTCACGAACACGAGGCACAGGTCCTTGTCGGTCGCGTCCTGCGGCATCACCATGTTGCGCGTGTAGGCCGTCATCTCCACGCCCGGTGCCCAGGACTGTTCCAGCGCCTCCAGCGGGCTGACCAGGTACGGGTAATCCACGGTGCCGCTGCCCCAGCCCATGCCCAGGGTTCCCTGGTTGCAACCGCGGTCTGGACAGCCGTTGGGTCCCATACCAGGGCCCGAATCGTCGCCGTAGACACCAACGCGCAGACCCGCCTCCGGGGTGGGCGGGCCCCGCGCCAGCGGCAGTGTCTGGTCGGTGTTCTTAACCAGAACGATGCCCTCGGCGGCCACGCGGCGCGCTGTGGTGGCGTGGGCGAACTCGCCCTCGCCGCGGGCTTCGAAGTAGAAGTTGACAACACCGGTCTCCTTGGTCTCCGGGGCGCCGGGGCTGCCGTGGTGGATGTAACCCTCGGCGTCGTTGGTCCAGGAGGAGAAATTGGGACCCTGGCCCGGTTCCCACTCGTCCTGCTTCAGGTGGTACCACGCCGCGACGATGCGGGTCACCATGTCGTTGATGCGCTCCATGGGTACCGAGGTGTTGAGCGCGGCGCGGGTCAGCTCCGGTCCCCAGAGGGGCTTGCCGTCCGCCCAGCGTAGGCCGTCTCCGGGCATGCTCATGTCCAGACCGCCCAGCGCGCTGTTGACGCCGGACCGCTGCGCGCCCCAGTCGGACTGCACGAAGCCCTGGAAACCCAACTCGTCCTTCAGGATGCCGTTGAGCAGCTTGCTGTTTTCGCAGCTGTGGCTGTTGTTGACCTGCTGGTAGGCGCACATGACGCTGGCCACGTCGGCGCGCACGCTCTCGGCGAAGGGCCACACGAAGACCTCGCGGAGGGCCCGCTCGCCGATGTTGGACGACACGGCGTGGGAGATTCCCCACTCGTACGGCCGGCGGAAGTGTTCCTGCTCGTTCATGACAAAGTGCTTCGCGGTGGCCATGACTCCGTTGCTCTGGATGCCGCGGATGGTCTCCGCTGCGGCGACACCCGACAGCACGGGGTCGGAGCCGAAGGACTCCCAATTGCGGCCACCGGCGGGCATCATGCCCAGCGGGCCCATAGACGGGCCCAGCAGGACGTTGATGCCCTTAATGCGAGCCTCCGCACCCATAGCGGCGCCGCGTGCGTGCATCAAATCTCGGTTCCAGGTCGCGCCGGTAGTGATGCCGGCGGGGAAGGGGGTAATGCGGTCGGTGAATCGTACGCCCAAGGGGCCATCCTGTAAACACAACGAGGGGAAGCCCACCGATTCCGCGGTGCCTACCTCTTAGTAACTTTGACAGAATGCAGAGCAGTATCAAACATACCAGTATTTCCAACACACATGCCCATACTCCAACCGATCCCCGTCGTAATGTTAATCTTCTCCACCAAACTCATACGCTGCACCATCTCCTGGGCCTTGCGATAATCATCGGCCCAGGCATCCAGAGTTCCTCCGCGCGGCGAAGGGAACCACGAATCGGACGGGGGCATGCCCTGGAAAAACCCCGTCAGCATCATCACCCTTCCCGACAATAACCCAAGACAAAACATACCACCGGTCTATTCCTATCCCTCCTCGCCGCAAAACTCGAAAACGCCCACACCAGCAACGCCAGCCCCACGATGACGGCGACCAGCGTCCGCCACCAGTACCGGGCATGACGGACAGCGCGCCATCCACCCGACTGGGCCTGGATGAGCGACCGCCGACGGTGTCGCTCGCGACGGCCGCGTTTCAGTTCCTCATCGTCCGAGGCCAGCTCGTCGTCCACTAGATCATACTGTCTGCTGGCGGAGAGCAGCTCCTGCTCCGCGTCGGTGATGCTGTCGAGGTAGGCCTCGACGTCGCCGGACTTGCGGCGAGCGGAGGCGGGGGCGTAGGCGGCGGAGGCGTTGCGGGGGCCGCGGGCGGAGCGGTCGACGCGGCGGAGTTTGACTTCGTTGGGGTCGTCGATGTCGGAGAGGCCGGAGAGGGTGCCTTCGTCGGCGGAATCGTAGGGAGTGTCTTCGTCGGGGACGGAGCCCGATACGGGGGCGTATCGTTGCCCTTTGGAGGTGGTGGGAGGCATGGTTAAGGAACGGAAGGCATGAGCCGTGGAAAAAGAAAGACGGACAGGGAGGAGATTGGAAAAGTGAGCTCGAGAGGAGAGCCCACGAGGACAGGAAAAAAACCGACCAGCAGGAGAGAACGAGAAAAGGAGAAAGTCGAGATGAGTCCAAGTTGTGTGTTGTCCCAGAAGGGAAATGATTGATGCTGAAGCGGGCCGTGGAAACGTAAGCCTCAGGAGCCAATGAGATATGGTGATCTGACTAATCTCCCATGTGCAGACATTGACAGTATTTACCATTGAAGTAGATAGTACGAATAGAGTATTGAATAGAGTATTAAATAGACAGTATTAAATAGATAGTACTAAATAGATACAAATGACATAGCCTGATGGTACTCCAGGTTTCCACTAGCGCATCATCTGGCTGCCTACTATTCTAATGCTTAGTACCATTAGTATACACTTAGTCCATCCTACATGCTATCTCCGAGATATCCCCGCTTCCCCTCATTCCCCGCTTTCTGTCCTCCTCTGTTTATTCCGATTTCTATACAGCCAGCTACACTCTCCACCTCTCTACATCCTCCAATACTTGACATTCTACATACCACCCACCCCTATCCCAGGTCTGTCTTGACAATGCCCGCCATCTACCCCGACCTCCTCAACAAAACCGTCCTCATAACCGGCGGCGCAGACGGCATCGGCGCCGCAACCGCCTCCCTCTTCACCCAACAAGGCAGCAAAGTCATCATCCTCGACATAGCAGATGCAGCCGCAGAGCGTACCATCGCGCACGCTTCCTCGCAACCCCCCCTCCTCCCCACCTACCCCCCAACAACACACACCCCCGTCTACTACCACTGCGACATAACCGACCTGCCCACCTTGCAATCCACAGCCTCCGAAATCCTCACCACCCACGGACCCATTCACATCCTCATCAACAACGCCGCCGCAACGGGCGCCGCCGGCCGCTTCACCACGGAGACAGCCACCTCAGCAGCATGGGACGCCAGCGTCAACGCCAACCTGCGACACGTCTTCTTCCTCACGCAGGCCGTCATCCCGGGCATGAAGTCCCTCGGAGGCGGCTCGATCGTCAACCTCGGCTCGATCACCTGGCGCATCCCCGACGGGAGACAGCCCGTGTACGCGGCTTGCAAAGCGGCCATTATGGGTTTAACCCGCGTGCAGAGTAAGGAGTTGGGGGGGCATGATATCAGGGTGAATAGTGTGATGCCGGGGGCGATTGCCACGCGGAGACAGAGGGAGGAGGTGCTGACGGAGGAGTATCGCGCGGAGGTTATGAGGGGCCAGAGTTTGCAGAGGGATTTGGTGCCTGAGGAGGTTGGGAGGGTGGTTTTGTTTTTGGCGAGTGGGGAGGCGAGTGCGGTTACGGGGAGTTCGTATGTGGTTGATGGGGGGTGGTGTTCGGATCCGTGATTGTATTTATTGTGATCATTTCACTTTATTATTTGACATTTTTTTTGACTCTACTATTTTATTGCATGATTTGGTTGGTTTTGTCTTGCTGGGTGTTTTTACTTGTGTTTGTTGTGTTTACGGCAGATGACACTACATGGTAGGAAATGAAGAAGTAGGTGGAAGATGGTATTCATAAACGTCACAATCTAGGAAATCACATAGGAAATACAATACAGGGAATCAAAAAAAATCAAATCATTTACAGCTTCGACACCTGGCTGCCCGCCGACGAGATCTCGTTGTACAGCAAGCTCGTCAGGAAGTCGGCGTAGTCCTCACCCGTCACCTGGCCGGCGAAGTAGCGCGCCGCCAGCGGGAACCGGTTGCCCTTGGGGCCCTTGGCCGACAGGCTGTCGGCCTGCTCCTTGAGCAGACGCAGGGCGTAGGCCTTGTCGATCTTCTTGCCCTCGGAGCTGGTCACGCCGTGGTGCACCCACTGCCACAGCTGCGAGCGCGACACCTCGGCCGTGGCGGCGTCCTCCATCAGGTAGTTGATGGGCACGCAGCCCACGCCGCGGAGCCAGCCCTCCATGTACGACAGGCCGATGTTCAGGTTCTTGCGGATGCCCTCCTCGGTGATCTTGCCGGGCACGTTGGTGTTGAGCAGGTCGTTGGCCGTGATGTGCACGTCCTCGCGGCGCACGAACAGCTGGTTGGGAGTCGGCATGTGCGTGTTGAACACGTCCGAGGCGATCGCCGCCAGGGCCGGGTGCGCCACCCAGGTGCCGTCGTGACCGGCACGCACCTCGCGGAGCTTGTCGGCGCGAACGCCCTCCATGGCCTTGTCGTTGGCGGCCGGGTTGTCCTTGACGGGGATCTGAGCGGCCATACCACCCTGGTTTGTTGTTAGTATATGAGACGAGAAGAGAGGGGGAGAAAGAACATACCATGGCGTGAACACCACGACGGTGGCAGGTCTTGATGAGCAGCTTGACGTAGGCGTCCATGAACGGCACGGTCATGGTGACATCAGAGCGGTCAGGCAGGACAAAGTTGGAGTGCTTGCGGAACTTCTTGATGAAGGAGAAGATGTAGTCCCAGCGGCCGCAGTTGAGACCGGAGCTGTGGTCACGCAGTTCGTAGATGATCTCGTCCATCTCGAAGGCGGCGGAGATGGTCTCGATCAGGACGGTACCACGGATGGTGCCGCGGGGCATGCCGATGTAGTCCTGGGCCAGGTTGAAGACATCGTTCCACAGACGGGCCTCGAGGTGAGACTCCATCTTGGGCAGGTAGAAGTAGGGGCCGAACCCGCGGGCCACCAACTCCTTGGCGTTGTGGTAGAAGTACAGACCGAAGTCGAAGAGCGAACCGGAGATGGGCTCGCCGTTGACGGTGAAGTGCTTCTCATCGAGGTGCCAGCCACGGGCACGGGCGATCAGGGTCGGCAGCGTGCGGTCCGTGCGGAGCTTGTACTCCTTGGGGCCCTGCTTGAAGTCGACCTGACGGCGGATGGCATCGTACAGGTTGACCTGGCCGCTGATCATGTTCTCCCAGGTAGGGGCGCTCGAGTCTAATCAGTCAGTACATAGACCTCCTACAAACTAAGAGGAAGAAAAGGGTCTTACCCTCGAAATCAGCCATGTAGGTCCAGACATCCGAGTTCAGGGCGTTGACGACCATCTTGCGGTCGGTGGGACCGGTGATCTCAACACGGCGGTCGACGAGACCGGGAGCGGGCGGGGCGCCCTTCCAGGCGTCATTCTCACGGATGTGCTTGGTCTCGGGGAGGAAGTCGGGCAGATGACCCTTGTCGATCTCGGCCTGGCGGTCAATTCGACGCTGCAGGAGAGCTTTGCGGGTAGGGTTGAAGGTGCGGTGCAGGATGGCGAGGAAGGCACAGGCATCCTTGGTGAGGATCTTGCGGGCCTCCTGGGGGATGGGGCCCAGGATGGTGACATCCTTCACCTGGGTATCGACTTGACTCATGATGGCGGATAGAATTGGATTATGGGATATGTGAGAGTCTGAGAGAGACAAAAGGTTTGCGTCAGAAGAGGGAAAAAAGAGAGGAAGAAAAAGAGGAGGCAGTTGATAATATATGATAACATGGCCATGGCTTCAGCATCTCGGACTACGTCACGTCGAACCTCGACCATTGAACCGCGGTTAAACGAAGATAGTCGATGATAGGCTCGCTGGGGGGAGCTCCAGCCCGGTGATACGCTGAGTTGGTAAGGCGAATACCTGGGCCAGACGGTGGATGATCCACCCAGCCATGACTGGAGAACTCTGGAGCTGATGGAGATGAAGTTGACCAGTGAGGTTGGCGGGAGAGATGGATGTGCGGGCGGCATGTGACATTCCCGCGGGGAATTCCTGATGACATAAACAGAATGACGAAAGACAGTTTAGCGTGGACAGTTTCCCACGGAAAAGCGTACGGTTTCTTACCATGAATACCAAGGTTAAGTATATGGATATCGGCCGACTTCTCTACTTCCGCCTCCCTTCCGCCGGAGAACGCCGTCCTGCATCGTGCTCCATTCGTGCGATTGTATAGATACCGAGACATTTCTTATAAGACAGTGACTCATGAGACCCTCAGTCTAAACAGAATGTCTAACAGACTGGTGCCCCTACCACTGGAACATTCACTATGTCCTACAGTCCTACAGTCCTACAGTCCTACAGTCCTCCAGTATCGATGACGGTACGGAAACCAACCCTAACTATAGCTCATCTAACCTCGGGATAACTGCTACATTCCCCACACCCGATAACCTTCCCACCTTTTCCATCCTTCCATCCTTCCACTGCCGCGGCTCGACGTCAATATGATTGTCTGCAGTCCTCATAATCCAATAATGGTCGTTCATCCTTCCACCACCAGTGGGTTCCCACGCCTCCTATCCGAACCGGCTTGTTCCGATGTCGGTACGGAATTCATGTTGGCCTGAGGCGGCGGGCTTTGCGCCTGGAAAATCACCAAGCTCACGGAAGCTGGTGAGCTGTACGGGCTACAGACAGCTAGCTAGCCAGCTAGGTAGTTAGTATGGTGGTCTCATCAAGGCCTAGTCCTTGTCCCCTGGTTCTCTACCACCATGGTCCTCCGTATACGTGCTCTCGAGGTCCCCGGCATGTGAAATACTGACTACCCGGCATGTGATGGCTGCCCGGGATCGGGTTCCAACGGAGACGGCGGGAGATACTCTTGTTATACAGTATCGGCGAAAACCCTGGTGGTTTCAAGGGAGAACGGGCCAGAGAATGATGAATAATACGGAAAATAAAGATATGGCTCTTAATTGAAGGTAATCGAAAAGAAAAAAGAAAAAAAAGAAAAAAAGAAAAAAAAAAGATTAAAAGAAAACTAAGCTAAACAAACAAAGAAATGTCATGCGTATCATCACTCATCAAATGCTATTCCCATATGTGTCTATACTAGATCCTCTCCAGAATTCTAGACCGTCTCGATATACCGTCGCACTTCCCTGGCAAACTGTCAGTATGCACGCTTTCCATAGACTAATCACAGAGAAGATGAAGGGAAGAACAAACCAATCGGTCACGGCTTCCTCCCACAAGCGCACCTCGTGCTCGCGAGTCCCCCCAAAATGATCCACAAACGCGTCGCCAAACACTTCCCGCGCGACACTTTCCGGACGCATGAACGTGACCGTCGCCTCGCCCAGTGATTTAGCCAGTCGCGCTCCCTGATCGCTGGCCCCGCCCATGTCGTCGCCCTTGGACAACGGCGGCACCGGAATGTCCAGCTTCTTTTCCACTCCGCGCCAGCCCAATGCGACCACCGCCGCCAGCACGAAGTGCGGGTTGGCATCCGCTCCCGGTACCCGCACCTCCAGTCGCGTGGCCTTCGGGCTTGCCGTCGGTGCGGAGATCACCCGAATGGACGCCGCCCGGTGCTCCAACCCCCACGAGACTGTGACCGGGGCCCAGAAGTTCTCCACGAGCCGCTTGTAGGAATTGACCGTCGGAGCGAACATGGGCATAATGTCTGGGAGACCGCTGAGGATCCCTGCCAGGAAGTGTCGTCCTAGGTCGGACAGATGGGCGACGTCGGGGTACGGCGGCGACGGATCGGGGGTGCTGCGGTAGAAGGCGTTGGTCCCGTCCGCTGTGACGAGCGAAATGTGCATGTGGCCGCTGTTCCCAGGCAGGCCCTGGCGTGGTTTGGCCATGAAGCACGGGGTGATGCCATGCTTGGTCCCGATGGACTTGACCACGAACCTAGACGACCTCAGGGTTAATGGGATGATTGCCACGGACATTCAGCGAACCTACTTGAACAGTCCGGCTTTGTCTGCCATTGCTTTGGCCTCGTCAAACTCCAACGCCTAGTTTGTCCCATCAGCATGAGTTGCTGAGCTCCGCGCGCAAATCGGCCACTCACGGCTTCATACACCCCCGGACCACTCTCGGTGTGCCACCCCTCGATCCCACAGTTGAATAACCGGCAGTTATCGTATACTCCATAGTAGTAGTCTTGATTGTGAATCGGACGGCTCAAACTATATGCAAACATCCCCTCCGTCAGCGGGGGCAGAGCCTCGACGGGGTTCTCTTTGAGGAAGGTCGCAGTCGCTGAGGCATTCCGCTCGGGGGTGGGGTGGGTGTCTGGGACACGGAATTGATAAAATTCATATTCCGCTACACACGTCAGTGTCATCTAGCCATCTTCAATAGGGTCACCAGACTCACCCCCAGCCATTGCGCGATAACCCGCAGCTTCTGCCTTGCTCACTGCACTTTTCAGCAAACCACGGGGACATGCAAATAGTGGTTCCTTGGTGTCAGGGTCATAAAATCGGACCAAGAAGAAGGGGACTCTTTTCTCCCAGGGTATGCGCCGGAAGCTGCTGAGGTCCGGGATGGCGAGGATATCGCGATATCCATTGTCCTTGTTGCTGATCCCCAGTTCTTTGAAGTATGTTTGGTCATGCATATCCCAGCCAAACACCACCGAACAAAAGCCAAACCCCTCTTCAGCCATCGACAAGAATTTCTTTTTGGACACTAGTTTCCCGCGCAGCTGGCCATCGACATCCACTCCAGCCACCTTGACGCGGGTGTCCTTATACAGCAAGTCAGGTAGATCTTCGAGGGTAACCTCGTCCGTGGTTGAAGAGCCCATTTTTACTGAACCCAGTGGGGCTAGCTTGCAAAGTCCTGTTGAAGGTGAGAGAAATATGAACGGAGATGGTTGAAGCAAATGAAGTTCTGGCCCATTGGCAACAGGCAAGGGAGAGGTCAGGCATGACCATCAGGCTTATCGGTCAGGCCTTATCGGTCAAACCTTATCGGTAAGGCCTGGCTGCCTTATCGGCGCTTAGATAATGGATCCACCCCTGCCCCGTCTGTCTTCGCGAAGCTCTGGCAAGTATGAGTTGTCGGTTCTTTCAAAACATTTACATTGGTTCTCTTTCTTCCTTCACCTTTTTCAATCTGTCGAGCTCCTTAAGTTGGTTACTTCCTACTACAGTACGCCCAAAATTCTGCTGCGGTATCAAGCTCTATCGATATCACTCTACCCGCTAACGCTGTGCCGTCACCCTTGATACACGCATTATGGCTTCAGCTCCAAGAGGTCGCCTTCAGGGCAAAAATGCCATCATCACCGGTGCCGCAGGGTAGGCCACTATCGTCTTATCCCCTTCATCTACATCATATCCCAGAGCTGACCCCCTCCAGTGGCATCGGCCTAGAAACGAGCATCCTCTTCGCGCGCGAAGGGGCCAAGGTTCTCATGGCCGATATTTCCGTCCCGGCCCTGGAAAAGGCCATTGCCAAGGTGAAGGAAGTCGTGCCGGACGCCCCTCGAGTGGATATCATCAAGTGTGACGTCTCCAAGGAGTCCGACGTGCAGGCCATAGTGGAATCCCAGGATAGCTGGGGCGGCACGGACGTGATCTTCAACAACGCCGGTATCATGCACGCCGACGACGCCGACGCCGTCGACACCCCCGAGAAGATCTGGGACATGACGCAGAACATCAACGTCAAGGGAGTGTGGTTCGGGTGCAAGCACGCGGTGCAAAGCATGCGCCGCAACAAGAAGACCAGAGGTAGCATCATCAACACGGCTAGTGTGGTCGCCCTCGTGGGGAGTGCCACGCCCCAGCTGGCCTACACTGCTAGCAAAGGCGCTGTCCTGGCATTGACCCGCGAGCTTGCTATTGTGCATGCGCGTGAGGGACTCCGGTTCAATGCCCTGTGCCCTGCGCCTCTCAAGTATGTTTTCTCCCGTCCTTGTTGGTTGGTTGGTGCAAGTGTAACATGTGGCTGACCTTCGAAGCACTCCTCTATTGCAGGATTGGCTCGGCGATGACCAGCCTAAACGTCACCGTCGTGAGGTCCACTTCCCGACTGGTCGGTTTGGTGAGGCCATCGAGCAGGCTCAGGCCGTGGTGTTCCTGGCCAGTGATGAAAGCAGTTTCGTTAATGGTACTGATTTTGTGGTCGATGGTGGAATGTCCAAGGTATGTCACACTTCTTCTCGGTATGAGTGACGCCTGTGCTAATGACATCAGGCATATGTTACTCCTGAAGGACCAGCAACCGCCGCTCCTAAGAATCTGGGTCATTAGATTTAGGCATTTCAGCATACCAATTTCACTTTACTCCTTACGTCGTTTTGATAGCCTTGTGCATTCTCTTAGTATAGCAGCCCATATACTGTAAGCCTAGTAGGCGATGGTTTCAGTTGCAGATCACGCTTTCTCAAGGCATCTATATAGTCTACGACCGTGGCCTAGGATGATAAAGTCAATGCAAAGGCTCATTCTCCGCATAAACCAACCATAGGAAGATTTGGTGCCCGAATTCCGGGTCTGGATAGGTACCGAAGTGTACGTGCCTCAGTCATCTAGTACGTCTGAAGAGATCGCGTTCTCCTGTTTACTGGGCAACTTCTTCACTTCCCTCATTCACCCTCTGCTTCCCACTTTCTACTTCGCCCTTCTGCTCTGTCTCATTTATCTGTTCTAGACTTTTGAACTCATCGACTGCCTAACCCGAATATATTATTTAGCCGAAGCTCCAGCTCTCATCTTTGGAGATCATATACGTCTATTTACCAGGTGACTCCTTCTCTTCTCTTACTCAGTCTCCGTTCCCCCTTGTCACCTCATATTTTCTCTCTGTTTTGATGGTGACATTGTTTCGAAGATAATCAGAAGGACACTCGGCTAAATTGGCACTGATGTGGATTTCCTCGATGACTTGCAGGCAAGTTGCAATAAATTACACCTATACACGGCGAAGGTGGTTTTCCCCATCGGTGCCAGACCATGCTCAGTCTCTTGGGAGATGTAATGATTTATTGTGAATTTTCTAGTCATGGCTATAGCCGATCTAAAAAGTCACGAGAATTCGTTTCGAGAGATGGCATGAAATATCGAGAGATTCTTGTCCCTGAGCCCAAAGATCCAACACAATACAAAAGCTTCTCCGGCTATCTATCCCCAGCAACACCCATGCTTCAAAGATCCGAAAATAACGCAGACAGTTTAAGCAATTTCTTATCTGCCAATAGACCTACCCTCCAAACGCCCAATAAGATACAAAATTCGCGCCAAGTGAAGATGAAACTATAACTCCATACTACTCACGGGCCATCCATTCTCTGCGGAAAACGAATCTGACGGCGTCGTACCATGAAGACGCTCATAACGTTTTCTATCGCCACAGAATTTCGTCCCGTCAAGCGGCATACAGCGCTTCTGCACTAGGGCTGCGACGTGCTCTCCGGCTTCGCGGCCCTCGTATAAGGCCCCGTGCAGGAATCCAAAGTACGGGGTGCTGGTGGCCTCGCCCGCGAACCATAGCCGGTCAACGTTCGCGCGCAAGTTCTGGTGCATCTCGAGGGTTGTCCCAGCGGGCCAGTTGGAATAGCTGCCATACGTCCATGGCTCCCTCGACCAGCGTGGATACGTGAATGCTGTAGGCTCGGGAATCTCATGGTCTGGGAACATCTCACGGAGAACGGTGAGGATCTCCTCTTTCGTCTCATCGTCCGTTTGTCGCTCGACCCGATAGGCTTCTTCGCCCACGACTGTGACGAAGAGGATGTTGGAGCCCGGAAGGAATCCGTCCCCCGTGAGCGACTGGAATATCGGGTAGTATCCTCTCGTGGTAGGTGATGCGTACAGGAAGAACAACGTATCCGTCGGCCAGAAGGCCTCTTCAAATTGCATGAATATCTTGGTGTAGGTGCCCATGGTGAACTTGTGAATCGCAGTCTGCTTCCATTCCGGCAGTGGGGGTTCAAATCGGACGGCGTCGTGATCTTGCAACACACCCAGGGAAAAGGTACAAATGACATAGTCCGCACGCACGCAGCTCCCGTCCTTCGTGCGCACAGTCACCTTTTTGGGGGAATACTCGATGTCAGTGACATGAGAGTCGAGCCATATACGATGGTCTTGCAGGCCCGATGGAAAGAGCGCTGACGCTTCACGCTCGATGATGGTGCGATACCCGCGGGGGTCTGTCACCATATTGTTTCGCGGTCCAAACTGGTGAAAAGTAAGATTCTCGCCTGCGATGCCGAACGCGAAAGAGCTCGTTTCGGGCGTCGACGCGTCTTCAAAATCTGTCCGAGCACCGCTGTGTTAGCGCCACAAATAACTAAGGCTACTACTACCTCCAACGGTCTTCCCTATATCGTACCCCAGTTCCACCATTCCACTGCCTGCGCCGCCATATCATGCTTCTGCGGCTGCCAGCCGGCGAGAGCCAATCCCGAGCGGGCTGTTTGGTCTTGGAGGTTGGATGTCAAAATTCGTCCGGCCGCCTGGGCAGCGGTCACGTAAGCAGAACTATAGGCATCCAAAAGATGTCTATAATCGGTGTATCCAGTTTCATTGTATGTCCGGATAGAACGGTAGGTGGTGTGGGTGTTGCTGATGTTGTATTTTTCTGCCTACTCGGTCTGACGTTACTATAGATGTGGGACCATTCATAGGGAAATGGGTCTCACTAGCGTCCAAAGGGGATTCTCTGGTTTTAGTTAGCCAACCAGCTACAAGCCTGGCGGTTGAAAAGGGTCTCCCACCGGTGGTATGCGATCCTATCCCATGCACCTGTACCGATCAGTGGCTAATGATTCTTTGGTCGTTGTTTGTCTTCCAAGGACGCACCCAATTCGCGCCAAGCTCTATTGTGTACGGCTTCCCCAACCTATCTTGACCGAAGTCCGTGTGCCATACCCGCCCGCCTAAGGTGCCTCGGGATTCGAGGAGAAAGAAATCGGTAATGGAAGCATTTTTTAGCGCTTGCTAGTACGATGAGCACGCGGTTGCCACCGTTTTGTGGAGATTGCTAATGGTAGGGTGAAGCCAATGGTAGACACATCACATACTGCTGCCGAGACGCCAGCCATGCCACCACCCCTGTGCGTGTCAGAATATACGCGCAGATCGACAAGGATCCCATACAAGATAGCTATCGTTGTTTCGGTGCAAATATCATCGCTTTTTTGATTACTGCGAGGCTGGGCGACATATCCGGCGCACATAGGAAGTGTACCAGCTCCCAGCAGGGCGCAGATTTTGGTAACTGCAGGAAACATCATTCTCGCGACTAGTCTATCGTCCGAGGTACCGAAGAAGAGCTCTTCCGTAGTACAGCTATCGCCGACGACGGACGAGCAGACAGCCGATCTATTTATCGACCAGACCCAATCAGCAAAAAGCAAAGCATGACCCACGACAAAGACGAGTCAGCTATCTCTGGACCACTTGGCGACGCATTACTATCAGTAAGGGAACGTGTCAGCCAATTGAAGCTAATATGTCAGCATCGGACTGATCACGAGATGGGGAAGTCCAGGCGGGCGGGAAGCATATCTCAAAGGATTAGTACGATAAGCAGGATTTCGATCCACTTATGACAGGGGAGCTGCACCTAAGCATTCTCCTGAACGTGATAAAACCAGGAGACCCAGACACGGCCAGATAAGGCAACATAGGGGCGGCTTCACGCGACCAAGCTTCCCCGCATTTGCGCAGGATGGACATTCCGTATCCATCCAACTGGCTAGGGTCTTTCAATCCCTAGTGGCTGCAGCCCTAGCGTCAAGCCACCCCTACTTTACTACATATTTCCGAGGGACGGACACACCGTTCGATACGCCGTCTGGAATCTCTTTGTTTTCCAAAACACTATCACTATGGACACCAAAGACGAGAAGAGGTTCGAGGAGGTCGCCGAGGATGATGTCCAGCTGGCGCAAATGGGCCACAGGCCCGAATTGAAACGGAATTTCTCGACTCTGTACGTCTTTTCAATAACCTGTCATCACGGTCCACTAATTTAACGTTTCCTAGATCCATGCTGGGCTTGGCGTTTGCGGTTTTAAATGTATACCACGCTCGGGTGCTGGGTTTTGGACTTTCAGGCTGACTGAGATTTAGTCCTGGACGGCGCTTTCGGCCAGTTTATCGATCAGCTTAACTTCGGGTGGGAGTACGAGTGTAATCTGGGGTGTGTCCTCCCCTCAGCCTTGGCTTGATCAGTGCTAATGAGTAAAGGGCTTATCACTGCTGGAACCTGCAACCTCTGCATTGCGGCCTCTTTGGCCGAGTTCCTGTCTGCTTATCCGACGTATGTATATCATCATGGCTGGAATAGAGAAAATACTTAGTTCATTAGGGCGGGTGGTCAGTATCATTGGGTGGCAGGTATGTAATCGTCCCCCATCATTGGAGAATTATCTAACATATGTCTCTAGCGGGTATGTTTTATGGCGGTATTTGATCTCTTGTCATGTACTAAAGATAACAGTCTCATGGCCTGAATGGGTCCCGATATTGTCGTGGGTGACTGGCTGGGTGAATGTCGCTGGATGGGTATGACATCAAGTCCAAATTTGCTATGTAGCTAACCCGACCTAGGTTGCCCTGGTAGCTACCAACTGTCTCTTGTCGGCCCAACTCATTGCCGGCATCGTATCCTCTGTATACCCGGTAGGCCTGCCCATCCCCTACGCCTTGCGAACTGACTAACGTCGATATAGGGCTTCGTGTGGCAGCGCTGGCAGCAGTTTCTCATCTACGTGGGATACACGCTGTTGGCCTTCGTCATTAATGCGTTCATGAACTCCATCCTCCCAATCATATACCGCGGTGCCTGTATGTTCAATTTTGCGACTAGCCAGACGTGCGCTAATCGATATAGTGACGTGGTCGCTGGGTGGCTTCGTACTTGTCTCCATCACACTCTTAGCATGCGCGTCGCCGGATTACAATTCTGCTTAGTATGTCCGCTGCCCCGTGTCCTGCTCCAACGCTGACAGCATAGCTTCGTATTTTGTGAATTTGTCAACAACACTGGCTGTGAGTGTCCTAGAAGCTTTACAGATTATGTGTTGCTAATTGTCAGGGCCTGATGGGGTTGCTTGGATGCTGGGGGTTTGTCTCCCATTCCTGGTTTCAATAACATGTCTGCTAACGACAGCAGCTTCTGCAAGGAGGATTGGGAGTTACAGCGTTTGTAAGCTTTCCTGCTTCCCTATCTTGGTAGTTCTCAACATTCTAACAGTGATACAGGACGCCGTTGTCCACATGATCGAGGGTACGATACATTCACTACTTCTCAGTTGCGAAACCAGCCTAACCGATTAGAAATTCCCCAACCATCTATCAGAGGGCCGAAAATCATGGTTGGCTGTGTTGGAATCGGAACGTTCACTGGATCCGTCTTCCTTATTGTCCTTCTATTCGTCGCAGGCAACATTAAAGATGTGATCGACTCGGAGGCAGGGCCGTTACTACAGATTCTTCTGCATGCGACAAAGAACACCGCAGGTGGCATCTGCCTTCTAATGTAGGTCTACTCCTGGCTTTACCGTTGCAGCTGCTGACCAAACAGGCTCCCACTCGTGTGTCTGGCGTTTGCGACCCTCAGCGTCATGACAACGAGTAGCCGGATGATTTTCGCATTCGCAAGGCAAGTTTTCTTTCTTTACCCTCTAGACCAAAATAGCAAGCTGACTTAGTGCAGGGACGGCGGTCTTCCGGCCTCGCGCTTCTTCGCGCACGTTCATCCCAAGCTAGGCCTTCCTCTAAATGCGCTGGGACTGAGTTCTGTGGTTGTCGTGATTTTCGGCTTGATCTACTTGGGTTCGACGAGGTTTGTCATCAAATCATTCGATTGAGGGGATGTACTGACAGGTGTAGCGCCTTCAACGCGATTATCTCGTCTTCTGTCGTGGCACTGGATTTGTCGTATGCTATGCCCATTGCTGTGAACTGTCTTCGCGGACGCAAGACACTTCCGGACCGGAAGTGGAAGGTCCCTAATATGGTTGGATGGGTGATTGATATTGTACGTCTGTCTTATCTTCTTTTGTGAACACTGCTGACATTACAGATCTCACTGTCGTACATTGCTTTGACCACGGTGCTTTTCCTGTTTCCGCCCTCGCGGGTGGTGACAGGTAGCAGTATGAGTAAGTTATAAATCATCATGAATTTGTTGTGGATACTAATGCGTCTTTTGTAGATTATTGTGTCGTTGCGTTTGGGATCATCTTGATTGTATCGGTGGTACAGTGGATTGTGGATGGGAGGAAGAATTTTACCGGCCCCCGAATGGATGTGGATGCATAGACTGAGTGGCTGATGTGGTGGGAATAGATGCAGTTCCACAATATTACCCCTTGCTCTTTATAACCCGCAAATTCCAAGCCAACTCACACTATGTCAGGTGATACAGGCCGCTAAATAGGCTATACTGATAGCTTCCCCAGCCTTGCAGCTTCATCCGTTCTCTTTCTCTAGTACCCCGCCATCGCCTCGAGTGCAGTATGTCTACAACACTACCACTACCAGCCCTAAAAACAACATCTAGGGTGTCCACACTACCGACAGAAGTGTTAATTGAGATATTCTCACATCTAGAAAATCCCGATGAGCCACAGCGTTCTCTCTGTTCCACATGGCTTCCACTGATGCAGGTTTGCCAGACGTGGAGAACTGTGGCCGAGAGACTCATCTTCTCTAAACTTACATATCGCAACGAAAGACATGATCATCGTCTGACTCGGCAGCTATTGCGTCATATGCACAGCAAGCCCTACCTCTGGCGCTACCCCCAATCTCTCCACATGTCAACCTACACCGAAGAAGGCAACAATCTCTGCGTTGAAATGGCGCGAAAGGCAGCCGAGCATAAGAGTCCTGTCCGCAAGGCAAAATTCGAGAGCATGGCGTTCCCATGCAATATACCACTGCTTGAGAGCCTAAGCAAGTTTCCACTGGTTGAGCTGGACCTGTGTACCGTGCAACAGGGACTCCCTATCCGCTTCATCTTCGAGCTGTTTGACCTACTCACTCTCAAAACCCTGCGACTCAGACATATCGCGTGGTCAGAATATGTAAATGACAAGTTGATAGAGATACGACCATGGTCCGCAGCTGAGGGTATCAAATGCCCTAAAGTTGCGTGGCTCCGCCCTCAAAATCAACCGAGATCACCACGAGAGCTCGAGCAACTGCTCCCGTTCACCCGCCGCAGAACAGGAAACATCACCAGCTTGACACTCGCCGTGCCAATAGCAGACCCTGACGTCGCGGAGCTCCTGTTCCAGTGGCCACGCTGTCTCCGCGAAGTGGTCTTCTCTCACGTTCTTGACTCGCCCTACACGGATATCTACACTGCGTCGACCATCGAAAGCCTACTAGCTGTACACCGACAGTCTCTGGAAAAGCTCGACATTCCGGCGCTACCCTTTAACGGACTCCCCGATATGTCTACATTTCCTGCTCTCAACAGCCTCCGCATCCACATCTCCTCGCTCCTCCCCCTCACCCCTCAAGAAGCCTGGCGCCACCTCGCAGCGCCCAATCTCCACCACCTCACCATCGACTTCACAGCTACAGTATTTGAGCCCTCCACCTCTACCTGGATCAAAAAATTCTTCCACGGCGCCAACCTCCCGAGGCCCCTCCATCTAACCATGGAATACACCTGGGCCTCCTGGCACGGCCCCTCTCCCACCTTCTTCCCCCCAGACCTCCAAGAAGAAACCCCTCCCATAGCATCCGACCACAACATCGCCCTCATCTACCGCACCCCCGCAGAGGAATGCATCCTGAGCAGGCCGCCCACGCCCGACTGGAAAGCGTCGATCAGCCCCACCGCCAGAATGATCTGCGGCTGCATACCGCACTTTCGCGCCGTCCCCGAAGGTGTCCCCTTCGAGTGGATCGCCAACGATCTCGGCATCGCAGTCGCGGAGGTTGCCTTGGCGGGGCCGCAGCTTTTCAGTACGAAGCTGGTTTATTCGGTTGGTGATCGGGACATGTGGTCTTACTAGATTCCATTTCTTGGATTTTGGTTCGTTCGTTGCTGTTTTGATGACACTTTTCTTTGACTAAACGCTTGATTGCACTCCTTGTTCTGATTCGTCTCGTGTGAATTTTGTTTACACAAATAGCATTCATATATCGAGAGATCCAGTTTGTCTTGATATTTATTCTATTGGCATATCACTACAGCTGGATAGGTGATTTACAAGGAGATTTCTTCCGTGCAGTGACTGCAAGCGCAACTACTCAAACATGTGACTTTCAGCACTTGCAGGGTCTTTTTCTTATATTATACTATTTCGCATTGTCATATCTTCTCGCAACTTGCAACCTCTAACTACGACCTTTCTCATACATTCAAGACCATCAATTATCATCGGTTAGGACTGTTTTCACCGCTTGTTTCACTGATTCCACTACTACTCTATTTCTATTTGTTACCGCCTCAGGTTGTTACTAGAGTTGCGCGCTGGGCGCATTCCTTCCAGAATCATGCTTTTGTTTCATTCTCTTGGTGGTGCCGTAGTAGCACTACGTCACTATTCTTTGGCTGCTCTATCAATGTCTTCTATACAGGGTGAACAGTTGGAGGTGGTGATTTCTAAATGGACTAGTAGTTTTACTTGGCTATGGAAGTTAATTGTTTAAAGTATATCCATCGCATTCATGTGTCCAGTTTTGTATCAATCTATGGAAATGCAAGACCACGATGTTAACCAATCAGGCGAGGAAACTCCAACCCATCAAATGAAACAAAATGATAAAAGATAAAAAAATATATAACGTTCTTGTGCAGGGGTATGTATGTATGTACAAGAGTCAAGGAGATACATTATAGATAACAAGGGAATAAATCAGATTAATAGGGGAAGAAGCCCGGCTAGACTACTGTCTCGATCCAGCAACGCAGTCACCTCCGCCCCACATAGCCTTGACGGCAGAGCTCCAGGTAGTTGCGGGGTGAAGGACGTTGTCGATGGTGTAGAACAGACGGCAGTGAGCAGGCTGGTAGACGAACTGGAGCGGCATCTCGCTCTCCTTGTCGCTGCGGTGGAAGCCATCGCGCAGGTTGAGGCGCATCTCCAGCATGTTCAGCGGGCTGACCTTGGCGGGCGTCAAGGCTTCCAGGTTCTTGATCTCGTCGGCGGAGAGGACATCCCCGGCGGATTTGGCGTACTGGAGCGCGGCGATCATCACCTGTTGGACCATTTGGTGCAAGAGGGCCTGGGTGCCGCGCGTGCCGCCCATGGCCTGCATGGGGCCGTACTGGGGGCGGCCGCCGAAGGCGATCGTCTTGACGCCTTCGTTTTGCATCATCTGGGTGAACATGGGGCATGCGGAGCTGCAGGCGCCGTCGGTGAGAATGAGGATGTCCTCTGGGGCGAAGGGGGGTTTGTCGTGCGCGAGCTTGATCCCGCCGTAGCCTTGGATGGGGGTGGCTTTTTTGGAGAGGGCGTCGAGGTCCAAGGAGGAGGGGGAGGTCATGTTTGTGCCGAGGATGTTGTGCGGGCCGTAGAACTCCTTGAGGGTGAGGTCGTCGGACTGGTCTGGGTTGGTGTGGCCGGCGAAGCCAGACTCGATGGCTTGGGCGTATAACAGAGAATCCTTGGGCAAGGCGTAGATAACCTTCTCGACAAGGTAGAGGGCGTCGTGGGCGCGGAAGCGCGACGAGAGGTAGGGGGTCTTGTTGGGGAAGAACGCCTTGAAGAGGTCCGCGGCGTACGGCAAATCACCGCCCGGGTTGGCCGTCATATCGATGACGATCTTCTTCTTGTTGGCCTTGACGGCCTTCGAGATGAATTCGTTGACCAGTTTGTTGACGGTCGACGTCACCTTTTCCACCGCCCTAATGCTGAAGGTGGGCACGCTCAGCACAGCGACGTCCTTCAGCTCGCGCTCGTCCAGCAGGTAGCCGGACAGCAGGTTGTTGTCATCACGGACGGCAGCCTTGGGGTAGTTGGTCGGCGGCTTGGCGACGGCAGAGGTGGAGCTTGGCTTAGGTGTTGATGTCGGCGTGGATGTCGGCGTAGACGTCGGGGTCTGCGAGGCAGTGGCAGAGCTGCTCGGCTGCTGGGGCAAACACACGGCCTTGTAGAACTCCTTGCCGTCGGCGTAGTTGAATTCACTCGTGATTACAGCGTTCACCTTGGCTTTGGTGGTTGTTCCGTTGGCGTGGTCCAGAATGAACTCATTCGCGCCAGGCCACAAGCCATCCTGATTGTGGGCGAATCCGCCTGCGGGGTCACTGTTATACCGAGCAAAGGAATGGAAGAGCCCGTTGTAACGAGCATCGGGATCCTGATAGCGCCTTTGGTTCGCCACGTCATTCAGGTGTTTGTTAACGTCGGCGCCGTTGATCTTTACGACGGGAGAGACAGCATTGGGCTTCTCTTGGAGAACCTGGGCATCATCTGGAAGTTGTCTGTCAGTGTGCTTGCTTTCTTTCTCTATGGATTTCTAGACTGGACGACATACTCATCGTATAGACGTGAGGCAGCTCGAAGCCGTCGGACGAGACGGAGACGAGTTGCTGATCCACCTGAAAGGAGAAAACACCTGTGGAGCAAGGGATGACAGATAGATGGCCCTCGTTGGCTGAGTTGAAGTGCTCCATGATGGCATTGTCGAACTCGTACTGGCCGGCAAAGTCGCCAGCACGCGCCTGTTGTTGGATATAATCCAGGCCTCCCCAAAGATCCACGGGGGCACCCAGGTAGGTCGTCGGCGGGTCTGCAGTTGAACAACGATTAGAAGGTGACCTCCCACGGCTTGAGGCTAGGATTACCACATACTCTCCAGGATATCGACAGTCGACTGCCATTGCAGATACTTCCTCAGGTCGTCCACAAATGCCACGGCTTTCTTGCTTTCAAAGGGCATCGACGAGAGGCAATCACGTGCCAGCGCGCCAGGAACTTTGGGTTTGGGGTCTACCCCGAGTCAGCAATACCCCAAGATCAACCTCCATCACGGTCACTCACCGTTAGATTTGACAGCCTTCGCATATTGCTTCGAGACTTGTGCGCAAGGAGAGTCGGTCGACTGGAAGCCTTGAGGCGCCGCAGCGACGAGAGCACCGCCCGTGAGGGCGAGAAGTAGGGATGATTTTGTGAGCATGGTAGAAAGGTAATGAGGGCTGGCTGATCTGGTTGGCTTGAACAAGATCCCATCTATGACGGGGAATCACCCCCATTTTATCCTCGCCGTCGGACTCAACCGAGTCAGTACCATCCCCCTTGGATACCGTGATCCCGCTGTCCAGCCTACTGGAGGCATTGAAGTCTGGGGCGGAGCGTACAAGGCTGTGATAGTGCTGACACTCGGCGATGGCTTGGTCGACGGACCGATCCACTCGGTATGACGATCGTCCCCAGTGACCCTCCATACTCCGTCTTTGCCGCCAATCGGGTTCCAAGGTGCCGATTTTGGCCCCCATCGCCAGGGTTAGAGAAGGTCAAGACTACTCCATAAAGGCAGCCTCAAGACGCCAATGTAGACGATCTCGCCAATAGTCTGGCCTTCTTAACTGGGTCCGAGAAACTCGTAGTCAACAAGTCAGTCATTGCCTTGAACGTTGGGGCAGTGAAGGATTTATTCTTACTCATCCCGAATTTCTCTGCCTATGTTTAGCGCGAATTCTGACGACGCAGCCAGTCATCTTCCTTCATCGGCAGACACTAGGCATAGCTATACCCTCTGAGGAGTAGGGCCGGGAGCGGCCCACCACCGGCTTCGGGAGTCCACCTGATGCCCAGGACGTGCCCGAACAGCGCAGTTTTGACAATCAATGAAGTGGCTTTGTTGGGACTTGGTATATTTTTAGATCAAGGACGGTGGAAATGGCTCAGCCTAATCTAAACACCAAGGGTCGAAGCTACAGGCCGCGAATTCATGATTCTATACTGAGAATAGGGGGTTAGGAAGCGACGCTAGAAGGAGATTAAGTTCTTACTCCGTTGTTAAACATACTCCAACAGCAGCCCGCCCGAGTACTTGCTGCTTCAATCTTAACTCGTAAAAGTCAGGGAGGATAAAACCTTGATGAGATTGGGGAACTATGGCAAGTAAGGATTCGGGTGTCAAAAGAGTTGGACGTGATAACTAGAATTGATATCAGGTGACTTCTTCGACCGAGTGTCATCTGCCATTCGTTCAGTGCATCTGTATTGTGGCTCATTCTTGCCTTCTTTGCCTCCCTGGTATACGTAAGGTAGTTAACTGGCGATATTTAAAGGAGAATACAGGCTTCTTTTCTTTTCTTCCCTTCTGCTTATGTTTAAGCCCGCAAAAGTGTTGGATAGTGTCGGTGGCTGGAACTTGCTACTCAATCCCACATTAAAGAAGAACAACACGCGTAATGTCAACTACCAATATCATGGTTAAATATATACAGACAGTGTAACCCATACACAAAAATGGGTGTGCACCCCCGCACCGGTCAACCAAGCAGCCAGCTGCTCCAAATTGAACTCACGGGATGAGGCCACTCGGACGAAGAAATAGTTGAGCATAGGATCTCAACCAGTGAAACAATGCAAACCCGCCGAAAAATGCATTCCAGAATGCCAAGAAATCAATCCGAATCCACCATTGCATCATATCACATAGCCGAGTAAACTCCGAAGTGCGCCCCGAACGGAAAAAGTAAAGAAAGGAAGAAGTAAAGAACGAAGGTGGTGAGGCCGTCACAATCTGATGAGACTCAGACGCTCATTGCGGTCGGTAGGTGTCGAGAGCGCGCTGCAAGTCCTGCACGTTGTCCTTGTCGCCGTAGGCGTCCATCAGCTGCTGGTTCCGACGCAGCCGCTCCTGTTCCGCCTCGGCGAATTCGCATTGACTCTGGACTTGGGTGGCGTAGTAGTTGGAGATTCCGAAGCCTGATCAATATAGAATTAGATGTGAGTTCACAAAAATGTATCCATTTGTTTCGGGGTGGATCGGGTGACGGAGCGAGCGGGTGAATGTATAGCCGCTGGACTCTACAGGGGAAAACGTACCAATACCGATCATAGCCACAGCAGGGAGATACCTATTCAAAATCCCGTAAGCCATTGTCCATTGACTAATAATTTCATCCAGCTTTCCAAACCGATCCAGATGGAAGGTCACGTACCATTTGGCGATTCTGCCCCTGAAGGGCGCGGTAACGGTCGGACCTCGGATAAAGGGTCGGTGGCTTGTGGGGGGTGTGGTGGAAAGTTGCATGACGTAGCGGAACTTTGTAGGGAGGTGCTGTTATCCGGACAGATGATTTTGAGGTAGTGTTTGATATATATCACAGATGAAGTGAGGAGGTGAGAATGAGGTGAGGTGAAAAAGGAGGCGACTTTAAGGTAGGAGTGGTGGGATGATGTAGGGAATCTCATCCAAGGTGTCCAGTGGAGAAGAAGCGGGCAGTGACGAGAGTGGCCTGACATGCTTGGATTTCTGCCTGGGAGCGTCGGTTAAAACCTGGGGGTGGAGCCTTAGTCCCGCCAATCGCACGAGCGGATCACAACATCGTCATCATCACCACTCAGCCACAATCCAAGATGTTCTGCATTGCACTGCAGTGGTTGGATATTGCATGTTCTAGATCTTTATATTTGCATATTATTTGTTTTAATGGTGTGTATTAGATCGATTGTTGCATCTTGCTACTATTCCGTGGTGTCCTACACCCCCAGATGGTAAGTATATATAACATGCAAGCGGCTGTTATTTCCACCGGTCTCACCATTACTTCTCCATAACCACATTCTCCTCATCCGGTCTCTCTGACGTAGTGTATTCGACATGTTCAATAGGGACATGGTCTCTAATTACTAACCATGTAGGAAAGACAGCGATACCTGGATACTCAATACACATCAGTTCACGCCCCTTCTCCTTCCCATCAACAGAACACCACAGGGTTGTACAACATACCAAGTAAGATCGTATTAACAGCGAGAGGAACTCTTCCTCCCGTCCAGCTCCGGGTATTAAGACCGAACGACACCGCCTGCGCGAAACTCTCCTGTCCGCGCAAAATACCGGTGAGTCGAGCTACGCGCGTCAGTGATGTACATCGCCATATATAGAATGATGCACGTACACAGCTCGGAGATGTTATCTGTCATCGTGGAGACCAGATAGTAGAGAAGATTCTGCAGCGACTGCTGGGAGAATTCTATCGCGGTGTCAATGGGGATCAGGATCAGCGGGTTCAGGTCCACGGATTGTCGAATACGTACCCCAGAGTAGAATCACAAAGAATCCTTCGGTGAAGCCCGGATCAGTCCAGTCCAGGGAGGGTGGATTGGCGGTGTATTTTTCTTGAATGACCCAGCCGTACACCCAGGCGACAATGTGGATGAGAACCACGTAGTAGAAACTGAGAGCCTCAGCGCTATTCCAATTTCCATACTCGATGGCTGGCTACATACCTGTACATGATCCGCTTTTTGGTCGATATCTTTTGGTAGTCGAGGAATCGGCTGATAATTCCAGAGGATATCAGGTTCGCAAAGTTACCTTTGCTGAGCTTAGCATGCTACATCAAAACTCATTCTGGGGAGTTGGAAACCCACTGACAAACCCGATGAGGGCGCGAGCTCGAACACCAAAGTAATATGTTTGAAAATCTTCATCAAGTCAGTCCTGTTCATCGATAGCTGGGAATAGTTCAACATGCTTTTGCTGTACTGGTTGAAATATGCTGCCCAGAAGACCGGCAGAAGCAGAACAACCTTGTGCTCGTCAGCGATTGACTCCGCTGAGAAGATTGACTCAGCTAGGTGGTTATGAGAAACTTACCTCCTTACGACGACTAAGTTTCCAGAGTGCACGCATCTCCTTTCGCCACGAATCTTCCCGAATAACAACCACCTTGCTTCCATCGCTGCGTTGGGCCTTTTCAGGTGGCGATAGCAATAAAGCCAGAGGTGCGGCAAGACATTGAAGGGCCACAAAAATCAGATACGTCTCTGCGCGTATGTCAGATTCAATTTTTCCTGGAGAGGTAGCTGAGAATAGACAAACCGGAACCGATCTTCCCCTTGCTTTTCGAATCGGTATCACTATCACAAGATTAGCGAGAGTGTTCAATGTCAGATGTTTCGAGTATCTCGATCTCACTTGTTCAATCCCAGCACAATCGCACCACCCAGTAAGGGTCCACCCGTACGAAACCAAAGCCATATACTGTGCACAGTCAGTCATGTCCTAGGATTTGATCGTGATGGATCTCACTTCATGTATCTGCCTCGCTTGGATGGCTCCGGATAGCCCAGTGCAACAGCACCCTCCGAGGCCCAGAAGAGTCCGGCCCTGCTGTCTTTAGACAAAGTCATATAAATCTGAGTTTTTACACTTACGACAACCCACAAGCCGCCGATCCCACGAGGACAAACCAGACGTTTCCCTAAAAAAATAAGCACTTTACAGCTGCACAGGTTGCAGGAGCAATACATAGCGGTTATTCGTATATAACGCAGCCCTATTGTGTCATTAGTTTTAACGAATATTGGACTCAAGTATTCTAACACGCACGAATAAATTGGATACCCGATAGCTCCCAGCAATAGGGTCCAGTTCAGTCCGATGCGATTCGCAATTGGGCCTCCAAGGAGACACAAGAATCCCACTTTCAACGGAACGATTAGCTTTACTAAAGACAAATATACTCCCAGATCAACAGATAGTTGGTATTATAACATACTCAGTCCAAAAACAAGCGAATTCGCAGCATTGATCAAAAACGGCGATTGGGCGCCTCCGGCACCCAGGGAGTTCATGGCATTCCATAACCCCGGGGCCATGAAGCCAACCCCGCCGATAACGAAGGCATTGAAAAGTGTAGTGCGATACCACGTTCTATTTTCCGTCGATGACGGTGAACTCTCGACTGATACCGTGGCTGTGGCATCTTGTTTTCCCATGGTGAAAGCAGTCTTGTCCTGATATTTCAATCGGATAGCTATTGGTACAAGTACATCTAGGTCAACATCAACGCCATATTTTTTGTTTTAAAAAAAATCTCCATCATTCATCTCACAACCAATTTTTCATCTCTTGGTATTATGGCGTGCTCCCAAAGAGCATGTTCTATGCTTAAACGGTGTTGGTGTACACCATGCAGACCCAGAATGCCACTGCTATGTGGGGCAGTTCCGGTAGTTGAATCGGTCTGGGCCGCCCGCCCCACCTAGACTCACCACCTCCCGTCCAGCTTAATCGTGATCCATGCTTGATTTTCGCGCGGAAGTGCCGGTCTGAAATGGAACAGAAAGACATTGAATGGGAGCTGGAAGAAGGGATTCCTCAGCTCGAGGACCCTTTCATCCAGCAATATCTGAAAGGTCGAGATTCGTTGATCTCGGAGGAACAGAAACAGCGTCATGGTCTGTGCGATCCGCTCCTCTGGGTGACTTTGGTTCCTATAGCTGACGCGGCTGGGTTTAGATGCCAATTTTCGTAAGGCCCTGACGCCTATGGCTGCTCGGGCTTGCGACATCGTGGCCCGGATACGTGATCAAGAGTTTAGGCAGATGCTAGGAAAGCACAGGGATGGATCAGATGATTCATCCAGTCCTGCAGAAACCTCCCGACTTTGGAAGGTTGTGCAGAAATTACCCAAGGGCTCCCTGTTGCATGTATATTTGCACGCAGCAGTCGATATCGACTTTATCGTCAACGAGGCACTGACCACACCGGGACTCCACATTTGTGCCTCCCAACCATTAGCTCAGGGGGAAGACTGCAAAAGCGTCCCTTTCCACTTCCGTTACTCGACTCGCCGTGCCAGTGAGTCCGAAGCTCGGCCGAATATATGGACGGGAACATACCACCCCGGGGCTCTAGTGCCTGTCTCAGAAGCGGCATCCTCGTTTCCTGATGGCGGAGAACCCGGATTCCGTCTTTGGCTTCAACAGCGGTGCACCAACACGCAGCGTGAATCGGGCCAGTCTACAGGAACTAACGAGACTACGACGTTTTCAGAAGTCTCCCTTCCCATTCTCAACTCCCTTCTCAGCTACGAGCCAATCCTGCGCTCGTGTCTGCGCCGCATTTTCAGGCAGCTTGCGGCCGATAACATCCGATATGCGGAACTTCGAAACGTGTTTAGCGCACCGTTTACACTAAAAGGAGCAAACACCTTCGAGGAAGGATACACAGCATGGTGTCGAGTCTTCCAAGAAGAAGTTGAGCAGTTCAAACGCACAGACGAAGGGCGGAGCTTTCACGGCGCGCGGGTCATATGGGCAACACTACGATCGCTGCCCACGAAGCAATTTGTACAGAGCATGCAAGAGTGTGTGCTGGCAAAATTAGACGTGCCGGGCGTCATCTGTGGGTACGATATCGCCGAACCTGAGGACGGAGGCAAGCCCCTTGTGGAGCTCGTCCCACTACTGTTTTATTTCCGCAGGCTGTGCGCCGAAGAGGGCGTCGTTATCCCGTTCCTGTTTCATGCTGGAGGCAATCTTGGAGACGACGACAATGTGGACCGCAACCTATTCGATGCCATATTGTTGGGTACACGCAGGATAGGTCACGGGTCCTCGCTTCATCGACACCCGCTGCTCGTCGATCTCGTCAAGGAGAAGAAAATCCTCATTGAAAGCTGTGTACGCTCCCACGGGGCACTCCGTATTGCAGACGCGGTCCAGTCTCATCCACTCCTAGCCCTCTCATCGCGCGGTGTCCCCGTCGCATTGTGCAGTGGTACTCCGGGCGTGTGCGGGCAGAACGCCAATACGCTGACACTGGATTACTGGACCGCACTCCAGGGGTTCCAGAGCCTCGGACTGACTGGCGTTGCGATGATGATGGAAAACTCTATCCGGTGGAGCTGCTATGAAGACCAAACACTCTCGGAATGGCTATCTGGGATTGGCGAGGGGGTTACTGGGAGTGGAGTAAAAGCGTCTCGATTACGGGAGTGGTACGAAGAGTTTGAAAAATTCTGTGAATGGGTCTTGGAGGAGTTTTATGAGCTCGATTTAGACGACTGATCCTCTATCAAACGATTTTTGTCCTGTTGTTGAACATCCCTGTTGGGCCCATCCATGCATGCGTAGTGTTTACGGGGATATGCTGAGTAATAATGCATACAACTGCACAAGGCTTTCCTGTCTAGTAATTATCAAGTGATACCTACCGATCAAAACTCGATAGTGTTGATATTGGCAAACGAGAGATACTTTCAGATAAATAAATAAATTGAAAGAATGTTAATATCCCATTGAAAAGGCCGAACAGTATACATGGGAATGAAAGGCTATCAACGGCACTATGACGTATGCATTTCCGGGCGGAGTAATCCTTGCTGGGTTTGGTCACTATGACCGGGTTTATACTCATTTATACCAATTATGCCCCCAGAGGTGCCTGAACCACCGGGCCAGTAAAAACAAATCACTCCAGATTCTACTTAATCCTCCAAAACTTGACCTAGTTATCCCTGAATTTTTGTTCTCTATTCCCCGTGTAGAATATCCACAGAATATTCAGCCCGCTTATCTGATACTAAACGTGGCCAAGTCAAGAGGCTGCACGTGTGAGTTGGTCGGGTTGCTTGCGGAGCTCCACCTGACAATTGCGGTTGATCCTCCATAACCGCTTCGATCGCCGTCACCCGTTCATCAACCCCATCTTCCCCCCTCAGCAGCAGTCTGCTTGGAACTAGGTTCCCGCTGCAAGCAAAGATTTCCTGCCCTCTGGGCTTCTCAGCTTGATCTTCTATTATTTCACTTCACCTGAGTCTTCCTCTTTCTCGTATTATGTCCCTCTTCCGATGACCGCTGCGATCGTCAAATGAGCCCCGGTCGGCTCAAGCTGTCTTCAACATGGCTTACTTTTTGCCTGCGTATTTCCAAAAACAGGCGATCAGATATGTTTTGTCGCGGCTAGAGCTGTTCGATGCAGAGACTCTAGATCTGGAACGTCTGGGCCTCTGTTGGGGACAGAGGAGCTCGGTGGAGCTACGTGATGTTGGCCTAAGGCTGGAGGTAAGTGAATGAACAGCCCGACGGTGGCCCCCTCATACCCACCCCACCTGAACCCTGAATTATACCTCAAATCCCAACAAGGTTGCTAAACAACACCCGCCCTTTGATAGAAACTGGCCAGTATCCTACATCTGCCATCCTCGAGCAAGCTCCTCGGCGCACGCGTCCGCTTTCTGAAACTCACCGTCCCCGCCGATATACGCTCCAGTGGCATCGTCTGCCAAGCTAGCGGGATCGATATTCACTTACGACTGTTACCAGAAGAAGAATGCCATGCGGGTAAAGATGGCCAAGGGACGTCACGAAGAGATCCTGGTCCGGACAACATCCTTCCTAACCCCGCCGACTTGGCGGAGTCGTTCCTCGAGGCCGAACCGAAGGAGGAGAAGGAGGAAGTCCAGGCCGCGATCTACTCTCAATCCCAGGTTCTCCAACGGACGACATCATCTCTGAGTGATGACGATGAAGATGACCTAGGGTTGGGAAATGAAGGCGTTTCGTTGCCCACGTTCGTGGCCGACTTCCTTCAGGGTGTTGCCGATCGTCTACAGGTCCAGGTGGATGACATATCGGTGCGGATCGATATGGAGACGAAACAGGAGGGGATGTCAAAACGCCAACCCGAAGACAAACCTGATCTGATCACTGCGCTCCTGACTGTGCGTCAAGTCTGCGTCGAGGGGGTGTCTGTCTCCGATGAGGTCCCGTCGGGGATAGGGAAGCGGCTGGTGTCGCTTTCTGATATCAACATCGCGTTGATCTCGGAGCCGGTTGTTTTCTCAAACTACTCCAGGTTCAACGCTCCCCCAGAATCACCCTCCACTCCCACGCAATCGAGACCGAGCCAGCCTCCGAGCAGATACCCCTCTCCTCCGCCCATCGATTCGTCCTCCTCGAGTGTCGCCCTGGCGATGACGAAATCGACGATCTTTGAAAACCCAGGGACCGTTGTGGGACCCGTATCCAGACCGGGCGATGCACCGGAAATGGAATCCTCTACCTACACTTATGACGGTCGATTCTCGGACGCCGATACGGAAGAAGACCATCCGCCCTACGGCTACCTCGAAGATTCGCAAACCCTCTCTGATGATGAAAGACTTTTAGACAACCCCGATTATCTCGACTCGGTAATCGACACGCAACTTCATGATGAAGATATTGAACGATCCACAGATCTTTTGCTCCAGGATGAACAGCGGTTATTGAAAAGCGACGATACGCCACGCCCTCGGAGCCCTGGCCCACAGTTCGCCCAATCAATGCCTTATCGCGACCAAGCTGGCGCGCCAAGCTCCACGCCACACCTCCTGGACACGGGGTCTGTTGGCTTGTCAAGCAGTAGCCGCCACGACCAGCACGATCTCAACATGCGATCAAGCTTCCCTCGGGCTCCGTTACTCGACATGTATGCGGACGAATCGCCCCATCAGGACAATGCGGATATGCGGACATCACAAATCACTTCACCTCCTTCTGAAACCTCGAGTTCGGATTCCGCCCAGGAAAATTACCGGGATGCGGAGCTTTCTGAGTCGAGATTATTCTCCCACGAACAGGCTCAGAGCATGTACATGAGTGCCATTAGCCAGGCATCTACAACGAAGAGCTTTATGCCGAATATCCCGGGTGCCTGGGACACGCCAGAGACGACGATGGCAAGGGATACAGTTACAAGCGGGCGCTCTGGCGATACAGGCGACAGGGCTCGCGACAGGGACTTTACAAACGACCAGGATGATGAAACCATGATCTCAACCCCAAAGCTCGGTGCTCAGTCTGAACCCCAATTGTCACAGAGCCAATTTTCTGATCATTCTAATGCAGCAGGGTCAGATCCGACCGACAGGGGGTCTGCCAGGTCTGCACCGACTCTAGAAAAGTCGGACGTTGCCAAGCGGCTTTTCAATATTGACCATATATCCGTGTGGATTCCCTCCCGTGATGGTGATGGCAGTGAACCGGATGAGAAAGAAACACCCTTCGCTCACCCCAGAACGAGGGCAGATAGCCTGCGGGATTCGACGATGCATATGCAGGACTCTACAGTGGAGGGAGATCTGTGTTCATCTAGATCCCATGCCTTCGCGCGACCCCGGAATGACTCCACGGCCTCATCGGTTTTACCCGGAAGCCCTCTGCATCATGGTGGCAACGAGCGCGAGCGCAAAGTGGACGAAAGCCAAGTGGCAGTCGAGGTAGGCTCGGTAGAAATACAGTTCGACATTGCCACCGGATGGCTTGTTGGCAAAGTGGGACAACGGCTCGTGGCCGCCTTCAATCCCGGTGATGTTCCAAGCAAAAAGCCGCCAGCGGAACAAACCTCAAGCAAGCAAGCTTTCCGTCTCGTTCTCAACCAAATATCTATCAAGTTTGTGGAGCACGTGCCAGGGCAGGCATGTCCGTCCCATGAATCGGGGCTGCAGTCCCCCGTCTTTTTTGGTTTACTACATGAAGATGTCCTTCTGCAGGCTCAGGCGTCTGGATTGGAGGCTGACTTCTTGTCGACCGCGGCCACCACCAAATTCCGCTTGGATGTATCGAAAATCTCTCTTGGATTCGCTTCGGAGGACCTGGTATCTTTCAGCGAGGACTTGAAAATGCGAGAATCGACAAGAGACGTTCTGTCGCCAATGCATGGTGATATCTCTCTTTCGCTGACCAAATCGTTGGAGGCGGCCCGGGTGAACTTCACGACACTTCCGCTGCACCTGAATCTCAATATCCAGCGTTTAGAGGAACTGATCGGGTGGGTTGGTGGACTTAGTACCATCCTTGAACTTGGAAGTTCCATATCATCTGTCTCGGCTGCAAAACCGCCGAGAAGCGAACCACCTAAACCCCGACGTGGCGTGCACTTTGAGTCTGCACCCCCGCCTGCAGTGAGGTCTGAAAGTCGCTCTGTTCCGTGGAAGATGAATTCTCGCATCGGCGGTGTGGCAGTTGATGTAGTCGGAGAGACGCATTATCTCAAGCTACGGACTTCCGCTGTGAAAACAGTCAGTCGATTCGAAGGAATTGGAGTCCAGATCGACAAAGTCAAAGTCAGCGGGCCAATACCTTTGGGTGGTTCCAAGGATGCCCCGGCCAAAGTCAACATGGGCAATGTCCGAGTAGAATTCCTCTACGCTCCCAAGGAAGCTGATTTGGATCGTCTGCTCTCGCTCATCACGCCGTCTCAGGACAAATACGACGAGGACGATGACATTATGGTGGACACTTTGTTGAAGCAACGAAGGCAGGGTTCCGTGCTAAGGCCCACAGTTGCCGAAGCAAAGCTTGTTATCAACCGTACCTCAGAGTTGGAAGCACTTGTACAACTCGGCGAGGAGCTGGGCCGGCTTTCTAACGTCGCCAAATACCTACCCGAAGATGATCGCCCGGGGATTCTGGTTCTTCCTTTAATTCGGAACTTTGAGGCTCGCGTGCAAGTGGGTGGAAAAGTGGGCAATATCTCCATTAGCATGAAAAACGCGGAGGCTGCTCATATCAGCATCCCGTCGCTCATAGCTGCCCAGGTGGGATCTATAAATTTGGTCCGAAATGGCCACGAAGAGCTGCTGGGAGAAGCACTTCCGTCGAGCCCGATGCATGATCCAACTGCCACTGAGCATCCAATGTTGATGGCTCGGTTTATCGCTGATGAAATGGAGCCTACTATTAAGATCAAGTTGCATCGCCTGCGTGCAGAATACACGATTCCTTCCATCATGGCGGTCCTCGGGCTAGGTGACGACGTAACGACCGGCGATGTGGCTGTCAACATGGCAAATTCCTTAGCTAATGTTGCCGAGATACAGCATCCACAACGTCGGTCTTCGTCTCCTATGAGCCCTGGAAGTCCGAAAGATCATCAAAAGCCCATCAAGCTAGCAATGACTCTTCGGGACTGTGTTCTTGGGCTCAACCCTCGGGGCACTCCTGCCAAAGGTTTGTTGGTGTTAACAAGTGCTAAATTTTCGGGTTCCATTCATGATTCCGTTGCTTCGGAAGCAGTATTGGATCTGCGTAAAGCATCGGTCATGGTGATCGACGACATCCACAACATCGATATGGCGGGCAACGTACGCCAAGGGAACTGGAGTGACCAGGGCAACGCCGTCCAATCTTTCATGGACCAGGGATTTGTCCCGGTTTCCACAATATCATCAGCAACGGCAACCGTCAGGATCATGCAGCTGAGTGACGACGGGACAAAATCACTAGATGTGGAACTAAAGGACGATTTGTTGATCCTTGAGACTTGTGCTGATTCTACCCAAACCCTCATCAGCATAGTAAATGGTCTACAGCCCCCTACCCCTCCCAGCACAGAGACAAAATATCGGACAGAGGTCCTCCCAATTCAGGACATGCTGGCTTCATTTTCTGGAGACGCGTTTACGATGGACCAGTCCCCGGATCACGAAACTTCTCAACCAGCAGCTGGGTCTGGTGAAGATTCTCCCAAAAGGGAGACTATCGACGACGAGCTGGAGTATGTCAGCGATTTCTATCCTGTGACTCACGGACCTGGACACGAATCTATTCCCGAGGGTATGGTGGGATCGGAATCGAGCGACCTCTTAGACAGTTTCCATTCGCAATACTACGTGTCGTCTAGCATCTCCGACCTTGAATTCCAAGATGATCATTTTGCGAAAAAGTCTGCCGTTGGAGGGACAGCACACCGGTGGGATTCAACACGGAATACCTATGGCCTTTCGGACGACTCCAAACTCCAGAAAAGTCCCTTGAGAATCAGAGTTCGCGATGCTCACGTCATCTGGAATTTGTTCGACGGGTACGACTGGCAGCGGACTAGGGACACCATATCGAAAGCCGTAAAGGATGTGGAGCGCAAGGCAACGGAGCGGCGTGCGAGGTCTGGAAGCCGGGCGTCGCCAGGCTTTGAGGAGGAGGAGGAATCCGTTATTGGAGACTGCCTTTTCAACTCTATATATATTGGCATTCCGGCCAACAAGGATCCGCGAGAGCTCCGCAGTGATATCAACCGAAATATCGACGACCTCGTCAGTGAGACCGGAAGTTACGCCACCACAACCACCGTCACAGGGGCTACGGCACGCCAAAACCAGCCCCCTTTGTCTCGCAAGAAATTGCGCTTGTCGCGGAGCAAATACCACAAGATGACTTTTGAACTCAAAGGCATCTGTGCGGATCTGGTGGTCTTCCCGCCTAACTCGGGGGAGACACAGAGCTCCTTGGATGTGCGAGTCAAAGATTTGGTGATCTTTGACCATGTCCCTACGTCGACGTGGAAGAAGTTTGCTACGTATATGCAAGAAGCTGGGGAAAAGGAGAGCGGAACGAGCATGGTACATATAGAGTTACTGACAGTGCGCCCTGTTCCTGAACTAGCGGCCTCCGAGATCGTGTTGAAGGTAAGAACTCGTTCACGCTTGCGTTGAATTTTCTGACTTTCTCAAGGCTACTCTTCTCCCCCTTCGACTGCATGTCGACCAAGACGCTCTGGACTTCCTATGTCGGTTCTTTGAGTTCCGCGACGAATCAGCACCCGAACCCAGCTCCCCAGGCGATATTCCGTTCCTCCAACGGGTTGAAGTGAACTCAATCCCTGTCAAGCTCGATTTCAAGCCCAAGAGAGTTGACTACGCCGGTCTTCGCTCCGGGCGCACGACCGAGTTCATGAATTTCTTCGTCTTGGACGGGGCTGATATGGTCATGCGACACGTCATCATCTACGGTGTATCCGGCTTCGATAAGATGGGGCAAACACTCAATGATATCTGGATGCCTGACATCAAGCGGAACCAGCTCCCCGGTGTCCTTGCCGGGCTAGCCCCAATCCGATCGCTCGTCAACGTTGGCGGTGGCATGAAAGATCTCGTAGTGGTCCCTATGCGAGAATACCGCAAGGACGGGCGCATCGTCCGAAGCATCCAGAAAGGCGCAGTCTCATTTGCGAAAACCACTTCAAACGAGCTAGTCAAGCTAGGCGCGAAGCTCGCCATCGGAACCCAGACCGTTCTACAGGGCGCAGAAGACCTCCTCACCACTCCCGCCCCTGTGGTGAACCTAGAAGAAGGCCAGCTCGACGAGGAAGAAGCCAAGAAGATCTCGCCCTACGCGGACCAGCCAATTGGAGTTGTGCAGGGCCTGCGAGGCGCCTTCCGCGGGCTGGAGCGTGACCTGGTCCTGGCCCGCGATGCGATCGTGGCAGTTCCTGGCGAAGTGGTCGAGAGTGGAAGTGCCAGCGCGGCGGCCAAGGCTGTGTGGAAGCGCACTCCAACCGTCATCCTTCGACCGGCCATTGGAGTCTCCAAAGCCGTGGGCAAAACGTTACTCGGTGCTGGGAATACGTTGGACCCGAGTAATCGGCAGAAAATGGAGGATGTAAGTTTGTCTCCGGAGGTGTGCTATCGCTTGAATTTTGCTGACGTTGGTACAGAAATACAAACGACACTGAATGTCGGACGCGTATATTTCGTAGTCCAGTGTGGACATGTTGGTGGATCATATTCTTTTTTCTACACACGCACACACGCACACACGCACACACGCACACATATTACCTCTCTCAACCTCTCACTAAAATCTTATACTGTCGTTTTTCTATTTCTGATTAACTACTCGGGCCACGAAATGACCCGTTACATACTCGTCACGAGCTCCAGCACGCAGGCCGGTAGCTGACACCGCGATTTTACCTCGCGACTAACACTAACACATGACGATAACATGACTGTGCTACGACTACCCATGGATGGTGTTTGGTTAATCAATTTTCAAGCGTGGGATACCTGGGAAGGATTTGCTACCTTACTATTGAGTTCTGAGTTTTGAATCCCCATTGGCAGAATGGATATCCATGATGAAACAGCGATTGCTATTTTTTATCTTTTTCTTTATCTATTTTTCTTTTGATTTTCTATTTTTCTATTTTTGTGCTTGGATTTTCTTTCCATCCCTGTGACATAGTTAGATCCCTAGCGAGCTTGGATATCAAGTGTGATTTGAATGAATTTTCCACGTCTCATCTCATCTAGGTAACCTACCGACAGAGGAAATACTCGAAGCTGATACGTATCTTACCTATCAATCACCTTATATAGATGAAACCCGAATCACAGTAATACATCTCAGCGGCCACTATAGATCGTGTACACATGGCACGAGTGGTTAATCATACCTAGCCAGGTAGGTAGGTAGGGAAACAAGGCTACGCCATCTCAAACAAAGCTAATTCGTTTGACCCATTGTCAGCGCCTCTTGTGACAGGGCACACCCATTGATTGAATGAATGAAGGACTTCCCGTGCTGCTATATTTAGCCCCGTGCTGTTTGTTGTTGTTGTATGAAGTTGGCGGAGCTATGACTGGTCATTTCCTTCTTTCTCTCTTCTTTTCTTCCTTTGATTCATTTCAGGGTTCCGTCATATTCTCCACTTCAGCCTCTGAGGCTGCACTCATTTACTTATTTGCTTGATTAGTCGGTGATTATGGGTGGGATTACTAGGGTGTGAGGTTGTTGGGATATAATTATATTGAATGTTGTAGGTACAGGGGGGGTTTCGGGGGCCGGATGGGGATGTTGCGCCGAGTGGAAGTCTGTCCGTCTTGAGGGACAGGGAAGGGTGGTCATCTGCGACCGACTGAATGACTGACTGACTGACTGACCGACGGGTCGACCGACTGGCTGATAGTGAATGAACGAGCCTCCTGTGCTGGGTTTGAGGTCAGATTGGACGGTGTGAGGCTGGGATGGGTATCCGAATGGGAGGCTTCTCAGGACTCTGCGGGAGTACTCTGTAGTCTTTCGGCGTTCTCTTTGCACCTGTGGGAGGGTCAAAACCCTTTCTTGTTGCATGAATTGCATGTCTTCATAGAATACCTATCAGCTGAGATTGAGAGATTATGGGGAAGTCCTACTGGATGGTATAGAAGTAGACGGGAGTGTAGATGTCCCTTGGACTAGTCTATGTACAGGATAGTGTGGGGTTTGATGACAGTACTTACCTGGTTTGTCGAAATACTATGGGATGAGGTACCTACTACCTGGAACACTTTGTAGTCAGTACTCTGTAAATATAGTAAGTACATGCACAACAAGCCAAGTACTGTGTGGCTCATATCTGAATCTTGATATATGAAGTATATCTGGTTGAGCTGCCTGAGGCCGAGATCACGGGCCGGCCCTTCTTGGCCACGATCATCGTCAACTTCAACATCTTCACCACCTTCCACACTTTCGAGAACAGAGCACCGTCCACCCTCCGATTCCCGTTGTACCACCGGACTTGCCGTCGAAGTCACATAACCGATCAGCTGGTCCCAATGTTCTTGCAGTGAGGACCATCCGTCCACTGCTCTTGTGAAACATTCCCAGTCTGAGCCGGGAGTACAACATGACCCCGATCTTTCGTCCAAGAGGCCGGCTACTTCGAGGCGAAGAACCTGAAACAGTAGGGTCTAAAGCGGAGATGCTTTGCCTGGTTCACAGAGAGGCTCCAAACTGGGATAGGGCGACAACAATGGAGCCCAGTTAGCCGCATGGCCCCATCTGATGTATCTATGACTCCAATGAGACGGGAGTACCGGGAGATCGATATGTCAATTGGATGGTCACTCCTCCAATTACTGTGGTCAGATGGATAAGGTCACTGGTTCGCAAACCCTGGAACTCGATGGCCTGTCCCCCATTCTAAGTTTCAACCCCTCAAAGCCAGGCACCTAGACTGTGGTCTAGGACCCTACTTCTGCTATCTCATAGGTCCACGTTTTGTCAGCCCAACCAGCGCCCCCCGTCAAGTTGGGTTGGATTACCCCATAACACGGTCTATTATTCCCTCCTGCGACAACGGGGCAGAGAATAGAGAACTACTGTCAATATTGCTGCAAATGGAGTGGTCTTGCCTACTGGTTTGGTTCATGACTCGTCATCGTCGCGGTCCGCCTGCGGGGCTCATCATTGGCTAGTTCGAACTTTCTGCACGTCAGTCTGCACCTTGACCTGGCAATGTGACATCCTTGCTGTTCTTTCTTTTTTTGGCATTTCCTTTTTTTCTCTGCTTTGACCTGTCTATTGTCTGATCTTCTGTTTGTCGTCATGGGTCTCCTTCTTTATCTTCGGCTCAAGCCCAGACCGGCCGGCGGGAAAGGCTGGCTTTTGGCTTGTCCTGGCTTTGGCTTAGCTCGCAGCGTCCATAGATATTGCCGTTATAGCTGCAGCTTCAAAGCCCAAGAGGTAATGCCATTCGGCGACACCCGACTTGGCCTGGAGGGCCTTTTTGTCTTTTGTTCTTCTTTTTCCTTTCTTTTCTTTTCTTCTGTTTGATTAGGCTCGGTTCCTGGTATATCGATCTACATCCTTCTGGCGATCAACTAGCAACAGTCTCCAAGATCTACCCCTCAAGATGATGCATCGACTAGCACAGTGTGAGACAGCCCACCACATCCATGAAGACCTTCACATGAGTCCCGTCAGTCCTATCAGCCCGGGGTCGGGCTCCGCGTCCATAGATCTGGATCTGGATCCGCCTTCGCCATTGAACCCAGCGGGACAAGCTGGAAATCTTTCCCTCCATCACTATCGCAAATATCTGTCCGACGGTTTGCAGTCCAACCCGTTCATCGACAACCATGATTCCAGAAGAGTGAAGCGCAAGAACGCCGCGGTCAATCTCAACCAGAACCCCATGATGATGTATTATCAGCCGCCCCGGCCGTCGATGTCCCTGCTCTCGGGGTCGTCGGCTGCCTCGAGCCCACCGCCGCTGTCCCCATCGTACTCCCCTAGTGCAATCAGCGAACAGCCGGACAGTCTGGATGGCTATGCTTGTGAGTGATTGTTTCGAGTTCTGATGGTGTATGTGTGCTAACAGATGAGTGCAGCGTCTCCAAATCTGGTCGACTTCGATCTATATTCTAAGGAAAAGCTAAACCCACTCCGACTTCATCCACATCGCATCTTGGTATGTATTTCGCGTGTTCTTCTCATTCTTGTATGAACTATGATGTTAACGGCTAGGCTAGACGACATTCCGCCACAGGCTCGAGAAATACCCAGAAGTAGAGCCAGAAGATACTAGATATCCGGCAGCATTCGACCAGGGAACCAATGCCCTCATCTCTCCCAGGCTCCCTATCCACACCAAGAACTACTCTGATTCGGTCCTATTCACCCCCCAGCAGCAAGTCCAACAGCAAGTCCAACAGCAAGTCCCGACCTTGTTCTACCACGGCGCGTCTTTCGAAATTTTGAACCCCCAGGAATCGCTCAGGTTCGCGCGTATTGTGTCCTACATCGAAGACGTGGACAGCTACTCCCCGAAGGAGCTGACAGACTCGCCATCCAAAAACCCACTGAACGAGAACAGCATGTATGGAGCATACGAAGGAACCACGGAGGGCGAGACTTGGGAGAGAGAAGAAGACGAAGAAAACGACGACCAACACGTGCACTTGGCTCTCGTCGGCGACTCCCCCCACCACCCCATGCCCTCGATTTCGGAGCGCCTAGAAGAGGAGCATGAGACAGAAGACAACTTCGATTACCCTATCCCATCAGCGCCACAATTCGGCTCTACCCGTCCCCGCGCCGGGGCCGGAGGCCTCAGCAACAATCACCCATACGAGAGCTACGACGACGACAGCGACAGCGGAAGCGACAGCGACGACGACATCGGCGAGCCCGGCTCCGCAATCAGCGAGATCTTCCCACCAGACATCTTCACCCGCGGGACTGACGACCTAGTCCCCGACTACCCCCACAACCTCAGCGACTACGACATCATCTCCTCCCGAGTCTTCAGCGACGGTGCAGCCGAAGACGACCCCTTCTGGGTCGAGCACGCCGCACGCTTCTACAACCCGGCTATCCCGCCACCTGATCCAGCACAGATCCCCCGAACAGCAATCCAGCTCAAAGGCAAGCCGACCAATCCTGCGCGCCGGTGCAAGAACCGCGGCCGGAATCTGTCGGATAACGCCGTGAAGTCGTTCCAGCGGCTGTGGGGAGTGGCTAGCTCGTTGCGCCGGAGGGGGGATACCACTGGGGGGATCACCTGCTGTGGGGGTGTCTAATCATTTTTTCTTTATCTTTCTCTCTCTTCTCTCCCTCTTTTTATTTCTTTTTATTTTTCTTGATTTGACCGGGATATATTGCCAGTTGGCTGAGCCTATCGTTTTCTACCCATGGTGAATAATTCGTTTCTTTCATTAACCTCGCCTTTGAGAGGCACCGCACCAGCATTACGGGGGTGTTCTGTCCCCTTTTCGTTTGTTTCTTTTTTTTTTCCCTTTTTTTCCCCTTCTCTTTTCTTTTTTTTGCTTTCCTTTCCTTCTTTTTCTATTTTTATTTTTTATTTTTCTCTTGACAATGGCGTTGATCATGCGTTGTACTATGGATTTGCGGTGTTCTCGGGATAGAAGGATGCGCTTGTCTGTTTGGACGTTGGATGCTTGAACACATTACCTACTGGAATTACCTAGCCGTACTAAGTTGCAACTAGATACGGAGGGTTGGATCTTTATAGCGATTGATAGCGATTGATAGCGATTGATAGCGATTGATAGCGATTGATAGCGATTGATAGCGATTGGTAAAGCAATAAATTGACGCCGGAGATATCACAACCACTATATACTAGGTGACTATATACTAAAGTAGGTCGGGTAGGTAACTATACTAATACAAACAATCCACGAAAATAATCCCAGGGGTATCTCTGCCAAGATAGGTATATACATCGAAGAGAAAAGCACACTCACACCACACTCTCCACCATCCACGAAACCAGAAAAAATACAGTAAGAGAATCTACTCAATCGGCATATTCTCCACCATAGACGCCAACGCCGCACTAACAAGACTCTTCCTCCTCAACCCCTGCTCACTCTTCTTGCGCATCTCCGCCGACGAGGCATGGTGGTAGTTCTTCTCGATGCGGCTTCCGCCGTGGGACTGCGCTGCGAGCGCCGAGATGGGGCTGCTTTTGCGCCTGTTGCGGGAGGAGGAGGAGTCGCAGGATTCGGACGCTGTTGATGGCGGGGAGGGGCGGAAGCGGCTGGTGTGGCGGTGGAGGGTGGAGGCGCGGCGACGGGGGGATTGTTGCGGGGGGAGGGAGCTCGGGTGGCAGTCGTCGTTGAGGGTGTTGGTGTTTATGTTGGTGTTTATGGTAGTGGTGGTGGTGTCTGGGAAGGACCAGGTGGGGGGGAAGTAGGAGGGGGACGGCTCGGTTAGGACGGCGCGGCGCATGGCGTCGATTGTGGAAGGGTTGCATTGCATGCGGGAGATGTGTTGTCTTTGGGAGCGGATGGACCAGCTGTCGGGTGCCGGTTGGGGGTGGTCACTCCCGGCGGGCTGGGGGTCGACTGGGGGGAGGAGGATGGAGTCTGCGGCTGGGGCGGAGGTGGGGCTGAGGAAGGGGGAGGAAGATGGGGAGGGAGGGCGTTGTGCGCCGGGGGGTGGGAAGGAGTCGAAGAAGCCCTCGTCGAGATCGTCGTCGGTGTTGTCGCCGTGTTCGGTGTCCGGGGGGGTGAGCACGTAGCCGGGGAAGGAGTCGGAGGTTGCGGACTGGGGCGGGGTGTCCATGGGGCAGTCGGCGGGGCGCGGGGAGGGGGAGGTTGACTGGGAGTGGAGGGAGTGTTCGTGAAGCTTTTGGGTCAGGGTGGTGATGGAGAGGCGCTTGTTGTGGAGGAAGTTCTCGTAGGCGGAGAGGGGGACGGAGGTGGGCGCCTGTTGCGGGGAACGGTGGAATTGGAGGGAGCGGGCGCGCGACAGACTCCGCGGGAAGCGATGTGAGGCTGTTGCGGGGGGGTTGCAGGTGCGCGGGGAGGGACAGCGCGAGGACATGGGCGAGATGAGGGTGGTGTCGCAGTCGACCATGAGGCGGTCGTCGCTGTCGATGGCGAGACGAGGGGGCCTCGTCGAGGAGGGCGAGGAGAAGGAGAAGTCCTCGAACATTTTGTTCTTCTTTTTTTTTTCCCTTGTTTGACGTTGGTTGACGTTGGCTGATATTGATTGACTGATTGGGATAATCGTCCACTCAATCTGCCGCGAGGAACACTTCGAGGCAATATTGGTGGTATCAGGATTGTGAGAGAAAAAAAAAGATGACTACTCAAATATAGGCGAAAACCAGACGGTGGCCACTGAGTAAGAGGAAATTTCCATTGAGATTTGAGAGACACCAGGATGAAGGGAAGGCAGTGGCGAAAAGAGGCGACTGGAGAGTGGACGCGGTGGAGTCTCCTTTAACGAGTGGACATGGATGGAATTGGTCGGTGGCGATGGTGGAAGTGGATGCCGACCATGATGGAAAACGAGGGACGACAGAAGAATGAAATAGGATCACGAATTCCCCTATTTCTCCTATTAATCGAACCGTTTCTTTTTGTTTAATTCTGTCATATTCCGATCCATCCACTAGAGGAAGATCTCAGGGGTCGCGACCGACCGAGACCAGACGGTTTCAGGGGTTTGGGGGATCATACACGAGGATCATCTCCCAGATAGATTAAGGGGAGGATCCATCAATCGAGGCCCAGCTGTCACTGGATTCAAGGAAATCTCCGAATTCTTTCACTGTCATGAAGAAAGAATACAAATTAAAGATCAAGAATTATAGAATCTTTGATATCGATGGAGTCGATCGTGTCCAGGTGTCCAGGCATCCAGCATTGATTATCTAATATGACTGGAGTCGGCATAAGGCGGCATAAGAGGCATAAGACAGTAAGGCCGTAAGGCATAGACATAAGGCATAAGCATAAGGCATTAGCTCAAGGCAGTAAGGTGTTAAGGTATCGAGGCAGACGCATCACGACCACATCCTCATTCTATCTTAGAGAGCTTGATTATATTTTATTATCTTCATGATTCTATTCTATTGATTCTGCTATTTTAGAAAGAATGAGATCCATACCGATTCCAACCTAGTACCTATCTGTCCACTGTCTAACTACAATACCACCATGAGATAAGCTATCGGCAACATCTCCGATTCCCCGCATACTTCAACCTCCTCCTCCCCTCTCTCTCCCTCTCCACTCCACCAATCCACCCATCATGGCCGCCTTGTTGAAACAACCACTCAAGCTGGCGCTGGTCCAGCTGGCATCGGGTACAATCCTTTCAGCTCTCCAACTCCTTCCTAGATACATCCCCCGCTAACCCATTGCAGGCGCCGATAAATCTGTCAATCTCGCCCACGCCCGCACCAAAGTCCTCGAGGCCGCCAAAGCCGGCGCCAAGCTCATCGTCCTGCCAGAATGCTTCAACTCACCCTACGGCTCCCAGCACTTCCCCAAGTACGCCGAGACCCTGCTTCCGTCGCCCCCCTCGCAGGAGCAATCCCCCTCCTACCACGCCCTGTCGGCCCTCGCCGTCGAAGCCAAGGCCTACCTCGTCGGCGGCAGCATTCCCGAGCTGGAGCCCACCGAGAAGAAATACTACAACACCTCACTGGTGTTCTCCCCTTCCGGCGCTCTCATCGGCACCCACCGCAAGACCCACCTCTTTGACATCGACATCCCCGGCAAGATCACCTTCAAGGAGAGCGAGGTCCTCTCCCCGGGGAACCAGCTCACGCTCGTCGATCTGCCCGAGTACGGCCGGATCGGGCTGGCCATCTGCTACGATATTCGCTTCCCCGAGGCGGCCATGATCGCCGCGCGCAAGGGCGCCTTCATGCTCGTCTACCCGGCTGCCTTCAACATGACCACGGGGCCCATGCACTGGTCGCTGCTGGCGCGTGCCCGCGCTGTCGACAACGAGCTCTACGTCGCGCTGTGCAGTCCCGCCCGCGACGTCAACGCGGACTACCGCGCCTGGGGCCATACCCTGGTCAGCACGCCCATGGCGGAGATCGTCCAGGAGGCGGGCGACGCCGAGGAGATTGTCTACGCGGATCTCGATAACGACACTATCGCCAACACCCGCAAGAGCATTCCCATCTACAACCAGCGACGGTTCGACCTGTACCCGGATGTGAGTGGGGAGAACTGAGAAGGAGACGGGATGTGTAGATAGGAGATTCTATTCTCTATAACCATGTTACGGAATTCAACCACTTGATACCAGTAGTGATGCGGTTGCATATGGAACGGCTTGGCAAGTGTGTATGACTAAGCCAGTGCAAACCCGGGAAGTAGTCACGTGTGTATTAGCCAATCAGCGCGGGCGCACGATAAGCGAGCGCACTGAATTTCCACCCGAAAAAAAGAACATCTCGACTTTGCTCCTCCGACAGTCGACCATTGCTGCAGCCACCGACACCGACGCCGTCAACCCGTTCAGTGAGTTGATATCAACCCTTTCCGCCCGTCGTCTATTTCGCAGCAACTAACATAATCAATTAATAGAAATGTCCAACGTCCAGACCGGCAAGAAGACCCGCTCGGCCATCGCCGATGTGGTGTCGCGCGAGTACACCATCAACCTGCACAAGAGAGTACGTTGAAACATGATATGACAGAAAGATGAACAGCAGATATCCCTACCTATTTATCTATTCCTACGATTCGACGGATCATGAGGACTTGGACGGAGAACAACACAGTCAATCCAATCCATCAGAGTTTTCAGCTGGAAACAGAGGAAAGACGAACTGGTGCGAGAAGAGAAGATCTTGTGTGTGGGATTGGGGAAGAACGAGGCATTCAGGATGTGAACAATACAAAATCTGTGTGGAGGAACAATTTTGAATGCAGCGGGATCCAACCCCCTCTCCTTTTTCTCTTCTTTTCTTTTCTCTACTCTCATCTTCCTTTCTCTTGGAAACAAGTGAATCAAACGAAGAGAGAAGGAGAAAGGAAGAGAAGAGAAAAAATGGAAAAAAGAAGAAACCCAAGAATTAGTTTGATGAAGTCCACCTCATGGCCGCAAATCGCAATCATCCTTGCAGATTCTCTCTCTCCGATTGATTATCTCTTTCAGATGGCATTTGGGCGGAAGACTAATTTCTCTTCTTTTTTTCCCTTTGGTATAGACCCACGGTGTTAGCTTCAAGAAGCGTGCTCCCCGCGCCATCAAGGAGATCCGTGCTTTTGCCGAGCAGGCTATGGTATGTCTTTTTTTCTCTCCCTCGTATATACATACATCATAAGTGTGTATGTACATATGTACAAACATGCTAATCATCCAAACAAATACAGGGCACCAAGGACGTCCGCCTCGACCCCCAGCTCAACAAGAAGGTCTGGGAAGCCGGCATCAAGGGCGTTCCCTTCCGTCTGCGCGTGCGCATCTCGCGCAAGCGTAACGACGAGGAGGACGCCAAGGAGCGCCTGTACTCGCTCGTCCAGGCCGTCAACGTCAAGAACCCCAAGGGTCTGCACACTGCCGTTGTGGATGATGAGTAAATCATCACTTTTTTATCCTGAAAATGAAAAAGATGAACTAGATAGATAGGGTTGACGAAATGAATGGTGCACCGGGTTGCAATCAAGCACAAATTACTGCCAGTGGATGTTGGTTTCGTACCGGACCTACTACCTACCTACCTACCTACTCTGTACTTTTCTTTTGTATGGTTGCCTTTTGAGCTACCTATCTATCTACCTATCCTGCCTAGGTCTGGCTGCGAAGGACAACAAAATCAAGTTTAATACCCCTACTTACCTATCTACCTACCTACCTATTTATTTATAAGTCGTATTCGATATGTACATACGTATAATGTAGTCCCCAAGGGAACTTCCCGTTCAATACAGGCGAAGTCGACACTCAATTCGTTCAGCTAACTTACTCGAACTCCAGCAGAAAAGAAAGAAACTACCTAGGTAGTAGATACCAATCCAACACAGGACGTATGTACTCCATAAAGAAGGATCAAATGTACTCCGTTGAAGAAGGATCAACTAAATAAAATACAAACACTATCCTATCTGAGAAAAAAGATGAAGTAGAAACAAGATATCTTGGAAAAGTGAAAAATTCCATTGCGAACAAAATCCCATACCGCTATGCTAAAAGTGCGCCGCGCCTGTTTTTTCTGTAGTCGGGCCAGAATGAGATAAACAACAAAACAATCGAAAATTGGAAATGGAAAACGAAAATGGCAAAGTGAGAAAACAATGATATGGTAACATGGTGAATATGATCTCTTTGCGAAGTTTGGTATGCTTTGCATGTGTAGTGGTAGAAGGTGGGGGATAGATGGATCTATCCTGCAAGGTGAGAACAATAAAAAAACAAAGACAAAGATAAAGCAAAATCAATGATCCCATCTGAAGCCTGTCCTTGTTTCCTTCCCCCTTGTACCATCTACAATCATCGCTCTTCTCCTCCCAATCTTGCTACCCAACCAACCAATCCATACGACCGCGTCGAGCCCAGATGGCCCCGACTGACAAGACACGGGTCACGCTAGGATCCGAAGATCCTGGGACCTCGCGTGTCTTGTAGGGTTCCATGGTCTCAACGGCGGTCGTGTAGGGTTGGGTTGGTTGGTTGACAAGATCGAAAGGAGGGGAGTTCAGGTTGAAGATGGTAGAGGAGTGGAAACAAGACGGGTTTCGGATGGGGTGAAAGGGAGAGCAAGAGGGGATTCGGGTTCTGGGGGGATGGGAGCAAACCAAACCAAAGCAATAGAATAGGATAGGGTAAAAAAAAAACATTCAAGAACAAAAAAGCTTCCCTCCCCCTGCCCTCCCATATGCAGTCAACACTAACACTTATTCTCCTCCAAAACGGAGCCCAGCTTAGGAGCTTCCTCCGTCTTCACGCGGAGAGCCCACTGTTCGAGGGTGCCGCTAGCCTGAGGCACAATGAAATACACGCTGTTGCCCTTAACGGAGTACTTGATCTCCTTCTTCAGCGAGGTGTTCAGGACGATGTTGCCGCTGGGATCGGCGCGGAGGAGCACGCGGCAGCGGGATGTGGTGCGGTCTTTCAAGACACGCAGGAAGCCCACGCCTTGGCTTTCCCACCCGGTGCCGGGGGTGAGCTTCATGGCGCGCGCGCGCGTCTCCATCAGGGCGTCTTCGTTCTCTTCGCCGGCGCCTCCTTTGGAGAAGTCGACTTGCGGGAGAGACTCCGCTCCTTCGGTATCGCCGGACGAGTCGGCGCCTGTGTCTGATGCACCGGGGGTTGTGGACTGGCTTGCGGCGGCGGAATTGATGCTGGGGGCCAGGAAGGATGATGATGGCGAGGGGTTGCCGAACGAGAAGCCAGATTGTGGCTGCGAGTTGCCGTTGCCGGGTGTTGGCCCGGCCGCGGGGGCTCCAAAGAGAGTAGAGAAGGGCTTCGACCCGTTACTCGCGGGCGTGTCTGACCCAGAGTCAGGCTTGGGCGTTGAGTCACTGGCGAATTTGATGGGAGAGTTCATCTTCCACGTGTTGTCACCAGCTGGCTTCATAGGACTCTGGCCTGCAGCGAAAATGGACGGAGTGGAGCCGCTAGAGCTAGGAGCAGAAGACCCGAAAAGTCCCCCAGCGGGTGCCGGCGCACCGAAAAGACTGGGAGTAGCAGGCTTGGGCGCAGAAGCGTCACTCTGCTCAGATGCCGGCTTGCCAGCTGAGGAAAATAGGTTGGGGGTGGTGGATGCAGGCGTGCCGGTGGCGGATGGAGGCTTTGGGGGCGCGAACAAGTTCGCAAACGGATTTTTCTTCTCCTCTTCGCCCTGGCTCTTGGGGGTGCTGCTCTCTTGGACACGGCCCATCAAGCTGCGGTTGCCTGGTTGCTCGCTTTTCTGCGCGGCAGCCGGTTTCGACTTTTTGAGGGCCTTCGAAAGATCACCGTCGTCACTGCTGTCGTTGGCAGAAAACTCGGCACCACTGCCTGATACCCCCTTGGAGCCGGCTTCGCTGACATCCCGGCTGCTTTGCTCGCTGGCCGAGACAAAGAGAGAATCCTTCGAGGTAGTGCCATTCTCGTCGCCATCGATGGAGGCTTCCTCCGTGACATCGCCATCGTTGTCGGGCTCTTCGACCTCCGATGGAGTGGCAGAGAGGTGACCAAAGATATTGCTGACTTTGGCCGGGGCGGCAGCGGTCTTGTTCTCAAATACAGAAGGGCCAGAGGACGTTTCTTCCGCCGGCTTCGTGGCGACGTCAGTGTTGTCGTCTTCAAAGACGAAACCCTTCCCGGGGACGAATTTGGGACGCTTCGCGGCGCGAGCCTCGGCTTCCTCACGCTTCTTGCGTTGCTGCTCGGCATCCTTGCGCTCCCACTCGGCTTCGTCATCTTCGTCTGAATCGAAATCTTCTGCCTTTCGTTTTTGCTTCTCTTTCTCTGCATTCTTGTCTGCCTGGGACTTGAACTGGGCGAAGAAGTCGACTCCACCAGAGCCAAACTTGGGGATCGCGGGGGCTGATCCAGAAGCACCCGCGGCACTCTCGCCGTTCGACGGCTTCAGGGTAAACGGATTAGGTGCCGGTGCCGGTGAGCTACTCGCCGCGGGAGAACCAAATGTGGGCTTTGAGACCGACGCAGACGCGGAAAAGAGCGAGTTGCCCGTTGCGGGTTGGCTGGCCGCCGCGGGAGTAGGGAAGAGTGGCTTGGAGGGAGACGCTGTGGGCGTCGTGGAGAAGTTAAACTTGGGAGTCTGCGGAGTCGACGGTTGTGTAGATGGGGAAGGTTCCGGCTGGGCAGACTCGCTCGGAGAATCAGACTTGGATTTGGAGAAGGACTGCGCAAAGATGTTTGCCGTGCTGGACTCGCCATTGATTTTCTTTGGTGGCGATCCTTGAGTGTCCTCGGAATCGTCCGTTGACTTCCTCTTTCCGTCGGCCGGCGTAGGCGGGGTTGTTTCAGATGGTTTGGCCGGGGTGGTCATCTCCGCAGAAGCAGGGGTGGCTGCGGGTGAGCTTTCTTTGCTCGAGGCGGCAGCTGATTGAAAGCCCCCAAAAGAAGCCTTGACCTTCTTCAAACCCTGACCATCGACCGGCTCGCTTTCATCATCTCGGGTCTTGCGCTTAGTGGTCACGGATCCGGTCGGCGCACCGAACGTCTCACGCACACGCACGTAGAACTCCACGACATTGAGGAAGTCGTGTTCGGCGGGGTTCAGCTTGGCGACCTCGCGCTGGAAGCATTGGTTCAACATGCGGACACGATGCAAGAGTTCGACTTCTTCTGCCGTCTGAGGTGTCAGCGCGTCGGGGAGTCGCGACGGTCCCAGCTCCTCTTTCAAGGCGGCAGCACCCTTGTCGCTGGAAGCTGTGGAGAGCGGGGCAAAGGCCTTGGTCCCATTGGTCTGCGAGGTGGAAGCAGGTTGGGCGGGCGCTTGGTTCTTGGGTTCCGAAGGAGTAGCTGGAGCAGCAGTCGGTGCCGAGGATTGGCCAAACGGACTCGACGGCTGACCGAAAGGAGTCGCAGGCTTCAGCGGGGACGCACTGGGCGCTGGTGTGGAGAACAACGGAGCTGGGGTAGTGGCTGGCTTTTCGCCGTCGCTGGGCTTCGCCGGCTCCCCCATACTGGGCTTAGGGGCGAACAGATTGCCGAATGGATTGCCCGAAGGCAGAGGTTGCTGCTCCGTCGCGGGCTGGCTTGGCGTAGCTGGCTTGGGCGCGAACAGGCTACCGAAGGGTTTGGCTTCTGCGGGCTTCGATTGGTCCTGCTCGGCTGAGACTGCGGGTTTGGGGGCAAACAGGCTACCTGCCGAAGGGGGCTGGAACAATCCGCTGGCCGGCGCCGCCGGCGCCGCTGCCGTCTCGCTCTTGGAGAACAGGGACGGGCTGGTGGAGGGGCCGCTGGTGGATGGCGCAAACTGGAACGGGTTCTTGGCCGGCGACTCGCTGGGCTTGTCCTCTTTCTTTTCTTCTGGGGCCTTTGGTGCCCCTGCGAAAAGATTCGTGGATTGAAAGGGGGTCGCAGCCGGACTGGCCGGCGCAGGGCTACCGAATTGAAACGGGGTTGCGCCAGTGGTCGCCGGAGCGGGGGTGGAAGACGTGCCCCCGGCCGTGGTGCCCGGTGTGGTCGCTCCGAAGAGGGAGGGGGTAGGAGTCCCAGCCGGTTTGGTCTCCACGGGCTTCGACGGGGTCTGGGCGGGTTTAGCCGGCGAGCCACCAAAGACAGAGCCCGAACCGGCCAGGTTGGTGGAGGCGCCAAACCCGGTCGAAGCGGCTCCGCTGAAGATGGATGTCTTCGCTGCGAGGCCATTGGACTTGGCGTCGGGGGAAGTCTGCATCGAGTCGTTTCCGAACGCGGTGGAGTTTCCAAATGGAGGCGACTTGGCCAAGGGCTGCTGACCAAAGGGAGGGGCGCTGGTGGACGTGGTGCTTTGACCGAAAATGCTACCCGTGGAAGCGGGAGCCGACGGTGCGGGCTTGCTAGCGGCCGGGCCATTCGCGCCAAAGTTAAACAAACCGCCGGAGGCATTGTTCTGTTGCGGGCCCGACCCAAAGATCCCACCGGCAGGCGGGGCTTGCTGAGAGGGTGGTTGCACATTGCCCGACGGGGCATTGAAAGCATTGCCTGTGAAAGAGAACCCACCACCGGTGGACGGTTGGCTAGGGCCGGTCGAGTTCGTGGTATTCATTGTAGCAAACGGGTTTCCCCCCGAGGGTGGACCGCCCGTGGTGGAGAAATTGAAAGATGAGGAACCCGTGCCAGCACCGAAGGAGAATGGAGAGGATCCGTTTTGGGTCGGCGGGGGTGGATTCGATCCAGCTCCGGGAAAGCTCTGAGACTGACCGAAGGAGAAACCGTTCGACATGGGTTGAGTACCCGCCCCAGGGGAGGAAACGGGGTTGGAGTCTAAAGAGTTGAAGGGACTACCGAAGGAGGGGGCTGGAGCATTTGTGGGAGCAGCGGTTGTTCTTCGTTTCCTTGGGTCTTTGATTCTTCAGGTGTGTTAGTGATGGACGTTGAAGAACCAAGAAGCAATGTGGATGAGGTGAGTGTAAGATGGAGAGATTAGAGAGGTGGAGCTCGGGGGATCTGGGAGATGGAGAGTTGGAGAGTTGGGAGATTTGGGAGAGCTGGGAGATGGAAAATTGGGAGAGCTGGAAGAGATGGAGGGATAGAGAGAGGGAGAGATTCGAAGATGGGAGAGGGGAGAAGAGGGTGGTTATTTATAGGCAGTCCAGGACGACGAGGAGGAAAACTCTGTCGCAGTGACTGAAGGATAACAACAGGGCATTGCAAACCCCAGTGACAGAAGGATTACCCAAAGGCGGCAGAGAAAGAAGATGAAAAACGGGGATCACCGGGGATGTAACTGAGGAAATCACAGGGCTGTATCAACTCACTTTCTGTTCGCCAGCTGAGCAGCGGTAGCCCGCTGCGGCTTCTCATCCGGAGTACCCGACATATTGAATTCAAACAGGTTGGACTCCTTTGAACCCTGCGGGCCCTGAGCACCTCTCTTGGACATACTCCACGGAGATGGGCACACCAACAAGTTGACACCCTAGCAGGCACGAGTGTCGGCTAGAGTTCCCCCCTTCGAGGACCTCGATCTGGACGCGCTCCAACAGCGGTCTCTCATCCAAAGCACCAGCGCTGCAACCGTTGAGGATCTCCTGCAGGTCGAGTATGCGCTCGTGGGTCCTTTACTTGATGGTATACACCCGTTGTTGTGCCAACGGCCGGCGAATTCGTTCGGGGGCGGGAGGGGAGATGTGTGCGCGGGTCGGCCACAACGCGACGACGCGATCTTCTTGGATGGTTAGATAGGACTAAGATGCTATCCAGAGTTCAAATAATGCGATCGGCTGTGACTTGGAGTCACAGTAGGGATGGACTGGACAGCAGACGCGCTGGATGAGGGAGTGGTGATAGGTCGCAACGAGCGCGAAGTGACAGGATGGCGGAGTGACTGGCGACTCAAGAAGGCCGAGCCAAACTAGATTGAGCGCGATCGGGTGATAAGCGAGAACCAGTACTGAGGGTTTGTGGGGTGCAGAGTGTTCAGTGGAGGAAGTGGTGATTAGATGGGGATCACTCGAAAAATAAAAGGTTTAAAAAAAAAAAAAAAGAAGCTTGGTTAAGCTGGTTCAGCCGCGACGGAATTGTGAAAAAAGGGAAAAAAATACAGTCACGTGATGTTATGCAAGGACACTGACTCTTGGCACTGGAACATACAGTCTAGAGTACAGCCAGAGATGCACAGTATTATACAGAGTCGCAGAGAGTGACGTCTGAGATCTTCTTTAAAGGACAGGTTGATAAAAGACATTATGATCTCGTCGTCTTTGTCATGGTTTGATGGTGGCTTGGACGAGGGTATCGTGCATACGCCGTCTGTACGTGTCATGCGCCGATGATGCCGGGGTTAGTGGGGCATAAGTGACCATACAGGTAAGGGGATTACGCTTGTTTCTATGGCAAACATTACACAGAACTCCTGGGTGTATCAAGATCAGCCGGGTTGAGTCTGGATGACGTCGGAATCAGGAAATGGATGGAATATACCCACTACTGGAGTACTATGCTAAAGAGCTAGAGCTGCAGATAAATGAGCATCTACTTCTAATTCATTCTCTACGGATATTTACGGATTGACAGATTTACAGGTTCACCCATCAAGAGAGAGAAATTGAAAATACATTGAATACAGGGTATCTAGAGCTTGGCCTTGCCCTGGGCCTTCTTGAGGACGGGCTCCATCTTGGTCGCCTTCATGATGTTACCCTTGATCTTGAGCTTGCCGCCCATGAACAGACGCTGGGCGTTGGCCTTGCCGGCAACGAGGGAGGCGAAGTCGGCATCGGAGAGGGAGAGGGTGACTACATCATTAGTTTCCTTTTCCCTTGATAATCCATATTATGGAGACATACCATCAGCCTTCTTGCCAGCAGGGGCAGCACCCTTGCCAACCTCACCGACCTCCTTCAGGTCGAGGTACCAGCTCTCCTCCTTGCCGCCGGCGTTCTTGATGTTGAAGCTGACGATGGCCTTGGCCTTTTCGACGGCATCCTTGCGCTCGGCGGCATCGGCCTTGAGGGTAGCGTTGATCACGTCGAACGCGGCGGACGAGGGGAAAGCATCTGTAGAAATTAGGATCAAGACTCAAGTAGACCGGAGACGGGACAGGAGGAGGGGCCTTTGGGGGAAGGGGGGGAAGCGGAGGAAGGGGGGGGGGGGAAGCATACCGTTCTTGAGAGACATGGTGAAGGAGTGTATATGGGTTGTGGATGTATTGAATGATCAAAACCTGGAGAAAAAAAAAGGGGGAAGAGAAGAGGATGAACTGGGGAGGAAGAGTTTATATTTCAACCTTAAGCTTTTTCCCCGGAGAAATCGGGGCATGTGAAGTTTGGAGGCGGTCGGACTGGTTGGACCGAGGCTGCGGCTTCGGTGTCTGTATCCACACTCGCAACGACTGCCTTGTCAGTATTAAGTATGATTTCATTCAGATGTCCTGAGGTAGAAGTATATCCACTCTAATCTAGATGATGGCCGACAGTAGAGAAAGTGCCAGAATCTGCCACATGCATGAGATTACTCCACTTGAGGTACCTCGTAACCCGGCTATTCACTATTGACTAGAGGGGTGTCCCAACAAATCATCATGTTGAATATGGTCTGGATCTTGGTTATACATTTAAAGTGACGGGGGATGATATTAGTAAATATAGGGATCATTAAACCAAGGAGATGAGAATAAAGACATAACTATAGTTAAAATAAGTGTTCACTCCGTAGTACCCACAGATATATATATATCTTCGGTATATGGAGTACCAATGTAATCAACAATTCATCAGACCCATATATATAAATAATACTACAATCAAGTACTTCAAAATATAGAATACACCGTATGATAGACTGGTTGAACCAAAGCCCAAGAAAAAACCGTGAATTATTCCTGGTTATCCTTGGTTCTGACAGGGGAATACCTGTTTGCCTCAGGTTCCCCAGCTTGAAGGGGAATAAAAAAATCAAATCAAATCAAAATTGCCACCAAGATAATAGATCTGGTCATTCCACTCTCAAGATGTCCTTTGACTCTCCTACGACGGAGTGATCTCTCCTTCTTTCATATGTCTACCCTTTGATGGTACTGCAGACAATCAATTTTCCCCGCCAAGAAACGATCTTCCGATCTCACGAATCTCAGCCGCCTCGACGTGTATCTTCCTCTTCCCCCGATAGCGCTTGGACATCTTCCATTCCGCCCCTCTTGAGGCCACACCTTCGGTCCTCTGTCTACCTGCTTAGTCTACTTATTGACTATCGACTATATCATTCGCTGTATCCATTTCCGCCGGATTCGATCGCTACGTTCAGTGCAACGGCCGTCGGGCCTGAGGCGATAAGCTAGACCCGACTCTAGCGCGAACAGATGGCGTCTCCCACCTCCCCGTCCATGGACGAAATCCTGGACGATATCGAGCTCAACCATGTCATCCTGCAGAGTCTAGACGAGGAGCGTCCAGATGCTGTCGAGGACCGACAAGATATCGTGAATACCATTCGGAATCTTGAGGCTCGCCTGGCTGAGCTCCGCGGCGAACCCCGACCTTCAGGAAGCCGCCCCCCGTCCCCGCCGTTTCATCAGTCCTCCGGGGACCCGGACTTGTCGCGATCGCAACTGGATGGAAGCGTTGACCATGGTCATCGAATCGTCGTTAGTCCTCCGCACGGCCGGTCCGCCATGTCACCGCCGCCGCGACCAGGGCCACCGGGCCAGGGAACCACGACCGTGTTACACTCGTTGGGCTCGTCGTCCGCCCACAAGCGCCCCCATACCCCCGAGACCGATGCGTCCGACGACACCGATGACCTCGAACGACCCCCTCCCAAGCGAACGCTACTGAGCAGACCCTCCCCGCGACCGAATTCCGGCGATCTGCCGGACCCGAGCTTCTCGAGAGAGGCGTCCGCAGAGTCCCAGACCGATGATTCTCTAATGCAGCTCCTGAACCTGAGCGGCAGCGATCTACAGGCGCTGGAAGAGACGCAGAAAGAACTGGAACGGGATATTCAGAGGCGCAAGGAGCAAGAACGGCAGGACGAAGAACTCGCCCGCAAGTTTGAGCAAGGTTATTGGGAGCCGCCATCGTCAAGCCAGAGTACTCCCTCCCACTATTCCGACTCGCCGCTACCCAGTTGGCCCCAGCAGACCAACCCCGTCAGTACGATGGATCGACATCCATATCCCTACCGTCCCTACCCGAACCCGAGCCTACCGAACCCGCCACCCAGGCACGTGGAGCCGTCCGCCTTGCACTCAATGGGCCCATCGAACTCTCAGCGTCCGGCGCCCATCTACCTGGCCGACAGTGACGATAGTGATATTGCGGAGATCACAGCGGGTGATTTCCGGAGAAATGCGCCCCCGCAGATGGCTCGGATGACCGACCGCCCGACCCTGCCGCCTCTCCCGGCCCAGCCCTCCCATCCGCCGTATAATAATACTTGGATGAACAGCTTTCGGAACTTTTCCAGTCTTCCCAGTCTTCCCAATCCCTACGCGTCGCTGGGCGGTCCGTCTAGGCCGGGTCCGGGGGATATGAGAGGCTCGACTCCCATGTTTGGTCCCCACGTCTTGCACAGTACCATGGCGAGGCTCAATCAAGGGAAGCAGATGCTCGAGGATGCCGGCAGGTCCGCCATGGCCGATTTGAACAAATTGTTCCCAAATTCCAGAGTGGCCCCGTATGACCTGTCCAGTGACTACGAGGTGCCAACCTATTTCTGGGACAAGCTTGAGGATGGCGTCGATCCCAAAAAGGTCAACGAAGAGATCAAGCAATTGCTGGAGACCATCCGACCGGATTCGGAGATTGACTTGAAGAACCGCGAAGGCACCCCCGAGGCGCTGAAGTTGAATCTGCTGGAGCACCAGAAGCTGGGCCTGTCGTGGATGAAAACCATGGAGGAGAACGAGCAGAAAGGCGGGATCCTAGCCGACGACATGGGTCTTGGGAAGACGATCCAGGCCATCGCCCTCATGGTGTCTCGGCCGTCGACCGACCCGGACCGGAAGCCGACCCTCATCGTTGCGCCCGTCGCGCTGCTCCATCAGTGGAAGCGTGAGATTGAGAGAACTCTGCGGCCGGGGAAGCACCAGCTGAAATCCTACGTCCTGCACGGGGAGCGGCGCACCATGGCGTTCCGGGACCTGAAGCACTACGACGTGATCCTGACCACCTTCGGGACCCTGTCTTCGGAGTTGAGGCGTCGGGAGAAATACGACGAGCTCCACGCGTCGGGGACTACTGGTGAAGCCCAGGCTAAAGACATGCTGAAGTCGATGCCGTGCCTTGGTCCGAGCAGTAAGTGGCATCGAATTATCATCGACGAGGCGCAGTGCATCAAGAATCGGCACACCAAGGCTGCCCTTGCTTGCTGCAGGGTGAATTCTACTCACCGCTGGTGCATGACTGGGACTCCGATGATGAATAATGTCGAGGAACTGCACTCGTTGTTGAAATTCTTACGCATTCGCCCGTACAACAGTCTAGAAAGATTTACAAAGGTGAGTGCACAGACGCCACGATTCCCCTCCACCTTTTCTCTTTTTTTCTTTTTTTCTTTTTCTTTTTTTTTTTTTTTTTTGGAAGCAGAACTAACCGGTCATTAGGACTTCACCCGCCCCTTGAAGAGCGGCAGCAACGATGCACGTGACAAGGCAATGAGACAGCTGCAGGTGTTGCTCAAGGCAGTGCTCCTGCGGCGGACAAAGGAGTCCAAGATCGACGGCAAGCCCATCCTGCAACTGCCACCGCGGGTATCCGAAAAGGTCCACGCCGTATTCAGCGAAGACGAATTAGAACTATACCGATCTCTCGAGACCAAAACCCAGCTACAGTTCAACAAATACCTCGCGGCAGGCACCGTGGGCCGGAACTACTCCAACATCCTCGTTCTACTCCTGCGCCTCCGACAGGCCTGCTGCCATCCGCACCTGATCAGCGACTTCAGCGTCCAGGTCAATGCGATTACCGACGAGGTGGACCTCATCGCGAACGCCAAAGCATTCGGCAGCGACGTGGTCATTCGCCTGAAGGATAACGACGACCTGGAGTGTCCATGCTGTATGGATGCGGTCGACAACCCGCTCATCTTCTTCCCCTGCGGCCACAGCACCTGTGCCGAATGCTTCTCCCGCCTCTGCGACCCGGCGCGGGCAGTGAGCCAGGGGCACGACGGTTCGGTGGAAGCCAGGTGTCCCAACTGCCGCAGAAATGTCGACCCCAAGAAGAACACCGACCACGTCTCATTCCGCAAGGTCCACTACAACGAGGGACCTGATGACCTGGAACAGCCGGAACCCGCTCAAGCAGCCGACGAAGAGCCCAGCGATGACGACAGCGACGACGACGACGACGACGACGACAGCGGCGGCGGCCTATCCCGCTTCATCGTCGACGACGACGGCAAAGCCGGAAGCAGCACGGGCAAAACCAAAAGCAAGCGCAAAGGCAAAGCGCCCATAAAAACGCAAAAGAAAACCATCGCCGAGCTCAAAAAAGAAGCCTCAAAGAACCAAAAATCCAAACGCAAGTACCTCCGCCGCCTCGAAAAAACCTGGGTCCCCAGCGCCAAAATCGACAAGACCCTCGAAATCCTCGAGTCCATCCACGCTGGCGAAGCCGGCGAAAAAACCATCATCTTCAGCCAGTTCACCTCCCTGCTGGATTTCCTCGAAGTGCCCATCATGCGGCGCGGGTGGGGCTACAAACGCTACGACGGCAGCATGAAGCCGGCAGACCGCAACACCGCCGTGCTCGAGTTCACGGATGACCCTAACTGCCGCGTGATGCTGGTATCCCTGAAAGCCGGCAACGCGGGGTTGAACCTCGTCGCCGCGTCTCAGGTTATCATCTTCGACCCGTTCTGGAACCCTTACATCGAGGAGCAGGCTATCGACCGCGCGCACCGCATCGGCCAGCAGCGGAAGGTCCAGATCCATCGCATTCTGGTCGAAAGTACCGTCGAAGATCGCATCCTGGAGCTGCAGGATAAGAAGCGCGAGCTGATTGAGGGCGCACTGGACGAGAACGCTTCGAAGAATGTTTCGAGGCTGGGGACGCGTGAGCTTGCTTATTTATTTGTATGCATCATCTACCCATCCTTTCCCCTCGTTTTGGATATCAACTAACTTTGGTCTTTTAGGGCGTTCACTAATGACTTTATCATTCGCCTGCTTTCACCTTACTTACTTTCTTCTTTTCGTTGCCACGGCGTTCTCTCTCTTCTCTATCGAATCCCGGAAAATGGTCTTTGCTGCAACCTTTCAAGATACCCCATCCATGTCTCTCTTATTCCCTAGTTACCATACCCTGTTTATACCAATGGTGTACCCGTTTGTTTGTTTTTTCTCGTTGCTCTAGTCTACTTTCTCATTCTAACCTGTTCAGGTGCAATTTTTCAGATTTTACTTTTTTTAAAGCGAAATAGAAATACAAGTGGGGGTAGATTATCATGCAATAAAACGGTCAGATCCTAGTTATCTTTACTTTCAATCTATCTATCTATCCATCTATCCATCAACTGTCATAAATCATACGTTATATGAATAGCAACACGCGCCAAGTGGATTCGAGATTCTTTGATCATCCCCGATTAACCCTCTTAGCTTCGTGTTACGAGTTCTTCCTCGGGAGAGAATATAGACAAAAATAGCTGGGGTAAATACTAACTAGATGATCGAAACACAGTTAAACCGGCTTTATCACAGCAAGAGCAGGAACGGCGTCCCTCTAGATATAGGAGAAAGTAGAGCTGAAGGAAGAGTGGATTTTCAATGCTAGCTATAGGGTTTGTCTGCTGAATTATGATTATCAAAATTCAGACGCAGGGAAGTAATGTTTTCTTTGATCATCCTGCCAGGATTGAATGTGTCCTGATCCTACAGTGTCTGAGTTGTCTCCCTATCAATACCAGTCGTAGTTGTTCAAAAACAAAACAGACAATGTCCGCCCGAAGGCGTATCAGGTCGGTCATAAGATCTTCAGCGTTTGGGCTGGTGTCATGTTGGCGGCCCGCATATGTCCCAGAACGGGACCAATCCTCTCGATGACAGAGAGCAGAGAGACAGTGAACGCCAAACTGTTCTGAAAATGTTCAGCTGCGCAGGCCTCTCTGAGCGGGAGAAAGCAACAAATCCAGCTGGACCACTGCACTGCAGAAGGGATTACCGCGAGCTCTGAGGTGAAGGATATACCCTGTTGGACAGCCCCAGATAGCTAAAAGGGATCCTTGACGGAGACCGTAACACCAGGAACTTTACCAGTCCGATGACAAGCTTGACGATTTTGAAAGACAACAGACCTCTCTCTGGTATCTTATCATAGCCCTAAGCCGTGAGTAAGTAGGTGTCGGCTTAGTTCAGAAGATATAGACATACCACGCCACCACAACCCCCCCGAAAAGCCAGGAGACTGATAAGGCTAATGTCTCGGAATTGACATTCCCTTCTGATTTGCTATGCGCCGACGCCATCTCCGCCAAATATGTAATAGTTCCGGTATATTGGGAAGTATGGTGTTTGGATGGTAGAAAATTGGTTGATGAATGGGTGCATGCAATGAAGTAGTGCAGGGAGGACCCCTGTGATTGGGTATCTGGTATGCCTTTCATCTTCTTTATCCCTTTATGCTGGAAGAGATTTCGAGATGTGAAAGAACATAGGCTGGCTTACAAGGCATATATATTGATAGTGTAGTGCTTTTGGTGTTCTAATTTTCAGACCACAGACAAAACAGTTGAGAAAAAAAAAAGTTGAAACTTTGTAGTAGGGGTAAAGAGGACAAAAAGGGAGTCTAGACTACTAGGTGTTGTTGTGATATTTAAAAAAAAGAAAAAAAAGGAAAACAAAATGCATATCAATCGTGCCCGACCATCATGGACGTTTCCCATTCCGCCAACCGCTATCGTTGTATCGTAATCCGAGACTTGACATAACGAACCAGACCCAGTGGAATTCCCCGGAGAGGATGGCAGTCATGCTCTGGACGTCACGCCATGGCCATGCGAGATGGGGTGTGGGCGCGAAGCCACGAGGGCTGACATCCGGTCTCCCCCCAAAACTTCGTCACGCACGAATTTACAAATCCGGGTCCTCTTCGTCGGGCAGGGGCATCTGGGCGGCCTCGTCCATCTCGGCCTGGTACTGCTTGAGGATGTTGTCGTCGACCTGCACCTCGGGAGGAGCAAGGGCGGGGGCGGCAACAAATTCCTAGAATTGCCGAATTAACAGACGCTCGGGTCATACGAAGCCAGGGGAAACCTACCAGCTGAGGGTTGCCGACCAGCTTGCGAGCGAGCCACAGGAAGGGCTTCTCGAAGTTGTAGTTGGACTTGGCGGAGATGTCGTAGTACTGCAGGTTCTTCTTGCGGTGGAAGGTGATGGTCTTGGCCTTCACCTTACGCTCCTTAACATCGACCTTGTTACCGGTGAGGACGATGGGGATGTTCTCGCAGACACGGACGAGATCACCTAGACCGGGGGATCAGCGATGGGTTGGATAGTCCAGGGGGGGAGGTGACGACTAACGGTGCCAGTTGGGGACGTTCTTGTAGGTGATACGGGAGGTCACATCGAACATGATGATGCCGCACTGGCCGTTGATGTAGTAGCCATCGCGCAGACCACCGAACTTCTCCTGTCCAGCGGTATCCCACACATCGAACTGGATGGTACCCAGGTTCTGGAATAGAGGTTAGTCGATACAACCAGGGCGAGGCGGTGGAACGATCCAGCCGGGGGTGGGCGGTGCATACGGTGGTGAAGTTCAGAGGGTGGACCTCGACACCGAGAGTGGCGATGTACTTCTTCTCGAACTCACCAGTCAAGTGGCGCTTGACGAAGGTGGTCTGTATTTAAACAGAGGTTAGCCAAACCGTTGTGTTCATGTCTCTTCGGGTGGCTGGAAGTAAATTTTTTGTTGACGGCGGGGGAGTCCAAGGGAGCAAAACAATCGAGGGTGAAAAGGCCACCACGATGGGAAATCGTGTTGAATAAAATCCACATCATGTCCAAGATGTCCTTAATCTTTCCCTTATTAATTGTTTTCCTTTTTAATGTCTTTACTTGCCTTTCCGGTACCACCGTCGCCGACCAGGACGAGCTTAAAGGTAGGTGGGGCTTCAGCCATGGTGATAGATATGTGAGGTGAAAAGGAGGGGGTGGGAAGGAAGGAAGATAAAAACAGAATCGACCCGAACAAGTCAAGAGAAAAAAAAAAGTCGGCAACGAACGCGACCGAAGTAGAGGCGATGAAAGTGGGGGGGAGGGGGAGGATCACAGAATGGAGAGGAAAGCAGGAGGGAAAGAGGAGGTGAAGAAGGTGTGAATTTTCGACTCGCTCGGGTCACGTGGAGTGTGCCTTAGGCATGGTGCCCCGCGGACAGCTTCACGTCATCTATTCTATACCTGTGTATTCGACTGTTCTACGGCTACGATGCACGGTATCTACTTGGCTGACTTTACAGATTACCTCGGTAGTCAGGCTCTAGAAAAAAGAATCGGATGACAATGATTGAAATCAGCCCAACCTAACGTAACGCCCCTTTGATGCCTTCCGGTAATCCAACGACCCAACCAGTCTGTAACCCATATCTCGTTATCGATTTGTAGAGACAGCCATAAGACAACGATAAAACCAACTAGTCCTTGGTGGACATCAGAGTGGAACCAGATGACAACCGAGTAGACCACGACCACCCCAATTCTGACGCGGCACCAGCTCTAATTGGAGTTCGCTGTTGCGGCTTGGGTCGGTGTCGGATTTGCGAGAGACGCTAACGATGAGAGGGCGCTGGAGGGAGTCAGTCAATGATTCGGCACAATGATGGTGGCCGGCATCCCAAGGACCATGAAAAGCTTACTCCTTCGTTTTGTTGCACAGCCTGGGCCACCTTCGTGAGACGCTCATGGTTCAACCAGTTCACACTTCCAAAGCTGCGAATCGTGTCTCCCGCCTTCAAGCCAGCTTGATCTGCAGGACTTGCAGCGACCACGCTATTCACCCGCGCAAACGGTGGCCCAGCCGACCCAGCGGCCGACCCAGCGGGGGTAGTATTGCCGCCCAAGTCGCTCCCAGACCCTGGTATCCCATTCGCCGTAGAGGCATCTTGCGCGCGACGGGTGTTGGCGAAATGATCCTGGATGGCCGAGTCGATAAACCGCATGACGTCTTTATGGTCGTTCCGGAGTCGAATGATTTGTACGCGCGTAGATCGAACTGTTTAGAATTAGCTTCGGTGTCAGGAAATAGCTAGTCACTGTCGTCCTACCCTGCGCGACATCGATATCATCCCGAGGATATCCATCGAACGTGGTCAGGGTCGAGTTCATGTTGACGCCATGCTAAAGAGGCATCCGTTAGCGTCTACCGTACAAATTCAGAGCCAAACATAACCCACAGAGTTGAGCACGCTACTAAGCGCAGAGAGTTCATCTTCGATGCGTTGCTTTTCCTGCATCAACTCGACGATGGTGAGCTTGGCGAGGTCGCGCGGAGGACCTCCGTCCGTCGAAGGACCGGAGGTCACAGTAGGAGCGTGTATGTTGTCGTCCATGAGGATGCCCATTTCAAGAAGAATCGGTCATGGTCGGAGAAGGGGGGATGGGTTCGGTCGCTGAGATTGTTGAAAGATAGAGAGCTCGTTATCGGGCGAGGTGGTGGGGACGGAGTTGTCAGGGAAAGAAATCTGGGGAGGAACTAGTTAAGGCACGTTCTTGGCACGCCCGGTCAACATTGTCTTGGGGATTTGATGTACTGTTCATCTACTTTCCGGTCTTTCTCATCTTAACTCGATTGTTGTGCTTGACATACTTTTGCTCAGATGTTGCATTATATGACGGTTGTTGACACGTTCTACCATCGGGTCATAGAATTCGGTAGGACATATAGTGAACAGGCAATGCCTTTCAAAGTGAAGTCGATCCTCGTGGAATCTATTCTAGTACTGCGTCCCTGAGGATAGATATGACATCGCGTAAAGCCCAAGATCACCACGATGGAGTCAGACACCATGCACAATGCCCCTGGAAACGTGGAGGTACATTTGTGGTCTAATGAACGCCTAAGGCCTGATTCCTGGTCGTGCCTTCCAGGACTCTTTCCTCTTTGATCTCTTCTGGACCAAACAACATGACCTACCTGGGCATTTCTCAATTTAAATGTTTTATCCATCAATTCATAAACTTGGCTTCAGAAATTCACCAGTCATTCCGATTCGATTCTTTCAATGTCCAGCATGTCTTCAAGTTCGTCCATCGTCATGGAGGACAAGGATACGAGTGTGGCGGATGATTTCCACTTGGAGAAATATGGCTCACTGGTGATTCCACTGGAATCAAATGAGGCACGGGAATCAACCGACCGAGTGGCGGGTTTCTTTCCCTTCAGGCGATGGGTGGATGGTCTTCGATCCAAGAAGCGCTATCGCTCTGACCAGCCCTCCCGCTACGTGGATGGATGGCCCGAGATTTTAGAAGACAGAAAACGCGACACAGATTTCGATCTCGCTTGCTATACCAGGCTTCCGGAACCACAGTGGGAGAGTTCATCGGGGACTTCATCGAATTTAGGGACAGTCCACACGGCTACGATGAGTGTTGCTAGCCAGAGTCTTTTGAGATCGCGAGCGACGACGCAGACCACGAGTAATCATAGCGCAGGATCAGAACAGCGTGGCTCTATCGACAGCTTAAGACCAGCTTTTAGGTTTTCTATCGACGAGGAGGCGCAAGTTCGTGCCATCAAGAGGCGTGAGGTCCTTCGAGAAATTGTCACGACTGAGGCAGACTACGTGTTTGGACTCAAGGCTCTTGCGGAGGAAAGGATACCATTTCTGATACAGTCTTACCGGCTTGACTGACGCGTGGATATAGGTTCTGTTCTTGTTTTCGGCTCGACCCGGGGTTTACCACAATGTACTCGACATTCGTGAAACACATGAGACCTTCCTCACGCAGATCCGCAGTGTGGCACCTCCGTCCAGCTTTGCTAACGGAACTGTTGACGTAGCCATGTCTAATCGAGTACATATGCACCGCGGCACAGTTGACCTGAGTCACCTCCGCATCAGAGCATTCCATAACAAGTCGTTGAGAACGCGAAAGTTCAAGACATCCATGGACCTACGCTTTAGGGCGCTTGCAGCGGAAGCCAGTGCAGCCCTAGCCGTCGCGAAGGAGATTGGAAAGTTGTCGCTCTCTCTAGCTGCCTACGAGGAGTTCTGTAACAATTACCAGCAGCTAGAGCAGGACATGTATCTCTTGCGGCGAACGGTTTCCAACTGGCCGATCTTTGACCAAGGTATAGAAGCCTTGTCAAAATGCGGTGCTTCCAATGAAATCCAGGGTCTAGAAAACAAGTCGATGACCATCAATGATCTCCTTATCAAGGTCAGCTTATGCTTCCTCGCCCAATTTCATGTTACGTGGTTTTTGTGAGACTAACAGAACTAGCCCATCCAGCGTCTTTGTAAATACCCGCTGCTGCTCCAAGAACTGCTCAGACATACCCACATCCAAGACAGCCCTTCTGCACATGATGGGATCAGGCAAGTTCTGGAGACCGTGCGCGCCCGAGTAGGGCGTATTAACGAGATCCCCGGAAATCCAGTCAACAAGGACCTTCTTCACAAGACACTCCTACTCCAAGCTATGTTGGAGTTCCCTGCTTCGGGAGTTGTATACAATGTTTATAAACAGCTTGGTGCAATGGTATTATGTGGCGTCCTCCATGTCACGTACCAATCGGCAGCGACTATCACTGGCAGCTTCATGGTCTGCGTCCTGTTCGGAAGCCACTTCTTTCTAGCCCAACCAAACGATAGCTATCGGAAGCTCCAACCCCTCCTCTGCTTGTACGTTTGCGACATCAAGATCGATGTAATGAGGAACCGCAAAGGTGGCTGTTCTTTTTCCGAGTTCTTCACGCTAGCACTAATGATGCATAGGACTCTGCTGCCACGGATGCTTATACTCTTGGAAGTTGGATTTCCAGTACCAAGGCAACAGATATGAACTTGTGCTGAGCGCCTCGTCCGCAACGGAAGCAATGCGATGGAACACCGAGATGCTCAAGGCTGCTTCAGGACTTGCCGAGGTATCCAAGTCCACTCTGTCAGAGCTACGTGACACTTCTTTACTGTCGATGGAGCTCAAGGCGTTGGATGGCGATCCCTCTTTGACGTCTCATTTGACACGCAGGCCTTCGATGAACTCACTGAATCCCTCTTGGTCCCAACCTAACATGCAACATATGATCATCAAGAAAACGCACAGTCCGAACCAGACGGAGGAGGCCAAACCGAACGATAGCGAGATCGAGCGGTTGAACGCGTGCAACGCGTGGCCAACGCTGACGTTAATCGCTAAGAGACAAGAACGGATCCGACTGGAGCGATATATCCGCTGTATCTATACGCGACACATCTTGCCATACCCCGGGATGGTTTCCGCGAAAGGTGACATCTTACGTGGAACGGAGTCCCTCATGCGGCGCCTCAGCTACCGTCCGGGACTGTATAGGCGTTCGAGCTCCGTGAATATCCCTCCACGGGATTCGGCTGCCGTTTACAATCGGGCACGCAAGGGAGCTACCGACGACATCTACTCCGCCACGAGTAGTGGAAGGCAAGATACATTCAAGTTCAAGGTGTCGCACGCGAAAGAAAGACACGTCGAGACGGCTGCAAAGGGCCCGGGAACTGTGAGGAGGACGAAGACGCTACGATGCAAAGGCGTTAGCGGAGCAGCCTCTACGTCCACCCTGCCTTCGCCCAAGAAAAACGGGGATAGCCCCGAGACCCCTGAATTGTCATTCAAAACCTCGATTCGCACGATGTTCAATTCTATATCCCGTAGAAGGTCAAAGAAGAATCCTCGCGTGGATGCAGGCAGTGGGGTATGGTGATGCAATCGCTTCGGAGATGAGCTGCACCATTACATCAGACCGGTGGGGGGGAGGGAAGTGGGCTGGAATTGTGCTGGTGGGATTGCTTGGCGACATGTAGTAATTCGGAATTTCCATTGACAATTCTCCCCACCGACGAGTCACAATAGGAAACCAATGATCATAGGTGACAGGAAAACATTCCCTCGGAGGGGCTGGGCGGATCCTGGTCGTTGGAAATATTTGGGACAATTGGAGCCCATTCTGTAACCGCTGAAATTATTTATGGGTCGATGTCAGAGCTCCAAGGAAGCCCGCGATGACGTCGACAGAGGAGGGGTTGGACCATGCCATGGAATAAGCTCTACATAAAGGCGTCCTTTGTCCAGCAACTCCAGAAAATATCTTCTTCATTCTCAACAAGCTACTATACTCTTAAATTTCTCTATACTTTCACCTCTTTTGTGTTATCCTCCAATTGAGCCTCAGGCCACATCTAGACAGCTACCTATATCAGTGACGTCATCACCTGTCTTCGCATCAACCTTGCTACAGCTCTCTTTTCCACCTCATCACTCTTCCAACCTTCAACTCCTCACTCACACATTTCCCATTTTCCCCTACACACACATCAAACAAACAACCATGGCTCGTGGCAGTGAATCCGTCTCCAAGGTCATCTACAAGGGTGCCACGGACGACTACATCGTCTTCGTCGACGACCAGGAGATCCTCAAGCAGTGGCGCAACGACAAGTCCATCCCGCTTGCTCAGGTCGTGAACGGATGGAAGATTTTCGTTACTCATAAGTATGTTCATCAGTCTTTCCCCTTTGGAGATTCCCGATTGGAGAGAAAAAGAAGTGGAAAGAAAGAAAGAAAGAAGCTAACAACACCCCAGGCAAGGAACGCAGGGTATCCTCGACGGAGCCAGCAACGGCAGCCTCGAGAGCGAGTTCGGGACGTCGAAGGAGGAAGACTGTGTTGCTCAGATCTTGCAGAAGGGAGATTATCAGACGACGGCTGTATGTTTCTCTTTCTCTCCCTATAAGATTTTAATAGGTGATGAGTACTGACTCTTTCTGTAGCAGGTGCATGGGCGACCGGGCGAGACCAACATGAGCAAAGGACCTCAGATCAACCACTAGGTCGACCTTGAATCTTTTGAGTGATTGATTCTTGCGTGCCCTTCCTCTCTGGCTATCGGTTCGACTTTTTCAAGTCTAGACGGCTGTGCTGTACCGCACCATCTATGACTGCCCGAGGATGATCGGGCCGGGCATGACTGACTGGCCCATCGAATCATGAATAGGTGTCTTTTTTTTATTTATTACGAGCGAATGGGTTTGGGATAACCCTTACGGATACGATACGAGTATGCGTTATGTTATGAATTGCTGGGGAGTTCGTGGTTGTGCTGAGAGGACAGCGGACTTGCTTAGCTGCATATGGATAAACAAATAATACTATATTAGCATGATGATTGCCTAGGTTTCTTGTGTATCTCTGGCTGGTGGTTATTGTAGATATTAGGTGTGATATGCTGGTCGTTAATTCTATATGGATAGGTCTTGATATTTTATACACTTGTGTAGACGAAAGAGAAAAAGAAAAGAGAGAGAAAGCTAACTCTTCAACCACCACGCTCCTCTCTCTTCCGCACAACCCACTCCCCCAACTCATCCCAGACAGCCTGCTTCTCCGCCCTACTCATCCCAGCCGCCAACCCACTAGTAGTAGTAGCAACGAAAACCCTCGCACCGCCCCACTTCTCCGAGCGCCCCATATTCTCCCCCTCATCCTGCCACCCATAGCGGAACTCCTCCTTGCGAATAGCCCTCCCGCGCCTCACCCTCCACACCGCCTCCCAGATACTCTTCCCAACAAGACAGACAACCTCCGGCCGCTGCGCCGCGACCTTCGCTTCCAGGACGGGCACGCCGGCGTTCATTTCCGCGCGGGTGAGCATCGCTGCGTCGCGCGTGGCGCGCTCTACGATGTTCGTGTTGCCGATGTTGTACAATGCGGGGAGCCGGTATGTGTCTGAGGGGGGGTGCCGGATGGACGTTATGCCTGAAGCGTGGAGAAGTTTCCAGAAGAGGTTGGACGGGTGCGCGTAGGCGAAGCCTGTTAGGCCGGTTTGGATGCCGGGGTTGACGCCGACGAGGAGGAGGGTTAGGTTTGGGGGGATGGTGTCGCGGAGGAGGGAGTTGCTGGTGCTGTTGATTTTGCTGTTTCTGGGGGTGGATGGGGTGGTGGGGGTTGTTGGTTGGCTGGGGGGTGTTGCTGTTGTTGGTGGTGTTGGTAAAGATGGTGATGGTGAGGCGAGAGGCGCGGATCGAGAGCGCGTCACCATGCGTGTGGTGGGAGAGGCTGGTGTTGGTGCCTTTGAGCGGCGTTTGCTGCGCTCTCGAGGGCGTGTTTCTCTACCGGTGGTGTCTCCGTCTTGGGTCTTGCGTTTGCGCGGGCCAGGGTCGATGGATGGTGTTGGCGCTGGGGTGGGGAGGTCGGACGATGCGGCTTTTGACAGAGGTAATTCTGCGTTGGTGACTAGTTTGGAGGTGTGGAAGTATTGGTTTAGTCGTCCGTTGAAGGTGGTCGTCTTGTTGACGGGGACGTCGTTATCGTCGTGTTGGAGGCCGTTCTCCATTGCGATTGGTGGTCCGGAGGACATTGCGCGGATTGACACGCCGGTAGTCTGGTTGAGCAGTGTTACTCGCGTGTAGAGAGCAGACGTTTGGTAGACCACCGATGGTGAGTTGGTAATACTCCAATCTAAGGTTGTAGAGATAATTCAAGAAAGATCCAGTGGAATTGGTTGCCTGCATGGCACGTGATCCGATACGAGGACTTGTGGTGGCAAAACGGTGCCTGTTTTTTTTCCCTCATTTTCGGATGAATATTATCCAATTATAGTGTTTACCAGGAGTCCAGTTGTGGAGCAGAGGTATGTGCAGCCCGCGCTTTGATAGCCGTTCTCGAGATATTGTTATGGACTACCTAATATAACCTCATGTACAAATCAAGATCACTCTTGCATCTGCTCATCTTCACTAAGTGCATCTTCTGGCATGGTAATCGGCATTCCCATTGCTGTTGACTTATGTGTCATCTTGGCCGCCATCTCGTCCAGTTCCTCTTCGATGTCAATGTGGATGCGAAGCTCTTTCTCAACCAACACATTGTACACATGCCGTAGCTCGTCAAAGCCCATACCCTCATCGCGCCCCGAGGCAGTCGGGTGGCGCTCGCGAACGACATCCGCGCGAAGGTGAGTGAACGCGAGCATGAGGAGCTCTTTCGACCATGGACAAGCGCGCATAGCGCGGTAGAATACGTCTTTGGCACGGGCGATGTTGCCGCGCCAAAGCTCGAAAAAAATGTAGAGTTTCCAGAGGGAAAGACTGGAGCGTGTGGTAGACATGATAGTGTTGGTTGAACCGGTGCTTTGTTCGCCGATGGCTTTCTCAAATGCTGCCCTGACGGAGTGGAGCGTGGACCCCGCGTATTCGGGACGGAGAAGCTCGGTGTATATGGAGAAGAGATGCGTCGTCACTGGAACTTGGGTCATCGTGAGGGTCTCTCCCGAGTGACGCTTGGTCTCGGTGATATCTCTGATGGTATCCCTCACGCGCTCTTCAATGCGGAATCGAGACTCGTTCCAGGTGAACAGGCAGAGGAACATCGTGTTGTGGGGGAACAACTGGATGCTATCCGCGAGAAGAGAGCGGATATGAGTAGGCTTGTACATGCTACTCGTACGAACGTGGTAGTATAGGAACCGTGCGCGGGCCTGGTGGAGTAACTCGGTCGTGAAGGATTGGAACAATCGATCCTGCTCCGGCAGTGTACTGACCCTGCTGATAGAGCCATCGTACGCTTCCAACGCCTTGACTAAATCTTGAGAATGGGTGAGATATAGAAGGACAGCGTAACAGTCTGACCAGGCGGCGAACGCATGGGATTTTCGGTTAGCCAGTATAATCTCCTGGGTTTCCGTCAGGTAGCTTTGTATTTTCAATAAACTGGTCGGACTGAACACCGGCTGATCAGATGGCCCAGGGAAGTCTTTCAGATCCACACTATTATGTGGCATGGAGATGAGGAGATGGGAGGCACGGGCTAGGTTTCGCTCTTCTAGCAACTCCCAGATCCACGTTCGCCAAAGGTAAACACTCTCTACGCTACTGCTCTCGGAGAACGTCCTGCTCATAGAAAGAGATGTTGCCCAGACATGGTCAGCAGCTGCCTGGTTGCCGGTCCGGCGCTCCATCAGTGCATACGCATTGTAAAGCCGCAGACTCGATGGCCTCCTCTTCAAAAGTGACTTTGCGTATCTCTTTGCCTCTTTGGGATTGCACGCAAACTCCAAGGCAACGACGTACTCTGCTAGCTGCTCATCTCCTGGACTGGCCTCGACCAATGACCGGAGCGATCTTCGAACCCAGTCGGGATCGATGTCGGATCGCGACTCCAAAGCAATTTGTCGCCACGCCTTGAGCGAGGAGAACCATTCTTCACCAGCAAACAATGTATCGCCACTGTGAATGAAGTTCTGATGATGGAAAGAGACCGGGGACACAGGAGACCGTTCAACGTCTGATCGGATGGTCGGGATCCAATTATCGAGCGTGGTGCCAGGACTGCTCATCAGATCATTTCGTAAGAAGCTGTCTCCGGACCATTTGCTAGTCGTCTCCAGATTGTTCGACGACATGAGTGGAGGAAGATGGCAGAAACGCAAGAAGCCATCTATCAGCTCTTGCGTGGAATGCATGTCCCAAACCAAGGGTACAATCTCTTCGAGATCAGATGCAATGATGACGCGATAAGGGTCATCTAGGTCTGATTCGTCCAAACTGCGCGCCGGTAGTCGCGCTTCAACGATTCGCTCTCTTTCACACACAACCCATGACGCGAATGTCGCTCTCAGGTCGAGCTGGAATTGTGGCGTGAAGATCTTGGGGCTTGGGGCAGTATTGGATCCACTTCTCCAGCCCTTCGCACCAACATCGCCGAATCTCGCAGTTTCTGATTCCCAGAACTCCAAAAAAGCTGACATGAGCTTTTCTTCATCATGAACGTCCAAAGAGTCAGGTCTGTAGAAGGCGAGTTCAAAGACGGACTGCCAGAGGCCGATCGCATGTTCGGTGAATCCCGATTCGCGGATGAACGACGTTAGGCGCAGGAATAGATAAACTTGGATCTGGCTTTTTTGAGGGTGATCTGGAGCAGACCTGTTCAACCTAAGACACTCAACGAAAGTGGAAAGACACCCCTCATACGTGAAATCCAAAAATTGCGTCTGACGGAAATCAAGGTATTTGACCCAGAGGGAGATGAACTGAGAATTTGCTTTCAAGATAGCTTGCCACTGCGAAGCAAGTTTCTTGGTATCCCAAAGCTGTGCACCTTCTTCGAGCCGACCAAGAAGAAGACGATCTCGGGAAGGCACTGCCCCTACTCGTTTCAACGCTTTGTCGTACAACGATAATTTGATGTCTGCCAGGCTCTTCCTTTCCGCATATGTTAGCGTGCTGGACTCCCTTTCAGCACCTTTGAGAAGTGACTCCTGGTAATCGATGAGGTGAAGCCAGCAACCGATATCGTTAGGGGTCTGCTCGACATTTTGGGATAATTCAACGTTCCGTTGTTTGATTTCCTCGTCCGGGTCATATCGACCGCCTTCGTCGCCGCTATCCGACACGGCTTCTAGATCGCTGGGGATATCCTCATCGGGCTTCGCCTTGCCAAGTATCGAACGGTATGCGTGCTTTTCATCATCAGAATCTGAGTCACCGAGGACCTTTCTGCGTTTTCGGCTTCTACGATCATCCAGAGGTAGATAATCCTTCGAAGCATCGGCGGCTGATTCGAGCAGTGAGGTAGGCCGCACGCGAAGTAGTCTGGACCGTTCCTTGCTCATCCCAGATAGGATACTCTTTGTTCCTGTCCGCGACGCGTCCGGACGCCAAGTGTTCGGGCTGACGACTATAGCATCCCCTTCCACTGTCTCGCGGTCGATCTTGTAATTGGGGGGCAGGCCCAGCACGCTGCCTTGGCCTACCCGATGGTAACGAGGAACACTGTACCGATGTATCGTGCCATAGACGATGTTGTAGCGGTCCCCTTTGCGATCGATAAAATATAAATCAGATGCATCGTTCGCTGACTGTTTCACGGTGCTGGCTGGTGTAGTTCGATGCTCTGTCGGGAGCTCCCGCGCTCGCGGCTCGACATCTTCTCGAGAGGAACGGCCTTCCCTGCGCTCCCTCCGACGCTCGCGAGACCGAGAGCGTTCGCGATGACTCCTGTGTCTGGAATGGCGCTTTTCGTGGTGCCTCGACTTTTCGCGTCTTTCGCTGTCGCGGGTACGCCGCTCGGAAGGCCGATCGGGTGCGGGTGGAGGGGCTGGGGGAGGCTTGAAGCTCGAGAATTTGGGGATGGGCTTCCTCTCCTGAGACATTGTAGAGCAAGTTAGTGCGACAAGCTAGACCGCGCCCAAAAATCACGGTCACTCACCTGGGAGCGCGATGAATCCATTACTCCAACGACGTCAATAACAGCCAGTCAGGTGAGGCATTGGACCACAGATCCCAAGATAGAAGGCGGTGGGGAGCGACAGGAAAAACCTCCGCTCTCACATTGCGCACTCTTATTGGCGGGGGAAAAAGGCGGCAGAAAAAAAAAGTTGCCCCGTTTAATCAGTAGATTTGGTGGAATCATTTTCAAACCCTCACCGGAGCTACGCCGTCAGATCCAAACCACAGATCTCCCCGTCGAGATTGAAGAAGAAGTCTGCCGAGGGATGGATGTGTTGACTGTGTCACGATAAAGAATAAATACCGGTTGCACAATGGCTTCGTCCCTCGCCGCGCAGCTGTCGCAAGTCGCGGCAAACTCTACGAATCAGTTGAACCTCAAGGCTCAGAGGCTAGCGCATTCGAAATCCTTGATATTTGACTCGAAAGTTGCTGGCTCGCAGGACTTTGAAACGGTCTACCAGATCTGTTATGAAGGGTTTACCGAAATATGTCAGCTGGACCCTCGGTTCGCGCCGTTCGAGCGCACGATTTTCAGCGAACAGAGCAAGGCCGAGGACCGGACGGAAATGAACGCTGCCCAGAATAAAGAGCTTGACTCGGTTCTGGAGGCATTTTTGACGCTGGTCGGGGGAAGGCTTTTGTTGAGTCCTGCGGTCAAAGCCGTGGAGTGGCTTGTCAGACGCTTCAGGTGCGGCGATAATATAATACTCCATGGAACTCGACGTTCGTTGGCTAACTTGTGTACAGGATCCATGAATATAACACGGCATTCACCGTCCTCACTTTCCTACCTTACCACACTACACCCTTGTTCTTAAATTTGCTATCGATTCTACCGGAGGACTTGACGCCCACCTTCAAGATCTTGTATCCGTATAAAAGCGGCGCCGTCAACCCCCCTCGCCATCCCCTCGTGCACAGCGCGACGACAAACAAGCCGTTCTTTACCGCCCTGAACAGTTATGTTCTCCAGGCTGGCCGACAAGATGCCGGTCATCACGCGCTTCTGACGTTCTGGGCCGGGATCGCCACGGAGGCTGTTGCGGGGATGTTGGACGCAGGACGTGCGGGTCGGAGGGCAGAGGAGAAGGAGAAGCATGACGACGTCATCCTACAGGTGCTTCCTGTCATCAGTGATGGATTGGCTATGAAGGGAGTCTCGGAGCTCGTGATTGGCTGTTATATGCTTTGCGTCGTTCTCGCCCAGAAAGCCGCCCTCCAGGACAACGTGCTCGATAGCTTAATGGAGGCCATCGCGGGTTCTTGGACGGACGAAACTCTCAACTCGGGCCTCATTTGTCTTTCGGTGTTAGCGCAGCGGAAGCCCGACACGAACCTTCCTAAGCGGGCTTTCCGGGCAATCCTTCGACTGGAGAACCCTATTCAAAAGCTTGCCGAGATCTCAGGCCAGTACAAGACATCTAATCTTCTTCTGGGTCTGGTGTCTGGGTGCGTTGGAGACCTTCACAAGCAGAAGGACACCACACGTCTTGATATGCTTTCGCTTATGTTCGAGACTCAGCTTTTGGGAGAGGCCGATGTGGGCCCGGCTATGGCCCTGGTCCTCCATGCGGTCACTACTGCTAACAAGGACGGCGGAATACCTCTGCAATTCCAGACGCACCTTGCCGAGCTGGTCCAGGACTTCAGCCGATCCGAAACCCTTGGTCCCATCTTTCAGAAAACCATTGAAGAGCGCTCTATCGATATTACAAGCCTGGAGCATAGCCTGCAGACTGTGATTGAGGCCGTGCCCACAACCCAAGCCGTGAAGGATGTCGAGATGGACGACGCAGACAAGGAAGAGGAGCAGGAAGATCTCACGCCATTTTTGGTCTCGTTGCAAAAGGAGGGCCTGTTCAAGGACTCTTTCCTCGGCGTTCAGTCCAGTCCTGTATTTGATCGTCTTGTTCAAACCTTCGCGCTTGCTGCCGGTTCGCAAGAGAATCTGGATTCCTTCACCGGCTTGCCGATCCTTGGAAAGACGAATGCTACCAAGTCTCCGCAATATTTGTCGTTCTTTACCAGGGTCTTTTCTGGCCCCTTTCCCACCGGAATCCGGGCCAGTGCTCTCAGCGTCGTCTCCACTGCCCTTTCCACTTCTACCGCCGTCGACTATCAGGGTCTCCTCCCTTTTCTGTTGGTTGCCTTGACGGACTCTTCGGAGAGAATCCGTCGCGAAGCGACAGGTGCCCTGCTCGCTGTGGGGGAGCTGTACGCAAAGATCAAAGGTGACGGAAAGGATGACATCTGGGCCCGGGATTCGCTCTACGGTCAAGGAAAATCTACCAAAGGCGTCCAGTGGCTTTCGAACCGCGACGCACAGAAACTTTTTGAGCGCGCTTTGATTCCTGGACTGGAAGAGTATGTCCTTGATGCGGCCCACATCGGGCAAGTTTTGGAGGCTACGCTCCGCGGTACTACCGCTGATTCTGGAGCGTCTGAGCTCAAAAAACCTTTGCGGTTGAGTGTTTTCAACTTCCTCTGTTCCCACATCGTGCATATGCCGCTGTTCGCACCCAAATTGGCGTTGCTGAAGCTTGTTAACCGCATTGACAAGGCCGGCGGTACCACCCGTACAAAGGAACTCGAGCCTCTGTTGAAGGTGTGGAAGGAGATGAGCGAACAGCAGGTCCAGGAGGTATGTGACAAAGAACGCGTACCCGTGTCGGAAATGGAGAACCAAATTGTTTCGACCGTTACGCCCAAGGAGAAGGATGCGATTGCCATCCTCTTGTCCACTGTCAGCCCGTACTCCGATTCGCTGCGTCCTTCGTTTGCCAGTGCCGTCTTCGACCGCATGAGGGGCATCTGGACCAACGTTGCAGAGGATCGACGGGTCGTGTCTGCAGAGAAGCTCTTCGATATCTCGATTGGCACCGATTCGCCGCTTGCCAGTGGATGCAGGGATGTTCTTAGAGCCGTTGAGCTTCCTGGCGCTGTGCTTCTGCACTTCCTCCTGAAGATCCCCGCTTCTGTTACGGATATTGAGGGTCTGGGTCCAGCGCCCAAGAGAAGACGCACCAGTCAGAACAACATGGTGGCAATGACCGTCAAGGACGAGGCCAAGCTCAGCCAGCTCATGGAGCAGATGACGTTCATTCTGGAACTGGTGGACGGCTCTTCCCCCGAGACTCACCCGGAATTGGCCGATGGCTTGTTCCAAGTTCTGGCCGCCCTCCATCACTTCAAGGCGCAGGTCCAGTCGGGCATGAGCTACCTGCTCAGCTTGGCCCTGGGCAGCCTCTTGGCCATCGTCAATAGATCCAAGGCCACTGCAAAGGCGCAGTTTGACACCTCGGTCATTCGTGCGGACTTGGTTGTGGATTGTGTGCGCACCACAGAGAGCCCTCAGGTGCAAAATGCAGCTCTACTCCTTGTGGCTGGTCTGTCTGTCATTGCGCCCGAGTTGGTACTCCACAGCGTCATGCCAATCTTCACGTTCATGGGATCGAGTGTTCTGAGGAAGGATGACGAGTACTCGGTTTCTGTGATCGACCAGACCATTGACCAAGTTGTTCCCGCGCTCATTCAGTCCTTGCGTAACCAGAAACGGGACATCGTCTCTGGAACGTCGGAATTGCTGCTTAGCTTTACGGCTGCATTCGAGCATATTCCATCCCACCGCCGTCTGCGACTCTTCCATGCGCTCATCACCAAGCTTGGAACCCAAGATTTCCTGTTCGCGGTTCTGGCCATGCTCGCCAACAGATACTCTATGGACAAGGATGTTCTAATCTTGATGTCCGGCTTGGCCTCCGACGCCAGCGCCTCGGTTGAACTGAGCACCTACAGCAAGTATCTCGGACTGGTCAGCGACTCCCTCAAGCCTAAGCCGGGTATCTCCAACGTGCTTCTCGGAATTGGCAGCGATGACGGCCGTGAGCCCCAGAAGGTTGCCGTCGACCTGCTCCGCGCGCTGGCTTATCTCCTCAGACACTCTTCCCTGAAGTCGAAGATGAACAAGGCATTCGCTGCAGAGGGTGACGCCACCACCCAAATCCGGACCCTGTTCTCCCAGATCTTGGAGCAAATTCTGTCCATCGGAGACGTCACCCAAGGCAACATGAAGTCTGTCAGCCAGGCAAGCGGTGAGGTCCTCAGCGCGCTATTTGGAACCTTGTCGGCTGTGGACTTCCTCGACACTATTGAAGTGCTGCTCCAACGACCCAGTGATGAGCTCCGCCGGAAGGTATTCCGACTGCTTGAAGGCCGTCTCCGCCAGAACCCCGAGCGCGACGGCGCATCGCAGGTCAGGATGCTGGATTTCTTGCCCACCCTGGTCAGTGTCGTCGAGTCGTCGCCTGACATTCTCCTCAAGCACGCGGCGGTGGCTTGTATCGACCGGATCGCCGAACAGTACGGCAAGAAGGACCCGTCCAAGGTCATCCGGGCCGCCCAGGTTATCGCCAGCGATTCCTGCATTGGCCAAGAGGACGACCGGATCCGCGTTATGGGTGTGCTGTGTCTGGCTTCTATGGCCGAGGTCCTGGGACAGTCCATGATCCCGGCGCTTCCCGAGGCGCTCCGTCGCTCGTTGGCATTGTTGGAGCTTAGCCTGGAGGAGGACAAGGCGAACTCCCGACTGCACGACGCCGTTTACTCGTGGTTCTCGGCGCTGTTTGTCCATCTCCCGTACATGGTTTCTTCGGGATACCTGGATAAGCTGCTCATCCTGTCCTTCAAGTCTGCCAACTCCGAAGGAAACGAGGACGAGAGCCGACAAGAGGCTCTGCAGCTGATGGCCCGGAAGGCAGATCTGGCCGCCACTCTGGGCGCAGTGGACCGCAACTGGCAACACGCCGTGGCCGCGGGCCCCACCGCCACGAAGGAGACTCTGGAGATTGTCAGCCTGGCGATCGAGAAGCATCCCAAGTCCGCGACCGCGCAGAACCTGACGGCTCTGACGAACTTGCTCTTCAAGGTGTTTGATCTGCGCCGAGAGCAGGTATCGCTGGGAGCGAAGGCGACGTTGGATACCTCTGATCTGGATGAGGTCGAGGAGACGCTCAACGAGGTCATGATCAAGATGATCTACAAGTTGAACGACACCGCCTTCCGCCCCATCTTCACCAAGCTCCTGGAGTGGGCCACCACTGGTCTCACGAAGAAGGAAACCCAGGGTAACCTGTCTCGACTGACGACGTTCTACAAGTTCTTGCAGACGTTCTTCGGCACCCTCCAGGTATGCGCCCCATTCGTTAAACCCCATGACCTTATTCGATAAGAATATCTAACAGTTCTATTCTAGTCCATCGTCACTGGCTACGCAAGCTATATCATCGAGAGCGTCGTCGCAGTCCTCCACAAAGCGAACCCCAGCGACCCCAACAGCAAACCCCTTTGGCTCGCCACAATGCGCATGCTGCAGAAGGCATTCGAGCACGACCAAGATGGTACGTTACATTACCCCCTCCAACCCACAAGGTACAACAGCTAACACAAACATCAGAATTCTGGCAATCCCCGTCTCACCTGAGCGCGATCTCGCAACCACTCATCTCCCAGCTCGGCCAAGCCAAGACCTCCGCCACCGCAGCGCTAGTCATCGCCGAGACCGTCCCGGCCATCACGGAGCTCGCCGTGGCAGCCGACTCAACCGACAACCACAAGGAGCTGAACACCATCCTGATGCAGTACCTGCGGCCGTCAGCCGGACCCACGGGCAAGGCGGCAGGCGGCGAGAACCCTTACACGCGACTTGCAGCCCTCAAGGCGGAACAGTCGCTCACGGAGCAGCTGGGCGAGGAGTGGCTTGCTCTGTTGCCTGAAATGCTGCCTTATATTAGCGAGCTGATGGAGGATGAAGATGAGAGCGTGGAGCGCGAGGTGCGCAGATGGGTGAAGATGATTGAGGATGTGTTGGGCGAGCGGTTGGATGATATGTTGACGTGATTGTGATTGTGATTCTTTTCCTTTCTTTTCTATTTATTGAAGATTACGCACTTGGGATGGCGTTTGTTTGTCTGTATAAAAGTCGATAATAGATGTATACACATTATTGCATTTACTATTTGTGAACAAGTGTTGGAATTAGATCGGGGGCGTTGGGTAGAGATATGTACGGTAGTTACTATACACAAGTTGAAGGAATGACACCGGACCGGCCTGGGAGGAGGAAGAGAAGGACTAAGAAAAAGAACGTCAAGAAAGAAGGACAGGTTCAACCCGAGGAGGAGGAAGAAAAAGAAGAAGCATAAGTAGAAGACGAAATAATCATGAAAACTGCTTCCTGAGATTCTCATACCGCGAAGCTGGATAATCGATGAAATTCTTCCTCGAGTCCAGCCCGCCCGTTCCACCCAAGCTGTCAACCAACTGCAATATTCGTCAGCACAAGTACAACATACCCAAGGAAACAAAGAAAGAAAGAAAGAAAGAAAACCAACCGTAGCAATCAAGCTCCCGTTCCCAACCTCTCGATCCCCACTAGCCTCCCACCACATCGCACCCCCGAGACCCTTCCGCTTGATATACTCGGCCTTCTCCCTGACAGTATCTTGCGTATCGTAGCTGATCATGACCCTCCGCTGCGAATCATAGCTATACGTCGCCCCGATATCCCGTTCAATGATGACTTTCGCGCCGGGCCGCGGCAACGCCTTGACGTCCCACACGTCAGGGTCCCAGCTACCGTTCCCACGGCCGCTGGTGTCGTCGACGCCGGAGAGGGGCTTACCGGGACCGTCGGTGTTAGCGAAGGAGCGGCCGTACAGCGGGATTCCCAGGGATATCTGGGAGGGGGGCACCCCGGCGTCGATGTACGCGGCGATGGCTTGCTCGGTGTTGAAGGGTGTGGAGAGAGGGTTGGCGAGCGAGGGGTTGATGTTCGCTGTGTGGGCGGCTGTGGTGTCTTCTTTGAGTGCGTAGTCGTAGGCCATGAGGTTGATGAAGTCGGCGACTTCGGAGATGGCTTTGAGGTCGAGGACCTTGTATCTGGTGGGGCCTGGTTCTCTTAGTTGTTTTCTTTCTTTTGGGGATTGATTAACTCCATGTATGTACCTGCTGCGGTGGCGACGCTCAGGAGGAAGTGTTCGCCCTTGGCATTGGCTTGGGCGTATTTGTCGAGTTCCTATTGATCGGTCAGCAAGCTTCGTTCTCTGAGGAAGAAGGGAAGAAAAATCAATATAATGCTGACCTGTCTTGTGGCCCTCAGCAACTGAAGCATGTTCTCCCCCTCCTGGTCATTCAAAGGATACTGATCAACACGCAATTAGCAAAGTCGAAACGTTCAAGGCATGCGCAACAAGATCAAGAATGAAAGGAGAGAAAGCAAAAGGGACCAACCTCCCAATCAACGTCCAACCCATCCATTCCCATATCGCCCATCAACTTCACCGCAGTCTCTGCAAACCGTTTCCTACCACTCTCGCTGGACGCTGGTCCCACGAAGTGCTGCGAGAAGTCCCAGCCCCCGATGCTCAGCATCACCTTGAGGTTGCGATTCCGCTTTTTGAGCAGGAACAGCTGCTTCGTGGAGCCATACACGTTATCCCCCGTGCTGCCGACCTCGCCCGAGCTGGGGTCGCCGGGGTAGCGCCGCTCGAGGTCGGCGTAGACGTCGGTGAGGAAGACATCTCCGTCGGGGTGGATGTCGGCGAAGGCGTACAGCACGTGGGTGAGCTGTTCGGCGGGGAGGGATTCGGCGTGGTAGTTTCTCTTGAAGATGCCCTGGAACAGGATAGAAGGACATACTGTTAGTGAGTGACAGTGTGTTTTGAGGGTAAGGGAATGAGATTGATAGGTGTCGAACCCAATTGACAAAGTAAGCCATGGAGCGATATCCTCCAGAAGCGCTCTCCGGCCCTGGAGCCGGAGCCGGGGTCGGGATCGAGGTCGATCCAGGTACTCCAAGAGACAAGCTCAAGCTGGCAGATACAGGAACGGCGACTGCCGTCGCCAGGTGCCCGACGCAAGCTAGACAGAGGAAAATAGACAGGGAACGGGCCATTGTGTGCTTGTCTTATATGCCACCCACTGCCTGAGCAGGACTTGTAAGGAACGGAAGGGGACTGGGAGTCCTGGTTATCTCATTTCAAAGAACGACTCCACCATCTGGACTATATACTACGGTGCTCAGGCTGGCTTGGGCTGCGCATCGCAGACTTCATACCTGTCACGTTGCCCTGGTATGCTGAGCGGCGATGGGTCCAGACCAAGGGTTCCGGGACATGGTCTCATGGAAGGCGTGGATGCAGGGATTAAGAAATCAAAGACTTTAATTCTCTCATCTGGCTCGTCATTGGACAATGCTGCGGCCGTTTCCTTGCATTGTGTCCGTTCTCGTCATGACGGGGGTCAGATGTCGAAAGTCCGGGTAAGATGGAGAGTTCAGGTACTGTCCGGGCAAACCAACGGGCGATGAGATTACCCGAATACACAGGGGGGTTCAAAGTAAGATGTCAAGCCTCATGAACGGATTTGGATATCTCTGCTATAAAGAACGGTCGTATCGATTGATATTTCCAGGGGAAGGACCAACAGACGGACCCAACACGGAGCGTCGATAACACCCATTCGAGTCGACGCCAAAACGGAAACCCACTCTATCCCTAACCGGATATCGGGAACATGCTGATTTCAATAACGTCGTTCTTTGTTGGGAAAGATAAGACAGGGGGGCAGTGATTTCGACATGGAGGTCAAAGAAGGACGAGTCATGAACGGCCATGTGCATGGCCCCCCTTCAGACACATGGATCCTCAAACGGGCTTAGACAGCCACAGTTTCAGGTGGGGATCTTGTACAACTCCATGATGCCTTGGTGATTGACGAAAAAGGACTGAGAGACAATCTCGGCAGATTATATTCCAGGCCTCCATCGTGGTATCGCGGAACTCAAGTGGTACGGTGGCAAGTATTGCAAGTGTCGAGGAGGAGCATGCCAGCGCATTAGGGCTGACGATATTTGCCCCGGATCACCATCCATCCCTCTGATGAAGTCAACTCTCATTGACGAGATTGCATGTCAGACGTACCATCTAGTCCCTGCATGCTTCTCTCACTTGTACTCCAGAATATTATTTCGCGGGGAAACCCTGCTGATAGTCTAGATCCCTGTTACTAGCTTCTTGGGTGTATGATTGATAGTCAGACTGCGCTAGACTGAGTTATTTGCCCATATTTCAAGGCTCAGCAGTCTAGACGAACGAAATTTGACGAAGAAATTATATTTGAGATAGATCTATCGTATGAGAACCACCAACTGACAACTCAGAATCAGCCCCAGTGGTTCTTCCCCAAGCTCAAGCATACACACGTACACACGCATACCAAGGAAAAGTACGGGGCAAGAAAGAAACAGGAAAAAAAAGAAAAGAAAGGTTCGCCCAGAGACGTCCGTTATCGCTAACAACAAAAGAAAATGGGGTATATTCTGAAAATGTAACAAATGCACTTGACAAAACACCGTATGCTGAAGGGTTAATCTTCTTCCGCCTGTGTTTTGATTTTAGGGAGCGGTGGAAATTATTAGTGAGACACTTGTCGTGGTCGTAGTATGTCGATTCCTCTGGTAACTGGGGCTTTTGCCAACTCTCGAGCTAGTTTCAAGCTTGCCCAGCGGAAAGCAACCCGACGCCTTGATCCGGCCGCAGAATCGGCCCCTGTAGGGCAGTGTATTCCGGTGGGGGTGGACACGGGGACGAATCAGTAACGGGTGCCCTTCGTGGAGAAAAGAACTCCGCGTTGACCTCAGCCTGGGAGATATCGAGTTCGGAGCCCTTCCCACCTAGGCGTGGCTGACTGACAAGCTGGATGGGCACGCGCAGGGAAGCGGATGGGCTGACGAGGTTTGCGCAGGGGGTGTGATAGGAGATGCTCAGTTCGAGGGTGTAGGTGCGGGAGATCAGACACGAATGAAATGTCGGGACAAAGGCCTTGGACGTTGGGAGGGTAATGGGAATGACGACCGACGCGGTGTAGTAGGTCTGCCTTGCGGGGCTGGTCGACGACGCCGCGAGGGAATCTTCCGACGAGGTGGACTGCAGCGAGTCGCAACGGTCGAAAGTGACGGCGGAGTGCTTGGTCCACTGTGCAGAAGCGACACAGAGCTTGGATAGCGGGGCGGTCTCAGAATAGATGCCCCGGCCGACCTGCGTCCAGAGCAGGGCGCTCGAGGCTGACGGATAGTCCGCCCAGGGCTCGGCGCTGTAGAAGGTTGATGCGCGCAGACGAGACCAGACGGTGCCTAGGCGCGGGGGCAACTCGGAGCCAACAGGGTCGAAGCGCAGATGCACGGTGGCAGCGGTGCTGACGATGTCGCTGTCAGCACCATTGGGTGGGCTGAGCCGGACGGGTTTGGGTTGGGACGCGGTGACCACGAGCCGGCCGAGCTTGCTGCGCATCAAGCCGCGCTTGACGTCTTTCTCTCTCCGCGTGCAATAGACGCTATCCTGATCAGTGAAGTTGAGGGGAGGCTCCTCGTCAATCACGGGGACGACGCGCACTTTCTTTCCGGCGGAGACGAGCGTCTTGGTGTCGTTTCGGCTTGAGTTGGATCGACGGTTGACAACCACGCGGATTACGTACGAGACGCGGCACATTTCCGGGGATAGGTCATCTAGAAGGGATTTTCCATCGCTGGCTAACATGGGATCACCGAGCGATGGGGGGACCATGGTGTGGGAGCGCCCAACGTGCTGGTTGGTTTTGTGATGGCTACATGCGTGGGGGAGCAGACGATCGGGCACGACGAAAGTGAAGGGAAATTGGTAGGTACGTCCCGGTTCAAAAACTCGTGGTGTAGGGTAAAGAGTATCGTCAATGGGTTGACGCAGGCGCAGGAAGGTCTGATAGGCCCCTGTGCGGCCGGGCAGAGCAGAACGCTCGACAGAGGTTCTCGCTGTACCTTTTTTACTCAGTATATGATAGGCACCATCCACGGTAGGCAGCATACCTTCAAATGTTATATCAACTTCGTCGAAACGTGTATCTCGGTCTACTGTCACCATCGCCGTTCCTTCGATGCGATCTTTGGAGGTGTATGAGTTGACGAGCCCATCGGCCTGGTTGACCAGCTCGATATTGATCTTGGGCCGCGCATAGTTGGTGAAGGTCTCGAGAGAACTAGAACCTCGGGTTGAAAGGGATGACGGCATGATTTGAGATGTGACTCAATATGCCTAGGTAGGGTCTGCAATATTAAGAGGTGAAGGAAGGTAGCTTGTATATATATGGGTGTATACAGCGAGAAAACACGGGAAGGGAAACGGCGACCTTGGGGTTAAATAAAAAGATAAAACAGGTCGATGCTTCAAGGATCCTTTTCTTTTCTTCCCTTTTTTTTTTTAAAAAATTTCTTTTTTGTTTAAAACAAAAAAGAAAATCAAGAGCAAAAAAAGCCGAGGGAAGCTTCGCAGATGAATGTAGGGATGGTGTTGTGGTTGGGTAATGGAAAAGCACAGTGGAGCAGAGCAGATATAACTAGTCTTGAAAGTATGTATTTATCTCCACGCCTTGCCGGAGAATAAATATCCCAAGTGAGATGGAAGCTTGGGTCATAAATACACTGACATGCTCCTCGTTCGAATGGTTTGAAATCATTCTGCTGAGAAATCTCCCTATTTTTTGGCAGGTTGTGACTCAAGTTGAGCTTTGTTCGTCTTCCTATTTCGTACTAATGCACGCCCTTTGACGCGTCCAAAATATCTGCACAGGGCTGATTAATATGATTTCTGGCTCATGATTAGAGATGAAGCTTGTTCCATGGTGTCTGATTGGTTATCGCGCCTTAGGATCGGCCACGCCCGAGGATCGGCCACGCCCTTGCAATGACATCCCTTGGCAGGACGGAATGATCATACGCAATCTTAGTATTCTCGTGAATTAGTCATGATCGTCTTGAGTCCCTCGTACAGGGTCCATGTAAGAGAACATCGGTCAACCGGTAGATCGGGTCACATAAAGATCGGTAAATTCTTTCAAAGCTGGAGATGATGTCAAACGTGATTGCAGATCCTCCAAGACCGAGAAGAAGAAGCAGCATTTTGGAACCATCATCGAGATTATTGACAATGGTGTATGGTTCTGACGATAAATTACGCAACCCGATGCTATACTCCAGCGAGTAAAACCACCAACTTTGCACCGAGTCGGTAAGCCAGTCGTCCTTGGTCAGGAGCCCATGCTCATTGTCACGATCCTATGAACCGTGGCTAGATGTAGCATGGTGAGTCTGGAATCGGCCGAAGGATTCGACGTGCACGCCCTTTAGCATGGGCGGTGTCCACATGGTCCTTTTATTGGCCGTGCCGTCGGGGGATGTCCTGGTACGGCGAACTATAGGTCCTGCTTTCTGATTAGTGTAGAAAGACATCTGTTGGATGATACGTCTAGATCAACGACCGCCAGAACATACCTATCCTACCATCCGAGTGGGCTTGAAGACACATGGGACATTTGATGGCAGGTTCCACGGAGAAGGGAAGAAGAAAGTTGATAGTGGGATCCGCTCCCGATTCGATGAAGCTGCGATGATAGCCGATGCCGAGCTTAGCCGAGACCTAGCAATACCAACATCAATCTTATTGCGGAGGATTTATAACATCACCTTGTCAAGTATGCACTCATGGCGCCATCATAATCCTTCACCAACATGGTCTTACCCAAATTTATATCCGCTGCTATCCTTCGGTTCAAACTTCTGCCCTATATCTTAGCTTCCCAGCTGCTTGTTTGACGGTGATGGCACGTCCCCCCAACGAATCCACTTGCCGGAGATAGCCATCGGCGCCATTGTCGGGACCCGCACGTCCCCAATATTCGCTAGTCCGACATGCGCCATGGCGTGTTTAGACGGCGGGATGCCGACTTTCAACGCCTTTCGGGAAAAGACTAGTCCGTCCGTCCATAGAGATGGCTACATCTCATGATCTTTTGAACAATCGCTTCAATTACCGCCCCAGTCAGCCCTTGCGGAAGATCAAATTTTGAATGTCAAAAAGGGCGCCAATGGAAACGCCATGGAGACTAGCAGACTAGCGGTTGAGCGGACTTCGGAGCGGACTTCGCGAGCGGAGTGAGAATTGGACCCTATAGTTGACCCGACAAAGTTAGCGTACTTGATCTGGGTGGGTTGCTCGTAGGCCCCATCTAAGTCTATCACCGGTGGTAGATTGTGATCAACCTTTTTGTGTCATGATTCAGACTAATATTGTCAGGCACATGCTTTCTCAGATTTCCTTATCAATAGTTTGGTAGTCATTCTCCCCTGTCAGCTGGGACTGCGTAACTTTCACTGTATCAACGGTATGGTACGAGCACGAGAAGGAGTGGCATATTACAGGATGTTGATAGCGTGGTGAGGTACTTGCATTGGTGATGCGAATATACATGCAGAGGAAGCGAAGGGAGGAGAGAAAGCAGGTAGACATGCCTGAGGTTCTTCATGAACACATGACTCGGACTTTGACTAAATTCAACGTTGAACTATACATCTTCAAACCATGATACATCATACACTATCTAACTGTCTCTATACACCCAAACTTTCATCATCAACACTTCCGGACAGGACAGAATCATGAAGTCTGTCCTCGGTCACGAGCAGCTGCTCCGGAAACCAAGAGAGATCACCAGCACCAGAGGACTGTTGGTCATGATTTAGAACCATCAGAGCCAACGCTTTTCCACACAACCATGCTTGGACCATTCCTTCGCCCGAGAATGCACAAGCTACCCATTCGGCACCATGGCTGTCTTTGTCCCCGCCTCTCTGAGTGGCAGAGAGGGGTAATCTACCCACCCACGGATTCCCATCAGCACTGAATCCCATATTCCCAGTCCACATCTGTTCCACGCTAGGTCCAGAAACGGCCCCCCAATTCTCTCGACCGAAAATACTACTTAGAGCGCCAGATAGATGGATATCTGCATAGAAACTCAGTTCAGAGTCAGTGGAGATGCCTATGTCTGCAACGCCTCCGGTTTGGCCTTGGGCAAATCCACCACCAAACATCATCTTGGCAGCATCCGCTTGACCCCCAGAAGGCAACTGGGTAAGATAGTCAAATCCTCTTTCATAGTTGAACAACCAGGAATTCTCTGTGCCCTGGTTTATGAATTTGACACCGGCGTTTTGTGCAGACATTTGTCCTCGAATCGGGTAAATGCGGCCTCTCAGACCTGGGACGAGATGACCAACGTGGGCATTGGTGCAGTGAATGACATGGCGGGTGCGGATTTTGCCTCTCGCTGTGACAACGGAGCAAGGAAGATCAGGAGTGTTTGTGTTGTGGTCATTATGGATCGCTGTTACGGGTGTGTTGGTCTCGATGCATAACTCCCCTGGGAATTCTTGATGCAGACGTGCCAATACGCCAGTCACAAATCTATATGGCCAAAGCGCACCAGCCGGGCCAGCGATAACGCCTCGAGCAGTCGAGAGACCGAATTTCTGGAAAGTGAGCTGCATTCTTCTGTACGGGGGTCATCTTTCACCAACCTCGGGGATATCCTCTCGCTCGAATATCTTCCATTCGGCGGCTTCTTCTGGCATGCATTCCTTGAACCTCCGGATACAACGAACAGATTCCTGCCATTTCTCCTCATCGAAGTAGGCACTCAAGAACTGCACTTTTCTTGTCTGAGATTCCTCAGTCAACCCATACTCATCCGCCACACTGAGTATCTCCGGAAGATGGGCGAGTCGGAACCGCGTTATCTTCTTAGCCGCCTCTAACCCATACTTGGCTTCAAAATCGGTGAACTCCTCGACTGTTTCCAGAATGTGGCCTCCATTGCGACCAGTCGCACCGCTACAAGTATTGCGCGCCTCCAGAATAACGATCTTTGGACAAGAAGAGTTTTGCCCTTGGCCACGGGACCCCTTCAAAATGGTTCTAGCGATGGATGTGCCGGTAATCCCCGAGCCAATAATCACGATCTCGGCTTGGCTGGGTAGTGTCGACGACTGAGCCTTTGCCAATTTCGGGTGTGGCTGCTTCAGCCAGAAAGAAGTAGTGGTCGGGGTTGCAGGAATGCCTGGATCGGACAAGGCCCGCTTTAAGGCGTCCTGTCGGGCCTTAAGTGGGATTGCCGGATCAAACAGTGAGGCTTGTACGAAGGCCATGATGGGAGGGGTGACAAAGATGGGTTTGAGAAGGTATAGTAGGTTTAAAAAAATGAAGAAATACGCTTACAGCTTTGACGAGACATGCGAGCTTATCAGCGATTGATAAAGCCGAAATGGTGTTGTTCGGCGTTTCGGTTGTTGCAGCTAATTGGGGATAGAGCCAAGACGGAGTATTCCTGGTGACTATCACAGTGCCCGATGAGGAAGGCAATCGTGGAACTCGGCAGCAGTGGAGAATATACTTGGCTTCCCGAATAGCTAGCCTTATAGTGTCATCCGCATTGCCTGGTAAGGGCATTTTGCGCGTTGACAGTGCTGGCTGATCCATGTTAGCTCGGAAATTAGGGTCAACCTCCTACCCAATCGAGGCCCACGCCATGATAGAATGATGAAATAGGAATAAGATGGTTTGATTATTTCTTGATTGTCTGAGCGTCCCATACAGCAAACTCTCCTAATTGGGTAGATGAGAAGCGGGGATCAGTGAGGGGCATTGCACGTCCGAGCCCAGGCTGAGATCAGACATAACCCTCATCAAACCGACATTTCAGTACACAACTTCAAGGGATTTGCATCTCTCAATTATGACACAGACCACGACAGCTAAGATTTGGCGCACGACAGTCGCGCAGAAGCGCAAACAGCTTGCCTCTGCCATCCCCTCTAAATGGAGACTGGACGACAAACTTCTCGCATCGTTGCCGCAAAATGGCAATCTAATGGAAGCAGATATACCTCGTCGCAGCGGTATTCTCTCCGAACGAGAACTCCAGATTACAGAAAACTATACAGCAGAGGAGCTCCTCCGGCAGCTTGCGGCGGGTGAGGTGAGCTCGCTGGCCGTGACGACTGCGTTTTGCAAGCGTGCAGCTATTGCCCAGCAGTTGGTAAGGTCATCAGATCATCTCAATCAAAATCAGCCTCTCTAACTTGATAGACCTCCTGTCTGACTGAGCACTTTTTCCCCCGCGCCCTGGAACGAGCCCAGTATCTTGATGATTACCTGAGGCGAGAGAAGAAGGTGGTGGGTCCTTTGCACGGGTTGCCCGTCAGTCTTAAAGACTGCTTCCGTATTGAAGGAATTCAAAACACCGTGGGCTATGTTTCATTTCTTGAGCATCCGCCGGCCAGCTCAAATTCGCCATTGGTGAACATGCTGCTAGACAAGGGTGCAGTGCTCTACGTGAAGACGAATATCCCGCAGACCTTGATGGTCTGTACCCAACCCTATGTTTTCTCTCTACACTCCATTAACATAGACCCAGACCGGCGATTCCGAAAACAACATCTACGGCCGCACATTGAACCCGCACAACACCAACCTGACAGCCGGAGGATCAAGTGGCGGCGAAGGGGCGTTGGTCGCCTTCCGAGGCTCGATCCTCGGTGTGGGGACAGACATCGCAGGCTCCGTCCGAATCCCCGCTCTCTGCTGCGGCGTGTACGGGTTCAATCCGACGGCCAATCGCATCCCCTGTAGTGGGCTGGTAACCGGGATGAGCGAGGGCCTCCCGGGACCCACTACAGCAGCAGGGCCGCTCGCAAACAGCCTGGGAGATCTCAAGCTGTTCATGTCGCACGTTCTCGGGGCTGAACCCTGGCGATACGACGCAACAGCCAGCGCAATCCCCTGGCTCACAGGCCCCAGCCTTCAATCACCACTTACCATCGGAATCCTTACAGAAGACTCGCACTTCCCACTGCATCCCCCGGTGCGCCGCGCACTAGAATCCGCCATCAAAGCATTGTCCGCCAAAGGCCATCGCATCGTGCGGTTGGGAGATGCGCCCCAACGCAGTGTTTCCTACGCCAACCGTCTCGCGTTCCAGTACTTGACTATGGGTCCCCGTCTCGACCACATTAGCCCCAGCGGGGAACCTCTGATCGCATCCGCCGCTAAAGCCCCGTCTCCGATGTTTTCCGGTCCATTTCCCGTGTCGCAGGATCTGGAGACCTTCACAAAGATCGACGCCCTGTACAATGCGCGGGTCGCGTACGCGGAGGCCTGGCGCGAGGCATGGGTGTCGAATGGCCTGGATGTGGTGCTCGGGCCCGGCGCGCAGAGCACGGCGGTGCCGCACGATACGTACGGATGGCCTCTGTACACTGCAGTGTGGAACGTGCTTGATGTATGTTCTAGTAGCAATTCCGTGCGAGGGATATAATTGCTAACCAATCCAAGTACCCCGCGTGCATTATCCCTTACGGGAAAGCGTCGCAAGCGCTCGACCCCGAGCCGATGGCGATCCACGATGGCGTCCAGCCAAGTTGTACGTCGATCAATCGATTGATCCTAGGGTGAATCACGGCTGACAATTACTTAGATGACCCACAGGCCGTAGACGGAGCACCCTGCGCCCTTCAGATTGTCGCACCGCAATACCAGGACGAACGATGTCTGTCAGCAGCAGCCATAATTGAGAGGGATCTTCAGTAGACAATACTATATACAGCACGTAGCCCTGGGACCATTAAAGCCATTTCCACCATCCTATCCTCTTATTCTTTCCACATTTCAATCCTACTTAACCGTCCTAGTACTTACCATCCTTAATCCTATCATATCGCCTATCTATGATACACTACTGAGACCCCCCCAACACCCCACTCTCCACCCAGACCCGCTCATCAAACCCCTCCATGCAAGCCCGATAGTCCTCCCCCGCGGCAACCCACCCTTTGATGCCGCCCTGCAGGACGAGACTCTGCATGGAGCGATCCCCGCGGTCCTCCAGTAGGTCCGCGAACCAGTTTGCGGCGCGGGTGCCGCGGCCGGCCGATGATCCTTCGTATATTAGCTATTTTGATATTTTTTCGATTGTATTTTCATTGAAAATACAATTATGCTACCTAGCATGATAGGAAATTTTAAAAAATAAAAGAATAAAAAAAACTCACCGCAAAACCACAAAACATGCTTCACCCCCGCAGCAGCGAGCATTTCGTAGAGGGTGGGCAGCGAGGGGTAGAGCGTTTGGGCGGGGAGGTTGAGGGAGTGTTTGATGGTGCCGCCCTTGTTTGTCAGATATATATTTCGATATTTGTATATATGGTATAAGAAAAGAAAGGAAAATAAGAAGAAATACCTCATGATCCGTCCGTCGCAAATCAACAACGACATAGTCTTTTCCTGGGACACGGCCTTGCTGCATCCACTGCAGGAGCCGATCGCGGGGGATGGAGGCGGCGATGGTGCGGGGGGAGGGGAACGCTGCGTGCCAGGGAAGGGACATGTTGTTCTTGTTTTATTTTATTGATTTTTTTTTTTCGGTGATTTATCTATTCTTTTAGATGTTGTTTATAAATGAGTCGTTGGCGTGGTTGGAATCCGGTGAACTCGGAGTGGGTTCCGGAGAAAAAATAAAGGCGTGGATATGGTTGGTGGGGTCGGATTAGTCGGTTTACTACACAGTGACTGTGGGTAACAACTATGCGTGCTCGTTCAATAAAAAGCTCTGCCCTTTCTATTCTAGCTGCTACTAGGTATCTTAGATCTTCAAGGAGTTATACTTGGGTTATCTTAGTTTACCCAACTGTGACAGGAAAGTATATGTTATTTATCTGATAATGGTCAAAAGCGGTACATTTACAAGATGTCCCGAGTTGGAACTTCATATCCTATCCGGCTGTCTATTCTGAACTGCATGCATACTTTGGTTCAAGTCAAGTTGTATTACTTAGACCTCAAGTTCCTCAATTCCGTAGGTGGATCAAATTTTAATCTCAGGTCCAGTGGTAGATGCTCCAGTAGTAGACGCTCGGCTTCTCTCCCTCACTATGATCGATCAATTGACAGTAGACTACTGCCCACGATAGACATGATCGGGCTCATCTTCAGCCCGTTCCACATCCTCCGCTACACTGCTGTGTCCCGAATGATAAAGCATCAGCGCGACAGCCGAAGCCTGGAAGGTCGCACGGACAGTCGGCCAGCCCAAGATTTCATCGTCGAGGTCCCTCTCTGCACACACGAGCAGGACCGTGTCGTCTCGTGTGGACCTCTCGTCCAGGATGGCAAAGTAGCTGGGCATGATTTCCGACTCGGTATTTTCGACAAGCTTCAAGAGCAGTTGGTGACATTCTTGGGGCGTCTTTCCGATGAAGGGAGAATTTGGGTTGCTGTCATTCTCGATTGGTGCCTGTGATGGCTCATTGTAGTATTCGTCAATGCTGTCCACAAAGACAAGACTCCGGTCGTCTTCTTTAACGTCGCCATTTCGCTCAATGAACCGATCCATGACCTGCAAAGGGGTTAGTATTGAGCCAAGGCTAGGGAGGGGAAGCCTGACCTCTTTGCTCAGCGGAGCGGCGCAGACTACGGGAAATAAGGCTACCATCTTGGAACGTATAGATGCGATAGGGAGAAGAGCATTCAGGTAACAGAGCAGAAAAAATCCAGTAGGGATGGTGTATTAAAGCAGTGCGACTTGTTTAGTCTCACAGCCTGACATCATGCTGTGAGTCTTGGCGGCACTTGATCAAGCTTACAGCTCAGCCCGTATGACTAAAAGCTACGCCAGTGACTACGTTGCTTGTTTTATAGTGGCTGAGCCAGTATGCCCTTTCTATACGGCTCGGCTTATTTTTAGATATATACTCTCTATGTTTGATCTGTCGGAAACCAGACAGTGCATATAAGTGTACTCAAGGAGCTCAGATAGCCGAGTGATGTTCTTTGCGTCACAGCCTTACTAAGATTCTTACCAAGAATTGATTAAAGAATCCTACAAGGCATACTACCAGAAAAACTACCAAAAACCTGATACAGAACCCTGCTAAGTGGGCGCAGCCTAACCCAAAGACCTGCGGCGCGGCACAGGCCATGTAGCTTACTATACAGGGGTGTCTGGGGATGTCAAACCAAGGATGCATACCCCAGAGTGGGGTATAACCCTAAGGCCCCACCCACTAGAACTCTATAACAACCCTACAAAGCATTTATGTAGAATCCTTCGAAGCAGCCGTGTGGAGTTCATAGAGTATGTACTATATAGTATCAGTACCACCTCAGCTATACTTCAGTAAATACTATACCAATCAAGTCTCTTTCTTGACAAAGGATTGTGAAAGCTTAGCTAGTATAACTAACACAATCATTGCGTGCCTGGTCTAGGCGGGCACTCATAGTATGCCAGATTCCCTGTACCAATAGAGGCTATGACAGCCTTGTTCTTGTCTCGGCAAGATTAGTCGTCCGAAGTATACGCAATCATCAAGTGTCTGACCTTGTGTAGACACTTATAATCTATCAAATCCCAGTCACAATAGAGGCTATCACAGCCTTGTTCTTGTCACAGCCATCAATCTGACTCCCGCGTTTTAGCCCTAAATGGCTCCCCTCTCGAGTGACGTTGAAATTCTTACGCAGTTTCAGCGGTTTACAGCCCTTCGAAGGCGAGGTGTCAGGCGCATTCGAACCTGCAAGTGTAGGCGATCAACTGCCTCACCATTTTCTAGATCGGGGCTGGCTTCTGAAGGCGATATGTTGCTATAATCGGCTCCGTGATGGACGGATTGATGATATATAAGGAGAGACTGGACTTGCTTTCCAATTGCCTCTCCTTCCATCTTTACGCTCTCCATCAGTCTTGTCTTGATAACAAAGTCATCCAATATGCGCGCTTTCACATTGATCGCTCTTGTCCCTTTTGCTCTCGGCATCAGCCAGCATCCTATGTTAAACTTGGATTGTACAAAATATCCGGGGCCTTGCAACAATGACTGCTACGCGGCATATGTCGCTAACAAGCCGTTGGTATGGAGAATCTGCCTCCCGCAGGAGAGGATATGGGCGCTGACTTCTGTTTTTAGATTCTGAACTACAATGGGCCCGATGGGAAGTCCGGCGCACGCCGGAAGGCGGCTGGTTGTGTCTCCCCTTCCCCATGTCGCAATGACAAAATGAAAAAACAGAGTAAAGATGACGATACCTGCGATGAATATCCTTACGCGTCTACCAAGGAAGGTGGCACCGGAGCAATCATTCGGTGCACTAACGGAGCTGAAAACTCGAGAGAGGGTACGGACTTGAGTAGCTTCTTCCGATCTACCTGTGGCAATAAGCCCTGCACGTTCCGGGTCAACTTTGGAAATCCCGGTGGAGGTGGCAGGTACGTTTTCCCGCTTCCCCAGTTTTTGCATTCTTTTTGTGTGTGTGTGTGTGTGTGTGTGTGTGTGTGTGTGTGTGTGTGTGTGATTAACGAATGTGCAGTCCCTACTGTCTTAATGGAAATAGTGCAAACGACGGTTACCAGTACTCGTTTAAGGGTGGAGGAAAATATGACCTTGCTAGCAGAGGTGCGCGCATACCCAAGATTCACCAGGTCAGACTCATCATTGACACCGGTTGCAGACTTCGACGATATCGAGGACAGCCCATTGGGCCTGCACGAGCCAGATCCAGCCGATTTTTTCCACCCTCATCTCCGCCGCGAGTTCCTTTTGGAGGACGGTAGCCGCACCGTCCTCTCGTCGCGCGACCAAACCACCTCTTACAACGATACGATCTTCTACTCCCTGCGCGACGGAGAAGTGGTCGAGACTAGAGCGGTCAAGGAATTGCTCGGCGAGGAGAAAAGCCCCGAATTGCAGCACCCGTCCTTGCGTCGTAAGAGAGCCCTTCAATTCGCATCGTAGGCTCGACGCATCGAAGAGATTGTCCTTGGTTGAAGTAGCCGTCTAGGACGAGAACCCAGCAAAGAAAGGTAACACATGTGAAAGGAAGGGAAATTGACATTATAGCACTTTGATTTCGTGGATTTGACTGCAATCGGGTTGGCATGTCGACTGGCTTGCAGGGCATTTTCCCACACATTTGACCATTTGTATTTTGATAGTTTTTTTGACCATCAAGCAAGTTTTTCCATAGCTCTGAATATCATGGGCTTTTCCATCACCCATTTCCACAGCTATCATATAAAAGATGTCCCTATATCGAGTATCCTCATTCTTTTTTTGTCTAGAACTTGATACCTGCCAGAAACATGATAGTACATAAGAAAGTATCCTCTAGTGAGATCCGTAGAACAGATAGAGTAGTCGTAGATATATCATTTGCTAATTATAAGCTTGGCATAATCTCAATACAAGTCCCCAAGTCAACAATATAAGAAGTGTGCCAAAGATTACTTACAGAGCGCAGAAAATGTCTAGATATATTTGCAGCCTAGTAGTATGCTTTGCAACATCTTATATTCTCGGGAAATCTTACAACCACTGCTTGTTTCCAAGATGCGAGATGAACGCACCGCCAAACCCACCCTCGATACTAGCCTTCTCCCAAGTCGACCTGACATGTCGGACGGATTCTTCCGGAGTGATCGGACCCTTGAAGTGAGGCGCATAGGTTGTAAGATTGCCCATGAGTCCTGTCAAGCCCTGGACCTCTTCCGGAGTGGCTGTGAGTTGGTATGCATCAATCAACATGTCCAAATGCTGCAATCTTGATGCCAGGAAGGAGGGATACGTACCATCCGTGTAGCGACCCACCTCCACAAAACCGGGACTGATACTCAGGAAGAGGACACCATTTTTCTTGTATTGCGCGTTGAACTTGGACACGATGATATTCATGGCCGCCTTGGAGGCAGCATATAAACCACCAACATCAATCTCGATGTCGTTGATCACGTCGAGATCGGCCATACCGGTAGAGATGGTAATGACCTTCTTGACTTGGCCCTTCAGGACAAGAGGCAGGAAGAGATGAAATAGGTGGATGTTACCGACGACGTTGGTCTGCCACAGCTGCGATGAGACTGCCTCAACCTCCTCAGCCTTATCGGCCCTGTTGGATATATCGCATTAGCCACAGACTAGCGCTAGAGGCAAAGAGACCTACAACGCGCCGATAGGTCCATAGGTGTCCAGGTAGGGCACCAAGCCTGCATTAGCCACCAGGTAGTCGACACCACGCTCGCCCACGATCTCAGCCGTGTCAGCCGCGGCTTGCTTCAGGGTGCCGTAATCGGTGAGGTCTCCACGGAGGATGTGAATATTAGAGCGGTCGCCTAGCTCTGCCGCTACCTTCTGCTTGGTCACAGCTTCATCGCGTACCAGACCAACAACCAGGTTCTTCGGGTCTTCCGAGAGCTGCCGGAGAAACTCAAACTAGCCTGGATCAGATTTAATGCGACGCGCGGTCGAGAACAGGCTTACTCCTATTCCCCTGGACACTCCGGTGACAACGTAAACAGACATGTTGCGTGAATGCGAAATAACTCAAAGCTGGTTGAATTGAGGGTGTGTGAGGGTGTAGGAAACCGCAAAAAGCTAGTCTTGACTGTTATATCTGTGGAAAGAATACCACTCGGCTACAAAGATATTATATAGATACTTCTTAGCACTATGGGTACCCTTTTATAACACATCTTATATTGGGACATAGTTCAATAAACAAGTATACCAACATATTCTACCAGGTGCTTAATAATTCTGCTGGATGAATAATGATGATAGAATGGGATGGAAAAATGGCGTCCTTAGCCCAGGTTGCCGCGTTTTGTCATGATCAAGCTAGGCGCCTTCATCTCGCCGTAGAGCCTAGGGCTTACATGCATCCCTGGGGACTTGCATCCAATCTCGCTCGATATTCTAAAAGAAATAGAAATTCCATTAAAGCAATCTTTTGTCAACCTTGATATCCAGAGTAGGTTAAAGGCATAACTATTGAGTATTGGTAAGAATGCTGCGCTTGTATCAAGTAGCACTGGATATAGAATCTCCTAGAAAAAAAGGTTATCTAAAGTCCTTATCTGATGATATCTTTCTCTTTTCCTCTGTCAGCAGAACTTCCTAGCCTACTCTCTTTCTCACGTCTTAATCTTCCAAGACCTTGAAGATCATGTCTGGGGAATATGGAGGTTTCCAGTTCTTGGTTAGAGCGAGGAGTGTCCAAGGATGTAGATACTTTACTTTCGCATGTAATGAGATTTTGCAATCTTACACTTTGAGAACAGTAATATCAACATATATAACCCTACTCCAGCTTAGACAGTGTCTCGGCATACCCTTCTCCAGTTAATATCTGTCTTGAGAAGTAACACAATCCTCATGGGTCTCTTAGTGAGTTTGCGTCTGAATATCTTCAAAGCGGTGTCGTCAGGGAGAGGAAATTATGGTTATATAGGATACATTATTATGATATTCCAATTTATTTGAATATAATGGATAGCACAATCAAGATGTAACTTCAGGCACATGATCAACCTGTTCCCTTTACAGAAACTTCCAAAGATGTCACTACTGTAACAGCATATCACCAACATGCCACGACATCATTGATATGGTTAGACTTTCGAGTCCTCCCTCGTCCAGAATCGCTCCCTGGACTATTCAAAGCTACCCAAAACCAGAGTTACCTAGCCAGCACTGTTCCTATGCCGTTGAAAGACAAGGTAATTGATCATTGTTTTGTAGATCTTTGGGCGAGGATGAGAGAACACCATATTCCCACGCGAACTTGAAGGCGATAAATTTAAGAAGCAGAAGAAAACTACGCCATCCCGAGACTCCAGTTGAAGCACGAAATCGCGGAGGGTGTGCCATAGGCCCCAGAAGGGACAACCGGGGTTGTCCTCATACCACCACCCTAGACGGAAGCATCTGGGGAAGCGGCGATATGGAAGCTGAATTGCGAATGAAGGCGATAAAATCACGATAGGTCAACTGCAAGGACACTCAGAACAGTCCAGCTTTCCGTCGTCAGGAGCGTTAAGCTGAGAGATTTTCTGTCCAGAATTGAGACTAAGGAAATGACGCCATTCAACTATGCCCATGGCAAGGCTATGGGATGTTGGGGCCTTGCCACTATTCGCAATCTTTTCGAAGTCAAATATTATCAACATTTTGACCGTCTTCAAGATCCTTCCACGATATCTACCTAGTTGACTATTTAGATCTACCCTGGTCTAGACAAGAGAAGAGCAACCGATGCAGCGTCTTGGCACCAAACAATCCGACTGACGGGGAAGAGAGATGAAGTATGGATTCATCCAGAGTGGACCTCTATCCACCAGTGAGGAGGGTCTCAAACCGGATTAATCAGGACGTGAAGATGTTGCGGAGCAAAGCCCGATCACGAGAGTTCCGAGGTCTATATTTATATATTAACATATTATACACCCATATACCTCTATTTTACATACAATGTGGTATTGTATATGATATGGATGTTATTCGACATTTTTCTATAATATTTATATAAATATTCTACGTAGAATTCCCCCTTGCCACTATCATCGAATTCTCCCGACGAAGAAAAACACCGAACGAACCTCGGCATCTCCACCGACCAGTCACATTCCCCGGATTGAACTCGCGGATCCACCGACCCCGTTCTCTTCATGTGCGAATCGCCTCATTTATTTCTCCTTTCCTCTCCTCCTCTTTTTTTCCTCGACTGTCACTTTTCCTCTCTCATCTCCCTCTATCCAATTCAATCTCTCCAAGATGAGCTCTACCGGTGACTACGAGGCCGTCCGCAAGGACATCGTCGCCCAGCTGAAGAAGCCCGACTATGACGACGGCAGCGCCGGTCCCGTCTTTGTCCGTCTTGCTTGGTATGTTCAACCTTTTCACAAGACCGCTTATAGAAAAAAAGAAGAAGAAGAAGAACCAGAAGAAAAGCTAACTTCCTAAAGGCACGCATCAGGCACCTACGATGTCGCCAGCGACACCGGCGGTTCCAACGGCGCCGGCATGCGCTACGAAGCCGAAGGCGGCGACCCCGCCAACGCCGGTCTCCAGCACGGCCGCGCCTTCCTCGAGCCCGTGAAAGCCGCCCACCCCTGGATCACCTACTCGGACCTGTGGACGCTCGCCGGCGTGACGGCCATCGCCGAGATGGGCGGGCCCTCCATCCCCTGGAAGCCCGGCCGCACCGACCTCGTCGACGACAGCAAGGTGCCCCCGCGCGGCCGCCTGCCCGACGGCGCGCAGGGCGCCGACCACCTGCGCTTCATCTTCTACCGCATGGGCTTCAACGACCAGGAGATTGTCGCGCTGTCCGGCGGCCACAACCTGGGCCGCACGCACGCGGACCGCAGCGGGTTCTCCGGGCCGTGGGTGAACAACCCGACGCGGTTCTCGAACCAGTTCTTCAAGCTGCTTCTGCGGCTGACGTGGACGAAGAAGACGATGCCGAACGGGGTCGAGCAGTTCGTGTACAACGATCCCGACGCCGAGGCGGACGACGAGCAGCTGATGATGCTGCCGACGGATATCGCGCTCATCCACGATCCCAGCTTCCGCTCTTGGGTCGAGAAGTACGCCGAGGATAAGGATCTGTTCTTCGATCACTTCTCGAAGGTGTTTGCGAAGCTGATTGAGTTGGGCGTTCGTCGGGATGAGAGTGGCGCTGTCGTCAACACGGATAATGTCAAGGGTGGGTATATCTCTGCGCCTCAGAAGAGCCCTGTTGCTACGGGGCCGGCCAAGAAGCCTCGTGCCCGTCTGTAAAAATATTGTCTTCGCCTTGCCTTGTCTTGTCGTTTTATTTCCCCCCTGTTTCTTTTGTTCGGTTTATGCGTGTTTGATATGTTTGATAGAGCCTGCGGTACATACAGATAGATAGAGACCGGCTTGTATTTAACTAGATATAGATTATCATCATACCTCTTATACCCCACTCTCGTGTCATTAGTGATATCTAGTAGTCTGAACGAAATAGTACTTAGAATCAATTCTATCTATGGAAATTCATATCGATTAATACACATCCAAACTCCAGCCAAATCCAAAAGTTATATACTTACGGCACCCTCTTCTTCTTCGCCGCCTTCCGCACCGGCCGCTTGCGCACCGGCTGCTCAACCACGCTCGAGTCACTACCGTGCTCATCCCCGTCCGGCACATACACCTCCTCAACCCGGCGCTTGCGCGTCATCGACCGCGTCATCGACCGCGGCGTGGGAACCTGTCCCTCCGGCCCCGAGTCACTGTCCTCGGTCTCAGCCGCCCCGACAAACTGCGGCATGGCCCCGACCCCACCCGGCCCCGGATCCTGAGTCCACGACTGGGGAGACGCCGGCGCGTTGTCGTCGAGCTGCATCTCCGTGTCCATGGCGTCTTCGTACACCGTCGCCGTGTCGTCCAGCAGGTCCGTCAGCTCGGCTGCCGGGTCCCGGTTGCCGTAGATCGGGTCGAAGTTGCCGTTGCCGTTGCGGGGAGGGCTTTGGCCTGCCAGAGCGTAGTCGAAGATGTTGGGCTGCTGGTTCGGATTGAGGCTCAGCAGCTGTGGGTTGATGGTGTTGGTGTTGAACGCGGACGGTGTCATCATGTTGACGGGCGGCTGGGGCGAGAACCCGGGCATGACGCCCGGATTGAACCCCTGCATCGTGCCGGGGGAGAAGTAGTTCATCATGTTTGGGGAGAAACCGCCCATCATGTTAGGGTTTAAACCGCCCATCATGTTCATGGTATTGGGCGACGGATTCGCCGCCGGGGCCGCGGCATTCTTGCCATTCCGGCTGGCCTGGCTGCTGGTGTTCTCCTGACCCTTGGTATTGGCCGGTTCATTGGCATCGCCTTGGTTATTGGCATTGTCTTGGTTGTTCCCATTGCCCGGGTTGGCATTGCCCGGGCTGTTGGCATTACCGTTACCATTGCCGGCCACCCCCGGCAGGGGACTTCCAAACGGGGATATGACGGAGTTGAAGAAACCCGGAGAGAACGTATGGGCGCCTCCAAGCATTCCCGGTGTGAAAGGAGGATTAAAGTTGGGCGAGAAATAGGGGGAGATGTAGGGCGAGTACCCGTGTGCATTTACCAGAGGAGACAACCCCGTCGCGTTCATCAGAGGAGACAGTCCAGTTGTGCCGCCCGTGTTGAACATGGGAGGCATTCCATGAGGAGGAGTCCATCCGGCCATGTTGCCGAGCAGTGGAGAGAACCCCGTTGCCATCCCTGCATTGTTCATCATGCCGTTCGTGTTGCTGTTCGCGATGTAGCTCATTGCGTTGTTAGCCCCCGTGTTGTTGTTCGCATTGTTATCCGTGTTGTTGTTGTTGTTCGCCGTGCCGTTGGGGTTCGTGCCGTTTAGATTTAACATCCCGGCCAAGGGAGTCATCCCTGTAGACGCATTCGGTAGCAATCCACCCATAGCAGGCGAGAACCCAAAAGGCGGGATCCCAGGAGGCGTGAACCCCGTCATATTACCACCCATCTGCGGGTTCAGCCCCGGCACGCCAGAGTTGAGTTGGCCGTTTGGTGACGACAAGATGCCCTGCATCCCCTCCGAGCCCTGCGACATCCCCCGCGAGAACGACATCGAGCGCGCCAGCGTCGCGGCTGCAATGAAGTTGGCGTCGGACATGCCCATCGGTTGGTACCCCCCGTGGGACTGGTAGTAGTACGGCACGTCAAGGGGCAGGATTCGGTTCCAGAACACGGGCCTGGGCACGGTTTCCGGGTCATTCGTGCTGGCCCATGGGTTGTGGTGCTTGAGGATCGGCCGACCCTGCCGCTGGTGCTCGAGCATTTCACTAACGGTGCGTCGCGCAGTGACGAGGACCTCCCGGGTCGGGTTTGGAACCAACTCGTAGATCAGAAGCGGGATTGCCTTGTCCTTCCACCAGGCTTTGGGGACCTTTTCGAGTCGATTGAGCCGCCGAATGCCGCCGACGACGAGTCCGAGGTTCATCAGACTGTCGTAGAGGCGGACTCCGCCCTTGTCCTCCTCCCCCCGGTTGGTGTCGGTCCAATAGACGCGGAAGTGGTCGGTCTGGCAATAGATGCCACCCAGCCAGCGGTAGACGGCTGTCTTCTCCACACCATTAAGGTCGGTGTACATGATCTCGATGTCGCCGGTGTGCCGTTTGGTGGAAATCGAGCCGTCCACCGTGACCACCATGCGCGCCGGCAGCGAACTGAATCGCTTGCGCACAAGCAGGCTGTCCATTCTGTGACATCTCGGGCAAGCTTCCCGGGTCTCTCGCGAGAAGTGACGCGGCAACAGCTCCGGCATGGGCACTGTCTTCTCCTTGCGTCTTTGGGCCCTGCCCGACAAGATGACGGAGGATTTTTGTTGCATGTCCGTCTCTTTGAATGGACAGAGCGAACCTTGACAAGACCTCTCCTCCTCCACGGTGTACCGGAACTGGGGGAAACTGCCGGCCGCGGCCTTCCAGACGGACCAAAGAGGGCCGTTGTTGCCCACGACAATGGCGGGCTGTTCAGCGGCGGCCACCTCCCAGAAACGGTCGCGCATCTCAATGCTCTGGGTCACCGTGCATACATCCCAGTTCACATCGGTGGCTTCGATGAACGCCTTTTCCACGCGGCCAAGTTTTTCGTGCCAATGGGGCATTTGCCGATCCATCACCGTGGATCCGACGTCCAGCATTTTGCCGACGGCGATAACGCAGTCCACGGCGCATGAGTTGTTGCGGAATACCGGTCCGCGGCCCCGGTAGATATAGGCGGTGCCGTCCTGCGTGAGCATCAACCGCTCGGGGTTTGTGGGATCCTGCATGAGCCGCACCTGGGAGGCTGCTGGGAAGGAGCCGATGAGGGATTTCAGCAGGTCCTGCTCTCTTTTTGCCTCGACCAGTGGGAGCGGGGTCCGAGGCGTTGCGCTGGGGTGTCGTTCCAGCCCGGCGTAAGCAAACTTCATGACCGCCCTTTCCACGGCCTCGGCAACCTGGTTGTGTGTGGGGTCATCGATATCCTGCACCAACTGGCCCTCCAATTGTTCCCGGGTGATGCGCGCGCTTCGAAGCACCTCGTCAGGATCCGGTGGCGGAAGCTGCGGAGCCGTGCTTGACGGAAGCATCATTCGCTGGACCCATGTGTCGCTCAGCGTGTGGCTCGCCCCGGGGGGGCGTACAAAATCTTCGGGCACAGTGTCGGTTTCTAACGGCGGCTCGGGATGCAACTTGCTGATGGGGAGAAAGTCCTCGTAGTCATTTTCCAGGCTGAGCAGCCGAGGCCCAAAATCCCGAGTTTCGTCATAAAGCTCATGCGTCGTTTTCGGCCGGTGCATGTCCGCCATGTGGTACATGAGCTTGTATAGAATCTGACAAAATGTGTTCACGCTGAGGCGCGAGAGAGGACCAGTCTGGTATCCCCAAGTATAACGTCTGACAAGTTGATGAAATTGCCCTCTACTATAGACTACCAAATCAACAGCCTCACTGGCAGTATGATTTAAGAACGTCCAATCAACAGGAGGATCCGGCAAAGTCTTCAATTGAAACTTCCAAGCATTACTGTCCGAAAGAGAAGCTTCAACCGTTTCTGAAACCCCCGGCTTGGGTCGGCCGCGTCGGCGTTTCGTTCCGCCCATGGGGACATCATCATCAGCCATGTTGCAATAGTTCCACACGACAAGAAAAGTAAAGAGGATATGAGAAGGAAAATTGAACAGAGATTTAGCAGAGAATGGACCGAAAGGAGGATATCAAGGCATAGAAAAGAAATTGTTCGAAACAACAGTATTCAACATGCAGCACATGGGAATTCGGATGCATTAAATGCACAATCACCAGGAGCATCTCCCAGCCAGTCTCCCAAAGACAAAGAAAAGGCCCTTGGTAGTGGCCTGTTCAAAAATAGAATTGAGGATTTCGAATACATCCCATGTTCTTCAAGGGCAGAGATCATTGTCTCGATAGACACCCGTGGGTGTTCCCCAATCATCATTCAAGCGGTTGATGTCCGTTTTTTTTTTTCTTTTAAGAAATGAAGAACCAGAGTTGACAACGGTGCGGACCTTTGTTCAGGATATCCCATTCCGTAGCAATCTGGCGTCGATGGAGTCGATCAAAGAGCATCTCAAGCCGAATTTGGATCAATAGTCCGAAAGAGACCAGCAATTGACGTGGTCAAATGGCTACGCCATGTTCGGGGTATATTGATTCCCCAGGCACCAAGAACTGGATGGTTTACCATCCCAGGCATCTCCAACAGTCGATGCAGTAGATGCACATTTCAACTGTCTTCCACAACGTATGCGCCGTATGCTCGAGCTACTTGTGATTCCCACCCAGTAGGGCTTTGATGGATCATTCTGCAGATCAGTCCTCGAGATCGAACAAAGAACCGAGTACATACTCTCGAAGGGTGTTTCAGGATACTAGGTGGTGGCTGAGCAGTGGTCTGAATAAAAGATGCGCTTGGCAGGGGATCCAAAGAAGACCACGTGCCAGGAACATATTGTCGTCGAGATTCACGCCACCGGAATGCATGAATGAAGTCGGGAGAGCATGGAAATGGAGCAAGTGTGGTTCTTCAGCAGTCAACACTGACATACTGCGACGGGATGACGCTAACCCGATTTGAACATATATAAATAACGCTGGTCGATACACCAGATACAGTATTAAAACCAAGAGTACCATACCACACGTGACAAGCAACAGCTGACCATCACCTGACCCAGAACTAAGCGAGCCCTCATCCGCACCATACTCAATCCGGCTAGCGCCGCGCTTACCCGATCCCACAACGGGAGAACGAAAGAACGAGAGCGTGAGCGACAGGAGAGCAAAAGCCAGCCCAGCGGCGCACCACTTCGACTTCCTCTCCTCCTCACCCCTCTCGCTGTCGACAATCAACGCGGTCCGCGCCCATCGCCCATCATGTGTACGTCTCTACATCTCCATTCCAGTGTCGCTCCATTACCCTTTCGCTATACACGATAAATAAAAAAAGAAAAAGGAAAAGAATGGAAGACAAGAAAAGATGATGATCTTGAAGACCAAGAGCTGGATCGATCATGTGGAATTTTTTTTTTCTTATCGGGGAACACATCAAGGATCGCTCCAAGCAGAAGGCTAACTTTTTATGATTGCAGCGCTCGTGTCAGGCGAGAAGACGAACTTCCAGTACATCCTGCGTCTGCTCAACACCAATGTTGACGGCAAGCAGAAGATCATGTACGCCTTGACCCAGATCAAGGGTGTCGGTCGCCGTTACTCCAACCTGGTGTGCAAGAAGGCCGATGTTGATCTGAACAAGCGGTATGTTTATCATGAATAGGGGAGGAATTTGATACACAACGAACGAGGAAACAAGTCACGCACACACAGACACATATGAATCGGTCTCTAATTACAATCTCATCCAACAGTGCCGGTGAGCTCACCACCGAAGAGCTCGAGCGCCTGGTCACCATCCTCCAGAACCCCACCCAGTACAAGATCCCGACCTGGTTCCTCAACAGACAGCGCGACATCGTCGACGGCAAGAACTACCAGGTCGTCTCCAACTCCCTGGACTCCAAGCTCCGTGATGATCTCGAGCGCCTGAAGAAGATCCGCGCCCACCGCGGTCTCCGTCACTACTGGGGCCTCCGCGTCCGCGGCCAGCACACCAAGACCACTGGCCGTCGCGGTCGCACCGTCGGTGTCAGCAAGAAGAAGGGCTAAATCATTCGTCTTCAAATTCCACACGGTGTTCATTCTTTTGTCTTCTTCGATTTTTTTTTGCGGGCCGGGAAAAAAAAGAGAGAGAGGACTGGGATATCTGTTGGTGTGTGTTGCATGGGTCGTTTCGTCTTTTCTTTTTTTTTAAACAATCTTGGTCGAGTTGTAACGAATCCTCTTCTTTGCTCTCTCTCTCTTATCTCCCTCGTAGGGGAAAGGGGGAACCCGTCCAATGTTTCTAGGAAAAGAACAAGCGGAACCCCAGGGCGATGGATGAATGAAAAAAACGAAAAAATTACTAAACCAATCATACCAATATGAAATGACGTGAACTTATCTCTCCTGGCTATCTTACGGTTCATAATACTATCTCCTGGATATCGTTTTAGGGTTCATCATGATATCTACCTAGATACCATCTAATATCTATGCCTCTTATCTAAACCTAGCTTGTCTCCTTTCGGAGTTTACGCAACGGATGCATGCTAATCAACCACCCTTGACTATGGTTACAGGAAGGAAACAAACAATCCAAAACTCATTGACGCTATATATCTGATGTTGTTTGATATCTGATACGGTCTGACATGCTCTTGCAACAAACAAACGTCTTCCAGCTCACATCGACCATCGACTCATTGAAACACATAAAAAGAAACAGGAAAGGAAAAGCAAAGTTCATACGGATCTAGTAGACAGTAGAGACCTAGTCTAAAAAATCAAGCCGTGTCTACCGCCTAGGCCCACTCACCGCCCAACCAGCGGTTGAAGAAGTCCAGACTGGCCTCGGGCTGGTCCATGGGCACCATGTGACCGCCGCCATACAGACGGGCGAACGTGAAGTTGCCGTGGGACTTGATCTGGCCGATGTCCTTGCCCGAGCCGCCCAGCTTGAGGTCCTTGAGCGGCAGCGGGGCGTACTCCTTCTGGCCCGACCACTCGAGGGCCTCGGACCAGGCCTTGTTGCCCAGCCAGTTGCAGATGAAGTCGGCGTCGCCAGCGTAGAGCAGGACGGGGATCTCCTCCAGGATCCCGGGCACCAGGCGGTGGTACGGCTTCATCCAGTCACCGTGCATCAGGAAGTTGCGGTTGATGTCGAAGTTGCACGAGTCGTAGCCCTCAACCTCGGCGCCCAAGGCCTTGCGCACCTCCGGCTTGTTCAGGTAGTCGCTGACCCAGCCCATAGCCGTGTAGCACAGGCTGCTGTCATCTTCACACTTGCTCCGCACGTCGTAGGGGTTCATGCCGGTGCGCTGGTACGGGCCGATCAAAGCGTTGTTGCAGTAGATCGAGGCCGGCACACAGGTCCAGGCGCTCTCGGAGTTGTAGCAGGCATTGATCAGCGACTGGCAGCGCGGCAAGGCGTTGTCCATAGACTGGCAGGTGCTCTCGTCCAGAACGGACTTGTAACCACCCTCGCCGCAGGCCATGGGACGGTAGTACTCGTACTGAGTCAACCCGTCGGTCAGACCGTTGCCAATGAGGACGGACTGCAGGTTGATGTTGCGCTTCTTGTGCGACAGAATCTCCGACGCGAAGACGGGGATGTAGTGACCGCCGTACGACTCGCCCGCGATGTGGAAGTCCTGCTTCGCGTACTCGGGGAACTGGTTGAAGAAGAGGGTCAGGAGCGCATACACGTCCTTGCCCGCCGCCACGGTGTCCGAGACGGCCGAGCCACTGTACGAGTAGCCGACATTGACGGGCTGGTCGAGGAAGATGACCGAGGCGTTAGAGTTCCACGCATACTCGTTGTAAACGGGCTTCAGGTTCTTGTCGATGCTGCTGGGGCCAAGCTCCATAAACAAGCCGGTGAGAGAAGAGCACCCGGGACCGCCGTTCAGCCACAGAACCACGGGGTCGTTCTCAGGGTCATTCCGGGACTCAAAGAACCCTATCAAAGAGTTAGTAGAAGTCAATCGAGAGACATTTAACAGCTTCACTTACAGTAGAACAGATGCTTATCGTTCTCGTTATCATCGAGATAACCTGTGTACTGCTTCACATCGGGGTCGATCCCGAGGACGCTAGGGTCGGCCTTCTTGACACGCAAATCATAGGTATCCAGCTTGCCATCAACCTTGCGCTCCTTCTCACCATCAGAGCCAGTGACCCAGACGCTCTGGAGATCGGAGCCACGGACGACATGATCCCAGTGGGAGTCCGGGCGACGGGTGTGCTTCTTCGGCAGCGAGAAGATGGGATTGCTGTCCACGCTGTCGGGGAAGTAGTTGGACACCTCCTCCCACAGCTTCTGGGCATCGCCAGTCAGGCTCTTCAGCTGTTCCTGGAAGTCATGAAGGGGCTTCGCGAAGCCCTTGAGAGTCTCTCGGGCGTCATCGACGAGGTTTTCCTCGGGAAGGTCCGCAAGGAACTCGGCCGGGGCGTCATCCTCTTGGACCATGAGCGGCTGGCTGGGGAGAGCCGCAGAGGCCGCTCCGACCAGCAAAGCAGCGGGAAGAACCCTCATGACTATGGGGTGGAAAATCAAACAGAAAGGGATGAATTGATGGTGAGAATCAAGGGTACCTAGCGGTGTAGATACCTTATCAGTCACTGTTATCACAAGGGGGCTGGAAGGAGAGCGACCGATATCCTCAGAGGAGTCGAGGTGTGTCCTCAATAGACTTACAAGGAAGACAAAGTAGAAATATAGATGGAAACGGATGAAGAACCAGCTACAAGATGATGCAGACCGGAACGAAGATGGGAGAGAGAGAGAGAGAGTTGGAGCAGCGAAAGCGGAGGTGACGAGATGGGGATGGAAGCGGACGGGCGATGACGCCGGGTGGATCAGGCAGCCAATCAGGCGCGCGTGCCTCGAGCGACAAGTCACAAGTCACAGCTGAGTCAGCTGCCGCTCCCGAACGAGGCACGGGACCAGTTGGCCCAATGGGGAAGGCGCATTGCTCTGAATTGGAGGGGCGGGTACCTGCAAGTTGGACAGTGTTATAGCTATGGATACCATAAGTGGTAGTAGATATTCAGATAGGTAGCTATATGAATATGATAAAAGGTGGTGTAGGTTTAAGTGGTGTGACAGTATGCTTTAATCTGAGTATGTACATCAGTCTGGTCTATACTATATATCTGACTGACATGATTATCCCAATACTGCATGTAAACAAACAAATAGCCTGTTAGACATGTCACATGTTTGACATTAACAGAGAAGCAAATGCATGGCTGCTTAATATATGCATGTTGACATATATTACCTGACAAGCGGACGCACCCGTTTGTACTGTTCCAAGACAGTTTGCCGACCGTCCAGAAGAGGATATTGGATGGTGACGATGGAGATAGGATGATTCGGTATTCCGTTATCCATCTATTAGACAGGACGTTGGAAATTCTCTATCATCGAGTATCCTTGACGAAAGAGTAAAGGTCCATATCATCATGGTCAACCAAATGCAAGATGGCATTCCAGCCACGGTACACGGTCACCGAAATGGATCACAACCTGTAGTCTGGCCCTCGAAAGGCGCGTCCTTGACGTCGAAAGTCGGAGTCTGGGGTTGCGGGAATCAGGGGTGGCGTTGGAAATAGTCGGTTCGTCTATCCCAAAGCTGAAGTCATACCCATCCCATATCTGTGTCGGACCGTAGCCAACGATATAATCACACCTTCCATCCTCGAAGTCCAGGCAGACTCGAGCTAGTCAAAAGCGTAGACCAAAACAATCGACACAACCGCAATCTACCACCAAACACAGTCAGCACTCAACCTCACCAACCAACCAGCCCCTACCAGCAATCAACACACCAACACCGCATTCTCACGCCCCTTCCAGCCACACCAAGAGCAGTGGTGAACTCACCCCAACAAACATCCCCGTAACAATCCCCAAATCCCAATTCCAAGTCTTATGCACGCCCCTCTGCAGGCGTTCCTGAAGACGAAAATACCGCACGGCGCCGTCAAGCGTAACGTAGATCGCGAGGCCGAGGACAGCGCACGCGAAGGCCTTGCCCACGAAGCGGGTGTCGCTGTGTAAGACGAAGAGCTGGGCGGTGACGACTGCGAAGGAGGCGATTGCGTTGGAGGTGCGGATGTAGGCTAGGTGGGTTCGTTCCAGGGCTTTATTTATATAATAATTGAAAATGTTAGTGTTGGACTGATTGGGGTTTGGATCGGTACTTGAATCCTATAATAAGGGAGGGGTTTTGGTTGTTGGGTGTTGGAAGGGGAGGGAGTACCTAGGTAGTCTCGTGGATCGTCTTCTTCTGTGCGGAGGACTGGTCGGATGGTTGCCACCCACCAGGTGCTGATGCGGCGCTTTAAGGCGATTTCGGGTGGTTGTTGCGGCTGTGGCTGTGATTGCGGTGATGATGCGGAGGAGGATGAGGAGGAAGGGGGTCGTTGCAGGTCGGATAATTCCAGGTCGGGCGGAGGGGTCGCATTTGTCGTCATTATTCAAATCATATTGGATATTCCATCATACTCCGTAGATAAATGTTACGCAGCTAGTGACTTATATGAGGCATATAACATCCAAACTGGTAAGAGAATGCACTGCGGTGGTGTCAGTTAGTTCTCCAAAGTGGAGGAACCCAACAGCTCAAACCGACGAACGCCAAGACACCGCAACGGTCGGATGCGGGGGACTACAATCGCTTAGTACGGGGATTGGAGAGTAGCCCCAACTTCCGCATAAATATTAGGTAATGTAGTTTCGCACATTCGGCTGGGAAGTCGGCGACTGGTGGGTATCACACGGACTTCCAGAACAGGGTGGAAGGACTAGGTGCTGTATGTTGGCGGATTCACGTCAGGAACTAGTGGATTCGGTTGGGGATAGTAAAGGTACTACGGAGGGCTAAGTGGTGTCGGGGCGGGTTTGGTGTTGATGTTGTGGGTGGGGTGGGGTGCGACTGGAGTACGGTATGTAAGGTACATTGTTCTTTACAATGGGATTGTGTTGATTCTGTATTCTATTGGATTGGAGATAGATTGAGTGATAGATAGCATGCTCTGGATGAGAAAGGTGAGACTGACGTTGGTAAATAGGTAGAGTAAGGTACCTTTGGGTAATTGCTTCAGACAACGCGACGATAGCAAGCGAGGCGGATGGAGGGGAGTACGGAGAGGGCTTCACTCGGTCCCGCACGCCGATCGACTGTTTGTCGGTCTACCGTCTTGGCAGTCTATCGGCACATCCCCGTTACACTTCAAGGGATGATACGCGACCTTGCCTACGACTCTACGTTGATTACAAGATAAGGAGAAAACAAACGGATACAGGGAGTCCATTAGTACAGTAGAAGTCAGTAGTACAGTACAGAAATCGACCCAACCCCTGGGAAACAAAAAAAAAGACACATCCAGACAGACACTCTATATCTAACAGTCCTTTTTTTTAATTCCCCGTTCCGTCGTCACTTCCAGGGGGATTAGTTGGTTTCTCATCCCTGGTTCGGATATAAGCCTCAGAACGGGTATTCGCGCAATTCGCCATGCAAGAAACCTAAACAATCAAAAATGATAAAAATAAAAATAAAAACAAGTGGCTAGGCATCACTCGTCGTATGCGTATATGCGTCGTAGGAACACACTGTGTTGTTTCGGGGCCACGCAATAGTCGAAACCTCCCTCGCGTCTCGACTGCGTGGCCTCTCACAGGTGTATTGTGTTGGTGCCCGGGCGGTGGAGCAGGACTCCGGTGCCCGACCATTTCAATGGTGAGATGGCAAGGTAGGGAGATAAATAAAAGAAGATAATAAAAAAATCGTGCGCACACCAGTGTCGCTGTGGAAGGAGACCGAAATGATGGACGAGGAGTCGTCAAGAAGTAAACGGTGGTCGAGTAAAAAAAATAAAAGGACCACTCGGATGGACCCAACAGGTACGATCAGGTACATATCTGCACGGCGTTCAACGCCCGTGACAGATCGTCGGGGGAGAAAGGCATGTACGTCCCCTTGGCCATGGGCGGCGGTGAGATAGGACGGTACACGGGCGAGGTATGCCGGACCGATTCCTTGTGGAACGGGGCGGCGGAGTCGTCCGGCATGAGGTTGACGTCCAAGAGCGTCTTCATCGAGCTGCTGTAGCTATCCGGGTCGACGGCGGTGGAGGACGACGAACCGTGGGTGTGGCGCTCCGAGGTATAGTCGCGAGGGTACATAATGGGCATGGCTAAGACCAGTCAGACCATCATCTCGACAAGCGGAGCAAAGATCACGCGAAGGTGAACAGTAGGGAAGAAGGGAAACATACAGTCAGACTCAGGTAAACGGTCCTGGGGAGCAATCGGCCGAATCTGATCCGGGGCCACTTCCTCATCGTTGTGGTCGTGGCGCAGATGGTCGGGAACCGACGCACACGGCGAGAGAGACAGATCCATCGAGCGCGGTCGACCGGCCTGGGCATCCCCAAAGGACCACGCGGCCAGAGACTTTTGGTGTTCGCGGTCAAAGGGACCCTTGAATTTCGAGGGAGGGACCTCATGTCGTCTGTAATATTCAATCTTGATACTGGTGTCCTTGTGTTTAGAGCCACTAAAAGAGCGGCTGAACACCCGGCGCACTTTCTGTCGGATACTCATGATGAAGACTGGATGTTCACGGAGGTAATCAGGGGACCGATCAATTGCGATTTTCACGACTCCAATGGCAATTCCATTGGATATCAACTAAGGGCCGACTTTTTCCAAGCCACCGAATTGGACGTGAGGGATGTGCAAGCACAGAGTACAGACAAGAGAGGATCAGCACACCGGCGGATCATACTTTGGCCCGGTTCGGCATGCGACACGAGGAGGGGGTGGAGGGGAGATTAGGGTAGAGGGGAGATTGGAGGGGGTTGGTATAATGAGATAAGCCTGAAGAAGAGAGAAAGAGAGGAAAGAAAAGTAGCGGAAAGGCCGGGAGGAAAAGGGCAGCTATAATAACTCAGAACTCAGTAGGACTTGTGCACAGTAAAAACAGGCCTCCGTACAGAATTAATACTTAATGACCAACAAGTCCGGCCGTCCAGTCCGTACCAGCAATTGGGAATTTAATCCGATGGGATTGGGGGGGGGGCGTCGAGCGACAGACCATGTCGCAATGATTGGCGAGCAGGATGGCCAGAAGGGATGATTGGCACAGTATTCAACTGTGGATGCTTCTCCATGGGGGTTTATGCAACCGCTAAAGGCGAACCCACCGCACCAATTTCCCCCATTTTCTTATCTTACCTGTTACGGACGTTCTCTTTAGTGGGTTGGAATCAGCCAAAGATCAGCCAAAGATAGGTATAATCTAGGTAATGTTACCGTACAGGATGGATCCGGTTCCACTGAGAGAATTATCTGCTTGTCTCATTCTTATGAACACATTGGTGTCTAATGCTGATAGTGATCCGTGGTTATTATTATTTGTATAATTTGTGCCTCACATCTGTCTGTCACTCTGTATTGATTTCTTCTTTTCTTGCTATATGATTGTGATTCTCATAGTTGTCATTATCCTTATTCTCTCAAATGTATATACCATTATGATTCTAATGTTTTTTCTCTCAAATGTATACATAGCCCCGGGCAATGCAAGGCAATCATCATAATATTAATAGCCATCAAATCAACCTTTCTGAAGTTGCAGTCGATTCAACCGGCATGCTCCGCCCGGATGACTAAGACACACCGTGGCGGTTCAGTCGGGTTCTGTCGTGTATGGAATTAATTAGTTAAATGGACGAGTCATCAGGTTACATTGGCCCGGAACCAGCTTAAGTGGGCATTTTCCATGGTTCAGGTTTAAGTCCCCCGTCTAGACTAATCGGGTGCCTCTTTCGACCCTGTTGTTGGAAAGCCGGATAGGCGGCGGCAGCTTTGGAACTGTTCCAGTATTATTATTATTATTTTTTTTTTTTCCTCCCTGCAGCGAACAATTCCAGAACCACTCGGTCCGATCGTGGTCACCACCGAACTGGGCAGGAAATGACCTCCGAGTCTGGTCCATCCACGTCACGGCAGATTGGGCTGTCCTTCCAACGAGGCGGACACATATCTTCTACTCATGAGTTGTATACGGACTCTATAAAATTAAAAAACAAAATCAAAGAAAGAAGAAGAAGAAAAAAACAAGTAAGCGATACCAATTCCGAAGCCACTGTGTAAGACAAGAATCAAAATCCACCCCATCGTCGTCATAACGATCCACCGATAAGGATTGGGGGGCAAATGAAAAGCAGACAGACCAGAAGCAGCCGGTTGCCCCGCTGGAGGGCCCGAGTCTATTCCGGCCCACTCGGCACAGGACTTCCGTGTTGGGTCGGGCTGGGTGGCTCTTGTGGCATGATTGTGGTTGATGCTTTCAACAAGGCCGGCTGGCCCAATGGCAAGGCGCTTGACTACGAATCAAGAGATTGCAGGTTCGACCCCTGCGTCGGTCAATCTTTTTTTTTTTCAATTTCTCTATTGTTTCTCGTCGTTGTTAGTTTTTTATTAGCCTCATTTTATGGCCGTGCATCTTTATCTATAATGGAGATAATATTGTACTTTAGAGGTGGGCACAGGCACAGGCCTGTGCATACTTAGGCAGATCTGCTTTGTTCTTCAACCATTGTCTATATGTGTCTCCAGCCTTCAACCTTCATCCGCTTTGTGTCCTGCCCGAGGAGAAACCCCATAGGCAACAGGATAGACCCAGCACACATTCCAGTCCCCATGTCGTGGTCCCCAATCAAGGACCAGCTTGAATCCTCTGACCGGTCAAGTCCGATTAGGCATTCACGTTGGTTGGAGGCGCAAGGGTTCAGTGGTCGAGGATGCCGATGATGTCATGCTACTTGTTCAGCCCTCCACCACGACGACCGCCACTGACCATGCGTTTCCTTCTGGAAGGACGATCGATTCCACGGCCTTTCCTTGATCGGGTGGCTATGCATATCTTATACTGTCGGTATTACAGCATGTCGCTAGTCGACATCTGCGGCTTTGTGTGGCTGCTAACTGGCCGGCTGGCTGGCTGGTTGAACAAGGATCTGGATGTGTTGGTGATATCTTTTGTTTATTCTTTGTATATATTCTGTTCTCTTATGATACCGTATTATATTATATTAAAGTATACCTAGTATATTATGTTGATCACTGTTCTCAGTTCATTCCCCATACCGATTACTCTGACAGTGGTAATCAAGCCTTAGCATACTAGGGCGACAGAAACATGACGTCATGGCTGTTTGCGTCTAAAACACACAAACGGTCGGCCGAAAAGAGCCCAAAGATTCGGAGCCGAAAGAATGGAGTCATCACCAACACGCTAATACTAATTTCTTTCACCATTGAATTGTGTAAAAATGAAATCATAATAGTTCCATTGAAATGACCTCATTTGGTAACAACCCTCCTTTCATTTTATGATAATCATTTGAAGTATGATTGATCTGATACCTGGTCGCAATAAGATAGAACTTATAACCCCTATTTATGCGGGGATTGGGGCAATCTGGCCAGTTTGCCCTCCACCATGCCGGTTCTGGCTAGTCTCGTGGCTTGCAGCTGCAGGCACACGAGCGATCGCCGGAAACTTCATGGTTAGATTGAACGAGGTAGATAGAAAGGAGTATACAGTATAGGATAGAACCATAGACTGATGGAAGTATCCGCATTCGGCGGCTCTGTCTGGCCCACTGCTTCTATAATTAAGTCCACGGTCACGGTATGGATCCGTCTGGATTGGGATTTGTCGCCCAGAATCGCCGTCAGCGGAACTGTCCTTGTGTGTAGATTGCGATCCGCGACTGAGCAGGGATTGATCCTTTGAAACGTGAGATGAAAGAAATGAGAAACATGGGAGACATGGGGTGACAATGGACAGTTGACGAGAGAGTATGAAAGAAACCGTTATAGGTGGAGAAACCATGTGACCTTGCATTGTTCGTTGTGTGCAGAACTCTTGCTCTTTTCTTGCTTTGTCCTCTGCATCTTAGTTGTTCTACTCTTGGATGGACTTACGGACCATTCTGACTACATCTACTGCTTTTCCCCAATCCATCCACCCCCTAAAGCGGTGTCGTTGACTCCCTACTACCGAGAGACTATCCCTCGCGGATTAACGTTCGCCGAAACAGCAGGGCATTCGGAAAGAACCAGGGCAACATACCAGAACTTCTTCCCGCCCCTGACTTCCTCTCCCTCGCACTTTTTACCCTGTCAACAACCTCCATAACTCAATCATTCGGACGGTCGTGAGATTTGCTGCAAACTCCCGTCCATCTCCTCCTGCAGCCCCTCTTTTTGTGAGTCTCTTCCATCCACGTCCCACTCTGGTCGTAAACCCCTCCAATGCGCACACTTACTTTCCCCACGCGCATTTCTCCTCGCATCTTTCGCCTCCCCGCTGTCGTCATCGCTACGTGGCCAACTCGCTGACTCGTGTCGCCATTAGGTTCATCCATCACCATGCCGAAGAAGGGAGGAAAGAAGAACAAGTCCAAGGCCAGGTCGAGCGGTGCTGCCGCCGCCGCTGCTGCCGCGAACAAGCCTACCGAGGCCCAAACCCCTGTGTGAGTCCTTCCCGCCCCTCTCTTCACCGCCAGTCGCGAATGGTCACTGACTGACCCTCTCGCATACAGCGTCGTCCAGGGCAATGGCATCTCGGAAACCCCTATCCAGAGCGAGGGACCCGCGACAACCGTCGCCGATACCAAGGATGCGGATGCGGTGACGGCGGAGGGTGCTTCCACCACGCAAGATGCCGCCGACAAGGCCAAGGTCGGTGTCGAACAGGAGGGAACCAGTAAGTGGATGATCGCGGAAAAGGTGTCACCTCCCTCGCTGACCCGTGTGCCCCTCTCTGTAGCTACTGTGCCCGGAACCGCCGCGCAGGAACCTACCGTGACGTCGGATGCCGCGGCTGCCTCGACGTCGCTCCCCGAGCGCATCAAGGAGCCCAGTGCGGAGGAAGTGAAGACCACCACCGCGCAGCCCACCGCCGCCGCGAGCGCCGCTGAGACCCAGCCCCAGGTGGTCCCGGGCCTCGGTGCGGACCCGCGCGACAACGGACCGGCGCTGCATGTGCCGGGTCTGTCCGCGACGGAGGAAAAGGCCGCCAGCGCTGCCGTCCCCAGCACATCCGCACAGACCGTGGCCGCCGAGACGGCCGCCCCCACGGGCGCCTCCGCCGCTGCCGGCCAGCTCGACGCCAAGAAGACCGAGGCCCCCAAGCCGCAGCCCCAGCCCGTCCCGGCTACGGCCCCCATCCCGGCCGCCACCAGCCCCACCACGGCCACCACGGCGCCGTCGGGCGCGGCCGAGCCGACGGGCAAGGCCCCTGCCAGCGTGACCCCCGCGCCTGCTGCCGCCAAGCGGTCGTCGCTGGACCAGGCCAAGTCGGAGCTGAGCCAGCAGGCCCAGGCCGCGGACGAGAAGACCCAGGCTGCTGCTGCGCAGCCCACGCAGCCCACCAAGGGTAAGGCCGCCGGCGAGCCCCAGGTGGCCGCTGCGGCTGCGGGTGCGGCCACGGCGCCCCCGGCCGCGGTGGCTCCGGTCAAGGAGACCGCTGCGAAGGACCCCGCCCGCGCGGCTGCCCAGGAGGCGGCCAAGAAGGACGCGAGCAAGGAGGCCGCCAAGGAGACCGCGCAGCCGGAGACGAGCAAGACCGCCACCCAGGGCACTGCCGCCCAGGGCGCCTCCACTCAGGAGACCACCTCCGCCCCGGAGGCCACCAAAGCCCAGCCCTCCGAGCAGATCCAGAAGCCCGAGGAGGCCAAGACCCGCGAGCCGCAAGTCGGCCAGGAGGCCGAGCAGGCCGGCCAGAAGCCCGAGGAGGGCAAGTCCCTGCAGGATAAGGCTCAGGAGATGGCCAAGGCCGAGGTGAACAAGGCCCAGGAGAATGCCAAGGACACGGCCAAGGCCGACAAGCGCAAGAGTGGGTTCTTCGGCTGGCTCAAGCGCAAGTTTAAGTGAACGGCGCCATGATGTTTCCTTTCTCCTTCCTTTCCTTTGTTCGGTTTGATTTGGGGCCGATGGATACGCCGCGGAGCCTCTGATGCTGATACCCATGTGGACGTTGGACGCTTCTACCGGAAGATCTCACCAAAAAAAAAGAAAGAAGAAAATACTAAAAAACAGCCACGAGAAAGAAAGAACGAGAACGAAAACGAAAACGAAAACGAAAAAAAAAAAATAACAAACCAACCCAGATACAATCTGCGAAGATGTAATGAAGGACGGCATGGTGTACGATATGTGACAATACCAGCACGGAGAAGAAGGAATTATTTGTGTTGTTTCGAAGGGTGCGACTGACTGCCTTTGTTTTGATTGTGCCGTTTTCATTTGCTATTCCCTCCCTGTTGACTGTTTTGACGTGACCTTGTTCGAGTAGTTGTCAGCGTGGATGATTGATTCGAATGCGTCCATTCTGTTGAGATTTCCCATCATTGTGTCTTGTGTATTGTGTGTTGAGATTGGATTGATTAGTTTAATGATATTTCTTATGTTTGTCTTTATTTGGTTCGGACGGAATTTGTAGGAGAGGTCTTGATTGTACGATCGTATGATTCGACTTGGCTGGGCTGGGCTTTAGATGTTGCCATATATCAAGGTAGTAAGTACTATATCAGCCCATCGTAGGTGCCTGTTTGACTTAGCGCTCGATGTTAATTCCAGGGTTGTTGAGCACAGGAGACTACTTAAGCCACGACATACCCCATGATCAATCATTGTAACACTGAAGAGAAGATCGCATTATATACACGTATGCTTCTATCTACAATTTAATGTCCCATCAATCTGATACCTCATACCGACACCTCGATGGCGGTAAACAGACATCACGTGAGTATATACATACGGCTAATGCATGCACAAGGGTCATCGAAATCATGTGATGTATTACCAGCATCAAATGACTCAGCGCTCTAGTTCGCTGTCAATTGAAGATAGGTAGCTAGGCGTCCCGGTGATGGTTGTCTAAATCAGTCGCATATGAGTTACATGTTGGTGACACGGTCATTTGCACGCTGACGGCTGTTGCCGGTTACGAGGATAGCCTTGCTTTGGACGGCGTCCAAGCTGAGGAAGCTGGCTATCTACTGGAATATCCAGTCGATGAATCAATCGGGTTACAGCTGTAATTGGCTGTTTAGGAAGCAACCGAATCATCCAAGATGAACGCGCTATAGCTCGCTCAGAAACCTGGGTATCCAACATGTTCAAACGCGCTGTTTACGCGCGGACAGCGCTGGTCGCATCGCATCAACGGGGTACTAAGTTGAGTATACGAGGATATACAATCTATCATCCGCGGAAGTTGAACGGCGCGTTATACATATCTATCATTAAAAACAGGCTTCTTATTGCTAACATCCGCAATAGAACACAAGCAAGACGGGGGCCCTTTGCGCATATTCATCCGGCCGCTTCCTCTACAACGCACGCGCGCGTCTCCGCGAACGATACGTGCCGTTCAAGATCACAGCACTCAAGCAAGCCACCTCAAAGCATGTAGGTCATGGCAGAGTTTAGTCCCTTAAAAACTCAGCCAGGGGGGCTTCGGTCGGGTGCTGTTGGCGACTATGGAAGGTGGGTTTAAAGCCATCGTTAAAATTCCATACTGGATATCTGCCTCTCGGTCGTTTGCTGCTGCTAGTGAGGTTGCCACTCTCATTTCTTCGGTCGAAGGGGATGCCCGTTCCGGAGGTGTATGAATGGTCGGCATCATCGTCATCCTCGACGATGGACAACCCCGTTGGGTTGAGTACATCATCATGGAACATGTCCCGGGCGTTGAGGCCAACAATGAGCGTGCACAGAGCTGACTCTTCTAGGGCGCGATCCCAAGGAATATCTTATTGCGACGGCTGAAAACGAAGTCAGGTGGAAAAACGCTGAAGTCGGATTTCCCGCACAATACCGTCTTTCCTGGCACACGACAGCCTCGGCATTGAATTGATCTTCTTGAAAAGTACCAGTCCATCGCGTCGTATCTTCTTCCAAGAGAACTGAGTCGTCGACTTTGCGCCATCCAAGTGCTCATCCTGACTTCTGCAAAGATGTGCTATACTAACTGTATCAGATCTCACACCAAGCAACGTCTTCATCTGCCCTGACACATTCAAAGTCACAATTGGCAACAAACGGTGATCACGTCACTGGTTGTAGCAGCAGGGTACTCCCGACTATTCGAGAACCCTGATCCAAGCCTCTCACCAGGTTGAACCCGCCAAAGTACCCTCCAAACTACGACACGATGAACACGACGAAAAGGCCCAAGTCGACGAGCTAATCAGACGACAAAGTTTGCTCTATGTGTACCGCGTGGTCAACGGCGGCCTCAAGTAATTGCACCTTCGAGCCCTGCAAGACCCTCTCATCCTTCAACGACAGCAGCTCGTGGACGCCGCAAGCCGCCAATATTCAGGGGAGTCGGTCTCGCCGCGTGGGGCTCTCATGCGCATGTGTGAACTCTGACCTTGTCTTTCTACCCAGACGAATACCCCATTGGGTTCTCGGAGCAGGAAGTTCGTGGGCAGGTTGAGAGTGAGCCTATGCGGTATGACTTGAATGCGCTTGTTGGTCACTGGCGGAGTGAACTTGGGGGACTATCAGAGGAAAGGTGGATTCCTGCTGGGAAGTATGATGCGGCGGTGCAGAGGAATGAGTCTTTGAAAAAGGAGTTCATGGATGGTGCGAGCCCTGATGGGTCGGAGAAGATCCGACATGGTTGGCCTTTCCAGAATCACGAGGAATTTTACTGACCTCTCAACAATACGATCACTAGACTGATCACTAAACCATGTATGAGCACCAATTCGATCAATTAATCAAGTATAACTGTACCGATTTAGTAATTCTATGACATAAAGTGACCAACGATCCACATCGTCATCTCCCCACCAGCCCCACGAGCTTCACTCAACCCGTGAATCAGTGACTCCCAATCCTTCAGCTCCAACGCACTGCCCGGTTTCTACTCGGGATCCACTCCCCCTCCAATCCGGATCAAGCTTTCACCAAGCCTTTTCCCCGTAACTAACCAGCCACTCTGCGATTCGAGGATTCACTGCAGACTAGTCCAGTCGCTTGTTTCAACCGGCGGGGCACGTCAGCCGCTCAGCCCTCGTCACCCAGCCTCAGCCAGTCGCGTCGGACTTCCCCTCACCGCAAGATAGTGGCGCTGCCTCGGTGACACGCCTGACGTGGCTGTTGAGGGGTTTAAATTCCCCTCCTCTGCCATGTATCTCCCTGCCATTCTACATCTTTGGATTCCACAGACATTGTATCGCAATCATGGTTCACCTCGCTCAAGTCCACCGCGATAGTTCGGTCGATCAACGCCTTGACTCGCTCTCACTCGAGAGCGAGGAAGATGGCCCTTACTCCAGTGTGTATGGCACGCGCTTCGCGGCGGAGCAGCTGCCGTTGACGGAGATGCCGGAGCGCGAGATGCCCCGTGAGGTGGCGTACCGGATGATCAAGGACGAGCTGAGTCTGGACGGGAATCCGATTCTCAAGTAGGTGCCACATACTGAGGGAAGTGCAATGCTAACGTATACAGCCTGGCGAGTTTCGTCACGACCTACATGGTAAACACCCTACACATAACCCCAATGAAACATACGCAGTATACTAACAGAAACAGGAAGAGGAGGCCGAAAAACTCATGGCCGAGTCCCTCAGTAAAAACTTCATCGACTACGAAGAATACCCCCAAACCGCCGAGATCCAAAACCGCTGCGTGAACATGATCGCGCGCCTCTTCAACGCGCCCACAGACTCCACCAACGACCACCCAATGGGCACCTCTACCGTTGGCTCCTCCGAAGCCATCATGCTCGGCTCCCTCGCCCTCAAACGCCGCTGGCAGCACAAGCGCAAAGCCGCGGGCCAAGACACCTCCCGCCCCAACATCATCATGAACAGCGCCGTGCAAGTCTGCTGGGAAAAAGCCGCGCGCTACTTCGACATCGAAGAGCGCTACGTCTACTGCACAGACGAGCGCTACGTCATCGACCCCCAGCAAGCCGTCGACCTCGTCGACGAAAACACCATCGGTATCTGCGCCATCCTCGGCACAACCTACACCGGCGAGTACGAGGATATCAAAGCCATCAACGACCTGCTGGTCGAGCGCGACCTCGACTGCCCCATCCACGTCGACGCCGCCAGCGGCGGCTTCGTCGCCCCCTTCGTCGCCCCGTCGCTGGAGTGGGACTTCCGGCTGGAGAAGGTCGTCTCGATCAACGTGTCAGGCCACAAGTACGGGCTCGTCTACCCGGGCGTGGGGTGGGTCGTCTGGCGCTCGCCGGAGTACCTCCCGCAAGATCTCATCTTCAACATCAACTACCTGGGCGCGGAGCAAGCGAGTTTCACGCTCAACTTTTCCAAGGGCGCGTCGCAGGTCATCGGCCAGTACTACCAGATGATCCGGCTCGGCCGGCGCGGCTTCCGCGCGATCATGGTGAACATCACCCGCATCGCGGACTACCTCGCCGAGCAGCTGGAGAAGCTGGGCTTCCAGATCCTGAGCCAGGGCGGGGGGCGCGGTCTGCCCGTCGTGGCGTTCAAGCTGGCGAACAAGGAAGAGGGCCATTTCGACGAGACGACGTTGGCGCACCAGCTGCGGGAGAGGGGGTGGATCGTGCCTGCTTATACGATGGCGCCGAATAGTGGCTCGATGAAGCTGATGCGGGTTGTTGTGCGCGAGGACTTTAGTATGAGCCGGTGTGATGCGCTGTTGGCGGATTTTAAGCTCGCGCTGAAGACGCTGAGTGATATGGATGAGGAGATGGTGAAGAAGTTTCAGCGGTATGCCGCTCCCGCGTTTTTCCTACTTGAATCTATTTCCGGTAATATGACACTAACTATAATGATGATAGACACGTCCAAACGCACACTGTCCACTCGCATAAAGCGAATCACAGTCACCCGCACTACAAGGGGGAGACGCACTCGCTGCAGGGCAAGTCGGGGAAGACGCATGGAGTTTGCTGATTGGACAGATGGATTGTGTGTACGGTTGAGTCTATTTTTGAGGTCGATCTTTATCTAGCATCTTATTGAATAGATAACTGTATCTTGGGTCTGGCAATCAAGAGTGACCTATGATAGAAATGAATCAATTATGGCAAGAAGTATCAGATAAATGATATTAGACCATGAACACCTATATTCATGATGAAAACAGAAAAGAGTGGAATAATATAAAAGAAAGATAAGGGAATAGGTTGGAATAGGATTAATATAGAAGAGCGATGAAAAGAAGAAATTAGGGCTCGCCAGTCACGGGACAAACATTCCTTCTCCTCGATTCTACTCACTCTATTTTTTCTACTTCATTGCACTATATATCCAAGTGCGCCATTCTATACAGCTTACACACATATGATATCCCCAAATTACCCCAACAGAACAATGCGAAGATCGACAGCCATCCACGTGTCTCGTGAGGGGTACATATACATCCATCCATACATCCATACATATCCAACCACTCTTCCCCCATTCCATCCTTCATCTATACAACGTATACTATACTACACTTCAACTTCATTCTCTTCTCTACTTCCATAAGAGAGAAAGTTATATATATCAGTAGTGATAAAATGACAATCCACCTCGCCATCCTCGACGTCGACATCCCCGTCCGTCCCCACTACCACCGCAACGGTCTCTACAGCACACAATACCGCTCTATAATCGCGCCAGCTGTGCATCGTCTTAGCCAATCCCCCCTCCATCCGGATCCGATCAAGCTTGTTGTTTCGAGTTGGGATATCATGGGGGGTGTTTATCCGCCAGACCATCTCCTTCAATCGTCTACTGCCACTACTACTGTTGCCGGCAATGTAACCACCACCAACAAACACGATAATAGAAGTGATGGCATAACATCCCTCCTGATAACAGGCTCCGCCTCAAGCGCCTACCAAACAACCACCAACCCATGGATCCCCCCTCTCAAAGCCTTCATCCGCAGAGTCTACATCCACCACCCGCACATCAAGCTCATCGGCGGCTGTTTCGGGCACCAGCTTATAGCCGCCGCTCTGTTGCCGGACAGCACGCGCGTTGAGGCGTGTCCGCTGGGTAGGGAGGTGGGCGTGCATGCTGTGCAGCTTACTCCCCGCTTTCAGAGAGCCTTTGGGGCGGTCCTTGGGGGGAAAAGGGAGTTGAGGATGCAGATGATGCATGGGGACTGGGTTGTTCCTTTACCTTCTTCCGGTGAGGGTATTACTGAAACTATTGGGAGTACTACTGCAGGCGATACACCACTAAAAAACGTTACCACCAACAGCAACAATACTCATAATGAAAGAAATATAAAACCCCCCTGGCTCAACATCGGCTGGACAAAGCAATGCCCCATCCAAGGCCTCTACCTCCCCAACAGGGTCCTAACACTCCAAGGGCACTTTGAAATCGACAGCGGAGGAATGTCGCTCGTGGCGAGGGAATTCGGGCCTATACTGGGCTGGTCGGAAGAGGTAGCACGCGCGCATCAAGAGAGGATTGCGTGGGAGGGGGGATGGGATGACGGGAATGTGGTGGCTGATGTTATTGCTTTGTTTTTGGTGGGCGAACACACAATGTCTCCTGTTTCGAAGTTGTGATTTTCTTTACATGTCCGTATATAATCTATATGTATATAGAAAGAGACAAGAGAGATAGGTAGATAGAAAGAAAGGCTAAACAGGCGGATTCAAATCCAGCCCCTCAACGCTGAACTTGAACGAGTCGCTCCGAGAATAACTTCCCGCGACGTCCAGATCGAGTCGACCGCGCTCGCAGTCTTGCACGTCTATCTCCGACACGAGCAGTCCGTCCATCGTGTCGAGGTCATCATCCGCCGAGACCTCCCACAGGGGCCCAGCAAGGACCTCACCCTGGGGATCAACAATACACGAGCCTCCACGGCAAGCATATTCATCCTGACCTGCATCAACTGTTAGCCTCTCCCCTCCGGACCAATCAACCAAGGGAAACGAAAGAAAGAAAAGAAAAAGAAGGAAACAAACCCATCTGTCGTTCAGTGCCACCCCCATCAACCCACTCGGGCAACTCCCCATACCTAACACACTGATTCGCACTGACCACAAACGCCCTCCCCTCAACAGCAACCGTCCTCATCAGCGAAAGCCACGTGTCGCGCGCATCCGCCGTCGGCGCCAGATAGATCGTCACATTCTGCGCGTACAGACTCTGCCGCAGCAGCGGCATGTAGTTCTCCCAGCAGATAGCAGCGGCGAGCGTCACGGGGATGCCGTTGAGGTGCGTTCTGATGGCGCGGAGGGTGCTGGGGGAGCCTTGGGCCCAGACGAGGCGTTCGGAGCCGGTCTTTTCCACATGTCAGTATCTTTGTCCTTACATTTATATATATATATAAAAAGGGAATAGGAAAAGAAGGGGAAGGAAAAATACAGGCATAACCTTCCTCCTCTTCCCGACACACCCGCGCACAGGATCCACATAAAGCACCGCGCAGTAGAGACTGCCCCCCGCCCTCTCCACCACCCCGGTCACGATAAACACCCCCGTCTCCCTTGCAACCCTCTCCAGCGTCTCCCGCGTGCCATCCCCGCGCTCCCCGCCTCCCTCCGGCAGCGGCAGCCGGCGCGCCACCCAATCCTCGCCCGCTCCGGCGGGCGTATCGCCCAGGTCGATAGCCGAGCGGAAGTAGGCGAGGAATTGGTCGCGGCCTTGCGGGTGGCGGGCGCCGATGGCGGAGCCGAAGGTGCAGGTGCGGGGGTAGCCGCCTAGGTAGGCTTCTGGGAAGAGGATGAGGTGGACTTTTTGGGAGGAGGCTTTGTGGGTTGTGTGGGAGAGGGCGGAGAGGGTGGCGGGGGTGGTGGAAAGGGTGCGGGATTGGGAGATGGCTATTTTGATGGACATTTTGTCTTTCTTTGGATTGAATGTGTTGTATATTGTGTGTTATTGTATGTGGGCATGTATAGAGGTATGTATAGAGGTGATTGTTGTAGTTGGTTAGTTAAATAGTTGTCGGAGAATAGATGATTAAAATGCGGGGAATCTCTTATCCATCCATGTCTTACCTCGGATAATAAGAAAAAACCTTGGTGTAAAAGTTTAATATAAAATAAAAAAAAGGAAGAAAAAAAGAATCGACAACGGCATGATTCGAACATGCGACTCCGAAGAGATAAGATTACCATCACTGAGAAACTCAGTGAATTCGAGTCTTACGCCTTAACCGCTCGGCCACGTTGCCCGTTCTTACTCAGCCAATCACTATCGTACTTAAGTAGGCGGACTTCCATAATGTGTGGTTTGACAGTTGATAACTTGTAAAGGTAAGGCCACCCTGGGGGGGTAGAAGGGAGGATAAGAGATGAGGTTACTAATGTTATCTAACTGTAGGTGAGGTGGATATGGATATGTGCTGTTATGTGGGGGGTTTTATATCGCAAAAATGATTTCTTGTATCCGTAGTGTGGATATATATATCACACCCAATCTATTGAAGTAGAGAATACCGAAGTAGGATGAGATAAGATCGAAAAATCAATAAATAAATAAGGCATGATAAGCTGCGTACTATGTAGCCTGTCATCTACTATACTATCCATCCAATGTGTACATCCTATCAACATTCTGTGCTGTATATCATACATACATGCATCCTATGTACAGCATCAAGAGCAATAACAGCCAATAACAGCCAATAGCAGCCAATAAACAGACAATAAAAGCCAATCAATAAAGCATAGAAAAGCCAATAAATCAAGGCCAAGAAAATAGTCAAATCAATCTAATCATGCTTCCGATGCCGGGTATACGCCGCGCTAGCCAATCAACAGGATAAAAGGTATCACTTTTGCATTCTCCAGACACCACGTCTCGGAGAAAAAGTGTGAAAAGAAGTTGCCAAAGAACGAGAGAAAAAAAAAATAAAAAAAAAAAAAAATGAAGAAAGGAAATTAAACCTGCATCCCCTGAGCGGTCGCCGCTTGCTGCAACACACGCGGCCAGCGCGAGATCAACTCCACATCGTCGAGAGCCCCCTTGCCCTGGTTGCGCACGTACTGCGTGCTCGGGTCGACCCGCGGCTCGTAGTCCCAGAGGGATGGCGTGCCCTGCAGCAGCGCAGAGTAGACGAGACGGCGGCGGCGCTGCGATCGCAGCACGTCGGCCCGGATCGCCACCAGATCCCAACGCGCCTGCACCTCCTCAGTGAAGTAGGCGAGCAGCTTGGCTGGCTCCGTCGTGGCGGGCAGCGCTGACGCAGGGCTGGGCGTGCGCGGGGGCGTCGGGAACGGGTACGCGGCTGGCACCACGCGCTGCGGCACGGGCGACGCGTGCGGCGAGTCGGCCGGCGTGGGCAGCGCCGCGGGCACACCGAGCGGGGCGTTGGTGATGGGTTTGGTGGGAGCGGCGGCGACCGGCTTGACCGCCAGACCGGCGGCGAGGTTGACCTTCTCCTCCGGGTCGGCTTCCACGTCGAAGAGCATGGGCGGGTCGATGAGCGAGGCGATGAACTTGTAGCGGCCGCGGCGGATCATAACGACGGGCGACTGGGTTCCCTCGGCCATGTACTCGCCCAGCACGGTGTCGGTGCGCAGACCCTCGCCGCCGGTCAGGTAAGGCAGCAGCGAGACGCCGTCCAGCGGCAGCTCCTTGATGATGGGGGCGCCGACGAGGTCGGCGAAGGTGGGCAGCAGGTCCATGGTGGAGACGTTCTGGGGAATGCGCTTAGGGGCAAAGCGCTTGGGGGCGTGGAAGATCATCGGCACGCGGGCCGAGTTCTCGAACCAAGTCATCTTGTACCAGAGGCCGCGCTCGCCCAGCATGTCGCCGTGGTCACCGGTGAAGACGATGATGGTGTTGTCGCGCAGGCCGCAGTTGTCGAGGACGGTGAGCAGCTTGCCGACGTTGGTGTCGACGTAGGTGCAGGCGGCGTAGTAGGCGCGGCGGGCGGCGCGGATGCGCTCGTCGGGGAGATCCTTGTTGAAGAGATCGATGCACTTGAGGACGCGCTGCGAGTGGGGGTCCTGCTGGTCGTGGGGGATGGAGCCGTTCTTGGGGAGGGGGATCTCGACGTTCTCGTAAAGGTCCCAGAAGTCCTTGGTCATGGCGTAGGGGTCGTGGGGGTGAGTCATGGAGACGGTCAAAGCAAAGGGCTGGTCGTTGCGCTGACGGACGTGGTTGTAGAGGTACTGGGTGGACTTGTACATGACCTCCTCGTCAAAGTCGAGCTGATTGGTGCGCACGACGGGGCCAGCCTCCATGACGGAGGACATGTTGTGATACCAGTCGGGGCGGATGTCCTACATTATTAGCATAACCAATCTTACATCGGTAGAGAGACAAAAGGAGACATACCGGTTCATCCCAGTTAACGGACCAGCCGTAGTCTCCCGGGTAGATGTCGCTGGTCAGACGTTGCTCGTAGCCGTGCAGCTGATCGGGACCGCAGAAGTGCATCTTGCCGGCGAGGGCCGTGTGGTAGCCCTCGCGGCGGAGATAGTGGGCGTAGGTGGGGGTATCGGCGGGTAAGTCGGAGGCATTGTCGTATGCGCCGATCTTGGAGGGCAACTGGCCGGTCACCATGACGAAGCGCGAGGGAGCGCAAAGCGGCGCATTGCAGTAGGCGGAATCAAAGACGACGCCTTCTTCAGCCAATCGGTTGAGATTGGGAGTTTTGATGGGGGAGGTTTTATCATGGAATTGCAAGAGAGGGGCCGCCATCTGGTCGGCCATGATGTAGAGGATATTGGGTTTTTCGTCCGACATGATGGACTACTTGATTGGGGGGGTACCAGTATGAGAGAAGACAAAGAGAGAAGGAGGGAAGAGAAAAAGTGAGAGAGAGGGAAGTCCAATGGAAGAAGGTAGATATAGATGGGAAGAAAGAGAAGAGAAAGTGGGTGGATGAGTGGTGGGGACCAGGAGATATAAGTAATTGGGAGCGGAAATGTTGGGTAAGGGGAGAAAGATCAGATGAAACAAAAAGAATTAAACCCAGAAGGAAGAGAAGAGAAAGTGGAGCCAGAGAAGAAAAATGAAAGGATGAAGGATGAGCAAGAGAAGAGCAGCGAGAGACAGAAAGTGACTTGCCTCCTTACTAGTGTTGATTGAAATAACATGTCACCGCTTGAATGGAACCATCCACGGGGAGGATGGTGTGATTGATTAGATCAGCATTGATAGACACACCAATACATATACATAGTCCATACCCATAATGATAACTATTGAGATATATTCTACTACGTAGTAGATCTATCATTTCCAGAAACCGAATCGAAATGAATCGAATATCATATCCATACTCCAGAAAAAAACCCCAAGCTAACGGCCACTAACCCAGCTAACCCAACTAATCCAACTAACCCCGACTAACCTGAATTACGAGGTTCATTGGTAAATTACACTCCCGCTAGTGTCTTGGCGTGTTCTTGGCAGCCTTACCGCTCTTAATACTTTTGAATACATAGATGATACAGGAATACATGGAAGCATAGAAATCCAGAAATTCCAATAGATCAGTACTACCTGTCTGATCAAGGCAGTCATTGCAGAGTTAAGAGGTCAAGCGGTTCTCGAGTCCATCGTGACCGCCCGTGGTCCACCCGACGGTCGTTCCGGCGGATTAGCCAGGAGAAGTGGCGACTTGTATTCAATACGATTGGGTCAGGTGGCAATCCGCTTTTCCTCCGGTTACACTGGCGGACTTGATCTTCTTAGCGAGTTGATTCTTGGCGGAGTCCGACCAGATCTTCTCCGGTCAATCAGACCCTACGGAGTATTCAGTATCTATCTCCTGATAACTAGATTGAATCAATAGGATGATTCCATCACTGGATCAGATTAAGTTCATTCCACGCTGAAATGACGAGTCCGGGGAAGTCACGCTGATGAGGTTGAACCGTGGGACGCTATCCACCTGACTGATGTGTATCCAGCAGTATTGTGTATGTATTATTGAAGTTGGTACGGTATTACATGATTCCCTCCGTACAGTCGGAATCATGCCCACTCGATAGGTAGATATCCAAGTAGATAGTCAGTAGTAGCTACAATCCCACCACCTCGACATCAACACTGTCTAGTAGGTAAAAACGTCATCTATATAAGAAACAGGCTAAGATTCCCAAGCACCCCCTAGTCAGGCACAGATTGACCAGGATCTCCCTCCTTCTCCGTACATCCCGGGAGTCTCCCACTGCAGTAGTCCCGTCCGGATCGATGGCATCATCCCCACCCTCCGATCACATCATTTCTCCTGACGATCGCGTTCTTCCAGAACGTTTTTGATCTTTTCATCAGTCCTCCGTATTGATTCAGTATCTGGCAATTTGCTTTGGTATCTATTTGATGTTTGAAGTAAACAGATATCGATTATGCCCATGAGATCATACTCTTGTATACTGCACAACTACAATCCGGCTGGTCGGTCCGATACTGTCCTGTCCTTCCTACCAGTCGGGTACTGCTCAATCTGAATGGGGCCCCGCATTCCACGGGCAGCCTGGCAGACGGTAGATGATTTGAGTTAACTTTCGGCCTCGGGGGGGCTCAACTCATCAGGTGGGGAGATGACGCGATAGGGCGGTGACGTTGTCATTCTCCGTCATATGGGGATTTGTAGAAATAGAATATGGAGTACTCCATAAATCAGAAGAGATTAAAATAAAGATGAAATGGAAATAAAAAATACGTTCCAGAAAAGCGGAAATTTACCATCTCTCCTGCTGAGCACGTCATCAAGGGATGTTCTGTCTAATGAATCCATATTCTTTCCGTACCTAGGTATACCGGTCGAGAACGGCTTGTCATATGGAGAGTACTCCGTATAGTATTTCCGGCCTCTGTACAATATTTCTGTACGGAGTACCCTCCATAACCAGTTATCCCATACAGTAAATAATATTCCGTATTCTCATACATGATGATCGAGTGAAACCAACCGCCCCGTCCCGTCCGGCCCCGCCAAGACCGGAATCAAGCAACCAGCTATATCATCCCCACTACCCCATACATTATTCAAATAAGATAAAATAAATAGAACATCCACTAGATTAAAAAGAAAAAAAAAAAGAAATACAACGCCTAGAAAATGAATAGAAAATGAAATAAATTAAAAACGGAAAAAAAAAGAATGAAATGAACTCGGGGGATCGCCCCGCGGGACGGAGAGTCTCATCCTTGGCATGAATGTATCGTATCCCGCCGAAGGGGTCACGGATCCTGCCTGTTCTTTGTACGACATATCTGACTTTCTGAGTAGGGACGGAGGATCTAAGGGATATGGATCCTCTGGGTTTATTGGATAGGTAGTATCCCTTACTGATACTCATCTTGGATCTTTCCATCTACTGCCAAGGAAGAAGGACCGTAGCTATCAGCTGATGCCTCCCTCATCTTCAAGGGCATAATGATGTGCACACAAGCCTAGTAGGACAGAACCAGTAAGACAGGGTCGCACATGTACTTACATAGATAGATAGATACATACATACGCACTACTTGCTGAACCGTTTCACGAGAACTACCTAGGCAGTAGCATTGCACGAACGACCGTTTGTGCGATCTTCATATCAGTCTCATTGGTGCGTTCTCGCGGACGCGTGGTACATCTTGCGTGGCTGGCTAACTCCCTGTTTCGATCCCGGTTGGGTTCGGGATGGACTTCACTATTCTACCTCTTTTGCTCGGTAGGAGGTGTCTACAAGCTTGGTAGATACTATGTTAGGTACGGATAAGATAGACGGCGAGCGGAGCGCACGGAAAATTGCGGTCAAACTTCAATCATGAATATGACAACCTTGGATATGACATGTATATAACCCACTCGGATTATTGACCTCTCCACCCCTGCTAGCCGATTTCATCCCCAGGACGCGTGGTCTTCAGCCAGGTGGCAAACAGGTCTGACTGGGATATTTGTATGATCGAGGCTAGAGAATAAACTGAAACATGCTCGGGAGTGAAGGTGGGTGGGAGGACGGAAGACAGGGGATGGGGATTTATCCATTGGGTTAGTTGGTTGGTTGTTGGTGGTTGGTTGGTTGGCATGTGAGATTTGAGTTGATCGGCTTGGTGATCGTTTTTTTTTTCTTTTTCGTTCGTTCGTTCGTCGGATTGGATTTCTTTTTTTTTTTTTTTTTTTTTAAGGAAACAAGGGGAATAGAGAGGGAGGAATCAGATATATGTGTCATGTCATGTACAGCCGGCATATATTGTCTAGTCCGTAGTCTACCGTTAAGACTACTATAATACTCCCCGAAATTCCATCCCACATAGTTAATTGGTTAGTCCACCTTCGCACCACTGTCATCGTCAGTTAGCAAATATACAACCACCAGGAATAAGGAAGGCAACGCACCTATAAATCCTCCTCACGAACGCAAAAGCCGTGAGGAACCCCACCGTCCCAACCAAAAGCCCATAAACCGCACACGCCAGCAAACTGTAACTAAAAAACAGCAACCCAGACACCAATCCCTCAATATGCAACTGAAACACGTAGTACCACACGCAGTAGCCAAACACCCAAGCCGCACTGCTGCCGCCCGTGAGGAAACTCGCCCACCACCAGTGGTAGTTCTCCGCGCACAGCTGGCTGTACGTTGCGATGATGGTGACCTCGCTAATGGTTACGAGGAGGACGGTCGATACGGCGCTGAGGAAGCCAAAGACGTAGTAGTAGCTGCTTTTGTCTTGCCAGAGGTGCGTGAAGACGAAGAGGAGCTCGATGAAGAGGACGGCGAAGGGGGGGAGTCCTGCGAGGAAGATCCCCCGTGTGCTGCAGGAGTACCATGGTTGGGGTGGGATTTGCCGCGCGATGGAGGTTGTCTTTGTGGGGTATTCCCATGCTGGAGTGCGCGTGAAGCCGTACCAGCTGCCTGCGTAGACTAGCGGGACTTGGATTAGGAGCCATAGTGCGACTAGGCCGATTAGTGTGCTGAAGGGGATTGCTGTGCTAGAGGCTTGGGCCCAAACGAATAGGTTGAGGAGGAATACGAGGCTGAATGTCAGTCCGGGGAAGAGGACGGCCGTCTGTTCGTGTCAGTACAAAGCTTATACAACATAAAAAGGAGGGCCGCACAATCAGCATGTTCTTCTTCCACTTCACCCCACCAAACGTCTTATACAGCCGCGCGGAAAAGTACCCCGAGAAGAGCCCCGCGAAGATGAACAGTCCCATCCCGACGCTGACGAACCCGCCGCGGAAACTCGGATTCAGCACGCCCAGACAACTGAGCACAAGCTGCCCCGACCCCATGAACAGCAGCTGCATTCCGGACCCCACCAGCGGCGCAAGCAGCCCGCTGTACTGCGGTGCACGGAACACGTCTCCATGGAGGAGCTTCCAGCCGCTGACGTCCTCGACGCCGCCGTCGTCGGACAGATCGCCATCGCGCTCCACGTCCGACTCCTGCTCCAGCAGCGAGCCGCCCTTTCGCTCGGCGCGTAGCTTCACCTTCGGCTCATCCATCGCCCCGTCTCCGCGGCCCCCGATGTCACCCTGGACCGTCCGGCTCCAGATCACATACACCGCGACTCCGAGAACGCCGGAGATGATCAGCGAATTGAGGATAGCGAACCAGTGCGTCGTGGAGGTGTCGTCCTGGTTGTTAAAATACAGATCCCAGCGACTCCACCAGTCCACCCCGTTCTCCTCCTTAAAGTAGACCGAGTAGCTGTAGGGGATCTTGATCTTCGCGCCGTCGTCGTATGCCTCATCATCGTCGTCGGGGATATACGACGACCCGGGATACAGCTCTCGCAGCCGCGCGACATTAGGCGCAATACGGAGCTCCAGCCCCTCGTGCGGGTCGTGCGGATTCCTCGGACAGCCGTTCGCCTCGTGGTCCTCGGCGCGGATGCTCTTCGGGTAGACTTCGAACCCAACGACGACTTTGCCTCCGCCCGGCATTGACCGCCAGCGGATCACCAGCGTGTAATGGTTGTTGATGAACGTACGCGATTTTCCATCGGCCGGCGACACCTCCTGCGACCCCAGCTTGAACCCCGTAGCGTAGTACTTGCGACTGCGGTCGACCGTGACGAAGCTCGTCGCCCCAGGCAGGTTGTCGGCGATCCACTCGGCCACGTAGCCCTCCCGGATGAGCTGGCGGCCCCATTTGACGTCCTGGCGCCCAACCTCCTGTGTGCACAGCGCCTGGCACTCAATATTCTTGCCCATATGGAGTTGAAAATCCGACGTCATGATGCGGTCTCCGCGCAGGATCTCGCCCAGGTTCAGCGAGACGCTCTGCCCGGAGCCAAAGGGGGAGCCGCCATGGGGGTTTCCGCTCGGGGGACACACGAAGGGGAGGTCGTAATACGCATATTGCAGTTGGGTGTGGTCGGAGAAGATCTTATTGACTAGGAGGGGGATCGGCTCGTCATCGTTGTACTGTTTGACCGAGTAGCCTGTCCATCCACCACCGTGTTAGCGCAACGTCAACTAGGGGAATACCCTTGGGCGGAAATCCTACCGGGTATGTAGAAGGCGCAGGAACAAGAAACAAACAAGAGCCATAGCGTCCAGTGACACGGATTCCAGACCCGCGATGGTCCCATCCTCGACGTATGTTGCAAGGGAGGGGAACGTAGACCAGCCGCGCTGCGAAGAGTCGGTCTGCTATCACACGGGCGTGTACGTGATGCGATGGAGGGTATGGACCATGCCAGGGAACGTCGTTTTCTCTCTTTTGAGCGACAGTGATCGGTCAGTTGAATTGGCGTACAATACGAATCCGACACTGCTGTCTATATCTTCGATGAATAGTAAGAGACCGGTCGGGGTTGGGGAAGGACGTCCGAGCGGTCCAGAACGCGGCGGAGAAGATAAATTCCGCGGGCGGACAACACCAATGGAGCGTTGAGGGTTGAGGCACCTCAGTATATAACGAGTGTGATGGCCAAATGCCTGACGAGCGAATGTGGATGTAAGAAACACGAGACAAGAGATGAGGATATGTAGGTATAGTCAAGGGAAGGGAGGGGAGGACGGAAATAGAAGCCCCGGCGAAGGTTCCATGCGAAGCCGTTGACCGATTGGGTTTAGTGTCCATTCCTGAGGAAGATCATGGTGATCGCAAACAGCGGACATTTATCAAAGATCATATACGGTGTATATAACGAGACCGGTCCTTGGATAAGGAGCACTGTCGTGGACTAGAATAGTATACGCACTCTAGAGGTCATTCTGTCATATCTACGGCCATCAATTTGCGGACCAACTGTGCAGAGAAATATTGATCGACTGAGTCATACGACATTGGCGAATAAAGACCATCCCATTATTTGACATCAAAGAGGGGAAGATGGAGAAGATAAATAACTGATAAAGAGATGAAATGGAAGAAGAAAAAAGAGGGAGAAAAGGAGAAGAGAAGAAAGCAATGCAAAGGGTAATAAGTAGTCATGAATGAAACACCAGCAAAGACACCCCGTTTTCCGAGCTAAGCGCGGCCTGTCAGAACGGAATTACGATGGATGGCTAAGCAGGTATTCCACCGCCCCCTGCACACTGCCACCAGCTCGACGGAGTGCCTCGATGTTCCTCTCAAATTCAAAGAATCCCATGTCATTCAACTGCCGCAGCTGCTCCGCATATCGCTCCTCCGGGGGCCGGTTGTCGGGGGGCGTGGCCCCGAAGCCGCCGCCACCACCCCCCAAGAGAGCGGCGAGCGGGTTCGCCCCCCCGGCGCCCCCCTCCCCTCCTGCGTTACCATTCATGGCCTGCATCATCTGCGCCATCAACGCCGGGTCTCGCAGGAAGGGGTTGGTCTGCGGGTTGAAGGGGTTGACGCCTCCCGCACCGCCTTGCCCGTTGCCAAACATGGCCGGGTTCAGCAGACCAGCTAGAGGATTCGTGCCCTGTGGGTTCGGGTTCTGCTCGGTGGGGTTGTCCCCGGTTGCCGGCTGGGCTGGATCTTGGGGGTTGCTCGGGGAGGCGGTGTTGTTGGCCGGATTACCACCGAAGAGGGCAGCAAACGGATTGCCTGCACCCATGCCCTGTGGCATAAAGGGGTTGAACGGGGGGAGGCCAGCGAGCGGCGAGGGGGTATTATTGTTGCCGGTCGCACCCTCCTGCCCAGCGCGGTTCTCCTCCGGCGTGGTGTTGGTGACCCCGGGGGCAGGGAATGCACTGGCACCACCACCGCCGCCCATACCGCCCATCATACCGCCACCCCCCATGGCCCGTTGCATCTGCATCACTTGACGGAGGGAGCTGGGGTCCGTCAGCATCCGACGGAAGTCTGGGCTCTGCATCATCTGTCGCACGCCCGGGCCCATATCGCGCAGCAAGGGGTTCTGTTGAATCATCATATCGATCATGTCCGGGTTCTGCAGGGCTTCGTTGATGGTGGATTGGAACTGAGGGTTTTCGAGCATGTTGAGCATGGTCTCCGAGTCAGGAGGCGGTCCCATCTACGGAAGAGAAATCAGCTTGTGAGTTCAAAGAAAGAAAAGTTTATTGAGAAACCTACCCCGCCATCAGGACCGAACATGCCCGCGCCCGGAAGCTGTGCAAATCCCGCATATCGTGCGCCGGTCAAACCGGCCAGCGGGTTGTTGCCCGTACCGGCGGCAAGGTTGGTGGGGACGCCACTCGCCGCAGGGTTGGCCGCGGGCCCCGCAGGCGTGGGGTTTGCCGTGCGCTGTGAAGCACTCTGGGTTGGATTGCTGGCGGCGCTTTTCACTAGGTGAATGGTATGTCCATCCTTGATCTTGTACGTGTTTAGGGTTTCATTATCCTTGAGGACGCGACCCGAATAAATCAGACGTTGTCGCTCCGCGGGAGTATCTGCATAGTCCGAGGCGGAGAGCAGCTCCTTCAAATCCGACACGGACGTGGAGAGAGGCAAGGTCAACGTATATTTGGCATCGTTGGACGCCTTGACATTGAAAGTGATAGGGGACTGATCCGCGGGGGCGGTATCGTCAGCCATGATGGCTAGATGAAGGAGGTGGTGGGGGGAGGGAGAAAGGGAGTTCTAGGCCGGCAACACTCTCGGTGGGTGTAGGAGTGATATCACGTCACACGTGTGGAGGGAGGGGAGAAAGAGAAAGATCAGGCGCGAAAGGGGGAGAGAAGTGGGGATACAACCACGAAATGTACAGTAGATGGATCAAAGCAGTCCAGCGATATAAATCAGAGTGAGAATTTAAGTGATGGGAGGATGGAAGAGTCGAGGAAGATTGGAGTTGGGAGGAATGATGAGGCGGATTGTCGGAGGAAACGGACAGAACCCCATGGTGGCTTTGCCTCAGGCCAGCCGTGCCTCAGGCAGTGTGATTTGACACTCACGTGATATTGGACAAACAGCCCAAACAAGGAAGCTCCCACCTCTTCTTTCGCACCGGAATTTTCACCTTTTCTTCCAACCTCGTTCTTTTCTCCTCACATCCTCTCTCTCTCTTTCTTTCTTCCCCCCTCACTCTTCCCAACGGGGACCCTCCCTTCGAGAGTCCTCTTTCTCTCCCCTCCGACCTGCAGCAATGGGAGTAGTTTCATTTTAGTCATACTGTACTGCAATTGCACGTAAACATCATCGGGTCTTACTTTCTTTCCCCCCCTCACACCGACCAAGCCAACCTAGCTGTAGGCTGGTCAGGCCTCCTCATTCATCATGGCGACTACTTCGACGATGTTCATGTACTCCCTGACGATCCAGCCACCCACTGCGATCAATCAGGCGATTCTGGGTCAGTTCGCGGGTACCAAGGAGCAGCAGATCGTCACCGCGTCGGGCTCCAAGCTCACCATCCACCGCCCGGATCCCACACAGGGCAAGGTGACCCCGATCTTCTCCCAAGATGCTTTCGGGATCATCCGTAGCTTAGCCGCTTTTCGCTTGGCTGGCAGTAATAAAGGTATGTACCGTGTTTCCCTTCCCTTCCCCCATTGTGGGGAAAAACTCTGTCCTTTTTCCAAGATCATTTTAGTGATTCTTCAAGCTTCCCGGGCAGCACGATCCTCATCTGCCGACTCGGACCTGCCCCAGTCAGCGATGTGGATGCAGGGTGCCGGTCTGTGAACACTGTGCTGAAAATGATTGCCTTTAGATTATATCATCATCGGCTCTGACTCGGGACGGATCACCGTCATTGAATACGTTCCCTCCCAGAATCGTTTCAACCGCATCCATTTGGAGACATTTGGAAAGTCGGGGGTACGCCGGGTCGTTCCGGGGCAGTATCTGGCGGTGGACCCTAAGGGCCGGGCGTGCTTGATCGCCTCGGTGGAGAAGAACAAACTCGTCTATGTCCTCAATCGGAACTCGCAGGCCGAGCTGACGATTTCTTCTCCGCTGGAGGCCCATAAGCCCCAGACCCTGGTCTTCACCGTGATCTCGCTGGACGTGGGGTATGAGAACCCCATCTTCGCAGCCCTCGAGGTGGACTACTCCGAATGCGACCAGGACCCTACGGGCCAGGCGTATGAAGAGGCGGAGAAGCTGTTGGTCTACTACGAGCTCGACCTGGGTTTGAACCACGTCGTTCGCAAGTGGGCCGACCCGGTGGACCGCACGGCCACTTTGCTCTTCCAGGTCCCCGGGGGCGCGGACGGCCCCAGTGGTGTTTTGGTGTGTGCCGAGGACAACATCACGTACCGCCACTCCAACCAGGACGCGTTCCGAGTGCCCATCCCTCGGCGCCGTGGTGCGACGGAGAACCCCGAGCGAAAGCGCTGTATCATCGCGGGCGTGATGCACAAGATGAGAGGCGCTTTCTTTTTCCTGCTCCAGACCGAGGACGGTGACCTCTTCAAGGTCACCATTGAGATGGTCGAAGACAGCAAACGGCAGCTGACGGGCGAGGTCAGCCGACTGAAGATCAAATATTTCGATACGGTGCCCGTGGCGTCGAATCTGTTGATCCTCAAGAGCGGGTTCCTCTACGTGGCCAGCGAGGCCGGCAACCACCATTTCTACCAGTTCGAGAAGCTGGGCGACGATGACGAGGAGACGGAGTATTCGAGTGACAACTTCTCTGCCGATCCGTCAGTCCCCTACGAACCGGTCTACTTCCATGCGCGAGGGGCCGAGAACCTCAACTTGGTGGACACGATCAACTCCTTGAACCCGTTGATTGACAGCAAGGTTGCCAACCTGACCGAGGACGACGCGCCGCAAATCTACACGGTCTCCGGAACTGGGGCTCGCAGCAGCTTTAGGACCCTGAAACATGGCTTGGAAGTCTCCGAGATCGTCGAGTCGGAACTTCCCAGTGTGCCTTCTGCTGTGTGGACGACCAAGTTGACCCGCGAAGATGAGTACGATGCCTATATCATCCTTTCGTTCGCCAACGGGACCTTGGTCTTGAGCATTGGCGAGACTGTCGAGGAAGTGACCGATACCGGGTTCCTCTCGTCCGCGCCCACGCTCGCTGTCCAGCAGCTGGGCGAGGATTCGCTGATCCAGATTCACCCCCGTGGCATCCGGCATATCCTCGTCGATCGCCGTGTCAACGAGTGGCCGGCTCCGCAACACCGTTCGATCGTGGCGGCGGCGACCAACGAACGCCAGGTGGCAGTGGCGTTAAGCTCGGGCGAGATCGTCTATTTCGAGATGGATGCCGACGGATCGCTGGCCGAGTACGACGAGCGGCGACAGATGTCGGGCACCGTGACGTGCCTCAGTCTGGGTGAGGTGCCCGAGGGTCGTATGCGCAGCGCCTTCCTTGCCGTCGGCTGCGACGATTCGACGGTCCGTGTTCTAAGTCTGGACCCAGACTCGACCCTGGAGAATAAGTCGGTCCAAGCTCTGACTGCTGCGCCGTCTGCGCTGAACATCATGTCGATGTCTGACTCCAGCTCCGGAGGATCCACACTCTACTTGCACATTGGCCTTCATTCGGGTGTTTACCTGCGAACGGTCTTGGACGAGGTCACTGGTGAGCTTTCGGATACCCGCACGCGGTTTCTGGGGTCCAAGGCCGTCAACCTTTTCCAGGTGTCGGTCAAAGGGCAAACTGCCGTGCTGGCTTTGAGCTCCCGTCCGTGGTTGGGCTACTCGGACATCCAAACTAAGGGATTTACCCTTACACCCTTGGACTATGTGCCACTTGAATGGGGCTGGAACTTCTCCAGTGAACAATGCGTAGAAGGCATGGTTGGTATCCAAGGCCAAAATCTTCGGTATGTTGAATTCATTCCTTTTCCCTTTCTTCCTCCTCCCCTGGTCATATGATGAGAAATTGAATCCGAATATCTATGTGGATGAAAAACTTTTAAAGTTATACTCCAATTGTTCCTACTGAGACCATTTCCCCATCTCAATTGCTATATTGGCATGAACGCTTCGGCATGACGTTGTGCTAACTCACGTCACCAGCATCTTCTCCATCGAGAAATTGGACAACAATATGCTTCAGCAGTCCATCCCGCTTTCTCATACTCCCCGTCGTCTCGTCAAGCATCCGGAGCAGCCCTTGTTCTATGTCATCGAGTCTGACAACAACGTCCTTTCCGAAAGTACGAGGGCTCGGTTACTCGAGGATTCCAAGGCGCGGGGCGACGATGATACTGAGCTTCCGCCCGACGAGTTTGGATATCCTCGGGCGACTGGCCACTGGGCCTCTTGTATCCAAATAGTGGATCCGGTCGATGCCAAGGCGGTGATTGGGAGCATTGAGCTGGAAGACAACGAGGCCGCGGTCAGCGTTGCCACCGTCCCGTTCACCAGCCAGGATGATGAAACGTTCCTGGTGGTGGGAACGGCGAAAGACATGACGGTCAGCCCGCCTTCGTCCGGGGGAGGGTTTATCCACATCTACCGATTCCAAGAAGATGGGCGAGAACTGGAGTTTATTCACAAGACCAAGGTGGAACATCCTCCCCTTGCTCTTCTTCCATTCCAGGGCCGCTTGGTCGCTGGTCTTGGCCCAATCCTTCGGGTCTACGATCTGGGAATGAAGCAGCTCCTTCGAAAATGTCAAGCCCCGGTGGTCCCGAATACCATCGTCGGCCTGCAGACCCAAGGCAGCCGGATTGTCGTCAGCGATGTCCGCGAGAGTGTCACCTACGTTGTGTACAAATATCAAGAGAACGTGTTGATTCCGTTTGTGGATGACTCTGTTTCTCGCTGGGCGACCTCGACGGCCATGGTCGACTACGAGACGGTTGCTGGGGGCGACAAGTTCGGCAACATATGGCTTGTACGCTGCCCCAAGAAGATCTCAGAGGAGGCAGACGAGGAAGGGTCGGGTGCGCACCTCATCCACGAACGCGGCTACCTTCACGGTACGCCCAACCGCGTGGAATTGATGGCCCATGTTTACACGCAGGACATCCCAACCTCCCTGCACAAGACTCAACTTGTTGCGGGTGGACGAGATATCTTGGTGTGGACGGGCTTCCACGGCACAGTGGGCATGCTCGTCCCATTCGTCAGCCGCGAAGACGTCGACTTCTTCCAAAATCTGGAGATGAATCTAGCGGCCCAGAATCCCCCGATCGCGGGACGGGACCACCTCATCTACCGGAGCTACTATGCCCCAGTCAAGGGGGTGATTGACGGGGATCTGTGTGAAACGTATTTCTTATTGCCTAATGACATGAAGATGATGATCGCAGGGGATCTCGACCGTTCAGTCCGTGAGATTGAACGGAAGATTTCGGTAAGTCTACCATTACTCTAACAGAACCAAGTCAACCAGTCACTGACCACAGCCATAGGACATGCGAACGAGAGTGGCGTACTGATCTTGGACGGATTTCGGCGTCAAATGAGGCATTTGCTTTCACTCCTACCTATTTGTTTGCCTACTGTACGGGGTTGCTAGATACCCGATAATTGATTAGAGATTCCCATATGTACAGCTAAGATTCCGGGTCTCACGGAGTTTCCTGCTTTCTTCCTTCCCTTCCTTCCTGGTAAGTGGCTACCTACCTGCCTACCTCTCCACACAAGAGGTGTCAAATAGCCACAGTCCATGGTATATGCATAACATACCAGTTCTAAAAAACCGTCTCTTGCCTCGCTCGGCCATTCGTTTCCTCCCTCGAACGGTCTTGAGCTGGATGCATCAGCACACTGCTCTCAGCACGTTGCTTTTGTACGAGACAAGAAGAAGGGAAATCATTTTCCCCTTTCGACGATCTTTGAGTACGGTCTTGTCTGAATTTTACCACGGACATGAACCGTAATTTATAGTCGAGACAATCAATATATACTTGTAGAGCTTTAGCTAGTGCGTCACGCCCGCGACGGGCTTGAATTATCAATTGAAGAGCCTATGACTGCCTGTCTTATGTCTGAAAAAAACTAGTCTATCTACTTTTCAATGTTCAAGCTCCGTAAGATCTTATCCCTGCTGGGCAATCCAAGCTAAAGTACTCTATCAAGTTTGTTAGATATGTAGTGAGAATCTTATTTTTGGTTGAGAGGCATGCAATCGGCCAACGTCAGCTGACTTGCATGATTTTTTCCACCTAAAACTGTTTCGACTCTTTATGTTTTCTGTAAATTGATTATAGTACTCAATAAAGGTTGTTTAACAGCTTGGATTATATATCTGGGAGCTCCAACTGCCAAGAGAGAAACAGCCGAGGCTGTTACGGAGTATCTGGATTCTTTGATGAAATACAGGACAGATTGATTTGCAGAGGATTGTTGTGTTTGTGATTTTTGCGTTGGCTTGGAAATCTAGTTTCCTCGATTGATACTGACTGTTGCTGAGCACTGAACAGAGAAGAAAGCCTCGTATTGATAGATCGTGAGGCAGATTTGCAAATGATAATTGTCATTATTCTCTCTAACCAACATTGCCTCGCGATGATCTTTTCTCAGCCGCTGCACCAAGTTTCTGAATTTGTGTTTGGTTGGGCTTTGGCGTGGCTGATATCCCACGTCCTATACATAGTTATGTATGGAGAACAGCTCAGGGGCAACGTCAGTCAAGGGCTGATAACTAACTGATTGACCGACGCGTTTCGGAATTTGAGAGCAAGAGTGGACACAAAGTTGACAAGGCTGTCCTTGGCCATGGACCGGAGCTGGGATATGGATATACCATATTCTATTCTTGGTAAGTCCTCAGTATACAGCCCTGAACATCGGGGGAGTATTTCCCCCTAAACTATGTTGCCCAGAACGCTGCCAATGCTAAGTTTCGCAGGTGATATTCAGTATAAAGCTGACAGACCCAATCACAGTACTGCGGCTCTGAGGGCTGTGGGGTACAAGCTTTGAGTGGGTCATCAGATCTTCCCCTGGTCCATATTTCCCAAAGCACTGCCATTGCTAAATCTCGCGGTCAATATTTAGCATGAAGGTGACAGACCCAATCAGAAAACTGCGGCTTTGGGGGCCGTGGCATGGAAGTATCGACTAATGAGTGGATGGAAAGATCGTCCCCTACTCCATGTTGGCCAGAATACTTCCCAGAGCACTGCCATGAGCCGTTTTTTGTCGATATTCAGAATGAGGGTGACAAGGGAACACGCAATTTTAGTTGAAGTCAGTCTCCCAAAGATAAAAGGCGAGCATATTTCCAAGTATAAAGAATCAACATCAGAAGAGACAAGAAAGCCTCCCTACATACTTCTTGCCATTCCAATCATTCCTTACAAACATTCACACAACAACTTTTTATCTTTGGATTTAGTCAAAATCCCCAACCATGCACTTCTCCAAGCAGATCAGTCTTATCAGCCTTGCTATTGCATTTGCAGCAGCATCTCCCGCAGCCCAGCCGAACCCCAGAGCGTTGGGAGCTCGTTCCAGCAGCAAAGACAGATTCATCGACCCGACAGACCCGGAATTGAGCCTTGACGAGCAGTGTATTTATAGAGAATATCCTTCGGAGAAGTGGTGGAATATTGTCATCAACGATGCCAAAGATTTCACCGATGGCCAGTGCGGTACTGGGTTCCTCGACAATTTCCATGACCGCGGCTGCTCAGAGTCAGGCTGGGAGTGCAAGTATTCCAGTGATGGCAAGACGATGAACGCAGGCTTCTCAACAGATACGTCCTGTGGCAATGATGATATTAGCAGCGCCATAAACGCGGCATTTGGTGGAAAGCAAGTGGAGTGTGCGAACTATGTTGATGATATCAAATGTGGTGATGACGGGAAGTGCGACGTTAACAAGGACTGAGAGGATATTTGAGGTTGAGAATGAGGCTGTCTCGCTGCAAGGAGATCACAGCGTGAAGGACTACCGTGTAGGGAGAAATATATGTACTGTCGGATTTTGTGGATGCTCAGAAGGTTGTGGATCTTAATGTGTGAAATACCAGCTGACTTGCAGTGTGTGTTCTTCCACATACTCTTCGTGTTTTTGTTCTTTCCTTTTGCGATCTTTTCATAGCTCCAAGTAGCTTATGCTAGGAACGTGTATAAACTTTATATAAAGAACAAACATAAGAAAATACGGGGTAATCCAATTGTGTATACCGGCCTAGGATGGCTAATCTGGGGTCTCCGGCGGGTCCTGGCCCCCAACCCCCCGACCCTTATCCACTCCGGGTTGGGCGGTCCGGGGCCGGGTTCCGGGGACCATCCTGCCACTCTACATGATAATTACTGGCAAATACCGCCTGGTGAGCTCGCGAGGTCCGCCTGGCCACCCCTATATTCTGCGCCCTCTGCCATATCAAACCGTCTCAAATCAGCGTTTCTAGCAGGAACCGGAAACCTGTCATGCGCGTCGTCTCACGCCTGTCATTGCATCGAAATGGCGCTGATGAACTTCACACTGCTCAATCAAACCTATTCACTGTTAAGGATCAAATCAAGATTGGAATGCCCGGGCCGGTCCGTCCGTTTGGCGGGTCGTTGATCCTGAGCGAAAGTGACTTCAGGAGATGGTGGCCTTTTTCTAGAAGGATAGCACGGACTCCCACTCCCACTCCCACGCACTTCAACCGCGGAATCAACTTCTGGCGTTCTCACCCGCGACAGGAGCAACTTGGCATACGCGGCAGCTGTTGCTGCTGCGTATCTTTGCCATTGCTTGTTCTTGTGTGAGTCTGCATAGTCACAGATTCCGCGGATCACCAGGCATGGGAAGTTGTTCATGATCCCTGCTCCTTCCATCTCGAAGCAGAGTACGTTGTGTTCTTTACTGAGCTGGTCTCGTGTTTCGGCAGATCTCATTACCTGGTTGCCGGATGCGATCAGCCCGTAGTGGATCTCGGGATGCGTGGACAGTCGAGGAGGCCTCTGGATTTCGTATGCTGGATTGCACTGATCACAGTTGTTGTGGCTGCTCGCGTGGGAGTAGTGGGACATGAATAGGCGGTCGTGTGTGGCTCCAGGATACGTGTATTGACCTTTGAGCTGGACGATTTGATCGAGGTCTGCGGCTAGCGGAGTGGGAGACTGTGTTGGGTCGGACTCGAGCTCACTGATTGCACACATCAGATTCCCTGGAGGAGGACATAGGTACCCGTTGAGTTGTGACGCTCCACACTCTAGGGTCTTAAGCATGTCGTATGGTAGAACACCCGAATACCTTCCACTGGGTGTGCTAACCACGACATCACCTAGACGGATGTCATTTTCCCGGGAGGGCACGCCAGCCCCGATGCCTACCAAAAGGCAGAAGTGCAGCGCGGGGAAACTCCGTCGCATGTTCGATGTGACGTTCGCAGCTGGGTTCGTGCCATATGTACCGCGTGGTAAGCAGACCGCAACGATGTTATGTCCTGCCATGCAACCCAATGCGTAGTAATTCGGGTCCGCATCGGCGATGGGGAGCTTCTCGTATGTACTGTCGAACAGCGAGCGTACAGCCATCAGCTCAGTGGAAAGAGCACACACAATAGCCACTTGAAAGTCTCTCGCTGATAGCGGCTTGCTTTTGGAGAGGACTAGGATTTCAGATGCATGTCGGCTATTTTCGGTTTCTTGCATTTCCTCGTAGTCGTCATATCCTTCAACTGATTGACTGGGGTCCAATTGCCCCATGTTTTCACTTCGCCCCGGGATTGATAAACTGACACTCCTTCCAATTCCGCTATCGTCTGAAGAGGATTCGTTCAATTCCCTTCTCAGAAGTGACTTTTTGTCCTTACTCGGGGCCCTCGATGGGTGTCCCACGTCTCCCCAGAACCATTGGTTGTTGCTGTTGTGACCGAATACGACGGCACCGTTTCCTTTCAGACACATATGGCTTTTTGAAGAAAATTCGTGGTACATGGTTGACGGAAGGAGCACTTGGGTAATGTCCAAGTGTTCATCTTCATCGCTCTGGCATAGACATTGGCTTAATGCCTCATCGGCGCAGCAGAGTATCTCATGGGTGAGCCTTGTCGGCGTTGAATACGGATTCCCGTAAGCTTCCATTATGGTCTTCAGATCAGCGACGCTGGCAACGAGATACGACATTCCATGTGGAAGCGTCGCCCAGAGCGGACAGTAGGTGTGCATGGGACGGATAACCTCGCCAAAACCTCTGCCAAATAAGGTTACTGCATGGATAGCACGAGTCAGATCTACCCAAGACCGGCCTTCATGGCTCAGAATAGTTTGTCGCGGATAGACAGGGTCGCGCTCCATCATGATATCGGTAAAGTCCCAGCCATCTAGAAAAGACCTCGGTTGTTGACAGACCTTTCCACAATCACCGACAGCTTTCGTTTGGTAATCAATCATTCTTTCCAAAACATCATAAAAATCCTCAACGCGGTCCTTGAAGTATATATGCTCGTCATCCTCAGGATAAACCTTCACCTTGAAATTGGTTGGATTCAAAAGAACCTCTAGAGCAGAGTTTGGCTGATATGCCCGCGAGGCTTCTTGGAACTCGTAATCATTGAACAGACACAGCGAGCTAAATCTGCTATCGTGCTGGTCCTGGGCGATGGATGCGCGAACAAGATGCAGCAGGGCGCTAGCCCCGTTGACGAGCCATCCTCGCTTCTCTCCTACATCCCAAAATGTCACGTACCGTTGCGAAATCCATTTGATCTTCTTTATGTAGGGGTTTCTGCGCAACCGGATATCTTTACGGCCCATGTTAAAGACAGGGCCGCCGATAACTTTGTGTCCAGCGGATAATGACGCGCTGTTCAGGATGCTGCTGGGTTCTGAGGGACGTGGGAGACCTGAGTTTTTGATGTCGTAGCTTGCATCGGATTCTCCTAGACAAACAAATCAGTCTCTGATTTCGAGCCAATGGCCAGAGAGGGTGATTATACCTGCGTAGAAAAGCATTTCAGGACACCATCCCACGATATGTCGTGATGCTTCTAGTTGCTGGAACGTAATGTCAAGCTTTGCGAACCGTTCGGTTTCGAGATATGAAATGCGGCTCTCGTCCTTATCATACACAAGGTGCCAAGTGACTGTATCGAGACTGCGTTTCGTAGGGATCAGCATAGTCGAGAAGCCCTTCAGGACCGTCTTCTCTTCAAAATGGTTAACCCTATGCGCTCCTGCCAGCGTGGCCATCATGGTAAGTGGGATCTCGAGTCCTTCAGAGTGTTGCTCTGGCCTCCGTCGTATTGGAAAGCCTTCTACAACAAGTGGCATTGCAAAAAGATTGAGCCAGCATTCCCCGTTCACAGATTCAGTACCGACTACTCCCTCGCGTACCTCGACATCAATCTCACAAGTATATGCTACCCTGGGCGTACCTTCGTACGTCACATGTCCGAGTTGCATGCCGCCAACAAATGGCCTGCTGTAGGCTATTTTGCCCTGAGACCGGGAGGAGCGCAAGGCAGATGCCAGCCATGCTAGCTGTTCCCCGATCTCCGCAATGACAGGAGCGATGCCTCGAGCATCTACCCATATATCGAAAGATGTACTTTGGCTTCTTGAGGGATGGCGCGAAAAGCAAAGCCGGGTGTCACCAGGCAGGACAGCTACATTAGATAATAAGCATCGAAATAGTTGCAGTTGGGCCGTCGAACTTACTAGATCCTCGGGTCTCTCCTGATACCAGGACCTTCAATAGTTTTAAAACATCCTTCCCTGTTGATGGCCAGGTTTGTCGCATGTAATCGCCGCAAGTCAATGCTTGTACAGACTCGGTGGACCCTGTTAGGGTGATGACTTTTTCAATCGCCTCCTCGAGGCTTTCCATGTACTCCTGTTCAATAAGGAAACCTCTAGGATCCCAAGAAATCCTGAAACTGACATCGAATATCTCTGCCGGCTTTTGTCGACTGATTCGAGGTGATGTTGGTAGAGAACTTAGGATTGACCTCCGAATTTTACCGATGATGTCAGGTTCTGCGGGTGCGAACATACACTGGCGCCGGATGTTATCCAGGAGACAGGTATATGTAGGGCTGTTGTGAATGATATTGCGATAGATCGCAAGCCCAGGCAAATTATCCTCCTCTTCTTGGATGATCGGTACTATATCATCGTTATCTTGTTCAGTTTCGTCTTGTAGGTCAGGGGAGAGCAGATGCTCGAAGGGCTCGTCTTTTTGCTGCCAAAAATGCATTTTATCGTCCAGTGTCATGTTATCTTGTACTTGTCGCTCTCTGCTATCTGGGTCCATTTCGGAGATTCGATCCTCGATAATGGCAGCTATTTTTCTGATAGCAAATGTTATGAGCGAATCATCATGTTAAACAAGCCAATGCCTTGAGTCAACTTACATTCGATGCCTGTGGATAAACACCATCATGTCCCTTTGCACTCGATCAGACGATGGGTGACCTAGGGTTAAAGCAAATGCCCTTAGAAGCTCAGGAAGAGCCTCGAAGACAGGCCGAAGCACATCGCCATTTTCTTTGTACGGTTCGACGACATGGACGAGGTCATTGGCGAGCTCGTCAATATAGCCCTTTGTCACATTCGAGGCGCTGGAGGTATCGGAGTAGATGCTTTCAACGTCGTCCCTCTCGTCCATATTGCACAGGATTGCCGTACCATCTGATAGAGCGAGAGCTGGTGCATCTATCAGACTGGTGGAGCATTTTTCGTGCGAGAAGCATCTTGATTCTGAGTTGTGCTCTGGCTTGAACTCCGTTCGATTAGCGCTCGTTGAGGCATACCCAGAATCAGTGACCGTCTCATATGAGGTTGGATGCCGGAAGATCCCACTCTCGTTTAAGTCTGGCTCAGCTATGTGTGTCAAGTGGCTTCTGGGTGCGCTGGGTGATAGTCCCCATTGAGGACCATGTATGAGCATTGGTATAGGACAATAATCCGGTATTTCAAAACCTTGGATTGAGGGAAGATGTTCCAATACTTTAATTTTGGACCCCTCTGATAGGCAGTACACTTTCCGCCATGTTGTAGTTCCAGGCTCCTCGGATTGGATCTGTTTAAACCTCCAGAGTAAGATTGCGATTACACCGTTGTTGTCTGCGTCGCCTACAGAGCTAGTGCTTGTATACCGATGAGAATCAGGAGTAGCCCGGATTTCTTGCGCGGCCGACAGATTGTCAATTAAGACCTCACCGAGAGCATGCTGAGCCCCGGACAAATATAACTTCTGATTTCTTCCTGCGACTCCTGCAATGTACTTGGCCCACCATGTCGATTCAAACGGCAGCTTCACTTCCGTGGATAGTTGCTGTGGTAGGCTATTCTTGGTCTCGAATGTTTTATATCCATTTTGGTAGAAAATCGTGCGACATGTTAATCTTTCTCCAGAAACAGGAAAATTAAGGTCCAACTTTAGCTCAATATTTGAGCTTGATATGGAAGGAGAAAGAACATTCGTCAACGCCAGGTCAGACTCGATTAGGAGCACTTCAGGGGTCAAAGCTTTTTTCGAATCTTCCAGTGCTGATTTGAGAAACGGAAACAAAGGCTGCCACCTTTTAACGTTGCCCAAGGATGTGAGAGATGGTAATTGGTGGTTTTGGTAGTGTAGCGTCCGAGTGATGGTGTGAGTTCCATTGATGCGAGAGCGCCGATGAGGAGCCGTCACCATCATCTCAAAGTTGAGGCCCTTTACCATGTTAGAGCATAACCGTCCCAACCTGTTCACCGGGACCCAAGAGTTATCAACGTCTAAAGTAGATAAATTATGTGAATCAGTGATGTCTCTGTTTGGCCGGTCTGCTGGAGGCTTTAGCATAGGTGTGAACCCTGGAGATAACAATCAGTCAACACGTTGACTTCCACCAGTACTAGTACTAATCAATAGGACTAGCGACTAAAACGAAGAGCATCTTACAGTTAGGATCGCCCTTTGAAATCGAATTTAAATCTCGCAGATGGGGTGAGACCTGCTTCGCTGTCTTCTTTTTTTCAGTGGCGTTGAAAATGTACTCTTCAATAATCTCATTTCGCTCGTGTGATATCCCCGGACAGTCTGCCTCAAGTGCTAGTAGACGTCAGAGCTTGAGCCTGGCAATGAATGCGGCTTTCCCACCTCGGTGATGTGCGTCTTTAACCTCATCCGACCAGATTGACTCCTCATCTTTGCCGGTGTCCTGCTGCAGTTGTGCCCTGTACTTTAGATAATCGTCTGATAGACGATAGCCTCTATGTTTCTTTTGAGGAGGAATGTCATCATCTCCGTTAGGATAATCATGTGGAAGGGCACGCAAGGACGACCGATGTGAACTAGAGCCGAATTTCGGTGATGTAAAAACATCAATTAATCGCGGCAAACCCTCCCCTGGATTCTGAGCGACTGCGTCAGTCCCATCACTGCTGTCGGTAGATTCAATCCCGGCTGAAGAGGAGGCAGCCGCCCATTGTGAAGATGCGCAAGGGACCCATCCTGAAGGGTCTCTTCCATCGTTGCTGTTGGTACTGCTATTCTGGTTTGGAAAGGAGGCAGCCGCCCACGGTAGAGGGCAGACAGGTTTCCTTTCTGAGTTTGGAGGGCCTCCCCCATCATCGATGTCGGTACTGCTATCCTGGGCTGGGGGTGGAATGGCGCCAAATGATGTGAATCGTGAAGGGGAGACAGGTCGTGTCGATTGTGGAGAATCTCCCATGTTTTAGCACGAAAAAACACACCCCTCACGGTCCTCTTAAGATTGCACAAGATAGTCAATCAATCGAGGTGTTTCCAGAGACTGAAATAAATTCTTAGATGTCGCGCGGGGTTAAGTAGGTTTAGGTAGATGAGGAAAGGAACGAGGCTGGAGAACAGTTAGTTCAGTCGTCACATGGTGCGGCTGTGCAGATACGAGACCCATGTCTCTCTGCTACCTATATTCGCAGTGTAGTGTAGCAAGGCTCCTTTGATCTCAATTTATCCAAAATGGATAACCAGGTGTACTCAGCACACAGACAGCCTACAAAAAACCCAATCACGTAGAAAGGCGAAAGGCCCTTGAACTCACAAGCCAAAGATAGATATACATGAAAACTTATCAGAGGTCAGGGGTTTGATATTCTCTCTCCCAAAGCACAAATCTAACCACAGCAGTCCAATCCATTCATCCCATGTACACCAAACCAACCACCACTAGCGCATGATCCAAACCTGGTATACATACATGTATGTTATGCAAGAAAAAAACAGTTAAACGAGAGAGATAAATACATTCCCCACTCCCATTTCTACATAAAGGTCGATCTAGCAATCATCCGGCTCAACATCACTCGCCCCCTCCTCAAACCCCTCATCCATAGCATCCGGGTTGAGGTTCGCCACATCAGGCGCAATACCATCCTTGTACTTGCTCTTGTCGTGCGAGATGGTTTTCCACCCTGATGGGTGGGATGCGTCCTTGAGGTATTCGGACATGGGGAACTATTTTGTTGTAAAATTAGATTAGTGTATGTTCGATGGTGCGATATATGGGGGAGTAGATATTGCGGGACATACGTAATGGTCGTTCTTTTTCATGGTCACTACCCAGGGCACGTTGTCGAATGTCACGGCGCGGATGCGGAAATAGGTGTTGTCGGGGATTTTGCTGACCTCGCGAACGAAGAGGTCGAGGTTGGGTGTTGGGACGCCGTTGACGGCTGTGATGAAGTTGGTGGGGGAGAGGCCGTATTGGTATGAGGGGGAGCCGCGGCTCTGTGAAGGGTTAACAATTTCTTCCGAATCTGTAGATAAAAGGAGGGGAGGGAAGATACATACCCGTGCACTGACATACACCTCACTATGCAGTTTCGAAATCTGCTGCCGGACAGCATGGTGAGGTTTCTGCAAGACAGCACCGCAGAACACGACCGCACGGTCGGTTTCCAGATCCTGAGTGGGAACGGTAGGCACCTGCACACGCATTTCCTGGCCATTTCGCACAATCAGGGCTTCGAGGGACTCCTTATCGTACATTATGTCCAGCTCCGAGACGCGCGTGATGAGCTGGCCGTCCAGCGTCAGAATAACGTCACCCTCCTGCAGAGAGTCTGCCGCTGAGGCAAAGCCAGGAGGCGGGCAGTCGACCTTGCGGATCATGAAGAGCTGGTGCCGCGAGGGGTTAGATTCCGTGACTCGCTGGATCCACTCTTCTGACACGCCCATGATGCGGGCCTGGCTCATCTGGACGACGTAGCTTTCCATGTTCAAGATGCGCAGTTGCGGGATGGTTCCGTTTTGGATCTTCGAGGTGAGAGGTAGCAGGGATGGTGTCGCGAAGCCCAGGTGGTACTCCACGTCCTTGTGAGAGCTGGGCGTACGCTCTCCCAGGTAGTTCAGCCACAGGGCCTGGACCACACCGTCCTCACCGAGCAAGACGCCGTTGGAGCATTGTCCGCTTAGACCAGTATCGACGGTGATAGCGTCGAGGTTGATCGCGCGGTAGCGGGGCGCCGAGGCGTTGGCCGGGATAGAGACGGTTGTGATGTCTGTCACCGCCGTCTTGGCCACCACGATGCGGAGGTTCTGGTTGAAGCCGACGAAGATGGTGTCTTGTCCCTGCTTGATGTATTCCGTGCTGAGACGGGCGCTTTGCACCGGCGCCTCGACCAGACTGGGATCGTACTGGACGATGCTGTAGTTTTGGAGCGGGTGCAGGAACACCACCTTGGCGCTAACGATGACGGAATCTGCCACGGTGATGTTGATGTCACACAGGTCGTAGGGAACAATCGCCCGCGAGACGACCACCAGACCCTTCTCCGCATCGATCACAAGGCCAAACCCGGTCTTCTTGGCCTGCGGGTACCCGTCCAGCTTCAAGGGCATGGTACACGACACGCGCACAAAGCTGCGCACAATTTCGGCCGCAGCCGAATGCTTCACGCCGTCAAGCTGGATGAAATCCGCCTTACGCGGAACAGGCGGGAGCGCCGGGATGGGATCGGACAGATCGGAAAAGTCCCAGAGACCGGACGTGTCGTTGCGGACGGCCAGTCGCATCTTGGGGTGCCAGTGACGGTCGATGTAGACGATACTGGTGCCGCGGGTGTGCAGATCGCGGATGTGTCGATACGAGATGACCACCCGCGATCGATCAGGGATGGTTTTCATCACCTCCACGAACTCGTCCAGGTTGCGCGTCGGTCGTTTATCTACAGCATCGATGATCCATCCGGAGAGCGTATTCTCCAGCTTGAAGGAACCCGCCGCCTCGCAGACATAGACGCCGCGGGTGGCGATCGCATAGAGTCGCGCTTGCTGATAGGACAGGTTGTGGAATGTGCCGCCGGCCACCGAGACGAACCGATCCGGCGTGATCGCGTGGAGATCGCCCACCTGGCATTCCAGCTCCACATTCTGACCGCCTCTCTGCACGAGCAGGCGGACGGGCTTCCCCACGCTGGTGTCCAGGATGTCATCGAGTCGGATGAACTGGGTGAGGAGCTCTCCATTGACCTGCAGCAGCACATCTCCCTCCTCAAGCTGCCCGTCGGCCGGACCTTCGGGGAGAATGATCTCGGCCACAAGCATGCTGGTCTCCGCAGGCGCCGCCTTGCGGACAGTGGCCTCCCACTCGGGAGTCAGGCCCAATCGCCGGCACTCATCGAAGGGCTTGAGGATCCACTGCGTCTGGATGGTTCCGCGCGTGACCGGTTCTCCCCGGCGGATGCATTCCAGCGCCCGACGGGGGCGATCTAACGGCAGGAAGTAATCCGTGGCAGCGCCGTCGGCACGACCGCCGGCCTGCAGGGCGATCGCATTCCCCGCGATGTTCACCACCGGACTTCCTGAACTACCGCCGCTGGCTGCGGCAGCAGCCTGGATGTAATTGGTATTGAAGTCGCTGTACCCTTCACCATACTCCGGCGCGTTGCGGTCCAGCCGACTGATGACACCAGACAAGATACTCAGCTTCTCACCCGCATCGTTACCGACGACGCGGATCTCCGAACCCACGCGCGCGCCATCCGGCTGCAGCTTCAACTCCGCCAGCTTCATATACCGAATCGCTTTCGGGTCGAATTTCAAAAGACCAAAGTCGTGAACAGGATCACGATAAACCGGACGGACATCGCACTGAAGAAGCACCAACCCGTTAGCGTCTGACATATCTAGCGTCCACAACCCTGCGTACTTACCTCCTCATGGTTATCAAAGATACAATAACCCCAGAACGGACCAGGACACACAACATGTCGATTCGTCAGGATATAACCACGCTCCGCATCAACCACAAAGCCCGTAGCCTGGCTACTCATCGACAGATCGGTATCAAACGAGCAGGTCTGACAGAAATGAATCGACACCACGCTCTTCACGACCTGCTCGATCGTGGCTTGCCATTCCGGCGAATCCGCTTGCGCGGGTCCGATAGCCGACAACCGACCGGGATCCTCCTCATCTTCGATATCGTACACGGTGCCATTGGCCGGGGTGGTGTCACCGGGGGTCAAGGATGAACCCTCGGGTTTCAGCTGCTTGGGCGCGCGGTCCGCGGCGGGACCAATGGAGCTGCGCTTGCGTTTCGCACTCGCGTCGCCATTCATATCCATTCTCCTGATGACCGAACAGGTACGGGGTCTCCGGGGAGAGCGGGCGAAGGAGCACAATGACCGCGCCGACGTTTGATGGGGGAGCTTCGTGGTAAGCGCGACGGCGTGGGGTCGGCGGGAGAGGATTCGAGGCCAATCGAGGGATCGGGGACGCGAGAGACGAGCCGACGACCGGGGCGAAAGATACGAATAGACAGGCGACCAGGGGGAATTTAACGAAAGTCTAGAAGAATCAAAAGGGGCGCTTGAGGAAGTGATATAGGGCGCTGATGGCGCGGCTGCAACTGAGCTCGCGCTAGTATGACTAGAGGTAACTGTAGTAGCGACAGACAAGCTCCTTCTGCAGGTAGGGAGCCAAGCACAAGACATTCACGAGACCCCCAAGAAATTGAGAGTTGCAGAAGAGAGGGGGGGAGGAGTGGGAGGGGGTTGGAGAAGAGAGACAGGTGAATGGATAGGAAAATGAGGGTGACCAGGATGTGGACAAGAAAAAGAAAACCAAGAGACAAACAGCTTCCTCAGGCTGCGATCGAGGACGAGGCGGAAATGAGCGAGAGTTGAAAGGGCGGAGAGGGGAATGGCAGGCCCTGATTGGCCCATCGCTCTCTTTCCGCTCGGCAGATCGCATATCTTAAGTCATCCGCTGCGGGTCGGCGCATCTTCTGACCATCCCATGGGATATTTTGAGAGCCTACGACATATGTTGGGGAACTGATTTTCGTTTTTGAAAAGCATTCGGTTAAACGGATGTCTCCCACCGAGCGGATATACAGAGTGGCACAGCTTGTTTGTGTGCGGGGGTAAGAGGGGGTCTGCTGCGCGCGTCACAGGAACCACACTGGCGATCCATACTGGGGGCAGATTAATCACAGGGAAATTCTAATGCTCAAGTTGCCAATATATCTAGCCAACGTCTACTGTACATTCCCCACCATCCCCGCAGCTGGAGTTTAAAAAATATTTGCTCCCCACGACGACGCCACCGGTCAACCCGCATCTTGTTATGTCGGGACTAGACCCGACGAGACCCGACGAGACCCGTGCGCGATCCCTCCTCTGACCACCGTATCTGGGTCGGGAAAACCAGAATCTTTGGGGACCCCAGATCGATCAAACTTTGTAGCTCATAAATCCGGGGCTAGGTCGACGAATTCGTGGCCAACTTTGTAACCGATTTTGTACAACTTGTGTTGAAAGTAAGGGAATTCTGCTGCGCTGCGGCCAGACGTGCCTATCTGGGGGGGTCTCAGATCGATCTTTGTCTAGCTATACAGTAGACCTCACAGTCGGGTAGATTCTAACTGAACTGCCGCATTCCAATATAAAAGAGAAAGGAAGAGAGAAGAGAAAGGTAGGCATCGCGATATCCGCGAGATGGTAGAGTTCAGGCAGCGGGATCGGTAGCGGGGGAAGGACTGGGCCGGCCATTCCCCTGACCCGCCTGGGGGCTCGGTTGAGAAGCACCACTGGCGCCCGGTGCCGCGCGAGGAAAGAGCTCCGCCAGCCGCTGGTAGATCTCATTCATCGACGTCAAATGTGGCGGTGGGCTCATGATAGCGGGTGCAGACGGAGGCGCGCTGCCGGTTTTCTTGGAACGGTCGGCAAAGGTCGCAAGGTACGCCAGGTTGTACTGTAAGCGCCGCATGCAGTCGATGTATTCCTGGCTGGGCTTCTGGCCCTGCCCCTTGGTGGCGTCGCCCGCCTGATCGGCCGCCGGCGACGGATGACCATCCTGCGACCCTTGCTGAGCAGGTTGCGGAACACCAGCTTTGCCCGCACTCTGGAGGTTGAGCACCTCTTGTAATAACATCGAGTTAATATCCAAAAGTGTAGCGACCCGCGCCTTGTCGCGCGCGGCCGTCGAGGATGCTTGCGCGGAGGGTTGAGGAGGTGCCGGCGAGGCGGTGGCCGACGACGCCGGTTTCTGCGGTTGCCCGGGACCCATGTTGTTGGCAGGCATGGAAGCCATATTCTGCGGCGCGGCGGCGGCTGTGTTTGGGGGGTAGGCGGCAGATGAGGTGGCCTGGGGTGGGAGGAACTGAGCCATGGTGGTAGGCACTGCTGAGTGGGCAAATTGAGTTGGGAAGTTCGGGGGAGGTGCTGCTAGACCGAAGAACACATCCTTGGCATTAGTTGATCAAGGCCATAATCGGGCATTCCAAGGGAAAAAATGCACCGGGAAGACAGAAAAGAGAGAGACAAACATACCAGAAGGTTGTTGGGGGAAGCCCGCGGGCATCATGGGTCCACCAGGTTGCATAGGCATAGCACCGAAAGGATGTTGTTGCTGGGGATGAGAGGGGGTGGGAGGTTTTTGTGGAGGATAGGAGGGGATGGGATTCGGATAGTAAGGAAATTGTTGGCCCGGGGGACTCTGGGAGACAGGAACAGGGTAACCCGTCTGCATTGGGAAACCCTGAGGCGCGTTGGGATCCATTATTCTTCCTGGCCGGTGCGGTAATCACCTGGGTAGTGAGGGATGAGTTAGGAGGTGATTGTCGAGGTGCAGCCAATGAGCGGATGGAGGAAGTTGGCCCGATAATCCAGTCCAGAACGAGAATAATGTCGAATCAATGTAGACAAAGCGAGCGAGACGATCTAGGATATAGACGGTGCTTCGGAGAGTATGCCAAGAGGCAATGAATATATCGACACGATAATGAATTTCCAGCCCAAATGACCGAATCGTGGAAAGAACGGGGAACAATGAGAGATCCTCTAGCTTGAATTGCGATCGCAGCACGGACGGACGTGACGGGGTGGATGGGCTTTGGGCGGTTAGACTGGGGGGATTTCTCTGGAACGGTTGAAAATCAGACTCAGCAGTCACAGAATCATCGATAAAGCATGATTGATTGGTTGTAGACAAGACAGAAGGAGGGATAAGGGTGGATGATACTGAGTAGTACCTACGGTAGCTTCCCAGAAGAGTGAGTCGATGGGAAAGAGATTTGCTGCTGATCGGGGCGGGAAGCCTGGGAGCCTTGGGGGGATTGGCCACCACGATAAGTGCCGAGTCTATATGTGCTATTTCACTGAACATTATAACCAGCTACACTCACTCAAAATACACATTTCAACAATAAAAGGGAGTAGAAGAATTTACGGTTTGCATGCGCTTTAGTATCAGTTAGATACAAGACTTGATATCGATGTCTAGGGCCAATCTATCCCAAGACGAGCAGTCTCCAGCACAACACTTGGTTGATATGAATCATGTGACGGGCTGCGGAGAAAAAGGAACCCGTTCATTGCAGTATATATACCTTCACATAACCGGTTGGCTTGGAAGATTCCTCATACATTGTATGGTGAAGTTAAACCCTGATTATGGTGATGCTCAAAATTCTAATTGAACATTCAAGTTATAGCGTTATGGTTGTTGATATGGAGACTCATATTTGGTGTCAGCTTATGGAAAAGTATATAGAATTTATATATCTTCATGGTTCCTCTTTCTACAAACTATATATTGTTACATTAAACGTCTAATAAAAGATCTAGACTAGCATAAATATTGACTACAGATCACTATCTCATTTCAAAGACATACAAACGACGCTCTACCCCAACACTATTCCCAGTATAATTGTACTGATTAGTCAGTGTTCTCGAAGTCCGCCTCATCTTAGCCTCGGCGAGTTTGGCCCGGCTGACGGCGCTTCTACAGCATCATGCAACTTTCTCTTGCGTCAGAACGTGTCAATTGTATGTCTTGAACATCTTGTCAATACAATTCACAGCATCTAAGAGTTCTTGGAGGCAAGTGAAAGCCGTTGGAATGCACTCCCTTTCGACTAATCTTGTACATGGAGCGTAAAACCTGGCAATTCTTACCATCCCATTCTGGGGAATGTGGAAGACCTCGACCGATGGCTGTCGGGGATGCCAACCACCAAGCAGATCAGGGATCGGTTGAGGATACTTAACTCTGTGGCTACTCATGACTTAGAGATAACCAGCGGAAGTAGGTTCTTGCTCCTTTCTCCATGAGCTCGGTCGTCGGTCCCAATGAGTCCTACTATATACCGATGCACACGGGCACAAATGTTTTGATCGTTGCCAAAGATTTGACTTCTTGAGTGAGGTGGACAGAATAAAGGGAGGTATAACTTAAGGAAGTAGTGAATTGCCTAGATGATGCGAAGACACTGTGAAGCACTCAACGGATGGGAGATCAAGGCTCATCCAAAACACCCGCGGGGCGTGTGACGGTAGCGGTCGAGAAATTGTCACTTGAAACTGTCCTCAACGGAGTACGTTGAACAGTACGGGGTGCTCCGTACTGGCGATCGGCCCCGGTGTGTATCTCACCTAGGCACCAAATGATATATCACCTCGTTCCCCATGAGCCAGAGGCATGATCCCAGCATCCCAGCGATCACTTCGACGGTCATCATCGTCGATCGCACCTATCCTGATATAAATCCAGCTAGCCACAATGGTCCCAAGATTACGGAGTACACAGCAGTCAGTAGTCGGGAGATCTTCCGAAGGATTTCATAATTGCCAATGATGATATGCACTTTCACTAATAAATTTTGTGTTCTATCAGGGAGCCGCAGCCCCGGGCCGTGTCTTGTCCGCCACATAGTTCGGAAAGAAATAGCCAAATCGTACTACTATATTTGGACGGTGTCATCCAGTCACTGTGTTTACACCGCCTCCCAGGGGACCTTACAAGGCTTCCATCATACCTACTCGATAGCAGAGTGTCCAGGAGGACCCACATCCGATGGGGCTTATCTACACCCCAGATCCATGTCCATGGCGTCCGATACACCCCTTACTGCAGGAACTATCGAAAGGGCAGCTGGCGAAGCCTCCTGCGATGAATGCCCCGAGGTGGCACAGGGGAGGATATGGCAGCTGGCAAAGCTCGCGTGTAGGTTTTGACGTGGAATCAGTTTTCCTCGTCTGGCCAGTTTAATTCCGAGAACTATGGAATTTGTACCACCAAGAATGTGAGGTAAAGATGTCGACTGCGATGGGCTTCAAGATCTTCAACCAGGTACGGAGTAAGTACCGGAGACCCTCATCATTGATCCACACGGGGATGCCGACTGGACTCGCAAGCACCGGGTGATCGACTGCTGCCGCGGCAATCAATAGTCTGGAGTACAGAGCCGCTGCCCCGGAAACTCGACCGACCTTACCCCGTAAGTCAGTTGCGTTTCCTGCTGACAGTAGGATTGTGAGTTAGTACTATGATTCTCCTACCAGTATGGGTCCCGCACCAGTTCCACCCCACATGATTATAGTAGCGCTGGGTGGTTTTGTCTCGACGGTATACTTGTGCATGCACAGTACATATGCCTGAAGCCCTGACATCGACCATACTCCTATGGGTAGGCTCGATCGCATCAAACTACCGACCGGAACCCGTCTCCGACCCGCCGCAATGTACGAAGTTCCGCCACGATGACAAGTCAGATTATTTTCCTTCCTATGCTCTGACACATCAGACACCGACTTACTCGCCCCGATCAGTAGGAAGAGAAAAAAAAAAAAAAAGAGCCAGGGGAAATATCTATTATTGTACGTCCTAATGGAACCTTTTACAGCGAGCGAGGTAACCGCGAGTTAGAGGGCTTGAGGTTTTGAGCGGGATGCTAGACTGCGAATAAGAAGTTTGCGGTCATGTCGGAACGACGCCCTCAGCGCATCTCCAGAATTCAACGTCCATGCCCAATGGTGTCTGCCCAGGAACTTTGAAACACTCCCCTAACACCAGGGAGCGTTGCAATGCAGCCTGTTTTGTGTGGCCAGCTGACTGTCATTCGTCGCCGATCTGCAGAGATCCTGGCTCGGTACGACACTAACACATGGTGTGCATGAGATAGTCGTCCTTCGAGGCCGTGATGCATCATGCTGGCAGCAACGTCTACGGCAGTGATTTCCCTGATTGATCGAAATCGCATAAAAAAAAAAAGAATCAAATAAATAAAAAAACCACTCTCTACTCCCACTCTGCGAAATAAACATCTTCCGAATGTGGCGGGCCTAACTGTGCCAACACTTGGCACAGTTAGTCGTCAACCTTTTGTGTTCATTTATTTGAATCTTTATCTTTATTCTTGTTCAATTTTCCCTTTTTGCTTTTTGCTTTTGCAGAATGAAATTTGGTCAGCACTAATCCTATAATTAATATTATTGATTAGTTTTTCTCCTTCCAATCTGTCGAGTTAACTAGCGCGGTTAGCGACAGCGGGAGACGCTCTTTTCATCTGATGCCCTATGTCGTGTCACATCCGGTCTTCTTTCACGCAAGCTTTTTCCGATATCGACAATGGGCCCTTAGTCTTGACTCCAGGGTACTGAAACCAAATTGTTTTACCAATAATCCAGGGCCCCAGACCTTCTTCGATGCATGCGCTGGCAAAAGGACAAGGGAAAGCGGTTTCACCCACGTCATTTGATGCCAAACAAACTGCCATACTTGTCGGGTCTTGCACTACTGGTGGGGTCAAAAGTGGGACCATATCGACATTGGCATTATTTAATATCACTGGCCGGCCTACGAGGCTTTGGCCGCTTGTTTGCATCCGGTTGGCTAGGCCCATGTATATCAGATGTAAAGCCGCAGCTGAAGGATCGATATTGCTTATGATGGTCCTGACTCCACAGATGTCATTTGGCCACCGATCTCCCCCCACCGGCCGCCAGGAGGAACTCCTGCTATTCCGTACGTCTATCAATGCCTGACAGCCGCTGCACCCGGCAAGGAGGTCATTGAAGTGGCAGGAGAAAGCAATCGAAGAAAAGGAGACTGTCATTACAATAGTGCATCATTGAACCCACTTCATCGGACAACTCCATCCAGTGGGGCCCTTATGGAATGGTCAAAAGAACCAGTACCATGGGAGGCTCGCTGCGTCGCCCCGTCTCGAGCGATCGTGCCGGCTGGTTAACTTTCTGTCACCGACGTAGTGGGTTGGAAAATCCTATCGAATAGTTCTCGAAACAAAATGTAGTCGATCTCCCTTCCCATTGGGTTTCCGGTGATATGTCTCAGTGGAGCAGATGAAGAAAGAGTCCACTCTGGCAACTAACTCAAATCGCTTTTCCACCTCCCCCGATCTGGGCCGCTCGGTTGGGAGAAATAACTAACTATTGCGCGTCGGTAATTACAATTACCACCACAGCTACTGAGAAGAGACAAGAGAACATGCCACTCTCGAATAGTCTCTACCCGAGATGATCATCACTGAGGAGAAAAATGGCTGCTGCAACAGGGCCATTAGTTCGGACGCCCAATGCAGCGGGGAGCGGGAATGGGGGGACCCAGTGTGCCTGCAGTGCCACATAGAGCCACGCACATTAGTTGGACTTGGACTCTGGGCTGTCTATACTCCCCCCTCCAATCGACTCTTTTTTTAGACCTCGTTTCTTTTTTATTGCTCGTTTACGCTTTCCTTGTCCAGTCCGTATTTCCCTCCCCGTTCCCTTCCCGGGGGGAAGGGAGACGGTGATCCGACGAGCTTCCAGATTCTGATATAAGACCCATCGGACGCACAAAGGCTTTGTCCTATGAGCTTATTCGAACTATAAAAGTTTCTTTTTTTTTCATTCTTTTCTTTTCTCGTGACAAATAGATGGTCTCGCCTCTTATACATAATCGTCACCCTACCTATACATCTGGGATCATCTCCAACTTTGCTTGCTGTTTGGAAACACCATCTTGCTTGTTTTGAACAGAGGTTGATACATGCATTGAGAAGTGTATCTGTTCATTCTCTGTACCTTCATATCTCCCTGGCATCTGGAGTCTTTCGCTGTGGTCGTCAGTTCCACAATAGCCAGTGCCTCCACCTCGCATTGGCCTGTCTTCTATTCCCATGCACCCATACCACACGGTAAGAAGCTATCTATCATCCGTTGGAACGTCATTCGCTAATAGAATAGCCACACACAACATCAACCATGGATGCTCCGCTGGACGGATTGACCTCCATGCACTTCGCCCTAATCTACATGGACGAAGATGGCAAATTGCGGTTCGAGGCCTCGCCGTCCATCGTAAACAACTGCCAGACCATTCTCTCCCCGAATGTCACGGACAACTTTCTCCGCGCGGTCGCCATGTCCGGGCAAGGAGTACCATCCAAAGTCACGGGTGAGTTTTGTTGATCTGGTAGAGAGGTGGATGCCCAGAAGATTGACATGTACAGACGAAACAGGCTCCAAGAGCCCTCTATCACCACAGACCCCTACAGATGGAAGTGACTGGAGTGGGCGATCCTCAATGTACGGCCCCTGTCTCTCTGTGATCGCCATCCGACAGACTGACCGTGGATAACAGGCTCGACGTTCAACAACCCAAGCGAAAGCGAGTGTCTCACGAATGCGTCGTCCCCATGAACATCAACTGCCACCAGAAGACGATGCTGCCAGTGCGCAACCAGACGATGTTGCGCCGATATTACGAAAAGGCCTTTGAGAGCCTGCAACAGATCAATTGCCGCATCCTAGCCAAGGCCTACGTTAAGCTAGTCGAACCGCGCAAGCAGGTCAACTTTCCCTACAACGGACGCAAGATCATTGCCGGCTCCTCGCAGCAGTTCGACCCAGAGCTGACCAAGCCGGCTTGGTGGCCTTCGGGGGTAACGCACCGCGAGCCCGATCATCTTCTCAAAGCGGGTGGGTGTTACCTTAGGCGGGGAGGGACATGAAGGACCGGTTTAGCTGACGCCAGTGCCACAGAACGAATTCGCCTTTTGGTTCACATTCTTTGCGAGCTCCGGGGGAGCCACAATATCACTGTTGAGAAGCTGCGCGAGGCAGACCAGTCGATCCGGCGGCAGATCCTTCCCGCGGAGCGGTTACAAGTTCTCGACGAGATCTATCACGTCCGCGAGGAGGAGGAGCGATATCTCGATGGGCGAGCCGGTATGTCGACTTTCCATTTCCTCAGAACCAGCAGAACACTACTAAAGCAGACACAGATGCTCAATCAGCAGTCTGCGTCTACCGAGTCCATCTCCCCGACCTAGACTCCCACACACGCTCCCCCAGTTCCTCATTGACAAGAGACCTCAACCCCGTATACCGCAAAGAAGTCCCCGACATGGAATCCCACACCTCCGTCTTCCCCTCCACAGGCGGCTCCCCAGGCAGCGACACCACCACCACTCCCCGGAACAGCGCCAAAGACAGCAGCGCCAGCAGCAGCGTCCACGCTGGCTGGGAGCCCTGCGCCCCGTCCCTGCCCTCCCTCAGCACCCCTACCAGCGCGATGTTCCCCTCGGAGGACGCCCACGGTTACCCCATCAAATACTACAACGACGCCCACCACGCTCCCCACCATGGGCCCCACCACCAGCACCACCCTCTGCCGGTTATTGGTCTCCCCGCTTCTGACATGGGTGCATGCACCAACCCGTACTACTTCAATTATTGAGTTTCTTTCTTTCTTTTTCATTCTTTATACAATTTCTTGTGTTTCTGGTTATGTCCACCCTTTGAGTGGTGGGTTTGGATTTTTTCTTCAGCGGGCGTGTCTGGAAGCGAGCGTGGTTATAATTACCCATCTCATTCTATCTATTTCTTTCTCTACAACTGGCCAGACTACCTACACATACAGCATCTGGGTATCTCATTGGGGGATCTTCTTTTTCTTTTCTTTCCGTTTGCCCCCTTCCTCTTGGTTCTCCTTTCTTTTTTTTTTTTTCGGTTCCGCAGCAATTGGACGGACATGGTAATAATTGGGATGGAGAAAAAAAATGCGCGGAGTCTGGGAGTATAGCCTTCATACATAATACCTCGTTGCGAGCGGAGCTCTCGAGGAGATAGAGGACCATGCATCTTATAGAGATCTTAATGTGCGGTGGATGAGGATTTTGGATGCCCCGCAGGTATATACATAGATCGAATAATTAGAATATAAGTATCATATAGAGAGACACAAAGAGGGAAATAGAGAGAGATAGAGGTTGTAGTGAGGATGATACAGTGGAATACTACCTACTAGTAACTCACCGGCCTAGACCTCATCGAATCCTGGCACCAGGTCCAAGACAAAAATAACCCCGACCACCACAGAGCTGTATTAGTTTAATTTAGTTCAGTTACATCAGATTCATGCCTCACCACTGACAGGTTCCTCTTTAGGGTTGTCGTGAGTCAGGCCAGTCCGTCATATGGGGAATCCAACCAGCCGTCAGGAACCTAAACGGGGTTCGGTTCCGGAAACGGTCGTATAGCACGACCCTTTCTCTCCCTCTTCTGTCTCTTTATATTTATAGTGTACGCACCGTCGCACTACCCGTCTCTCGCAATCCCCGGGTGGCGTTTCAACCCATGTTCGTCCCTCAGGGCTTGTCCAATGATCAATCCCTGGGTTCTCACCCCGCTCCTTTGCACGTAGCCAAGCCAAGCCGGGCTGTCGATCGCCAGGGACAGTGGCCGTTCCTGAGAGGGGATGGTTTGTTTCGTAGTTGGCCTGATTTGGTAGTGGGCATTGTTCCTGGTATGGATAGTATCGATTGTAGATAATATCTAGTAGAAGATAAACCGACTCGGTACTAACCGAACCGATCGATACCTCGTGCACCTCAATTCCAGCCCTCTCGGGACCTGATCTTGCAGGAAATTCCAGACCATGTCTAGAATCATCTCAGAGACACAACAATGTGGGTCTGCGACGCTGCAGGGCCCGAACGGACCGGAAACGGCAACGCCACGATAGTTCGACACATAGTTAACGGACGAAGGAGCTGACTGACTGCGGGGGGCCAAGAGGAGAGATAGATACTGTAAAGGGCCAAATACCACGTTTGATCAAGGTGTCACTGTCTTCCCACCCCTCCCTCTCTTATCTCGCTTGGATTGTGTTCCTGCATTTGAACCAGATTGTCAGAATAGTTTAGTGGCATGCCAATCTCCCAGTTCCAGGGGTCTAGTACCCAGACGATGTGGACTCTCCGACGCCCCAGCGTTGCAGGTTCCAGCGCCCAGGGTTACAGGTTTCCTTTCCGCCCGACGGAGTAAATTGGATCGACACCATGGTCAGGAATTCTTATTGGTGATGTTGGTTATAAAGGGTCATCGGGATCCTGGGACCTGGGAAGAGGTGCGAATCACTGCTTATGAGGAACCACAGTATTGTGTGGTCAGACCTTTTCTTGTCTTTGTTCTTTTCTTTCATACTTGATAATTATAATTTGATTGTCTGAAGTGGTGTAGAACACAACAAGCGATTAAGATCTGACCGAGAATTATACTCGTGGGTTGAAACCTCAGGCCGTGGACCCAAAAACTCCGATCGGCTTTGATTAATTCTCTTGTTGTTCTCCGGCCACCTCATCGCTTCATCGCTTCTCCCTTCTCGACTCGCTTCTTCCTTTCCTTCTCTTCCATTACTTTGCTTTTCCTTCTCCGTGTTGGGTTTTGTTTCGAGGACTCTCGCCCTCTTATTAGGTTAGACCCATTGGTTGATTACTTGAGCTGTCCAACCTTATCGTCATCCCTCAATTCGCCGATCAACCTCGACAGGATCCCCCAGAAAAACAACAGCAAGAGAGAGAAGCAACAGATATGTGTGGTCGCCGTATCCTCGTCAGGTGGAACGGAATTTGAAATAGTCGTTCTGTGTGTGTTCTGATTGTCGGCGCATTCTGCGGAGAAGCCCCTCTGTTACGACCTCCCGCGGGCGTCCCTCGCAAGTGTCGATCGATCCATCCTCCTCGCTTTCCCCTTCCTGTCGCATTCCTTCTCCGACAATGCTCACCCCTCGAAAAGCCCTCTTTGCGGCGCTTGTACTCATCGCCTTCGTCGTCTATCTACGGTCGTCGCACTCCACCTCCTCCGTCCCGTCATCGGCCCAGGTCCAGGTACCCGATGACGCCGCCTCCGATCACAGCCGAGATAAACCGGGGGACCAGACTCAAGGACAGAAGAAGGGTACCCTCCAGAAACCCCTCGCTCCGCTGCCGAGCGCCCCTCTGCGCGACCGCCTCCGCTACCATTTCCCATACGACCTGGACGGTAAATTCCCCGCGTATATCTGGCAGACGTGGAAATACACACCCGCGTCGCTGTGGTTCGGGGAGGAACTGCGGGACCCCGAGGCCAGCTGGACCGAAATGAACCCGGATTTCGTCCACCAGGTGGTCCCCGACGACACCCAGCACTACCTGATCAAGTATCTGTATGGATCGGTGCCCGAGATCTTCGAGGCCTTTGAGTCGCTGCCCCTGCCCGTCCTCAAGGCCGACTTCTTCCGGTACCTGATCCTCCTCGCGCGCGGCGGCATCTACAGCGATATCGACACGACGGCATTGAAGCCCGCCGCCGACTGGCTGCCCGAAGCTCTCGATCTGCGGTCCATCAGCATGGTCATTGGCATCGAGGCGGACCCGGACCGGCCGGACTGGCGGGATTGGTACTCGCGCCGGATCCAGTTCTGCCAGTGGACTATCCAAGCTAAGCCGGGCCATCCCATCCTCCGCGACATCGTGGCCTACATTACGGAGGAGGCGCTGCGCATGAAGAAGCAGGGCGTGCTCCAGAAGGGCAAGATGGACAAGACCATCGTCGAGTTCACCGGACCGGCTGCCTGGACGGACGCCGTCTTCCGGTTCTTCAACGACCCCGAGTACTTCGACATCGAGTCGGGGTCCGACAACATTACCTACGAGGATTTCACTTACCTCGAGGACTATCGCAAGGTGGGCGATGTGGTGGTGTTGCCTATTACTAGCTTCAGTCCGGGTGTGGGACAGATGGGAGCGGGGGATATTGAGGATCCGATGGCGTTTGTGCAGCATTCTTTTGACGGTATATCTCCCCTTTTCTGTCATGAAGGGTGCATGGACTGACTGAGTTATTGCAGGAACATGGAAAACCGACCCGTCGCTATAATGCCTGAGTGCATTTTCACAGCACTGTCTTCTCATTGACCGAGCCCCGTTGACTCGGCGAGTAACAGACTCACGCGGCAGCCCTACGAGATCTCTGTCGACTTTCGACGGACTGTACGAGGCTTCGGGACTCAACAGAGTAAGAGGGATAATATCCCACACTCGGGTCTACTCTAGAATAACCACACTCCCCCACATCCACCACCCTCCATCAACCGCCAAACCCGAACCAACACACCTCTACACAACTACAACTACAATTACAACTACGAATACAACCATTACCTTCACCCGCCTTTAACCAAACATCCCATTCTCATCATCCAAAGCAAAACAACAACAGCGCCGCCAAAAAAGACAGACCAAAAAGCCTAAAACATCAGCTTGAGAACTAATTATATGCTCCGCTTTTTGCCGCATGGACACGAGAATGAATGTACGATGGGACTTCTTTTCTTTGTTTCAAACTTGATATGTGCTCTGCCCACCAGGAGTGGGTGCGCGCAGCCCAAAACAGCACAGCACAGCGCAGCAGCAGCATAAAAGCAGCATGTAGCCAGCTAGCCAGCTAGCTAACTGACTGACTGACTGGATATTGCCTACCTACCTCCTACCTCTTTACCTAATGATCTATCATTGATTTATCGATTCACCCATCTATTTAATATCTTGGATTCATGGATAGGAGGAGTAGTGTTGAACCTAAGTGTATTATACGTGTACGCAATGACTAATTCTTATTATCATCATCTTATTATGTTTTCGTTATTATCTTGTTTTCATTAACCAAACTACGAAGTTAGGTATCTATATAAGGATGTTAACGTGATATCAATCTTACTGGTTTACTTAACTCCGGTAACTATGCATGGAGTACTGGTGGTAGTAGTATGTGGAGTAGAGGGATTGGGAATGGGAATAGGGATGTTTCATAACATGTACGGTATCACTGACTCTGACCACTCCGTATATTAGATAGGGTAGAAAGAAAAAGGAAAAAAAAAGGAAAATTAAAGGAAAGTCATAACTCGTGTCTCACATTATAGTTGACTGACTAGATATAATATAGATAGATTGATAAACTGACAAATAGAAAGAAAGGAATAAATACAATAAACCGCACCCCAACAGTTGGAGTATAACCTTGCTTTTGCTTTGCAACCATGTTGAAGAAAGATATTATGAACAGGTGGGATTATACCGCATGACTAGATTGTGTATATGTCTTGTCTTGTCTCCTTGGGGTGGGATTATCTGTCTGTTGTTGGTTGTCTTTTTTTTTCTTCCTTCCTTGGAGAACCCTGTTGTCACTCAGGGTGAATTTCGTTTGGATAGATAGTCGAGAAGTAAGGTAGTTGGCTCAGATCAACCCTGGAGACAACAGACGGTAGACAGCAGACAGGGAGACAAGGACAACAAGTACCGATTATGGTACCGATTATGCGAATTAGGTAGATAATTCCGTAAGACATGATCATATATAGTAAAACTCGTACTCGTGATACATTATGTCCAAGCTGTACATATATGTCCAAGCTGTACATTCACGCAGACAATTCAATACAGGAAGAGTATAAGAAGTAGAAGAAGATGGGTAAGTGAAGCATATTAACAGAACGGGACATAGCCGGGTTCGTGATCGTTGATCGGGGCCCCCCTCGAGGGCGAAGGAGTATTTCCAATGTTGAAAGGTTGAAAGGTTGAAAAGATGAGAAATGGTGGATCGGTATCCAAAGTACTGGCGAGCACGGAACGCGGGTCATGGGAGTTTGCAGGAATGGAGGTAAGGCATGATCAGGACAAGTAGGAGTGGCCCGTATGCAGGGCGGTTTGTCCGATGGGCGGTTTGGCGGATTCCGGGAAAATGTATAGAACGCCAGCTTGCATCGTCCCCCATTCCACGCCAAGCATGCCCCGGCTGAAACCCCTATCGGCGACGGGAGTGTCCAGGCGATGGGTCGATTACCTCGGGCGGCCTGCGCCGAGACGGGTTCATCCTGTAGATTGTTCCAAAGGTATACACCGGCTCACTAGAGGATCAGAAATCGCTGAACAGAACTTCGTATTTCCTCTTCAGGTCTTCGGAGTAGATGGCCTGGTTCCGCAGGTCGGGGTCGGGATATTCTTCGAAGTTCCCCGTGTCGGCGGGGTGGTCGACGCGCGGGAGGATGGGTCCCTTCGTGCGGCGGTGGAAGAGATCGTCCCAGTTGATGCCTTCGAAGAACGGGTGCGCCTTGACTCGACCCGAGCCGCCCGAGATGTAACCCAGTCGCTCGGTGGGGTTCGTCTTGCACAGCAGGGAGATGATGTTCTGGGCAGCCCCCGACATGCCCTGTGGGTACCGGACGTGGCCCTCGACGATCTGTTCGTAGATCCGCATCGGGTTCTGGTCCCAGAACGGCGGCTGGCCGACTAGGAATTCGTAGATGAGGATGCCCAGCGCCCACCAGTCTACCGCTAAGCCGTGACCGCTGTTGTGGATGACTTCCGGGGCGAGATACTCGGGGGTCCCGCATAAGGTGTACGTTTCGCGGTCGCCGATCTGTTTCGCGAATCCGAAATCGACGAGCTTGATGTGGCCTTCGGCATCGAGGAGGATGTTCTCTGGTTTGAGGTCGCGATAGACCACTCCTTCGACGTCGTGGAGGAATTCGATGGTGAGACAGATCTCCGCCGCGTAGAACCGGGAGGTGTTCTCGTTGAATCGACGTGCACGCCGTAGATAGCTGAAAATCTCGCCACCAGGGCAGTATTCCAGCTGCAGCTAGTTAGCGATAGAACGGGGTCGCACACAAGGAGTATCTCCATACCAGCATATGTAAGCTTTGATCATCGGCAAAGGTCGCGATCAACGCCGTGATGAACGGGTGGCCTGACACCGCCGCGAGCGTCTTGCGTTCGTTGCGCACATGTTCGACCTGCTTGAGTCTGATCACTACCGGCAGACAGCGGTTAGTACAAGACAACGCACGAAGAAACCAGTTGGGGGCGGGTTACCATCGGCCTTGCGTAATGTCTTCAGCGCATACACCTGGTTCCGACGCTCCTGTGCATTCTTCAGATTGACGAGCCAGACGCGAGCAAACGTGCCTGGCGCCAACCATGCGTCAGTATCGGGACCCGCAGGCGCAACGGGGCGCAAAGAAACTAACCCGTGCCGAGTGTCTTCAGGAGTCGAAAGTCTTGCAGGCTCAGACTGCGGCTGGACAGGCCCAGCTGCTTCTCCTCCGGTCGATCGGTGATGACAAACGGGCTCAAGTGTCGCTGGTGCATCGGTGTGGGTCGGGGCGAGGGTACCGCGGGCGCCTCATGCTCGGGGATGGGGCCCGATCGGACTTCGACGGGGCTCTTGGGTGTGGTGGATGATGGATCCTGCACCTCAGTGGGTGGCGAGCGGTCGACGGTTCCAGTAGCCATTGAGACAACAAGGGAGCATGTCTCGGACGACCGAGCCACTGTATAGGGAGACGAGGAACACGACAATTGAGGCAGCGCACCACCGGCGGCCCCCTATACAGAATTGCGAGGTGGAGGTGAGAGGAATCAGATGAGGACTGGCATTTACGACAGCGATGGGAGAATAGTGGCCATCCGTATAGGAAGGAGTCGCGACTAATGGAGTAAAACAAGTAGGCTGAGTGGGAAGAATAAGAGACGTCGTAAGAAACGACCAGACAAAAGGCGCGGATCTCGCGGGATGGGAGGGATGGGATGGGGAGAAAGACGAGAAAGAGAGAGAGAGAGAGAGAGAGAGAGAGAGAGAGAGAGAGAGAGAGAGAGATGAAAGAAAGGTTGAGCGGGAGAGACTCTGACGTTACCGGGTCTGGCGGGGCAAAATGACACGCGCAGCGCAATCGGTTGGCGCTCGGGGCCCTCTCCATTATCGCATCCAACCTTCTTCCCCACAATCATTACTCGTTTAATTAAGAGAAGGCCGGCCAAGTTTTAGGATGTATCGATGCTATTCGTATGCAAGTAACAGAGAGACGTGCAGGTAATTTGGCAGGTTATATGTATAGTATACAGGCCGGGTCCCGCGGAATGAATGACAGTTATGATCACCCCCACAATCCCACATGCCTTTCTCCAATCTGGTCCGGTCGGAAGAAGCCTGATCGACAGACTGATCGACTCGAGGCAACCGTCTCAGGATGCATCGTGATCGGAATGCTGGTGATTCCTCGCTGCGGGACGGGACAGAAGCAAATCGCGTACAATTCCACCGATCCTCCCCGTAATCCACATGACCAGTCTTAGCCGGAGCTCTTCGAGTTGAGGATCAAGCCCACGATCAACCTATCGAGGTTAGAGGGGAACGGTGATACCATCGGAATGTGTGTAGACATACCCGTAGAGACCGAGCACTTCTCCGAAAATCAAGATGAGAATCATTCCGACGTATACTCGGGATTGCTGCATGTATGCACGGACGCCCTGGGAGATTGTCAGCACCTTGGGGTTGTATGTAGACCAGCATGCCGTGCTTACCGCATCTCCGACAATTCCAATGGTGTATCCAGCAGCCACGCCCGCGAGGCCTACCGAGAGTCCGGATGCCAAATGCATGAAGCCTCTGCCGAATGTCAGTCCCATCACTACCATCCTATGTATTTCTTCCTTTCTTTTTTTTTTCAAGTCTGTTGGGTGGTGGCGTACGTGTAGAGGCTCATGTTTTGGGTCGGGGGTGGTGCCAGATCACCCGCGATGAGTACGGCAATGACGAGACCGTAGACGGCGATGATACCGGACATGACGACGGGAATCAGCGACTGTTAACATTAGCCGATGCACTCTAACATAACAGCGCATTTATCCTTCCGTACCTTCATGATCAAGTCGGGTCTGAAGGTGCCGACACCGGAGATGCCGATGCCCGACTTGGCCGTTCCATATGCCGCCCCCATAGCTAGATACCGTCAGTCTTCCATCCCCCAGTCCCCTAATGAATCAAGACGGCGAACGTACATCCGAAGATCATCTTCGCGCGAGGTTCTGGTTAGCGGGTGGACGTAGGACGAATCAGGTGGGCGAAAGACTCACGGCGGCTGCAATCCCTGCCTACATTTCAGGGGTTAGTATCAGAGCCAGGACATGATCAGGAGAAAGAATATCCAGAGGGGTAGACTGGTAGACTGACAAAGGAGAAGAACGGGGCGAACTTGGGGGTGTATTCGCTGTCCGCCATGTTGACTGGATGATACTCAGTGGGATTTAGAAAGGAGAAGGGTGTGAACAGGAAAAAAAAAAATCCAAGAATTCCACCACAGAAGTTCAATAGTCAGAAACCCCAGTGGAAGGGAGACACAATCGAGTAGGTTAGAGGGGGGTGTCTAAAGAGAGAGCGAGAGAGGAAAGTTGAAGCTGGACAGGCATGCGTGGATACGGGTTAGTCAGCAGGTCTTTCTCAGTTCCGTCAACATACTGAGCTTTACTATGGCTGATTGCGTTCACTCACTCTGTCTGTCTCTCTCTCTCTCTCACTCTCTCTCTCTGTCTTTTCTCCCTCTTCTCCCCCCGTGCCTGGACTGGCTTTTCCCTTTCCATCACGACTTCACTTCTTCTTCTTCTTCTTCTTCTTCTCTCTCTCCCTCTCTCTTCACCCCCTCTTCTCTTCCTCTTCTCCCTCCCTCTCCTTCTTCTTCTTCCTCTTTCTCTCTATCATCTCTCCCTCTCTCTCCCTCTCCATCATTCTCTCTCTCATCTCTCCTCATTCCTTACTCTTCCTATACTCCACCCCATTCTCATCCTTTCCTCCGCACTTCCTCCTCTCCCTCTTTACTACTACCACTACCACTTCTCAACACCAGTTGAAGATTGGTACTGGCTGATCCCCCTCTCTCCCTGATTCAATACCCCAATATCACTCACTAGAGTCTCGACTACCGACCTATCGACCCCTCCCCAGACCATCCCCCCTCTTCCTACTCTCCCCCCCCCTCTACCCCCTCCACACACAATCCCCCCCTCCCCCATTAAACCCCATTAAAGAACTATTTTGGATCTTCGCTGTCCTTATCTGGTCGGTCTCTCTCTCTCTCTATACTCTCTCCCTCCCTATCGTGTACTTCGTGGGTGGATCCCTCCGACCGCCACCCGATCGTTGTTACCCACCCCCCATCCAATTCCATCATTGTCGTCCAACGGAGGATGCTGAGGTTATGAAAGTACAGGGGCCCTGGTTTGCTGTTGCGCTCAAGGCTCCTAGCGCACTTCGTTCCTTACCACACACCACCACCACCACTCCAACTCTCGCCGCTTCCTCCCACCGAGGCATGACCGGTTAAAAAATAGCAACGAAAAAGAGGACAAAAACAAAAAAAAAAAAGGAAGTTAGACAAAGAAAAAGGCCTTTTTTCGTCTGAGATTTTTTACTTCGTCCGTCAAATTCGAATTCGTGACGTCGTGGTCGCCGCTTATACGGTACTCGGGGAAGAACTCCTTTTTTTTCCCTTGCCTCTTTTTTCTCCTTCACTCTTCCTCATCTTTTCTCTCACTCGACCCCCTCCCATCCACGAAATCTTGACAACGATAAGTCACGGATCTTCTCCCCCTCTCGACGCACCAGCTCCGATTCTCCGACTCCTCAGTCAAAGCCCTCGGTTGCTTGACGCGCCTGGGCCCCCCCTCCCGGTCAACAAGACTGCTGGGAATCAAATCCGGTGCGAGATAGACGACGAAGTAGAAGCAAGGATAATCCACCATGGCCGACCTGGGTGGCCAGCAAGGCCGGAACTACCGGCCTTACGGACACTCCTCCTCCTTTCAACGTGATGCCGCCTTTAACGAGATCTTTGGTGGGGCGCCGCCACCCGGCCGCTCGCAGACCATGACCTCGCAAACCCCTCAGTTCTCTCAGGATCGTGCCTACACCATGTCATCCCACATGCCACAACCTCAGATGCAACGAGCCCCCCCGCAGCCCACCCGCCTCGCCTCCAATGGATACACCCCACCCGCCGCCAACGGCTACTATCAGGCCTACCCGGGGGCCGCCGCCACCATGGCTTCGCAGCCGGCGCCCCAGAATGCTCCCCCCCGACCCTACCCGGGACGATTCGCCTATCCGCAACCCCAGCGACTGGATTCCCGACCCAGCCCCGGCCCGCAGTATCCCGATGCTAAGGGCTATGGTCGCCCCATGCCCCCGCCGGCTTTGAATACCGACGCCTATCGGTCGAGGTCCATGGCGCGCATGGGCGGCCCTCCGGTCTACCAGCCCTCGCCGAACAGTTTCAACCACACCTCGGCCAGCGCCTTTCGCCAGCAGCCCTACAATGCCGCCGCTGCCGCTCCCATGACGGCCCAGGGTCGGGTCGTGCCAGAGCGACACGGCAACGAGCGGGCCATGTCCTTGACCTCGTACTCAACCGAGCGGGAGCAACCCCATACCACCAGCACGGGGCGGGTGATCCCCGCCCGTCGACAGCCGTCGGGCCCCAGTCAGCCGCCCGCCCACCCCAGGCTCGAGCAGGAGATGGCGGCGGCGGCGGCGGTGGCCCCCAATGCCAACGGGAAACCCCGTCCGCCCAGCGACGGCTCGACTAACGGGCGCTCCATGTCGATCGCCTCGACCGTGGTCCCCGACCGGACCTTGAGCATGCAGAGCCAAATGGCCCACAAAACCAACACCCAGACCACGACCACCACCCTGGTGTCGAGTAACTCGCGCCGCAGCAAGGTGCCCCTGGTCTACCCGGCGCTGCTGTCCCGCGTCGCGGACGGCTTCCGGGAGCGCATCGTGCTGAAGGAACGGCAGAAGAACGAGCTGACCTACCAGAACGCCTTCTCGGGCGCCGAGGCCGTCGATCTCATCGGCTACATCATCAAGACGAACGACCGCAACCTGGCCCTGCTCCTCGGTCGCGCTCTGGACGCCCAGAAATTTTTCCACGACGTGACGTACGATCATCGCCTCCGCGACGCTCCCGGCGAGATCTACCAGTTCCGCGAGACCATGGGCGAGGAGAGCCCCAGTTCCGACGTGAACGGAGTCTTTACGCTCCTGACCGAGTGCTACTCCCCCACGTGCACCCGCGACAGCCTCTGCTACTCGATCGCCTGCCCCCGGCGCTTGGAGCAGCAGGCACGCCTGAACCTGCACCCGCAGCCGGGGCTGCGGACGTCGGCCTCCAAGGGTAGTCTGCACGGCGACGACGACGACAACGACAACCAGAAGCTGTGGATCAACATGGTCCCCAAGGAGGTCTCGGACAGCATCCCCGACAAGGAGAAGAAGCGCCAAGAGATCATCTTCGAGATCATGTACACAGAGCGCGACTTCGTCAAGGACCTGGAGTACCTGCGGGACTTCTGGATGCGGCCCCTCCGCGCTGCGGGCCCCACCGCCAGCTCGCCCGTCCCGGAGCATCGCCGGGAGAAATTCATTCGGACTGTGTTCGGCAACTGCCTGGAGGTGCTCAAGGTGAACGGGGGCCTGTGCGAGGCGCTCAACATTCGCCAGAAGGAGAGCCAAGTGGTCCAGACCGTCGGTGACATCTTCCTCCAGCACGTGCCCCGGTTCGATCCCTTCATCAAGTACGGCGCCAACCAGCTCTACGGCAAGTACGAGTTCGAAAGGGAGAAGGCGTCGAACCCGGGATTCGCCAAGTTCGTTGAGGAGACGGAGCGGCTCAAGGAGTCCCGCAAGCTGGAACTCAACGGCTACCTGACCAAACCCACGACCCGTCTGGCCCGGTACCCGCTGCTCCTGGAGCAGGTCCTGAAGAACACGGCCGACGACAATCCGGACAAGGAGGACATCCCGAAAGCCGTCAAGATCATCAAGGACTTCTTGTCCCGCGTCAACACGGAAAGCGGCCGCGCGGAGAACCACTTCAACCTGGTCCAGCTGGACTCGGCCCTGAAGTTCGGCCCCGGCGACTACGTCGACCTCAAGCTGACCGAGGAGAATCGCCAGATGTTGACGAAGATGGGGTTCAAGAAGACCCCCACGGACAGCTCGGAGGTGACCGCCTACCTGTTCGACCACGCGGTGCTGCTGGTGCGGATCAAGATCATCAACAAGCGGGACGAGTACCGGGTCTACCGGAAGCCCATCCCGCTGGAGCTCTTGGTCATCGCCCAGATGGACGAAGTCATCCCGCGGGTCGGCATCACCAAACGACCGTCCTCCAGTCTCCTGTCCAACAAGGCGGTGGTTAACCCCCCGACCACTAAGGACGGGTTGCCCATCACCTTCCGCCACCTGGGCAAAGGCGGGTACGAGCAGACCCTCTACGCCACGTCCCCGACGCAGCGACGGAAGTTCATCGAGATGGTCGAGGAGCAACAGCGCAAGCTCCGGGAGCGGAACAGCAACTTCTACCACAAGACCGTCCTCTGCGAGCGCTTCTTCACGGCCGTCAATCGCGTCAACTGTCTGGTCCCGGTGGATGGAGGCCGGAAACTGGTCTACGGGACCGACAGCGGCATCTACCTGTCGGACCGTTGGCCCAAGGACAAGTCCGCCAAACCCCGGCGCGTGCTCGACGCGAGTCAGGTGACGCAGATCGATACGTTGGAGGAGTATCAGTTGCTCCTGGTGTTGGCGAACAAGACCCTGACGTCCTATCCGATGGAGGCGCTGGAGATCAACGAGAGTCAGAACGCGCTGGCCAAGCGACCCAAGAAGATCCAGGGCCATGCCAACTTCTTCAAGGCCGGGATCGGTCTCGGTCGTCATCTGGTCTGTTCCGTCAAGACCTCGGCCCTGTCGTCCACGATCAAGGTCTACGAGCCGATGGACAACCTGGCCAAGGGCAAGAAGAAGTCCGCGGTCAGCAAGATGTTCCAGAGCGGCCAAGATACTTTGAAGCCTTTCAAGGTTTGTATTCTCGTTATACTCACTATTGGCGTTGACGTGACTAACCTTCTCAATAGGAATACTACATCCCTGCGGAGTCGTCCTCGATCCACTTCCTTCGCTCCACCCTTTGTGTGGGCTGCGCCCGTGGGTTTGAAGTCGTCAGTCTGGAAACCACTGAGACGCAGTCACTCCTGGATCAGGCCGATACTTCGCTGGATTTCGTCGCCCGCAAGGAAAATGTCAAGCCGATCCACATCGAGCGGATGAACGGCGAGTTCCTGCTGAACTACAGCGACTTTTCCTTCTTTGTCAACCGCAATGGCTGGCGCGCTCGTCCCGACTGGAGGATCTCCTGGGAGGGCAATCCCAACTCGTTTGCCCTGTCCTACCCGTACATCCTTGCCTTTGAGCCCAACTTCATCGAAATTCGGCACATCGAGACGAGCGAACTCATTCACATCATGACGGGCAAGAACATTCGCATGTTGCATTCATCGACCCGCGAGGTATGACCTACCCAAACTCTTTCCCCCATTTGCTATGTACGAATCACTCACATGTCCAACAGATCCTCTATGCCTACGAAGACGAAGGAGGCGAGGACGTCGTCGCCAGTTTGGATTTCTGGAGCAAACCGCAGATTTAGAAGACCGCTGTCGTTTTTTATCTGTCTTCCCTCACGAGAGGGCGCAAGGAAGCAGAATGGAAAAGCATCTTGTGTGATTTGCCTGTTCTAGACGAAGCCGTTTATTGTCTCCCATGGCGACGACCACTATCATCCCATCCACCCACCGACCCTACCGAATCTTGATTTTCATCTCAATACCCTTGTTTCCACCATCTATCCCCACCGGACATCACCTATGGCATATACGTGCCCCCTTCTTCTCTAATACCTTTTTTCTTTTCGATGTGACCTCAACCTGCTTATTGTATCGGGTTATCCATTGACGATGATCATTTGGCCGATTTCATTTTTCTCTCTTACTACTTACCGCTGTGTACAATGAAGCGCAAATACCACATGTTCTGCCGTTCTTCTTGTTCTTTCTATCCTTCATATTTCATCCTATTCTCACTTTTTACTTTTTACTTTTTGATATTACGTGTTCTGTTGTCTATTATTTCTCATCATTATTTTCTTTCTATAATTATTATCATCTTTCCAACTTTATTTTCTTTGTTGGTCTCAGTCGGTAGTCGTAGCCACACCCCGTCTTATGTCCATGTCCTGTTCAAGAAAGTGTTCTTATTTCACCCCATAGCATTGAAACTCCACTACTGTTTATTACTGACTACTTTTTCCTCTTATATTACTACCACCGACACACGTTACTTTGATTTACTCTCGTCTAAACTCCTACCCACCTACCTATCTACCCACCTACCCACCACGAACACATAGAAAAACGAAGTCCACAAGCACGATCAAACAGATGGAACCAATTCAGTTGATAGTTGACCATCAATAAACTCCATCTTAGATGTTTCACTGCCTATGCTTTTTTTTGTTTTCGGGTAGTAGTAGTATCTTTCTTGATTTGCTTGTTTGTTTGTTTATTTGTTTGTTGATTTGTTGTTTCACTCTATCTGATAAACAAACAACGGTTTTTCTTTTGTCTCACGCGTAAGTCGATGTCTAGGTAGTTCAGTAGAGGTACTTACTACGTACAAGTCAAATTTGTTATCACTCGGTACGTCAAACAGCCAAGCGAGTAAGTCGAAAGATCTAATCACATGTTTCTTAGCTTATATTTGTATCGATTACTCCATACTACTTTCTCCCCAAAGCTCGCGGAATAAGATAGATATATGTATAACCCCTACAGCGAAGTAAAATACTTTTCATCCGATATACTACTATTCAACTAGAACATATAACATATAGAATGATTGAGGAAACAGTGCAAAGGGGACGCAGTAACAAAGCCAAAGCCACGAGAGGACAACAAACTCGAAAATGACAAAAGAGGGAATCTTGCGGGCGCTGCTGAGATTGGGAAAGGTGTCATCGATACAGAACAGGTGAATGGTCGAATAAAACGAAAAAAAAAAAAGCGAAAAAAGTATAGAGCACGAAGTTATGCAGAGATTCCGCAATGACAACTGTCCGGGATTAAAAAGACGCTATTCTCTTACCCCGGCCCCGGTAAACGGTCTTCCGGGAGAAGAGGGAGGAAAATCTGCAGCCGAATCGAATCGAAGATATGCGAACGAATATGGAGGCACAGAAAGAGAAAAAGGTGGAAAGCGGGCAGCCCGGTTGATTCCACGATACCGGTAGGTCGGAATTGCGACCCCGTACGCAACACGAGACGCAGGTGCCAGTCATCGAAATAAACGGAATGTTGCATTTTGCCTTCCTTCCCTTCCACGCGAAAAAAAAAAAAAAAAGCTATTAACGTGAATAAACAGTCAATATTATCCCCACAGACCGCTGTGACCGTGTCACCAATCCCATTCCGCGAATGGTGTCAACACGCTCACGCCAACGACCCCGGTGCGACCGGGAAGGGGGTGGTTCGACCAGGTATAATTATTTTAAGCATCTCCATTCGCGCCATCGACTTGACCGCTCGATTCGCGCGTCATGCGAGCCTCAATCTCCCTCAGTTGGCTCTCACGAGCCAGCAGTTCCTGGCGTTTCTCGGCAATCTCACGCTGCACCTTGAGCTCGATCTCACGGAGCTTCTCCTCTTCACGACGGAGCTGCTCCTCCTTCAACCGGACGGACTGCGAGGCGAGGTCCTCGGGGTTCATCGACGAATCCTGGGTCCGACTACTACCGGGGTTAGTACGACCACACCATCGGGAGGGGGGAAAAAAACGTACGAAGAGGTTCCGTCCACGCTCTTGCTGAGCTTCTCAGTACGGTAGTTTTCGTAGAGGAAATCGTGGGTGATCTCCTTCAGATCGGCCAGATGGCTGTGGAGCAGGGCGCTGCGGATGGCCAGGAAGTCGGAGTGCCGAGGGTTTTCCACCTCCACCACACCCCAGGGGTACTGTCTGGCTCGTACTTTGCGGCCATCGATCTCCACGAAATCATCCGAGCCCACGATGGCGAAGGGCATCAGCCCACGCAGCTCCGCATTCTCCTCCACCGTATCCTCGTCGTCCTCCTCGATATCGTAGGGGAAGTTGTAGACGGGGATGCGGTAGTGCTCGATGTCCTCCATGATCAGCTTCTTCGACTCGGCCAGTTCGGCGGGGGTGAGGGAGTCGGCCTTGCCGATGACGGGGATGACATTGACACGGGGCGAGAGGCGCTTCATCAGTTCGATATCGAGCTCCCGCAGGCCATGGCCGGTGGGTGTGATGAAGTAGAGGAGGACGTGGACACGATTGTCCCGGAAGCGAGGGTTACGCTTGATTCGCGATTCTTCGGCCAAGATATCGTCATATTGGCGCTCGAGGTATCCCACAATCTCCCCAAAGCTAGGTCAAGAGTCAGTGTCGGAGTCGCACCGCAGCGCAGGGGGGGTCCACCTGCCTTGCTTCGTTATCGATCTGGTCACCGAAACCGGGGGTATCAACGATGGTGAGGGAGATCCGGGTGCCCTCGTCGTCCAATTCGAGCTCTGTAACCGTCGGGAACCATTAGCGCGCCACCTCCCGGGTGATTCAGGGGCGTCGTCGGCGGATCAACTTACCGACCGTCACGGGCTTGATGCGAACACCTTCCTCAATGTGAGCATTGGCCGCATCGTCGGCATCCTTTCCTTCAAGGACCTGCTTTCCGCAGAGGGTGTTGACGAAGGTGGTACGTCCTGTTGGGGGGCAAGATCTCCGGTCAATGGCTGTTTCCCGCAATGCCAAATGGATGGATACGTACCAGTTCCGCTGGCACCACAGACCATCAGACAGAATTGGATACCCTTCTTGACATTTTTCTTGCGACGGAGCTTGATCTGTAGTGTAAGATAGAATTATCGTGATGAGACACCGAGCCCAGAGTGGACGATATGGGGTTGTAGAAAGTAGTGATGTGTTTCCATCAGGGGGGAATAGAGATGGGGGAGTCAGGAAATGAACGACGAGTGAACGATCTTCACCGTCTTGATTTCTGCCTTTTCATTCTCTTCTAGAGGAATTGGAGGGTTGACAAAAGAAAGATCTCAAGACATACCGCGTTGAGGGCCGACGACATGGTGGGCGAATTAGGGGAACGAACGAAAGGAAACGGAGAAGTGGACAGACAAAACCCAAGGAATTGACTGAAGTGAACGACAAGACGGAGAAGATAGCGAGCGGAGAAGGAAGAAAAGAAGCTCCAAGCGAAAGGGGAGGAGAAGGTTGTGGACAAGATGGAGATTACGGGATGCTCTCCTGAGGTTCAGTTTGGGTGTTTTGGGGAGGGAGAGAAAGAGGGAGAGAGCGAGGGAGGTACAGTAATTCGGTAACAGATACCAGTGAAACATGGATACCCAGTATCACCTACCAGTGATAATAGGGGTACTGGGGTAGGCTGGCATCGGTATGATCGGTATTGGTATGATGGGTACGGTACCTGAAAGTACGGGTTGTGATACGTGATCAATACCAATAATACGGCCCCCTTTCTCCGTGCAGGCCATCGACCACCAGAATTGGGTGGATCTCCTCCAGATACGGTTCCAGATGGAAGGTTCTGTCTGTGTATTCTGTTTCATACACCTTTGTATCTTATTCTTACGTATCTTGATTCGATGTGTGTATTTGGATCTGTCTACTTATCCTGTTGGTGATTCATGATATTCTAAGATAGGAGGAAGGATGCTGCAGTGAGTCTGGTCAGGACCTCCAGACTCCAGGAGGACAGGTATGGATCGGACTGCTCAGGGGTTCAGCAGGGAGCAGTGGTGGGTCCTGGCGGGCCTGGTGACACCTCAGGCAGGAGTCACGCTCCACTCGGGCCTGAGGCAGCAGTGGGTATCACCACTGGATCTGCAGTCGACTCGGTATATTTAAGGAGTCCTCCAGACAGTCTTGTGTGCTGTCAATTACATGAGTACCTCGAGGAACACAGTCGAACATCGTGTATATAGATCCATGGTGACTACTAAATATATGCCAAGGTTGGTCCGATTCAATCATCATGACCTTGTTACCCATGGATAAACAGGAGAGACCGGTGTGGGATATCAACCAAGGAATAAATAGAATTAAATGATATCAAATCATCACCATAGGAAAGGATACCAATAAATATCAATAGAAACCTGTCCAGATCGGCCCACTCCAGAGTCCAGAGAGTCTAGTCCGGACTGCTAAAGCGGCACCCGCTCCGTTCGCATACTTGCCGATCCTCCGCCTCCGATCTTGGGATACTTCAAGCTTCTTCCACCTCCCCACCCAAATGATCGATCACATACTGTCTGTCCCCATGGCGCCAGCATGAACACCAGACAGCCGATTGACGAGTCCACCGGACCGTACTCTCTTTCTGCCACCTTCAACGATGACAACACTTGTTTTACCGTGGGTCTGGACACGGGCTTTTGTGGTAAGCCTTGCTTGACAGGCATCCCCGATGCGCGGGGATGCCTTCATCAAAATGACCCACATGCTGAAAGCTGAACGCCATGATAGTCTTCAACGCCAATCCATGTGAACTCAAAGTGTCCAGAGGTATAGTACGACATGCCACGCTCCTCCCCCCTCCCTCTCCTGATGGGTCTACATGCTCACCTGATATCGTGACGGCAGACTTCAGCGCGGGCATCGGCGTAGCCGTCATGCTCGGCCAGTCCAACTACCTCGCCATCGTAGGCGGAGGGAAACAACCCAAATTCCCCCAGAACAAGGTGGGTAGACGCTCCATCCATCAAGATCTCTCTAGCTTACACTCCTAGCTCGTCATCTGGGATGACGCAAAGCACAAAGCAGTCATCACCCTCGAATTCCGCACCTCCGTCCTGGGCGTCCGCTTGTCCAAATCACGCATCGTCGTCGCCTTACTCAACAGCATCCAGATCTTCGCCTTTTCGAGCCCCCCGCAGAAGCTATCCACGTTCGAAACCGCAGACAACCCCATGGGTCTAGCCTGTCTAGGCCAGGAGGTGCTGGCATTTCCCGGTCGGTCCCCGGGGCAGGTCCAGCTGGTGGAACTGAAAACCGGGAACGTCAGCATCATCCCCGCGCACAGTTCTCCGTTGCGCGCCATGACGTTGAGCCCGGATGGGGAGGTATTGGCCACGGCGAGCGAAGCGGTATGCCACCTGTTCCAGTTGCATGCGTTGTACCGGTCGCTGACTACTAGGTAATAGGGTACTCTCATACGGGTCTTTGCTACGGCGAACTGTACGAAAATGGCAGAACTACGACGCGGCGTGGATCACGCCGTGATATTCTCCCTTGGCATCTCACCATCTAGCAACCTACTAGCGGTGACATCAGACAAGTCGACGTTGCACGTCTTCGACCTCCCCCACCCGCATAACTCTCCCCCACGCAGCCAGCGATCCGCGTCGCCCCCCGAGGACGCATCCAACCAGAAGTGGGGTATCTTGGGCAAAATTCCGCTTCTTCCCCGCGTCTTCTCGGACGTTTACTCCTTTGCCAATGTGCACTTTGAGATTGGCGACGAGGCCCCGCCCGGGTCGCTGCATGTCCCACCGCTTGGCACGTCGTTTGGGCGACCCTTGAAGGGCATCATCGGCTGGCCCGACGATCGCACCATTCTCGTTCTCAGCTCAGGGAGGGAGGGCCGATGGGAGAGGTTTGTCATTTGGGAGGGAGAGGAAGGAAAGCGACACTGTGTCAGAGAGGGGTGGAAACGATATCTGAGCAGCTAGATTGCCTGGCTCTCGCGGTGATGCCGTCAGCAAATTGATTCGAATGCTATCTATGGATCTGTGTCTGTCCTTCTGTGGGGGTATGCGGAGGATATGGCCACAGGATGTGCAAAGCACCGGAACCTCTCGAAGCCTGCCACAATACACCCTGACAGGACAGGGGCAGTCGCGACTCGTGTTGCTGGAGGAGTACGAGATGCTCAGGCAGCCTTTCTTGGATACCGTCGCTGCGTTGGCTTTCCTAACCTGCCAGGCATGTGAGACTGGAGATCCAACCCAGCCGGTCGACACTTGGTTGCTCCAGGAAACCACCCTATACCAATTATCTAATTAGCTTATTGAATAATGAATCAACCTCGTCAACTTTCTGCCCGTCGGCGCCTGTCCTCCCTATCTCGATGTCGCCGCGGTTCCGGCGATCGAGACCTCACAGGCGTCCGATCTCTGTGCTTCCTCTCCCGTAGCTCCGGCGACCTATCCCTGTAAGACCGTTCCCGCGAAGGCGACCGACGCCTGCGATGGTCCCTCTCCCGTTCACGAGAACCATCATCATCACGATCCCGGCGGTGCCGGTGGTGACGATGCCGGTGATGATGATGATGGCGACTCGACCGCTCACGGCTCCCACCGCGTCTCCTCGACGACTTCTCCTCAGCTCTAGCCCTCTCCAAAGCCAACGCAACCTCCTCCTTCTTCTCGCCCACCAGAAACTCCTTCATCGGGTCCTCCTCATCATGATTCCTTATCAACTCCTCCAACTCCCTCTCCTCCTTCAACAGCGCCCTCGGACGGGTCTCATCACCACCATCCCCACGCCGTCTCCTCCTTCTCCTTCCCCCCTCATCATCCGTCCCCTCCTCCCCATTGCGCCCCCCGCTGGGGGCTACCTCATCCCCCATCAACCTCGCAACATTGTTATCCCCTTCCTCCCCCTCATCATCCCTCCTCTTATACCTCGTATGATCAACGCGCAAAATCCTCCCCAACACCGTCGCACCGCCCAAATTATCAACGGCAAGATCCGTACTCCGCTGGTCCTCGTATTTCAGAAACGCAAACCCGCGGCTCTTGCCAGTCTCTTTGTCCCGGATGAGGTTGATGTGCACTGGTTCGCCGTATTGCGAGAAGATGGTCACGATGTCGCCTTCGGAGAGGTCGAAGGGGAGGCCCCCGATGTAGATGTAGGCTGTGTCGCGGTAGTCGGCGTGCCAGGATGCTTCTGGGGGGCTGTGGTTTGTAAGAGGTTAGTTGGGTATTTAAATATAAGATGTATTTGGGGAGGAGAGGGAAGGTTGGAATAAAGTATGGAGTGGGAGGGGAGAGATGCGCACATGGCGTTTTCCAGCTCGCGCTTGTTGAGCGCCTGGACTTGACGGATGTTGTTCATGGCAGCAAGTGGAATCAAAAACTAGCGATTGAAAATGCCATTAATTCCTACTATCCAGACAAATGGTGGGTTTAAAGTAGAGAGCGGTCGTGGCGAGAACAAAGGCTGAACGGGAATGATGCAAACCAAAAGTGATCACGGGCGGAGGTCCCACCCGCGGCGAGCGACAGTTTTATTGTTTACCGTATACTCTACTTTCTTTCTCCCTCCTGCAACACGGTCCCACCGTCACCATATTTCGAGACCTGTCGCTGACAATACAATCTCCATTTGACACCGTCCTCACTATTTCGAAGCTGATATTCGGTTTACGACTCCTCCTTTCAACTATCGACGCCCCCGTCTCCATCTCCGTCTCCCCTGACACCTGAATCCTGACACAACCCCCTCCCAATCTCCGCCCGCCGTAAACCAAGTCAACTCCCCCCTGGTCTCGCGCCCCAACGCGTCCAGGTCGGCGGGAAGAGAAGCTACTTCAGTCAAGTCGGAGAAGGTTCATCTGGAATGGTCTGCGCCGACTGCAGCACGCTTGGGTATTGAGACAGATCATGTCTACGTCGAGATTCGGCAGCGGCACCGGTAGCGGCAGCAATAGTCGGCCGTCCAGTAAAGATGGCCCCAAGAAGAACATGTGGTCGTCTATGCTGGATAGTGTCGCGAATGGGAAGCGGCTGCCTGAGAAGAACCTTTTGATTCTTGGTTTGTCCCTCCCTCCCTCTTCTTGTTGATTTTGGCGCGGTTGGGCTGTTGTCCGTTTATTGTGTTCATGTCGCTAATGCAATATGTCGTAGGAGGCACGCCTGAGAGCCAGAGAGAATTCCTCAATACATTTTCCGCCGATACGACGGGTTCTGGGTTCAAGAATGACAAGCGGAAAGGAGGGGCGCCGCCCGTTGCTAATCAGTTCGCTCTGGGGTACACGTATTTGGACGTGCTGGATGCTGACCATGAAGGTGTGTTCCCTTTATCGAAGGTGGATCATTCAATTGAATTGCAATACTGACTTACTTGCCTACGTCTAGATACCCTGGCGCGTGTGTCTGCCTATCTCCTTTCCGAGCCCTCCCTATCCTTTGCACCCCTCCTCAAGCCGCTCTTGACCCCACAATCCGTCCCGGAGACCCTGGTCGTGATCCTGCTGGACTGGTCAGACCCGTGGACATGGGTTCGGAGGCTGAGAGAGTGGGTCCGTCTGTTACGGCACGTGCTGGTCTCGCTTGATGATCCGACGAAAATCGTCATGGAGGAAACGATGACGGAGTGGCGCGATCGCAAGAGGGGCATGGACTCTGGCGCGGCGGGCGCGCAGGGGCTGGCCAGTTCTGGAGGCCCCGTCTCGATACCGTTGGGACCGGGTGAATGGGACGAGGGGCTTGGGGTCCCGCTGTGCGTGGTCTGCCAAGGGGTATGTTGCATTGAAAATTAATGAAGACGGCGGCAGCTGACAGCTCTGCGATTCTAGGCCGATAAGATCGAAAAGATGGAGAAAGAGCATGGGTGGCGCGAGGAGGAATTCGACTTTATCCTTCAGTTCCTGCGAACCCTTCTTCTAAAGCGTGAGCGAGCCCCACGTTTCCAGCGAGGAAGAAACCATTCTGATATATCTAGACGGCGCATCGCTCATTTATACCACCCCATTCCTCGCCAACTCCCTCCAGAGCCTCCTCCACTCCTCCCTCGGCATCCACTCGCTCCTGAAGAGACAGTCGCTCAAGCACAACGTGATCGACAGAGACAAGATCCTGGTCCCCGCGAACTGGGATTCATGGGGCAAGATCCGGATCATCAGGGAAGGGTTCGACATGGAGGGTATATCCACGGCATGGTCCATCGAGATCCAAGACCCTCCCGAGCCGCTCCCCAAACGGCCAGTCGGCTATCAGCAGGACGAGCAGCAGGACCCCAGCGCAGACGACGGCACCAGCGCAGTGACGATATTCGAGCAGACGATCAAGGACCCGAAGCGCGACACCTCGCTGGCAGTAGCGAGCCAACAGAACAAGGACAAGATCGAAGTCGAGACAACCGGCCTGCAAAGCTTCCTCGAGAAACAGCTCGAGGTCCTCGAGCAGCTGAAGACCGAGGACGAGCAGGATCGGTCCACTCGACCAGCCCCTCAGCTGGAGATGTCCCCGATGGACGACAGCGGACGTGTTAACGAGCACATCGGGCCTGTGCAGTTCAACATGGGAGGAATTCAAGTGGATGCGGATGACATGTTACGGAAACTCAAGGTTAGTCCTTTTCTTCACTTTTCCACATTATCTCAAGAGCATGACTGACCACCCCTCCCTTTCTCTCTTTTTATTCCAACAGGAACGAGAAGCCACCCGAACCAGCCAAAGAAAAGAAACAATCTCCTCGCCCGGCGACGAAAAAGCCCACAACCAAGCCCTGAAGAACTTCTTCGCCGGCCTCGTCAAGAAACCCAGTACCAGCCCGCGCGAAAGCCCGTCAACATAATCAATCTCCCAGGGGGGAATGTAATCTTATGTTTATTATTTTACTTATGTTATTGGCTTCACACGTATATCCATCATGTTTACCTATTCGTTTACATCACATCCACGTCCACATTCACCGCACATCTATCTGTCTATCCACACTACATACATACATACATACAAAGCAACCATGCGAGAACATCGAATCAACAAGCATGACACGTTCATTTCCTCAATCTCGTCAACTACTTCCCTTTCTATTGGAACCATCATTATCATGACCATGGCAATATCCAATGATATCCGCTCATCCCTTCCCTCCTTCTCTCCTTACTCTTGTCGTTATTGATACCAGATTGATTGGCTTTTCTTTCTTCCATTTTTGTTTGTTCCCACCGGATTTAGGAGTCAGAGCCAGAGTGTCAGAAAGACGGACTACACATACACACACACACAGCTTTCACCTTTTTTTCTTGTACTGCGCTTCGTCTTGTTTGTTTGTTTGTTTCTTTTTTTTTTTTTTTTACACGTTTTATGTGTACATGTATTGCTGTGCTACATATTTATCTACGCATATACCGAACTAAATGCATATTAGATTGTAAACATTTTATATAACTGGGAAGACTGGTTTTGGTTGTTCTTTCGGGAGGGGGGTTAGGATTAGGGTAGGTAGGTAGGTAAGGGATGTACGGAGTATGTCGATATTGGAAATTGAGTTCGCTACTTTAATTTGCAGTCGGTAAGTCTAGCTAGCTAGCTACCTAACTCTTGATATGTAGATCCTAATCACGTACGCATCTAGAAACATTTGGGAGCATTTCGTAATGCTATGGGATTACATTATTTATCTTCGTACAGGTAGTAAATACAGATCAACCGTCATAACCAACAACATGAGACATGGCAGTTATACATACACTCTTTCCATACTGATATCAGTCCACATCATACACAACATTCACATCATACATACAATATACAACAAATCAACGATCACGGATTATCCCCTTCCCCCACAAGAGAAAGGGAAAGATCAGTAATTCTCCCACACCGCATTCGGCATCACAGTCCGCATAATCCCCCAATGCTCAAGCGCACCGCGATCCTGAGCCTTGCTCAATCGGCCGGTATCCTTAGCGCGAAGCACATGGCGTCCACCCTTGTGCACATTCTGGAACACGGCGGGGTCAATCTCGTGCTTGGGCACCAGGTAGGCCTGGCGGAACTGGCTGCCGAGGTAGTCGGTGGGGTCGGGGTCGCGGAAGCGCAGCGGCTCGGGGCTCCTGCTCTTTGTGCAGAAGACGACCATGTTGGTGAAGTCGGAGGTGTTGTCGACGGGGATGTCTTCGCGGAAGATGCGGCAGGAGGGGAAGACCGCTTGGATGGTGCGGACTGCTAGGGAGGCGGGGTGGAGGTTGAGATCGCCTGCGTAGTTCTGTTTTTGTTAGACTAGGGAATTCGGAAAGTGGGATGGGTTTTGGGATGGGTTTGTTTGGGAAGGGGGGCCATACAATGGCGATGACTCCGTCGTGTTTGAGGAGAGCATCCAAACCCTGGAGGAATTCCAGGGTGAACAGCTCGACTGGCTCGGCGCCTCCGGTGAAGACGTCGTGCACGATGTAGTCGTACTCGACAGGCTTGACTGCCTGCCGGGCGCGCTCCACAAAATCGATAGCGTCCTCGATGGCGGCGATGTGGTTGGACGGCATGTGGAAATACTGCTGAGCGAACTTGTGCACGACAGGGTCCAGCTCGACGACGGTGGTGTCGATTCCGTGCGACATCAAGGCGGAGGGCGTCGTGCCGACTCCGAGGCCACTGGTCCAGGAGTTAGTTTCCAGTTATGTGACGGGGAATTATCGGTACTCACATGACGAGTGCATTGCGGCCTGCATCCGTTCGGGGTCCGCCACTGACATCCTCGACCAGTCGAACCGCCTCCAACATGGTGAAGACAGCGTAGATCGGGTCCTTGACTGCCGGGTCATAGTTGCGGTGGGTCTTGGTCCACTGGCCGCCCAGGAGGCTGTGGTCGCACCTCATCACCCGGAAGCCATCGTCCAAGTTGTCCAGTACCGAGATGTAGCCGGTCGTGGACTCCTGGCGGGCCACAAGGGCGTATCCCTCCTCGTGGAGAGCAGAGTCCATGGCCGCCGTTGTTCGGCCAAAAGGCATATGAACATTCGCCGTCGTGGAGAACAGAATGGACGGGAGAGCCAGCAGCAGCAGCTTGGATGGGATAGCCGCCGAGTACAGGGCGGCAATGATGAGCTGCAAGCCACCGCTGGTGAAGAGGTAGAACGACCCGATGAACTTCGCGATGAAGGTTTTGGCAAACTTCAAACCGATTGCATAGACGACGTAGGAGCCTAGCAGAGGTACATGCTCCGCCATCAGGTCCCCGTCATGTTCGACGCGCAGGCCAATCTGTACCAATTTCCCGGCGCAAGCCACAGACAGGAACAGCAAAGGATAGTAGGTAAAGATGTCCGTCAGCACGGGGCCCAAGGGGTTTCCCAAAAGACGGCTCTGCTGGAACATGAGATATTGGACCGTGGGAATCCAGAATGCCAGTATGGGAAGGAAATAAACGGCCTTGCGACGCGACAGCCGGTGGACGTGGTCCTTCAAGAACCACGCAGCAGCCGCGACCACGCCAGCGCCGTACCCGTGAAAAATATGGGACGGGGCACCTCCATAGACTGGAGACAGGGCCCGCAGGGTCACCGGCGAGGAGAAGGCCGCGAGGAACAGCACAGCCATGCCGGCACGCAGCCTGCGGTGGTCGGCCCGCCGAAGGATTTCTGTGACCGAAGGCATGGCGGTTGACTTGAGATTTCGAATAGCTGGGTTTGGAAAACGGAACCAAACGAACAAAATGCCGTTGGGGCTTCACTGTTCGAGCATGATTAGTACGAGAGCTTCTCAAGTTGATATACGTGGACGGTCAAGCACCCTGTCCCACTAGGCGATGGTGCGACACCACCTGCGGGGATGGGGGGTGCAGGGGAAGGAGGTCATGGGGTGAAATCGATGGACATCGATCTGATTTACCTTAATCTTAATCAACGAACAGACGAATGGCCATACTCCAGCAATTGAACCGAAGGACACAAGTGAAGATCAACTCATCCAGGTGGGAAGTTGAGCATTGATAACAACTGATAAATTGGAATTGCCGCCGGCTTCCGCCCACTCACCCCCCTTTCACCGCCCCACCCTGGATCGACGGGATTTCCAATGTCAAATTCATGTCATCATAAGATCCGTATCATGACGGTCACTGTTTTCAACCTCGCCATCTGATCATTATGCCTCGATTTCCAATGGGAACAGGTGTGGAAGCAGAGGCGGACGGTCCGTCCAAACAGGCCGAATCAGAGAATACGTCCCTCCCGGTCGTCACCAAAGTGAAGAACCGTCGCAAGCGCTATCTCGACTTGCATCCGGAGTATTTCTCTGCTGATCTTGAGCTAGCTGGTCCGCTCGCTCTGTCCTCGTTTCTTTACGACTGATCGCGCAGCGGCTACCTCAGTCGACTACTAAGCTCCAAGCTAACCAAGTTACCTCTGCAGACCCGCTCCTCTACGATCGCCTGATCCGTCGATTCCAGACCCCCGCTGAACGGGAGGCGGAAGGGCGGGCCAAGGGATTCTCTGGTATTCTACAGGCCGATCTGTGTCGGTCAGAGGCCAAATTCGATGCGCTGTCCCATCCGGATCCCCACGCCATGATGAGCTACACTCGGGGACCCCATGGGGAGATCCTTGCCGAAGACCGGGACGAAATACCCGGTAGTAAGGAAGAGGGCGAGAAGGCATGGCGCTGGGAGATGACTATGCGGTTTTTGAGGGGGGAAGATGATGATTTCGATTACACGGTGGTTGATGAGAATGACGAATATGACGACTGGAGCGATGTGCAGGACCGATACTTTGACGACGAAGAGCCGGAGTGGGCAGTCGAAGGTGGTGAGGCAGACGTCAGGTCTCGATTACAAGGAGAGACCGGTATACAGGACTTTTGAACTGGTGGCAGGTCCGCCAGAACTCGCTACGCAGGGTCATCTTGATGTCGTGGCACTCAACTCGTTTACGCATGTTATTTTGAGAGTCGTCTCCAGAGGTGTCTTTCGCGAGGCTCGAACATGAGACTGAAATCGTCATTCAAGCAGGTGGGCATAATACCACTGGAAATGCCAAGTCATATCGCCGACATAGCTCGGGGAATTGTCGGGCGATTCGACAAGTCTAATCAACCGCCGACCTATCATTTGGACAGGTTCAGAGCCACCGGAAAAGTATAGATACGGCTATCTTGAGGTAATTTCACTGCCATCTAGCACGCTGGAGGCTATTTAGTGGGCATGCATTGAGGGCCCAGTATGTCTACGGAGACATGGGGGCACACCCAAATATGAACTGGACTAAATTCACTTCTATGTCTTATTGCATTGTACGAAAGAGGGGGGCTTGATTCAGTTAGCTCGAAATTTGAAGAACAAGGCAGCTTTAGAAGCATTACTGTGGAATATCCATGAATTATTTCCCAATGGACAGCCTCTCCAGCAAAATCTTTGTGTTTACAATAATAGCCCTAAGCATGCCTTCGCCACCTGAGCCCATGAATACATCCAACAGGCATAGATGTCATCTCCACATACCAAATACCCACATATGTACCTTGCTTGTCTCCTATTCACTCGCTCTTTGTTTCCCTTGTTTCCCATAACTACTTCATCCAGTAACCTATGCAAGAAAGTCTCAACACAAAAGGATCCAAAGCAGATATTTTCCCTAAAGTAATGAATATATAATGGTCTCTTACTGACTAGAGTGACTTAACCTTTCCAATATACTATCCTCTATCCTAAGTGTCAGGGTATGCAGACAGCATCCTATCACTGGGACCCTATATAGTTGAGTGACTCCATCGATCACCACTTTCTTCCTGGATTGATTATATATGAACCACCGTTCTAAAATACTTGAGATTCACTGGCTTTATTTTACACCGGTCATACCAGTCAGATATTCACCGAGAAAACTAAGTTGAGGAAAGATCAATATATAAGGCTGGTCGACCCCATCCACAAATTCAACCACAACCATCCACTCACTGCCATATATACTCTTCAACTTACAAAATCGAGTTCGCTTTTCTTTTCCTTCCTGTAGGCATGACATGCTTGCGGTTGCATCATTAATCATGCCAGCTTCGATTTCAAAAGCCAACGCGCGCGTCATTCGGAGCAAGGATTTATATCGACAAAACGTCGTTCCAAGCACGTCGACACATCTACAAGCGCTCTCACTCATCCACTATATCTCACCTTACGAGAGCATGGTTCATCTGAATCAAAGGAAAAAATATCCTGGTTCGCGCGTACGAGCTGGGGCTATACAAACTCCAGGCCGCCATTCTGTATAAAAGTCTTATGATCTAGGCCGCATAATCTAGAGAACTTTTTCTGGAACAATCGAAAACCGCGAAAACTGATTTTCTTCTCAACCTGACTAGAATTCTGGTTGGCTAAGAGTGCGATCGCAGACCACATCTCTAACGCCCTACACTCTTTTGAAGGTGACCTAGTGGGTGGATATAAACCCAGTCCAGCAGATGAATATGCTAGAAACCGAAATCGGGGTAAAGATAATATACCACAACGCGCAGAAGGAGTACGACGGGCATTGGGCATCTCGGCTTGACTTTCTTCTGAAAGGATCACTAGCCATGAGGGCAATGCTACCAGACATCTGGATCAGGTTATCCTGCATCGGAAGAAAGCAATCGTCTGGTGTATGTGGAATTTGTCTCTGTGCACTGCACATACCACCGTCACTGATTATAAACGGGTGTCCTGCTGCGTGCTCATATCTCATGTCACATTGTAGAATAATTTACCGAGAAGACCATGACGACTTCAAGCATTTAATGATCGCAACTCACATTGTGGACGATACTAAGAAGACTATGCCGAATTCGAGCATGCAGCCATCGCCAAGTCATCTATGAATGACATTATGCTAGCAGACGGCTCGAGCAGTGCCATTTCAAACAACAGTGGTGGAAGCTTGTCTTGCACTGTTGAGGCAAAACATAATAGGCGATGACAGAAAACTCTACAACCGGGGAGTGAGTATCAGGGTGGTCTTCGGGGAAAACAAGTCTAGGAAATTGCCTAGAAGAACACATCCATCCTTCTCCATTTCTATTTCCTTTTCTAAGAGACCACGGGAAACAGGCTGTATTCTTACAGGCCACAGCGATCCCACGACTGTTCGAGCTCCCCAATATATTCTGGCTGATAAAAACCACCATGGAGAGAAAACCAGCCACCCCAACTGGCTGCCAGCCGGAGCAAAGATATATACAGGTATACTCGCGAGAAAGCCCCTCTATGATTGATGATATGATTATTGGCGAGTTAGCTAGGCTGGTTCGTCCGAGATATTCTGAGTAACGGTCCAGAGGCGCGAAGGAATCTGGACCATCGCACACGCCAGGGTATCATTATATGTCAATGTTCTTGAAATCCTAGATCAGGTCTTCACAGAACCGGAAATGGACCACGGCAACGGCGTTGCTTGGTAGAGATAATGGGACACCCGGCTACGCTGAAGTGGCCTAATAATCGACTATTATCAGTCAGAGACTGGGCCGACATGTTACCGGTCCTTGGGACACGATGAGACAGTGAGATGTCTCAAATTCAAACATCACAGAAAGCCCGGAAAATTTGCGCTGGAAACCCAGAATATTTCCTCGGACGAGATCTTCCTGAGGATAGGTCGATGTTCATGGGACTGATATCGTCAAGCTTGGAACGATGCTTGAGCTTTTGGTTCCTCTGATCTGCTCGGCCAATTTTGATAACGAATTTGGCCCGGGGATGTGAACATCCGACGACTTAAAACTCGCAAAGACATCCGCGCTTACTTGAATTAGGAAAAATAGAGAAAATTCGGGGGCTTAGACTCATTCAAGACGCTGTCTTTGCGTTCGACGCTTTACACTAGCCCAAGCGAACCACATTCAGCCATGCTCAGACACCATCTCGTTGAATAAAGATTTATAGCTTTGAAATATTCAACGACAATAGCAGGGCCCAAGCACCATGTATTATACTCAGCAGCACGCGACACTTGAGCACACATCACAATCCGTGCCCTTGGACTGATGCTTTTTGACCCCGCCTATATAGCTACTATCTATCCCACATTGGCATACTTGAACACCTGTCGCATTCGGGGATTTGCACAGATACGGCCCGCCTAGTCAGGAAAACATGAACAGAACACGAGGTCCAAGAATGGGGCCGACTAGGTTGATGCGAGACTTGCGAACGGGATCACCAGTCGGGACGTGAATGCTGAATACCAGGCACAGGCGGAGCTGCTGCAAGCTTACTTTGAGAAAGCTGTCGTTACATTAACTGACTTGGTCTAATACCTTGTGCTTCCACTGAATCAATACTGCCTGCAGCATATATTTCCCGCCACTGCAACAACTGCCGGCTCATGATTTTGATCAGGCTTGATATGACTGATCTCTTAACTCATATCCATGGTTCTAATAAAGCAATTTGCAAAATACCTGCTCCTCTGCAAGGAGATACAGCATCTGCTGTATAAAGGCAGAGGTTCAACAGATTCATACACAGATGGGAGCAGAAGAACAACATGGAGAAAGCAGTAAACCACACATACAGAGTAACTAGCAGCATCGCGGCCCTCCGTCACTCTAAACTGCCTCAAAAACAGTGGTGCACATCATTCGAAATCAAGAAAGGGGGTTATGCCTACTACTTGGAGGAAGACACCGAGCAAACGATCAACATACTGATCATTTCCAATGACTTCTTTGAAGCAATGAGGAGATTGCAAATTGTATGCAGTAGCAAACTGAGACCGTGTGTGAAGCTCTGGCAATATTCGTTGGCTTCCGCTTTTCATTTGGATCTGTCTGTTTTGTTTTGCTGCTTATCAGCGCCTCCAAATATGTCAATCCTCCAATTATGTCAATGGCGATTGACTCCGACGTCTCGGTCTTTGATAGCGGGTTTCGATGGTATTGTCTTGGATTTACAATGGGCGGAAGAGTCTATTGAGGTAGAAGTGACTATACAGGAATCTTACAAGACTTGGTTCCTAGCCTGCTGATAGGGAGTGGTCTTGTCAGTAGTAAATGGTTTAGAGCTTCGAAGTAGTGGGAACTTTACATAAATACAGCACTGTCTACTGTCGATGTAGCCAAAGCCAACAGGTCACCTAAGTGCATGCAGCATGCGATCTCTGTTCTACTAGCACCACATGATTCGTCTCGCTTCACTGTGCATATTTCCGGACAGCAGCCAACGAATATACATACTATGTCCAAGCTGGTCTCCCGTCCGTAGATGCTTTACCCATGTATGTCACAAGGGATGCACATTTAGTCAAGAACCCCCAGACAGCTCATTCAATCTCTTAATAGCGATCTCCTTCAGCTTGAACTTCTGAATCTTGCCACTCGCCGTTTTGGGGAATGTATCGGTGGGAGGTAAGAAGAAGATATACTTGGGAACTGTCCATTTGTCAGCTGTCATTACCCGAATATTATATCCATTGCCTACGGAAACAATGCTGCAGGGTAAGTAAATAACGTAGACACTCACTAAGATGACTACTGAGTTTCTCCCTCACCCAGTCCTGGAGCTTCTTCTTCTCTTCGTCCTTCGCGACAGCTGCGTTCTCTCGGGGAATAACGAACGCGGCGACTGCTTCGCCGTAGCGCTCGTCTGGGACCCCTACTACTGATACGTCGAAGACGCCTGGGTGCTCGAGCAGGCAGTTTTCGATCTCGAGGGGGTGGATGTTTTCGCCGCCGCGGATGATGAGGTCTTTGATGCGGCCGGTGATGGTTATGTAGCCGTCTGGGGAGAGGGTGCCTTCGTCGCCGGTCTGGGGGTGTTAGGGTTGCATGCTGGATTGAGAACACTACAAGGGGAAAAAGGGTACTTACATGCATCCAAACCTTTCCTGTATCATCTGCCACCATCACTTCGGCCGTGCGGTCGACATCTCCCCAATACCCTTTCATCAAGAGATACCCACTGACAGCCAGTTCCCCAGGAGTATTAACAGGAAGCACTTGGCTGCGATCAGTGGGGCTCACGACCTTAGCTTCAACATGTGGCATGAGCCTGCCGACAGTACTAATTCGCTTATCAATCGGATCATCCGTGGTAGTCATAGCCGACACGGGGCTCGTCTCCGTCATGCCATAACAGATAGTCAGCTCGGTGAGGTTGAGCACCTGATGCAATCTCTTCATGAGCTCCGACGGAATACTGCTCCCAGCAGCGATGCCCGTTCTCAGCTGCTGAAATCCCTCGCTGGACACCTTGCCGCTTTGGATGAGGTTCAGCTCTTCCAGGAACATAGTCGGCACGCCATATAGCGCAGTGCACTTCTCGTCCTGGACGGCCTGGAGCGCGGCGTGAGCGCTGAACGATTCTGCGGGGAAGACTATGGCTGAGCCGTGCGTCGCCGTCGCCATGTAGCCCAGGACGGAGCCAAAGCAGTGGAAGAGCGGCGGGGGGCAGCAGACTATGTCCTCCGGGGTGAGGACCATGCGGTCGCCAATCTGAGAGCCATTGTTGAGAATGGATCGGTGGCTGAGACAGGCTGCTTTGGGCATTGCTGTTGTGCCGGAAGTGAATTGGATGTTTACAATGTCGCTGGGGGAGAGGCTCTGGGGCTTCAGCGCGGCTTGGTCCGCTACGGCGTCGGACATCAACGAGGAGTAGGAAGTTAGGCAGTTGAATTCAGAAGTATTCACTCGACCGGACGAGTTGTCGACGATAGTGACGCATTTAAGCGAGGGGACTAGCTCGGACTGTAGCTTCGAGGCGTGCGGGTCTTGTATCAGATGCTGTAGGAGGGGGACGTTGCTTCGGGGCTCCTTCCGGGGGAGATTCGACTCCTTACTGATGATGAGATGGCTCGCCTCGAGGTGATTCAGCGCAGCGACGACTTGAGTAGCGTTGAACGACGGATTAATTGGTACCTAGAAGAAGTTAGGTCCAAACCAAAGAAAGAGTGACGTGCCATTCCTACCAGGATCGCACCCAGTTTAAACAGTGCATACGTCGTCTACCCCCCATGGTCAGCCACCAACATCGCTGACTATCAAACCGACTTGTAACCAACATACGATGGAAAACTCCATAGAATTCCCAAGCATCAGGCACACGCGATCGCCCGCCCGCACACCTACTGACTCCAAGCCGCGTGCCAATGCATTGCTTTCGGCGTCGAGACCGGCGTACGTCGCTCGGTAGTTCTGATGTCTGCAGACGACCCTGGGAGCTTATCAGCTACCTTCTTCCGACAATCGGGCCCAGTAGGAAGCAGCGCACGCTGTTCGATCGCCGTATTGCTTGACAATACCGTTGAAGTGATCGCCAATCGTGCTCTCTATCAAGGGGGGCTAGCCATCCACATCATATGTTAGATCATGCTGACCATGTAAACCTCCAACAACCGCACATACCTCGGATGGCCCGCGAGCGTAGCTCTGCGTGAGCAGTCCTCTTCGTGACGAAAGCACCGATTGTAGAGGCCTCTTCCAATCACTTTGCTGCCGGGCTGATCCTCGAGGCAGGATCCCCACACGGCAGACGGGCAGTGTGATGCGCATTAGGGCTCGATCATTGGCGTAAGAACATTGCTAGTTATTCGAAGGATGTACCGTGTAGAAAGGAATTCCAGCCGAGGGAGAGGACGTTGGCGTGGTGGGTGTGGCTATCCCTTGCGTCAGGGAATAACTGCAGTCTTAGAGTCAATAGTAGGTAGGGTAGGAGTCTGCGCCACGGTCAATCGGCCACAGCTAGTCTATGTGGTTTGATTCAAAGCAGTATACCAACAGTCTGTCTTTTGAATTATCCACAGTTGCGAAGTAGTAGAAATAGAAGACAATGAGGGCGCTTAAGAGGCAAGCAGTTTGTCTGGTTCCCCTCACGTGGCGTGCGGGGTCGATGCATGTTTATCACCATCTGTCGCTGGGATCAGACTGGTCAATTCGTTTCCGAAACAGATAGAATTATGATACCTATTGTAGTATCTTTACAGCTCGTCGAGACTGGCATACAATAGGTAACAGCGCAATGCATATGTTGTCATCACAGCTTAGACTCTAGAATTCTATACAAAGTACAAAAGGTCACAAACTGATAAAGTACAGATCAAGCCTCCTTGGAAATGCAATCGCTCTCGCCACAGCGGCAGTTACCTCTAATACCCGTCCAATATGAAAGCCCATAGTCAATGGTGATCTCTTCGAACATGCCAATATCTCGCGCGGCCTCCACAGTCATCATGATCCGCTTGCCAATCGTGCGGCACTCAAACTTGGTAGACGAGTTGCAGGAGTGGCTGATGAAGCGAGTCCAGTTCCCATAGCGCACAGCGGAGATCAGCGCCAGGGATTTGTGCTGGTCGTTCTTGTGGATCAAGTTGAGGCTGTACACGGGGTCTCCGAGGTAGTTTTCCGGCCGGATCTCTCCCGTGTACTCACCCAGGATATCACCCTTTTTGAACTTCGTCAGCGATCGAATGCCCACTCCCTTATCAGGGTACTCGACCAGCTCGACCAGCGTCCCTGCCAGCCCATCCAACAGGCAGTCGCATGGATCGTCTGACCCGCAGAGGTCACAGCTCCCATGCTCCGCGGTCCGGATCGTGGGGTCCTCGCCGGTAAACTTCTCGGGGTCAAAGATGCAGTTCTCGGTGTTGATCTGCCGGGTCTTGTCATGGTGTGTTTTGGCCAGGGTGCCGTCGAGCTGGCGAACAATCTGGTGCGGGTGCATATCGGTCAGCTTCGACGGGGGCTCGGCCAGTGCGTTCTTGATGCGCACGATGCCGGACTTCAAGTGAGGGCTCAGCAGACCGCGCCAGTCGAGATTGCGCGACCGGGCAAAGATCCCCAGACTCAGCGCGTTCTTCTCGCACGCGTCGATGAACGCCTCCCAGAACCCGATGTCTTGCTGATCCCGACACATGATGCGGAAGCCGTCGGAAAAGGCGCAGATGGCCAGCATCTTCCAGCCTAGCTCCTGCGTGAACAGGTCGATCCCGTCAAGCCGGCACACCACATCCGTGTCTTTCTTATTGCATGGGTCCACCTCTTCGACATTCAGGTTAGCAACTATGCGGACGACCTTGTCCGCTTGTTCGAATTGCCATTTGTAGAAGGGAAGGAATTCGGTCCGTTTCAGCCGTCGGACTGCTCGGTATGTGATGCACACGCGGTTTATGTCGTAGTAGATTGCGGCAAGAAGGTCGGAGATCGATGCGGCGTAGTGTGCAGCCTGTCTGGACTTTCTGAGCTCATCCTGTCGATGCTTTGCTGATTCTGTTACTCTGAGCTTTTTGACCGTTTTGCTTGGATTAGTTGTCTTCGCTACTTTGTCTGTCTTCGTTGCTTTAGCTGTCTTTACTGCCGTTGTCATCTTGGTGGCATCGCTTGTCTTGGTAGCTTTGGTCTTGGTTGCCAGGTACGAGACTTTCGAAGAGCGAAGTTGTACCTGTCGCGTTCGGGCCATGTCCTTTGTTGTACTCCGTTGGTGCGTCCTGTAAACGAGATATCAATAGATTCAGCGTGTAGATAGATGTGCGAATGGTCCAAAGCCACGCGCTGTCAGAGAAAGTACTATTGCTTTATATCAAGCTCTACAGGAAGCGTCCCGTATTTTAAATAATCGACAATGCCCATTTCCGCGTCCCAGGCGCATAGTCTCTCAAAATAGCAACTGCTTTCACCATGTTGAAGTCTTTGATCAGTCCGTCTGGTTGGGGTCATTCTCCAATGCAGATAAAGGGATACATGTCGTGCAAAGAAACCACGCGGTTCAAACAAAGGGCAATTGTCGCAAGTGGTCAGGGGAATCATTGTTCGGCTTCCTTGTGCCACGGTTCCGAGAAAGCCGGGTTGAGATATGTTCATCTCTGATACAAGACAATGAGACAAAGGAAACAAAAGCTTCCAATCAGTCTGTGTTTTTTTTTTTTTTTTGAATGTCTGTGTTTGGGTTTCATCCTCACACACATGGTGCCGATCAGCACGACCATCTGTGACGAGACCCTGTTGGCGCTATACCAGAAATGATGGCGACAGCAACCTCGGGTTACGGTTTCTCATCGAGCTGAAAATTGCTGATCACAGAGCGGTTTCTCGTTGAGTACGACAATGTTTTGTATATGCAGACTGCGGCGCAGCTCCCCTGTAAGCGTCCGAGGCTATGCTAGACTAAGTAGGCCCTGCCGTTTTAGCCTGCTTACGATGCAGTAGTCGCGGAAATTGATGCGAGCACATTCGTCGATATCAATACATTTCTGACGCCATTTCTGGGGGCCGGTTAGTTAAAGCCTCGTCTAAGAGTGGAGGGTTTCGGGATAGGAGATTAGGTCGTACGTGGTTCAGCCTCGTGGGTAGATTAGGCGTATTTAAAATGATGACGCCCTCGAAATGAGAGGATGCATGCGATTTGGGTTTGATAGACTTTCCCGTCCCAGGTTCTTGCACCATGGACTTCTTCTACCTGGGTCTCGTGGTTTCGCTCGTGGGATTCAGCCCTGCTGTAGAGGCAAAGGCCCATTTCAATCAGCATCTGCAGCCCCTCGAGTTTCCACAACCTCGCAGACTGTCTGCTGCGAGTTCACCGGCCCGTATACAAGCGAGGGCGGATTCTCCACAGTCTGTGCTGAGCAACACTGCGAGCTTCGACTACCTGCACGATGGTGAAGAGAGCGATTCTGAGTCTGTCTTTGCAGCGACGGTAGATGTAGCGTCGCACTGGCCAATTTTCCTCCTAGAGGACGTCGACGCACACATGGAGGATGTATCCTGCTCGGAGTCCCAAATCCAGCTGGTGTTTGAATCGATGGACACCATGCACAATGTGAGAAGACAGGTCGAATCCATCGGCGACTTTGTCATTGTCACCACGCACAGCGGTTGTGACCCGGAGGGAGAGAGATCTGCGCATCGGTAAGCATATCAGGGTGTCTCGCAGTGAATACAACTAGCTCATACATAGCTAGGGTTACCAAAGCCACCTTCGACCCGGATCGCCAACTGGCAACATTAGAGAAGACGCGGTACACCTGGCAAGAAGCTTTCCACTCCACCGAGGTGTCATTCTCTCGCAGACACCACTCGTCGATCCGAAAACGCTCGCATACTCTCGCCAAGCGACAGGAACCACATCCGACTACGACCAGCAGTCATTCCGCGACGGACGCTGAATTCACGCCGACCATCTCCTTCCCAAGTGTCACCGCCACAACCCCGTTGGCATCGACAGCAACAAAGTCTCTCAATGAGCACTACAATGATCGGCAAATTTGGCCTCCCGATCTTCCCGGTGCGGATCTAATCGGGTGAGTGGACGGTGTCCGATCTCCATCCATACAGCACTGGTGGCTCATCTCATTCTGTAGACCAGAAGGCGTGACGGTGTCCTGCAAAACATGCTCCCTCGAAGGGGAGATCGAGATCACCAAAGGGTCATTCCGGGTTTCGGACTCAAATGATCTCTCGGATATGAGTGACACCATTGCTTTTCTCGACCATGGAAGTATCGAGATCGTGGCAAAGAAGCTCGCTGCGCAGGTCCAGCTTGGCTTGGACTTTGTCTTGAGCCAGCCGCTGATATCGTTGAATATGACGCTTCCTACGATTCCGCTCACTCCGTTTGAGGTAACATTTTACTCACAGCCGCAAATCAAAAAAGCTAACAGATGTAGATCCCCGGTGCTTTGGCATTTGGGCCGTTGATCGAACCCCACTTGTCGTTCAGCGTGAGCGCTGTGGAAGAGATAGGCTTTTCGTTTGGCTTCAATGTTTCGGTGAGTTGGTCTCGAGACTTACTTGGTGTCGTCGTGTTTAACTGGTCACAGGTCCCCGACAACTCCAACATCATGATCAACATGACTGATTTCTCCAACTCCTCCATTTCCGGCTTGTAAGCCAATCCATCCCTTTATACAAGCCCTAAGTTAACACCAACCAGCGACGAAACCACCTTCCACACACTCCCCTTCGAATCCACCTTACCACTCGTATCCCTAATAACAAGCGCTTCCTTCACCCCACAAATCCTCCTCGGAATCAGCACTGCCAAAGGCCTCGTATCCGGCGGAATCGGGGCTTTCTTGGAGCTCCCAAAGCTCGCCCTAAACATCACGCAACTAAGCGACGTCGACGAGAAATGCGAACCATCGTCCGAAGACACCAAGTCTTCTCTCGACGATCTATTTGGCAACTTAACCAATTTCATCCCTTCGGTGGATGTGAACATGGGCGTGCTGGCGGACTTTGGAATCGACATGGGAAAGGAGCCCCAGAGCACGGCTGTTCAAACGGTCGTTGCGTCTACGGGCTATCCGCTTCCAACTCAGTGCTTGAAGTTTGATCCGGATGAAAAGACGTTTGCCGTTCCTACGCCTTTGGCTAAGGTTGCTAGTGGGAAGGCGGCTGATGGGGACAAGGGGGAGAAGGGTGGCGTGGGGAGGGTTGGGCCGAGGATGGTGTCGGTGTGGGCATTCGGTTCCTTTGTTCTTGGACTATGTTTCTTCTAGATCAAGCATAGTATAAGATGGTGATATATATAATATAAAGACATGGGTACTATCTGCATGGCAGATAATGTCACTACACAACAAATTCATGGCTACGCTCCCTATCAGACCCACAACTAGCCAAATATCAAATCAAACAAATACCCAAACCAGCCTACAATCAATTCCCACTCGACTTCACAAACTCCGCCGCCGTCCCCAACTCCTCAACAACCTCCTTCCCCGCAACCTTAAACGGCTCAACATCCTGCAAAATAAACATCATCCTCACCCACTCCGTCTGGCTCGTATTCGCCCACGCATGCATAGTCGCCCTTTGCACAACGATATCCCCCCTCCCCAGCACCTTCTTCTCCCCCGAATCAAGCACCATCTCAATCGATCCCTCCATAATAACGCCGATATCGAGGCTGCGCGTGCGATGCATAACGCACGAGCTCCCCGGCGCCAAGTCCACCACGCGGCAGACCGTGCCGTTGGGAGCGACCACTCCCAGCTTGTCGGACGCCACGGTGGCGTCGTGGGCGGCGAGGTCGGCATCGTTGGCGAGGTTAGGCCGCATGGAGTTTGTGTAGACTACGTTGAAGGCCATGCCTTGGTCTGGGACGGGTTGCATCTCGGTGAGGGTGTCCCGCTCGATGATCGATTGACCGGTTTGGGGGTTGTAGCCTGTTATGCAGGCGGTAATGGGGGGGAGGGGCGAAGGGTTCGCTTCGGGGGTTTTGGGGTCGTTCGTCATTTTTTTAAATGTATATAACTAGATGGTTTTCTGTTGAGTGTGGGTTGGAGAGTGATGTAGTGGAAAGGAGGTAGATGGAACGGTTGCAAGTATGGCAAGGTGGGCAACCCCGCAATGGGGGACTCTTTAACTTTTTAATATAATCGCCGCTACGCCAGAGCGTTGACCAACCTTTAGTATAGAATTAAATCTGACTGATATCCCCAGCGAAGTGTGTAGGATGCAGTGCCCCGCGCCATGTCAGCTTGTGGTACAACTATGCAGGCGGACAATTTTGGATCATAAGATAGATAAACTGAGTGGAACCCGGTATGACGGTCATCACAGGGCTAGGATGATGCGAATCATATGATTCGACACTACAAAGTAGAAGCCTTATTTTCTATATAATTGTGTATATAGCCATATTCTCCAGAAGTCAAGCTGGACGGGTGGGCCTCTCTAGGCCAGCCACTCGATTTCCCCTCGAAGCGCCGAGAAAAAGCCTCATAATTAATAGCACAGCTGATAGACAGTGTGGGCACTTGCATGAGCCTTGGGTGGGTTCCTGAAATCTTGGATGCGCAATGCGGCGTAGGAATATCATAGTGGTTGATTCGATTGGCCGTCGAGAAAGGTAAGCCCATACCTGCGGCACAAGCACAAGTGATCACCAGCACAAGGAGTATAAAGCTATTGACTGTGTTCCCCCTAAAAATAGTACGCCTCCAGGCACCGCTGCTATTCTCCGCTTTGAGGTCTCATCACTGGTTGTGGAGAGTAGCGGATAATTCGCTGGTTTTGGCCTGCATCTTCTCCCCCAGCATATTACTTTTATTGAACAGGTAATCAAGCACCATGGGCGTACAATTTTGTAATGATTGTGGAAATCTCCTTGATATCTCTTCGTTGGAGACCTTGCAGTGTGAACGGTGTGGGACAGCCGCGAAGAGTACGTTGATGTTTCTTCTACTTCCTCCAGTTTATGAGTTGACGGCTTCGAATCCCCTAGACGAAGCATTACTCCATACGCAGAAGTTTCCCATCTAAGCTTCGCGACAAATTGAGATCTCATACTCAGGAAGTCACGCGTGAAGCCATTGCCTCTGGTCCAGAGATCGACTTGGACTATATCAAGTGCCCATCCAAGAACGTCACGTATGCCCAGGTGCAGTTGAGGAGTGCTGATGAAGGGAGTACCATCTTTTATACCTGTTTACAATGTGGGCATAGGTGAGTTAGCTTTCACTTTCTATTAAGATCGACACTAATGTCAGCTTCATAGATGGCAAGAGGATAATTGATGACCTGGTCGAAATCCTTTATGGGTGAGACTCTAGTAAACACTATTATGGAATGATGAGCGAGAAACTAGACTTCCTCCGATTTTTTCCACTGTCTGTCATTGGTTCTGCGATCTCCTTGGTTGTTTTGGCGGAGGATACATAGTAGTTTCAAGGTGCTTTCAATCAGTGCTTGAACCTTACCATATCAACAACTGGTTTGAGACATTGATCAAGCGTCCAGGCTGTAGACCACTAGAGGATCGCAGCAACTTCCCTCGGCTCTTTTTTTTTAGCAGACACTGCAATCTAGGTAGACACCAAAGAATGACTACAACATTATTGGGTGGTGTCTATACTCGAATACGACCCAGCATATCAGATGACTCAACGCGGAGACATCGGGGTCCCAATGCGGAATAGCGCGTGAGCACGGCCTCAGGCCCTTTATCGCACGGCTCTCCCATCACGACAACTTTCTTCAGCCTTTCTTCTCTCTCTTCTCTTTTCTTCTCTGTCCACATCTGACACATCTCTCGATCAATCTGAAAATCCAGGAACCGTTAGCCGTCGCTACAGAAAGTTCAATTCATCTAAATTTCCAGCTTCGAGATCTCAAAAAGTGGTTCTAAGACCCGTTGGAGCTAACCCTAACACTTCTGACTTCTACTCCACACGGCTTCTTGCTGAGTACTACAGAGTCCACTCATATTTGCAACCATTACCCTATCTTTTCATAAACCACACTCTTACTTTCCTCCTTTTTCTTTTGATTACGCAATCTCATACGATGCCACCAGACCAGCTCCTGTTTCAAACGGGTCTCGGGGGTCATTCCCCCGAGAATGAGTTGCTCGATTTCGATCATTTCTTCCAGTTTCCGTCGGACGAGTCTGGGAGCGACCCAACCTCGGTCACCTCCATCTCCCCCAAGGATCTTGACTTGACCTACACCGAGACCGACATGTCCAATTGGGAGTCGCAGGCCGCATGGTGCCCCGATGCGTCCCTGGCCGACTGGATGAACGTCGACGCCTCCCTGGACATGGGCAACTCGTGGGACACGGGTGCGGTCCTGAACCCAGCGGACATGTTTCAGCTCCCCACTATTTCCTCTACGGATGAGAGCAGCGCGTGGGTACAGGACGTTCCCTCCCTCGGCGATCCGTTCTACTCGGTGCTGCGCGACATGGTCGAGTCCCAGGCCGCTGTCGACCCGCGTGCGTCGTCCGACAAGGAGAAGCGCAGAGAAGCGGCCATCGCGATCCACATGCAGCGTCTCCAGGATTCGTCGCTCGTCGATCTCAACCCCTCGTCCGACTCAACCACCAGTTTCTCGTCAGGGTGCTCAGTTGCTCCGTCGTCCGCGACTGCAGCGACCACGCCGCCTTCCGAATCCTCCCACCAGTCTCCCACTCCCGTGCCCTGTGGGGGGATGGAGATAGTGCTGGATTTGAACATGGACACGGCTACCAATCTGCCGAAGAAGCAGAAGCCGCGATCCCGCGCCCAAAAGGAGAATTACATCAACGTTCGAAAGCATGGGGCTTGCGAGAAGCACCGGAAGCAGCACAAGAGGGTACGTACCGGGGACTTCAACAATGTTTGTAATGATATTAATCTATAAATAGTGCAATTGCCTTGACAAGGCCGCTGCTCGGGTCGCCGTCACAGACGCTGCGGCTGTACCCAAGTCGGTGTTTGCGGAACGGGGACGAACTACAATGCGCCGGCGGGTTGACGAGATGGCATCGCCGAATGTACAACTCCCCACGACCGTTGACAGGGTTCGCCGCCATAAGATCGTGTCTCTCGATCCTTCCTGTGGCGTCCCAGAGATGGTGGCTGCTCCACACGGATCTCGCAGCTCCCTGTCTCTTCAGCAGCGCCCGGAGGTGGTGAATACCGGGCACTTTACCCGACACATGGTATCTACCCACGACCGGGTACTACCATTGGAGGGAGTTGGAAGACAGACGGTCGATCAGAATCCTTCAGTCCTCCGCCATGGTCGGAAGATATCCGACAAATCTGGAGGATCCGGACACCGGCCACTCCAATGCACGCAGGATTCATCGGTCCTTGGACATCGCGCGGCTTCGGGAGAAAACCCATCCTCTCCAGCTGTCACCCGATGCCCCAATGCCGTGGCCTTCCAAAGCGATCAATCAATGGTCGAAAGATACCGCCTCCGGCCCAAAACGCAGGCCGTGCGGTCCCCAGCCCTTTCAGCATCAACAAATGTTGTCCAGCGAGAAGCGGGCCTCACGATACAGTCTCTCCTCAGATCCGCAAGCTCCGTCATACAATGTACGATTCGTGGGCTTGCTTCTGTATGGCATTGTCCATCGGCACTGGTATCGTTGGCCGTCTATGGCAGAATCGTTATTTTCTCTTCTCGACAACATTGGCTCACTCGGAAGGGATTGGGGCTGCTCTAGCCCGGTGATTGATTGCGTCTATTAGCGAGTGTTTTTGGTGCAAATTTGGTCCAGCGGCTTGTAGCGATTGTTTTATGATCTGGTGATACCACGCCTGTTTTAGTTAGCATTGATTCTGCCAATAAAAGTATAAACACTGATTTACTTTCTCCTATTGATTAAGCTGTATGGTGCCTGTCTCTAGGTTGTGTACCCCGTCTCATTGGAAAACTTGTTCCATGGAACCAACGACTCGCCGGAAACAGCAAGTGCAGTGAAGTCATGTCACAACGATGCAAATATGCCGGACTCTACTCAAGTACAGCAATAACTTGGTGAACATATTGTATATAAATCATCCCATTCCAACCTCAAAGGTGTGGGGACGAACGCCAGAAAGCGCCCCCCACAGTAAGAAAACCCGCCCCACGCCATCCCTGCCTGAGGCGACCACCGGCATGGCCAGACTCTCCTTTTCGCGCCGCCCATCGCGAGGCCATCCGTATCAGTATCAACCTGTTCAAGACACTCAACACCCTGCTGTTCTGCATCGAGTCTTCCGCATTCCAGTAATCATGTGCGTGTCCCTCTGATATATAGATACTTACCCCGCCCCTCCCCTCCCTCCCACTTCAACAACACACAACCACAACCACAATATTTAGCGGAAATAAAACCAATACAGTACTGACATGTCCTCCAGACCCATCCTCCTCGTGCTCACGCTCCTCGCAGCCGGAGTCGCCATCATGGGTGAATCCCTCGCGTCTGCTAGTGCTTCTGCTCCCGCAGAATCGCACTTCCAATTCTCCACGGTCTCGGGGTACTTTCTCCAGGATGATCCCAATACGGATCCGGAGCAGTTCGACTACGTGAGGACCTAGCACTCTTCCTGCCCTCATCCATTTTAACCGCATATTAATAAATACGTGAGGCCCGGAGCAGTCCGCCACCAACTTCGGCCTCATTCCCCGGGCCTACGAGGCAGACCCCGACTTCGATTCAGAGCAGAAGCGCACCCAATGGGAGCGGTTCGCTACCGAAGTCCACCGGTTAAACCGCGACAGCGCGTCCAACGTGTTCTACAAGGTCCTCTTTTTGGGCCGACACGGTGAAGGCCTGCATAATGTTGCTGAGGCGCGGTATGGGACTGAATTGTGGGATGTATGTCCCCCCCCCCCTCTTGATTTAATTTGATTTTCTCCGTCTTCCAATATGTTATACAGTGACTAATATATGTAAAGTGCTACTGGTCCATCCAAGACGGCGACGAAACAGGCTCATGGGTCGACGCCCGTCTCACTGATCTGGGCATCGCGCAAGCTGAGCTCGCCCACCGCACGTGGGAAAAGCAGATTGAAACTGGCATCCCGGCCCCACAGTCTTACTACGTCAGCCCGTTGAACAGGTGTCTCGCGACGGCGAGTATCACCTTTAAGGGGTTGAATATGCCGCTTACGGATCCATTTCAGCCGCTGATCAAAGAGGTATCCCCCCCCTCCCACCACATCTCTACATACAATGCACCCTCAACCCAAACAACCAGTCCAACTAATAAAACAACACAGAACCTCCGCGAAACTCTCGGCCTCCACACCTGCGACAGCCGCTCCACCAAAACAGCCATCACCACTGAATACCCAGAGTACAAAATCGAGCCAGGCTTCGCAGAGACAGACCCGCTGTACGACCCCAAGCTCCGCGAGAGCAACTCCGCGCGCGACGCCCGTCTGCTCGGCTTTCTGCAGGATGTGTTCGCGCACGACGACAACACCTTCCTGTCGATGACGGCGCACTCGGGCGCTATAACTAGTATTTTGGAGGTCACGGGGCATAGGGTGTTTGCGCTGTCTACTGGGGGGGTGATTCCTGTCTTGGTGAGGGCGGAGCGTGTGGATGGGCCTTTGCCGCCTAGGGAGGTGGAGCCGCCTTTTCCGGCGCCGGTTTGTAAATAGATAATTCTTCTTTGGATGGAGGAGTAGTTGGATATTCTTTCTTCTTCGCCTTCTTCTTGTTCATTATTAAGCTGGTTACATATATCAGAGGTGTACAATATTTACTACGGTGTAATTCTAGAAACGAATACTACAAACAAAAAAGAAAGAGATAAGTAATTCCGTATAATACATTGGTGAACCAAGCCGCCAGACAAAATCCACTATGAAAGCTTTCTTCCAATCTTGCAGCCAGAATACGCTGTTCGACACCACGGGACAATCCTTGAAATGTCTAAGATATACATACACTAACGCCGAATAGACAAAACAAAAGGAAAAAGGGCGAGATGAAATGAGATAAATCCGTGAAATCACCAACTATAGTACTGGTTCTGGGCGGAAATCTTCCGGTCCGGCAGCTGCGTCCACAGCTGGGACTTGCGCTGGCGAAGCGCCTTGGCGTCGCGGTCTTGCCACTCGCGGATCCGCGTCTTCTCTTCCTTGAGCACGACGGAGAGGGACGTGTAAGGCGGACGCATCAGGTGGATGACGCCGCGCGCGCGGTGGTCGTAGTCGACGCCGTAGGGTCCGCGGTTGACCCACGCCTGGTCGATGTAGATGGACGTCGGGTCGGCGATGGCCTTGCGCTCGCCGGACTTGAGGACGACGTTGACGGGTTTGGTCGGCGCGTTGGCCTCACCGGTCAGGCCGAGGCCCATACCGGAGCGGACGACGGCGACGTTCTTAGCGTGCTTGAGGTGCTCGAGGACATCCTTCGCGGCCTTCTTCTTGCTGAACCGCATCTGCAGCATCGCCTCGTCGATGTTCTTGCCGGCAATCTGACGCGCCAGGGGGCCCAGCTTCTTGACGGAGGTCTTGAACCAGTGCGACTTGGACAGGGACTCGCGCTCGGAGCGCAGAATCTGCTGCGGCTTGCTGAGCCGGCCCCGGTGGCGGATCTCGCGGATGACCATCTTGCGCTCCCAGCGGATGCGGGCCTGCGGGCGCGGATCCAGCACCGGCGCCATGGTCTCGCGGTTGCGGGCCTCGGCTGCCATGGCGCCTTCTTCGGCCTCCGTCGGGGTGAGCTCGGCATCCTGTTTGCGGGCGGGCATCCGACCGCTAGGGATCAGTTTGGGGCCGGCTTCCTCCTCTGCGAAGATGGAGTCTGCGCCGAGGGAGCCCTCGCGTTTGGGCGGGGCGGTCGACCGCCGCGTGATCGTCGGTTTGGCGTCCTTGGAGCCGCCGAGGAAGAAGTTCTTGATGCTGGAGAGGGCGGATGGTTTGGAGGGCTTCTCGGTGGGAGGGGTGTTGTTGTTGTTGTCGCCGTCTTCTTGGGCTCGACGGGGGAGGGTGTAGGTTAGGGTGCGGCGAGGGACGTAGGAGATGCCGGTCCGAGCTGGGGGGGGTGGTTAGTTGGGTTGCATGGGAGAAGTGATGGATGGATTTAGTGGACGTACCGGATCGAGCCAATGGCCCATAAGGGTGGAGAGCAGCCATTGAGGCCATGGCGAGGGATGGGGGGTTGGGTGGTGGACGGAGGTGAATCTATTATGATTGAATTGATGCTGGAAAAAAGTGATCGAGAAAGTCGGTCTTGGCTGCGGTTGTGGTCGGAGTGGGTGACCGTATTGATGCCTGGTGGGTAAGGCAGGATTCAGTCGTTATGTCCACATGCGATGTGCATATACCAGTTTACTTCTTGTTCAACTCATTGGGTGTGCTGTCAATGTAGACTGACCTTACATGTTTGTGCTACTGTAACAATGCCCAATAATATCACCCAGTATTGATCGGACTGGATTAATTACTACAGTACTGGGCTACTGGCAATATATTATCCATCTCGTGGACTGGGTAGTCAGGACCCGTAGACTCAAGCATCCTCCCATTGACCGGAAGATAGACTCAAGCCCTGCGTAGGCTCTTGTAGGTACTCTTCCCTGAATGCTCTATTCATCTTCACCCAATAATCCGCGCCGGGAGATGGTCCTCTGTTGCCTCAGGCCCGTATGATCTCACGTGAGGTGTTCCTGTACGATTACCTCATCGCTGCCTGAACATCAATCGATCTTCATGATCATGGAGATTATCTTCCTTTTTCCTTGTTACTATTTAAATTCAATAGATAAATAAATAAAGGATGTATCTATTCCACTAAATTAGCAGCTCGATCAATACGAGACCCCGTATGGTGCCTTGTCGGCCGTTCTGATTGGTGTCACTGACCTTCCCGTCTTCCATCATCGTCATCTTCTCGGCTTCATCTCTGCTTCATCTTCATCTGCATCTTCCCTCCCATCTGCCTCCTCACCCCATCCATTCCATCTGTACAGATCTCCTTTTATCATCGACTTTTGGTCGAACCGTGGGTGTCTCCTTCACGGTTTCCCCATCGGTTTTCCTTTCTTCTTCCTTCATTTCTTCCTCCCTCGTCCATCTTGTAGTGGTGAGAAGTGAAGACCGACAAATCTCCACCGCGTCGATCCCACTACTTCCCATCGGTACGCTCATCGTCCATTCGTCTGTTCTTTTTTTCCCATTTTGCTCTCTTCCCCTCCCTCTCTTCTCCTCTTTTCTCCTCTGTGTGTCAGATATACCGGTGTATATCACCCTCATACTCCACCCATTCTGCTACCTTTGGACTTCCGCCTTTCAGGCCGCCCGCTGACCGGCTCGACCAGCCCGCCAGCAGAGCTTATTAGCTTTGTTTTCTGCCCCCTCCGCCCCGTGTCTCACTCTCCACGCTCCTCCAGCTCTCTCGACCACTCCGATCGTCATCCTCTCCGCCTTGACGGTGAAAAAGGAAGTCAACAACCAGAAAAAATCAACCAAAAAAAGAAAGAGAGAAAAGAGAAGAAAACAGGAGAAAAGAAAGAATTGGCACAAAAGACACTACAAGAAATTAGAGCTGTCTTCGCAAAAATAGAAAAGAGATTCGGTGACACTACCGAGGGGGAAAAATCTACCCGTCTTGATCGTTGAGCCGCTGTTTTTTTTCTTCGCCTACGCAACCGACAGTTCGGGACCCTCCCTTCTCCAACCGGTAACAGCGAAAACAACAGCAGAGGAACGACAAAGAAGGAAGCGAGGACAGAGAAACAAAGGAACAAAACGACTCGGTCCACCACTCCCAGTTCTGAAGTCTGCACAGGCTGTGGTCGGAGCAGGAATGGACTCGTTGATGAGGCAACTTGCGGCTGCTCGTTAATTCGGACTCTTATTTTCCTATCTTTCCTTGGACCTCTTCACCAGTTTCGGTGACTCGGTCATTGCCCTCAATTTCTAATTTCGCTTCGTTTCCCTGTCGATCGGGCAACTTTTTTTTTTTTTTCTCTTTTATCTATTGATCTTGTTCCTCTACCCAACTAAATGATGGACATCAATTCACTCCTTTCGCCGCAGGATTCTAGTTCACAGTCCGGGCGTCCTGCGTCGGCTCCGGCTCCCTCGCCTACTCCGAACACTTCCGCCCCGGCCACGGGTCCAGCTCCCAAACCGTTACGCAAGAACCGCGCGGGTGCCACGAGACAGGGCATGACCTCCTCCCCCCTGGCGCAGCACGTGTACGCCCCTCAGAATCTGCCCGAGCCGTCTCCGCCGGCCATGAGTCCCATGGGCCCCAGCAGCGGAACGCCCCCTCCTCCACCCCGGCAGCCGTCGACCCCAGGCATGGATACCCTCGCCGATCTGGCTTCCATGCAGCATCACCAGCCCCAGCGCTCCAACACCCAGATCCTGCGCAATACGGAATCCTACGAGAGCCAGCTGTCCCCGTCCACCATGTTCCCGCATGTCACATCCATCGCCCACAATACCCCGATCCCGCGGTCCTCCTTCGACATCGCCATGTCCGACGGCCCGCGCGAGAGCGCCCGCCGGAACTACACCGCCACGTCCTTGGTCCCCAACGCACAGCGGATGGCGACGGAGCTGTTCGGTCAGATTCAGGAGAATCCCCAGTCCTACGATGCGCATGTGAACTTCGTGCGCCTGCTGCATGCCGGCTTCATCAACCACGTCTACCCGCCCAACAATCCCGACGTCCACGGCGACCCGCGCCAGTACGACCTGCTAAAGGACATGCGCACGGCGCGCGAGGAGATGCGTAAGCTCTTCGCCATGGGCGAGGATCTGTGGGCCGAGTGGATCCAGGACGAGAGCATGTTGGCCCGGTCGGTCGATGAGCGCATCGCCGTCATGGAGCTCTGCGTGAAGTCCGTGAAGGAGGAGTACGGGAGCACCAAACTGTGGAGCATCTATGGGGAGTGGGTGCTGTACCTCTATAATGCCGCCCACGGCGAGGCCGGCCAGGGCCAGTGGTCCGAGGAGGACCGCCTCGTGGGCCGGGAGGTTTTCACGTGGCAGTCGGTGCTGGACGTGTGGCGCCAGGGCGCCGAAGCCACCCGCTTCCGGCTGGCCGACAGCCATCTGATCTGGGATCCGTTGCTGGAGCTGCAAATGCGGGACGTCTCCCAGAATCCCACCCAGGAGAGGGTCACCCATCTCCGGGCCCTGTTCGACTCGCGGCTGCAGACGCCCCACGCCACCTGGGACCAGACCTTCCAGCTGTTCTCCGGGTTTATCTCCCAGTACTACAACGCCAACTACGAGAGCATCATGGCCGAGACCGCGGCGCGGTACGCCACTCCCGTCAAAGACACGTACGCCGCCCGGGAAGGGTTCGAGATCCGACTGCGCCAGGCGGCCGAGACCGGCGACGCGACCGCTGAGTGGGCCATCTACGCGGAATACATTGAATGGGAGCTCAACCGCAACCGTCGGAAACGACTGTCGACTTTCGACCTCATCAATGCCCTGTATCAGCGCGCGGTGCTGCGCTTCCCCACCGACGCCCACATCTGGGAGGATTTCGTCATGTTCCTCATCAACGAGTCGCTCCACGGCAACACCCACACCACGACCATCTCGACCCTGATCCGCGCCACCCGGCACTGCCCGTGCGCCGGCACCCTGTGGTCGCAGTACCTGCTGAGCTCCGAGCGCGAAGGCGCGACCTTCGCGACGATCGCGGACATCAAGCACAAGGCCACGAGCACCGGTCTGCTGGACGCGGGCGGCATGGAGGAGGTCCTCAAGGTGCACACGGCCTGGTGCAGCTACTTGCGTCGGCGCGCCTTCCTGTCGGACTCGACGGACGAGGACCTCGACGTGGCCGAGGTCGGCATCCGCTCCGCCATCGAGAGTGTGCAGGAGCTCGGCGAGAAGAAATACGGCCGGTCGTACCAGGGTGACCCGCTGTTCCGTCTGGAGCGCATCTACATCCGGTACCTCAGCGAGAGCGGCAGCTGGGACAGTGCCCGGGAGACGTTCAAAGGGCTGGTGAGCCGTCGCGGCAACAGCTACGAGTTCTGGCTGACCTACTACGAGTGGGAGCTCATCTCGTGGAGCAAGTTCGTGCAGGGCGAGGCGACCGCCGATGCGGCACGCCGGACCCCCAACCCCAGCTACGCCACGGCCGTGTTGCAGGAGGCCGTCAAGCGAACCGACCTGGACTGGCCCGAGAAGATCATGCAGACCTACGTCTCCCACTGCGAGGATTACGAGGATTCGGAAGAACTCCAGCTGGCCCTCCTGGAGACTCGCAAGGCCACGCGGGCGGTGACGGCGCGGCGGGAACGGGAGGCCCGTGAAGCGGCAGCGCTGCAGGAGCAGCACGCCGCCGCGTCGGCGGAAATGGCCACGCACACGGAGAAGCGGAAACGGGAGGACGAAGTCAGCGTCAACGGCCTGCCCACGAAACGCGTGCGAGCCGAGCCCGTTCCGGCGGCGGAGGCGGAGGCGGGAGGCCCCCCACGCGATCGGGAACATGCCACGGTGATGGTGAAGAACCTGCCGCCCGGGATCACGGAGCACAAAGTACGGCAGTTTTTCCGTCATGTAAGCGCCCCCTCTCTTTCTCTTCCACTGTCGTTGTGGGATGCGGATGTATGCCTCGATACTAACGAGTCGCAGTGCGGTACGATCAACGGCGTCAGGATGCTGCCCGGTGAAGGCGGAGGCTCGGAGGTCGCCATCATCGAATTCAATTCGCGCGACGAAGCCCTCGTGGCGCAGACGCGCGATCAGAAGTTGATGGATGAGCATGCGATCGAAGTGCAGTTCACGACGGAGGCGACGTTATTTGTGACGAATTTCCCCGCGACCGCCGATGAGGCGTATATCCGCCAATTGTTTCAAACAGTAGGACACCATCTCCCAGATCCCATTACATAACGAATGGTGGACCAAGCTGACCATATCCAGTACGGTGACATTCTCGACGTGCGGTTTCCTTCGCTCAAGTACAACACGCATCGCCGATTTTGCTACGTGCAGTTCCAGGATTCCGGCGCAGCCTACCGGGCTCTGGAAGTGAACGGAACCAAGGTCGACGGATCTGAATTGAGTCTGGTAGTAAAGATTTCCGACCCCGCGCGCAAACAAGAGCGCCACGGCCCTATGTATGAGGGGCGCGAGATTCACGTGTCGAATATTGACTGGAAGGCCAGTGAGAACGATATCCGGGAGTTGTTTGCGCGGTTCGGGGGGGTCGAGACGGTGCGTCTGCCTCGCAAGGTTGATGGGGGCAGCAAGGGGTTTGGCTATGTGATTTTTTCCACCAAGGTATGTCTTGATTGATCTTTCCAGTAAAGGGCAAGATACTTACATATCACAGGAAGAAGCACAAGCGGCGTTGGCCATGCACGAGCAAGAATTCCGGGGCCGACCCCTCCACGTGAAGATCTCAATCCCCCAAGGGCCCAAGCGGAGCGCCACGACGATAGTCTCGCAGGTTGGTAAGTCTCAGTCGCCCGAAGTGAACGGCTCGAAAGACACCGGAGCCGAGCGAGAGCGGACGGCGCGGACGCTGGGGCTCATGAATGTGCCGGACACGGTCAACGACGCGCGCATCCGCGCACTGGTGGAGCCGTACGGCCGACTGATCAAGATCATACTGCGACCTGATCACCAGGGGGCGATCGTCGAGTTTGCGGATACACAGCACGCAGGCAAGGCGTCGCTCGAGCTGGAGGGACGGGAGATCGCGCCGGGGCGACGACTGCACGTGGGGACGGTGCCGGAGATGCTGAAGCAGTCGGCGGAGAGGAAGGGACCGGGGGTGTCGAAGCCGACGGAGAAATTCCTCCCCAGCAGTGGACCCATCAAGCGACCGCCGCAGCCGGGGGCTCGCAGCGGGAAGCGGGGAGGGCTGGGGGTGAAGCGAAACCCAACAGCGACAGCGACACCCTCGGCGACACCCTCGGCGACGACGACGTCTGGTGATGGTGAGACGAGCAAAAAGAGCAACGACGATTTCCGAGCGATGATCCAGGGGAATCGGACGGGGTGAAGGGCAGAGGGCCGGCGCAAAGGACCGCAGGGCAGTTTTGGCGTTTGCAGGGGCTTCATTCCCCCTTTATTGGTGTTACCTAAATGATGTGTGTGTATGATCACGTTCTGCTTTGAGCGGCTGGTTCTACGGCTGCCGTGTAGATTATCTGCATTATTTATTATCATGATGGTGTGTGTGGCATTTTATAGTTGAAGGTAGATCTATGGAGTAGATGGAGATGATTGATTAGCGATAAAATCCCGCAAGCGGCATGACCCACCAGAGCTTGAGCTTCTCCACCCCGTGGAACATCATTCCCTCCCTTCACCTTCATTCCCTCCCTTGGTCATCTTTGGTCATCTCTCTCTCTCTTCTCGTTTATCTAATCTAGGGAGTTTGATCTATCATCAACATCTCATCATCGTATCATCCCCCCCAACCCATCAATCTACGTGGCCACACCACACCACAACTGCATCTCACCCCGCCCGTCCAAACCGCAACTGCGTCATCAACAAGCAACAAGTAGCGCACGTCCGGTGTCAACACCATGGATTTCCACCTTGTGCCTCGGGGGGAGGATCGTAATTATACGGGGTTTTTGACCAAGACGATTGTTTATATTGGGGGGTTGATGCTGTTTATTGCTTGTTCGTTGCCCACTCCACTTATCTAGGCATCTACATATATCTGTATGAGTGGGACTTACGCAGGGGCAAATGTGAACAGCGTTCGGATTGACGGTCTCTTCCATCGCTATTCCGAAATGGGTGACTTATCACAGCGACTCGGTATACCTACCCCTCCCCACCCTCAAATTAAGCATTGAATTCAAATACTAAGAGAAGGGTGGGAAAATAGAAACCAGGCTACACCTACACCTACGGCCTCCACCGGCGCTGCTCCTCGCTGACAAACACCTGCGAATCCTTCCCCAGCAGCGAAGACTGCCACGCGGGCGACCGCTACTTCTGCTCCATGTGGCGGTCGGTGGGGTTCCTGATGTCGTTTGCGGTGGTGCTGGAGGGGATGAGTCTGGTGTCCTTTTTTGTGGTGCTGTCGGGGGGGAAGAGGTTGAGGGAGAGTGGGTGGAAGGTGTTGAGTTTGCTGATCTTGTTGAGTGCGGTGGTGCAGGTTGGGAGTGTTAGTTTGGTTGTATCTCTCCCTTTTTTCTTTCCCTGGTTTCTTTTTCCCCTGTTGGGGGTTGGGTTTGCATACGAGGCTAATGATACAGGCATATCTCTACGACAACGAAGACAGATTCTTTGCGGGGTGGCAGCTGGATGAGTCGTGGGTGTATTGCACGGTGTCCTGGGCGATTAGTCTGTTTTGTGCAGGGGCGTTGATCGCTGCTGGGAGGAGTTTGCCTTCTGAGGGCGGGTATGAGTTGATTCCTGACCAGGAGTGATCTTATCGACATCTGGGGATATGAGAAAGGTACTGCGAAGTATTCCAGTGGTGTTATGTGGTGTATATATGATACGAGTAATGGTAATGATTGATGTTTTACAGCAGTAGCAGCGTCGACAGTCAAAGTAAATAAATGAAATCAACCCTCCTAACCCTTTCCATCCCTTCAACCAGACCCAATCCCAGATCTAGAAGAAGAAGAAGGGTGCTTGAAGACAGGCAAGATCTCCACATCCGGAAACAGCAGCATCTTCCTCCTCTCCTCCTCATACTTCTCCAACTCCTTCCACAGACTCTTCCTCAACTCGTCCTCCAGCTTCTCCTCCAGCTTCTCAAAATAGTCCATCAGCTCACGGATGATGGCGCGCATTTCGTCAAATGTCTTGGGGGAGTCGGTCAAATCCACCAGCCAGGTAGGGACGGGGCAGGGTTGGATGCGCTGTTTTCGCTTCTTGGCGTTTGGTTCTTGCTGGGTGTTTTCTTCTGCTTCTGTTTCTTCTTGGGGAGTGTCTTCTGCTTCTTCTTGGGTGTTTGGTTGTTGCTCTCTCTCTTCTCCTTCTCCTTCTCCTTCTGGGAAGTACTCCCCCTCCCCCCCTTCTCCCCCATGAATACTTCCACCATCAGTCCCCCCCATCAAAAGATCAGTTTCAATATCAGCCTCACCATCCGTCCGAGAAGCCAAAGCCAACCCAAGAGCCTCCCTCCTCTCCAGCTCCCTCCTCTCCAGCTCCCTCCTCCTCCTAAGATCCTCCCTCCTCCTCAGCACAATCTTGAATAGATCCACACCCCCCCACTCCTCCAACCTATCCAACGAAACCAGCAGCAGCTCACACTGCTCCCGCGCCCAGTTGTGACACCGGTACCGCGCGCGCTGGTAGTGTTTCCGGCAGTAGTGGACCCATATTTCGTCCGGGATTTGCTTGGTGGTGGTCTTGTTGCGGCCGAAGACGTGGGAGATGAGTTTGCGGAGGGGGGGTGGTGGGGTGGTTGTTGTGAGCTCGCATGTTGGGTATTCGCATTCGGGGGTGCTTTGGATATCGAGAGGGGGGTGGGGATTGGGATTGGGATTGGGATTGGGGTTGGGGTTGGGTTTGGTTTTGCGGGGGGGTCGTTTGCGGGTTGGGGACATTTTCAGTTGTGTTCTTCTCCTTGGTGCAGGTTGTGGTGGTGGTGGTGGTGGTGGTGGTGGTGGTGGTGGTGTCTGGGTGTTTGGGGGGAGATAGTGGTGATGTGTATAGGAGTATGGTGTAGATCTGTAGACGGTAGGTGGAGTACTAGGGTTCAAGATGGAGTGGAGATGGTAGGGCCAAGATAGTAGAGTAAAGAAGATGTAGAGAGAGATGGAGTAGAGAGTGATAGAGAGAAGATAGAGATAGAGACTAAAGCAGAGAAGAGATATGTCCTTATATAGACAACCAGACAACAGACTACGTCCTGAATGAATTACATTTCCTCGAACATGACACCCTCCCCATCAAGACAACCATTGTCCATATATCGCCAGTCTCATTCATGTCAATCAGTCAGTAATTCATCAGTGCATCACATCAATCAATCAATCAATCATCATCAAAGTATCATATCAAACAATTCATTCAATCTATCCATCAATCATTCCATCAATCGCATCAATCATGATATGAATCAATCAATCAATCAAAAATCATAGTCTATGCAACCAAACGCCATACCCACTCAATAATGCATGCCCCTACAATGCCCCGAAAACATACCCAGGGGTACCCATTCATACCAGATCTACCCGGCATACTAAGATGCATACCCCGTCGTCAACCGCGGTACATACTTTCTCATCGCCCGTCCATGGTTGAACCCCACCTCCCCGATATCGATCGTGTTCAGCTCCCGGCTCAGCGCGTCCATCCCGCCTGGTGCGACCATCGCTGTGCTGGTCTTTGTTGGTGGTCCCACTGGCACCTTGGCGGGAATGGGTGGTCCAACTGTGGCTGGCGGTGCGTACATGGAAGCACCTGGCGAGTGGCCTCTGGCGTGGACGCCTGGGGAATGTCCCCTAGCGTGGAGACCTGGGGAGTGTCCCCTAGCGTGAAGGCCCGGCGAGAGTCCTCTGGCGTGGAGGCCCGGGGAGTGTCCACCCGGCGAGTGACCTCTAGTGTGTCCCCCCGCGTACCCCACCTGCAACCCCGGAGACCGTCCCCGCGCGGACCCGCCGTACGGTGCCGCAACGTTCGGCGTGCTGTACGACTTATTATGGTATCCGTATCGCGAACGCCCCCGATCCGGCTCAGCCGGGGGATCGGAGCCTCCCCCCAGATACGACTGCGGCCGGAGGGCCGGCCGGATGTATTCCTTAGGAGGTACGGTAGGCGGCGACGCAGCAGGGCTGTGTCGCGGCGTATTGCGGAAACGCACCACCAGCCCCGGCTTCTTGGGTTTGCGCTCTGGCTCTGGTGCCCACGTGTCCGTAGGCAGGTGGTCCGACGGGTCGATCTCCTTGCCGTCGTCTCCGATGATCGGGGTCGGCCCGCGCGCCGTCTCCTGCTCTGACCGCTGCGCGGCTTCCATTGACTGCGCTGGAGTGTCGTACGACGCGTGGGGGTCGCGGACTACGGCCGCCCGCGCTGCGTTCGGGTTGAACAGGTCGTATGAGTCGGGCGAGAACGGGATTTGGCCGCCCTCGCGCTCGCCGACGGGCGGCTGCGGGCTGACGGACTTGCGCTGCACTGGGTGCGGACTGATCGACTTGCGCTGCACTGGGTGCGGACTGACTGACTGACGATGTATCGGGTGTGGACTGACCGACTGGCGTCGCAAGGGCTGCGGGCTGACCGACTTCCGCAGCGGCACCATCTGCATATTCGTATTGGCCGACCCGCGGCGCACGACGACGGCGCCATCCTCAACCGACGGGTCCACGGGGTATGGCGGCAGCGACGCAACCGGCTCCGGCTCCGGCATCATCAGCTGGCGCTCCTCCAGATACGAGCTCCGGCGTCGCACCTCCCCCTCATACGCCATGCGGTCCGACTCGTCGTCGGCGACGACCGGATCAAACCCGGCGACTAGGCTGGGGGGCATGTGCGGTGCGTTCGTAGGCGGGGGGAGGTCCGTCAGGCGGGGTCCATCGGGCCGCAGCTGGGGCGGATGGGACCGGCGGAGCTCGTTGGAGGTCCGATGGGAGAGGCGCGCTTCGTGGGACGGGCGGGAGCGGCCCAGATCGTGGGACGAGTGAGATAGGCGGAGGTCGTGGGACGACCGGGGGGGCGCGCCATACTCTAGAGAGTAAGCTTGGTACGAGGAGCGCGGTGACGGTACTAACTGCTGATTAGCTCCGACCACGCCCGACCGGTGCACCGGGGGCGGAGGCGGAGGGCCCTCTTCTTCCTCCTCGTCCTCCACCCGCGGTTGCATCGTGGCGTACTCGGCGTGGTACCCGTCACGACTGGGCGGAGGGCGAGACTGCTCAGTGAGGGAATTGACCGGGGCGCGGTACGGGAGACGGTCCACTTCCATCGGCGCCAGGGGGTTATCCACGGGCGCGTACTCCAACGGCGCTTGCTCGTGGACACTGACCGAACCGCGCGGCGGGAAGCGGGCGACCTGGCCCAGGCGAGTCGCGTCAGCGCCAGGCGGGTACTGCTCCGTTGTTGAGAAGGGATAATTCGCGTGATTACTGGTGGGACGAGGTGCCTCGACCCGGCGGTCCGGCTCTGGCTGATAATAGTCGAGCCGGGGCGGCTGCGAAACCCCCGCGAAGTCGGCTGGAGGCATGTTGCTGTAGCCCGAATGCGGTCGCGCGTAGACGCGCGGATCATGGGCCGGGTGAGGTTGCGCATACTCTTGGGGTTGGCGCCTCGACAAGGGAGGGATCTGTGGTGCAGGAGGGATCTGGGTGGGGTGCCATTCTCTCTGCGAATCGTCCGGGAATTCATAGTTCCTCGCGGGACGGAGCGGGACCGGGGCCACTACCGGCTCCTGCAGCTCCGGGGCCTGGCGGGGGGCATAAACGGGTTCCTGGACGGGACGAGGGACTGGAGGCTGGACGGGCAGTGGTGCAGATGGCACCTTTTCCGGCAGTGAGGGTCGTGCTGCGGCGCCCGTGGGGTCACTGGGCAGGGGGCGTCGCTTGACATCCTTGAGCTGACGGGGGCCGGACAGGGAAGAGGAACCGGACATGGCGGGGGCGGAGGGAGCTAATGAGGTACTACTAGATTTCGCGACGATCTTGTCGGCCGCCTGGGTGCGTCGTTCAATGACAGCCTCATCCTCGGGTCGCGTATCGTAGTAAGTCATTTCAATGCGGATCTCACCCGCGTACTTGCCGCGGAACTGCAAGGGATGCCATTGGTCACTCTGACTGCCTCCGGGGATGATGAGGTCTTTCAAGCCGACCCAGGTCTCGCCAATCATATCGGTGCGCTTGTCATCATTGAAGACGGAGAGTTTGAGACGGAGGTAGTCGGGGGATTCGTGTACTGTGAACCGCAACTCCTGGTCCCTGTACCAGAGGTTAGCCATAAGACCTCCCATCGCGCGTCCCCAAAATGAAGGGAAGCTTACCATCTCGGGGTTTGACCACCACGCATATCGGTCTCGGTCTTCTTGGCTTCTTTGCCCAGACGCGCCGCACAGTAAGGGTTCTGTTTCCCCATGGTCTTGCGATTGGGCAAGTTTTTCGCGCGATCTATGACAGCCACGAGGGTGCCGATGGCGGGGCCATCGACGGACATGTCCGCGAAGATGCCAGCGGCATGATTGATGGAGAGTTTATTTGATTTCGACATGTTAAATTTAATGAACGAGGATTGTTGAGAGTGAAGTGAATCCACGAGAGCGGCACACTAGATGAGTTGCCAGGGAGGGGGAACAATCCCAGATGGCATTGGGAGGGATGCTCGATCGAGCAGAGGCTGGTTTTTGATATCGATCTCAGGATCGATGAAACAAGGAAGAAGACAAAGCAACCGAATCAGAGGGTCAGATAGAAAGAGGGAAGAGAAGAAGAGATGAAGTGAGAACGAGGAAGGGAGAAAACAACAACGCGGGCGTACCTCAGGTATCGAGGCGATCAGGCCCACGGGGTGACCTCAGGTGTCGATGGGGAACGAAGTGGGGCCGCTGATTGGCTGGTGGGGAAATCGGGTGGCTGGTGGGAGGCTGGGGGATCACGTGGACGCAGTACTATTGGATGACAAGGCGGTTCCTGCATGACATCCTGCGTGGATCGTCTGTATCGTAATGGAATTACCATACGTCCTCCCCCGAGGTACCTCGAGAGTCTACGGATGTACCTGGGAGGTACCTGGACCCGGGAGAGGTCCACTGCCAGCCACCTTGAATTCTACATCAGACAATATCCAAAACCTGACAGTAGAGACAGGAGGTGAATTCCGTTGCCTACCGGACTAGTGGACACTCCACCGCCACCATCAGGCGGCTTCATTTAGATTCATTTAGATTCGACATGAGCGTCGCTTGGCGGGGACCAGGCTGCGGTCTAAAACAGGTCTAAAATAATCCGGTTTAGGATCAGCCCTACTTGGAGATGACTTGCATGACTGGACCCAGGCAGAAGTGACTCCGAGTCTGAGCCTTGTAGCTCGTTCGTAGCCTCGTGTTATGTCATGTCGACATCATGAGTCACTAGAGGAATGGGGGAATTATATCGACTCTGCCTGATGTATACTACGTAGTATATAGTGAAAATATGAAAATATTAAAGTAAAAGTTAAATACAGTAAAAACAAAACCAGGAAGATCAAAATAAGTCAGAAAAAAAGAGAAAAAACAAAAAAGAACTCCCCGACAGGGAATCGAACCCTGCTCTCCCGCGCTTGTTTGGATAAACCATGACAAGCGGAAATCATAACCACTAGACCATCGAGGACTTGTTATATTCTCGTTTTCTTTCTAAATTATATATTCCCCCTACATAACACAAATTTGTCATTCTCTACAATATCTTCATGCAACTTGATATAAACAAGTAACTTCTATCCAGAGCACTCCGTACAGAGAGTATCCATCTGAATATTCTACTACCAGTCAATTCCTTTCGGTATTCTAAAAAGAAGGCGGTGAGAGGTGGTAGGCGGCAGGCGGTGAACCCCAGTGGGTCTGACCATACCCGATCGGGAACTGCCATCAAAAACTTCAAAAAAAAAAAGATCGCGAAATCTCTACCATCACCACAACCTCACCTCCCCCACACATCCCAACCTCTACACCAGCAGCATGGCTGCTCCCGTCCTTCCCCTGCAGCAGGTCAAGCTGCCGGCCTTGCCATCCACCAAATTGACCCCCGAACAGCAATACTGGAAGACCTTCAAAAACGCTCTCCTCATTCCCTCGCCCGCCAACGGTCCCATCAACCTCATCACTCAACCCTCCGCTCCCTCCTCCGCCGCAGCGTTCCCCTCCCTGACCCAGCCGCCGGACGTCTTCACCGTCACCACCGGCGCCCGCGTCCAGATCTACTCCATCCGCACCCGGAAGCTGCTGCGCACCATCACCCGCTTCGATGACACCGTCCGCGGCACCGACGTCCGTCCCGACGGTCGCGTCCTCGTCACAGGCGACGACACCGGCACCGTGCAGGTCTTCGACGTGACCTCGCGCGCCATTCTCAAGACCTGGAAGGACCACAAGCAGCCCGTCTGGGTCTCCAAATTCAACCCCAGCGACCCCACCTCCGTCTTCACCGCGAGCGACGACCGCACCGTGCGCCTCTGGGACCTCCCCAGCCAGTCCAGCCAGCGCACCTTCCACGGCCACACGGACTACGTGCGCAGCGGTGGCTTCATGCCAGGCTCGCTCGCCTCGTCGGGTCTCCTCTTCTCCGGCAGTTACGACCGCACCGTGCGCCTGTGGGATCCGCGCGTTGACACCCGCGCCGCCATGACCTTCAAGATGGCCGCCCCCATCGAGAGCGTGCTGCCCATGCCCGCCGGCACCACCGTGCTCGCCGCCGCCGACAACAAGATCGCCGTCCTGGACATCGTCGCCGGCAAGCCGCTGCACCTCATCCAGAGCCACCAGAAGACCGTCACGTCCCTGGCCCTCGCCTCCAACGGCGAGCGCCTCGTCAGTGGCTCCCTCGACGGCCACCTCAAGGTCTTCGAGACCACCGGCTGGAACGTCGTCTCCGGATCCAAGTACCCATCCCCCATCCTCTCGCTGCGCGCCATCACTTCGGGCGTCGCCCAAGAAGACAAGCACCTCGCCGTCGGCATGCAGTCCGGCCTCCTCTCCATCAAGACCCGACTATCAGGCCAGCAAAAGGCCAAGGAGCGCGAACGTCGCAAGGAAATGCAAGCCCTGCTGGACGGCCGGCTAGAGGAACACGACCGCAAAGTCGCCAAGCAGAAGCAGCGTGGGTCCGGCTGGGAGAAGCGACTGCGGGGCCACGATTTCGTCGGCGAAGGCGTCGACATCGTCATCGAAGGCCGCGACCGTCGCAAGCGCGCCCGCGAGCAGCGCTGGGAGCAGGACCTGCGCAAGGCGCGCTACGGCGCCGCTCTCGACCAGGTGCTTGCCTCGCGCGACCGCACCGCCCAGCTGACACTCCTCACGGCTTTGCGACACCGCTCTGCGCTGCGCGCTGCCCTGCGCAACCGCGACGAGGACACTCTGCAGCCTGTGCTGCAGTGGGTGTACAAGAACATCACGGAGCCGCGGCTGGTCCGGCTCAGCGTTGAGGTCGCTATGAATGTGCTGGATATTTACTCCGGGAATCTGGGCCAGTCGGCGCAGATCGATAAGATGGTGGAGAGGCTGCATCGTCGGGTGCGCGATGAGGTGGAGATGGCGCATCAGGCGTTTGAGACTCGGGGGATGTTGGAAATGTTGAAGACGACCTGATTCAGCATTGGGTTCATTGCATTGGATGGAGTTCTGGTTGGGATGTATGTACATAGCGATCAATTCACTACACTATTTATAAGATTTACCGTAAGTACGCATGTTCAACTAGGACGAACCCAAATAAAATAACTGGATAGATAAATAAACAGATAAGTATAGAGACAAAAAAGAAAAGCAAATCACTGATATACCCTCGAAAACCCCCCCTCAGAAGGCTGCAACCAATTCCGCTCATCATAGTCCCACCCCTCCGCCCCCTCAATAACATGAAACGTATACGCAAACCGACTCCTCTCACTCTCATTCCGATCACTCTTATGCGAAACATTCCCATGGATCAACACCAACGATCCCGCCTTCACATTCAACACCTCCTCCGCCTTTCCCTCCCCCTTAGCTTCCACCTCCCCCCTCGGCACCCCCGCCCCCTCATTCCCCACAAACCCCGTCCCAACCGTCTCCTTGGTACCCTCCTTAAAAACCCGAACAAACCTCCTCTGAATCCCCTCCCCCTGCGTACCCGGCATCATAACAAGCGTGGCATTGCCTGGCCCCGCATCCTGCAGCGCAAACCAGAACCCCACCGCCGACGGCGGATCCGTATACAAGAACTCTGAATCCCGATGAGGCGGCACGGCGCCGCCTATCCGCGGCTGCTTGCAGATGACCATACTCTGCAGCAGGCGGGGATCCCGGAAGCGGAGTGAGCGCGCGATTGATGCCGTGCGGGCGTTCAAGCTGACGGCTTTGAAGGGCGGGGAGAGCGTGTGCAGGGAGTGCCCGATTTTGTTGACTGCTTCTTGCTTGGGGCGGGTGAGTTTGCCGTCTTGGGTTATGGCGTCGGGTTCGAAGAAGAAGCGGAGTTTGTCGCCGGAGGTTAGGAAGTAGTCGTCGCCGACGTGGGGTTTGTTATCGCTGGAGTCATCGCCGGTGGTGAACTGGGTGAGGGGGTGCGTGTCGAGGTCGAAGGTGTCGAGGAGGTGGTGGGTTTCTGTGAGGAGGGAGTTCACTTCTTGGGGGGTGAGGTAGTCTTCTACGACTAGGTAGCCCTTTTCGTGGAAGGTTGCGAGTTGGGTGGGTGTGAGGCCGGACATTGTGTATCTTTAGTAGGTATGCTTGGTGGTTGTTTGGAGAGCGAGAGAGGGGAGTGGAGGAGTGAGAGGGGTGAGATGAGGGGTTTTAAAGCTTATCTTATCACCTGTTCGTAGCCTTAGGCAGCACTGATACTTCTGAGTGGTTGCTAGGGAGAATGTTGATCTATAATTGTATTATGCAGCTCTCGTTAACGAATCCTATGTTCCTATTTCCCTATTTACCAGCTTCCTTCCCGGCATCCTCCTTCAATGCCACAATCCGGTTCAGCACAATCGAATCTTCCGTGCTATCCGAGTCCATGGCCTATACACCGTTAGTACGAGTCACAACAGTCAACACTCAATCATGAAAACTTACGAAATAAGCAACCCGCATCGCCTGGAACCGGACACCCTCCGGTCCAGAACCCGCCTTTTCGCCCTCCGCCTGCGGCCACGGTGCCCGACGGCGCACCTCCTCAAACCCAGCGTTGACGAGCGCATCCGGGTAGATCGTCTCACTGTTGGGGTTGATATCGGCGAGGAAGCCGCCCTCCGCGGCCATGGGGTTCTCCGACTTGAAGAGCGGGTGGTGGATCCGAGCAGTGACCTTGCGCGACCCTTCAGGAACCCAGTGGATGAAGGACTTCGGCTTGCCGCTGTCCGGCGCCAACTCCGCCTGGATCTCGGTGACCTGGCCGGTCGTGGGATCCGTGGAGAAGGAGGTCGCCTTGATGGGCTGCGGCACGTTCATCAAACCGACGGTGTTGCCCGGCGACAGTCGGAAGAACTCCTTCGACGGGACTTCACGGAAATCGGACCGGTCGATGTAGACGGTGGACGTCATCTTCAGCTTGTAAGAGCCGAACTCGGGCTTCTTGGGCGAGAACGGCAGCTCGAGCTCCTGTCCCTCTAGGTCGCCCAGGTTCTTGATCACAACGCGTACGGGGTCCAGCACCAGGCAGAGACGGGGAACCGACGACTCGAGGTAGCGGCGGATGGACTGCTCGAATCGGGCAATCTGGATGATGCTCAGGGATGTCGTCACGCCGAGCTCACCCACGAAGGAGAGGATAGCTCCGGGCGGGACACCTCGTCGGCGGATGGCGATCAGGGTGTAGAGGCGAGGATCATCCCAGGCGCGCACATGTCCCTTCTCCACCAATTCTTTTAGAACCCGCTTGCTCATGACAGTTCCGGTGACGTTGAGACGGCCTAGAAGCGGTTAGTAGAAGTTCGCCCAATCGGCAGTGACAACCCACCATATTCGCGCTGCATCGGCTCGTAGACGCCAAGGGTCTTGTTGAGCCATTCGTAGCTCTCTCGCGCGGTGACAAACTCCGTCGTGCAGAGACTGTGCGTGATGTTCTCGAAGCTATCGCAGAGACAGCTGTGGCTGGGTTAGCACCATACAATATACACGAGACCGGGCGGGCTCCACACGTACTGCGCAAAGTCATAAGAAGGATAGATATGCCACTTCGTCCCGGTGCGGATGTGCGGCGTGCGGTTCTTGGGAATGCGATAGGCGACGATGTCCCACATCTGGGGATTCCCGCTCTCCAGAAGGTACTGCTTCATGCGCAGAAACGCCGTCTGCGGCTCGTATTTCCCCGCGGCCATGTCGCGGAACTTGGTGAGGTTGGTCTCCACGTCCTGCGAGGCATGCGCGCACTGGAAGCGGGGCGACCGGTTGTCTTCACCCCCGCGCTGCATCTTGAGATCCGCCTCGTTGCAGTGGCAGACGTAGGCCTTGCCCAGCCCGATCAGCTTCTCGGCGAGATCGTACAGGCGCTGGAAGTTATCGCTCGAGTAGGTGATCCGAGAAGGCGTGAATCCTAGAGACCCATTAGCGGAGCCCTATCCGATCCCCTCCCCGCCAGAACCTTACCCAACCAGCGAATAATATCCTCGATAGCATGGAAGTACTTCTCCTCCTCGGCGTCGGGGTTGGTATCATCGAACCGAAGAATGCACTCGCCGCCATGGAAGCGCGCGAAACCGAAGTTGATCGCAATGGCCTTCGCGTGGCCAAGATGGAGGTACCCGTTGGGCTCGGGAGGGAATCGCGTGCGGACGTGGGGCGACGGTCGCAGGTTGTACACTTCGGAGAGGAACCCCTGCTTGAAGATGGCATCCGGATCGGCGGTGGGGGCCACCGCTTTCTGCGCCTTCTGCGGAGCTGCCTTCTCGGTCGACTTGGCCGGCTGGGTTGCTTTGGCCGAATCCTTGGAGGCCTTCTTGGCTCGTTTCTGCATGCGCTTCTTCAACTCGCCCTTGGAGACCATCTCCCCGGTCTCTGGGTCGAGCTGGAGCTTGGCCAGATTATCCGCGACTGCGTCAGCCATGGTGGTGAGTTGTTCGCCCGAGGACGATAGATGAGAGGGAAATATGGTGTGTATAATGACTCCAGATGGAAATTGAGTCACATCTTTTTGGTGTTGAAATCCGCGTATGGTGGGGGACCCCGCCAGCGGAAGATCATATTTTTCCGGCAATGATCAACATTATATGCATTGCTTACTAATATAAACCCTATGCTTAGTTACCACCATCTATAAGATACTAGATGCTCTTGACTTTGATCGATGCTGATTTTATCATTATCAATATGACACCAAATGCAAAGAGAGGCTCTCATGAGAGTAATCACAACCAGGTCATATTCCTCTGTGAACTACTGTGGTCTTATCCTGGCACTAATGACAAGTAGAAAGAGCAGAAGAAGTTCTACAATAGGTGTAACCAAGTCTGTGTCTTTCCTCATTACTACAATATAATACTACCCGGTAGTCGGGTGCATATGATCATCAGGCCCCAAGAGAGAAGATCCCATAGTGCCTTACAGTTGGTTTTTGCCTTTGTCGTCCTCTTCAAAGGGGTGTCCATACCCGATGTCAGGAGCCGCTTCTAACTCTTCTTCAGCTGGCCAAACCACATTCCCATCGCCCTTCATCCAAGAATCCAGCTTCTCTCCGGCGTGCGTTGCTCCCACAAATTCTAGATTATCTTTCCCTTGAACATAGCCGTGACTAGCAACATGCACACCTTTACCCAACTGCTCCTCGTCTTTGTAACAAAGGGTAACATGCCAGCCTAATGGATCCTTCTGACGTTTCCCCTGAAAACTGGTCGTGTCATGGAGCTCCGACCTGGTACGCAGGATCAGCCAGGGGTCCGGCGATCGTCAGAGAACCGCCGTTTTACCTACCGGATCAAGATAGCCTTTGGGTACAGTTTTCTGTCCCTCGCGGTTTGGTAGGCAAGAGCAACCAGTGCGCGCAGTCTCGCCGGGTCTCGAGGGAGATGATTTTTGTAGAAGTAACATTTGACTATGTTGATAGTAGACATTTTTCTCACAGAAACGGAGAAAGAAAAGAATAAGTTGGGATGTGCTCGGTATGATAAAGAATCTGAGGCAGAATCCGGTGTGACTGGATTACCAGGGGCTTTTAAATGGCGCTGGCTTTTACGAACTCAAATACTACCTACCCCTCCCTACCCGTATCCATCCAGGCCTTACTCTACCTCTACCTACTGACTGACAAGGTAGCTACCTGATTTGGAACTGGTGGCGGCATCTTGTGGCCGATAATGGTATGAAAACACCGCTCGTGCAAGAACGGATGACGTTTGGGCCTTAGCGCGTGCCAAAGCAGTGGCAGAAATGGAGGCATTCAATCATCCTGTATAACTATTGGAGTGTAGTTGCTTAGTGGAGGAACGGAGACATCATAAATATGGATTAGATCATAGATTGACAGGTGACAGGAGGCACCGTCCGATTAGTATCCATCCATGGAAAGTCATTCACTTCTTAGCCAATGATATCGGCCTAGTGAAAGAGCACTGCATAATCGATAATGACGCATGCGGCATCTCGAGCCTGACTAAGCCTAAACAGGCATAACTCCAATCCGGCCCGGGCAGTTCACACGGGGGACCCGACTAGCCGGCCTGTGGATCAATTGCTTCTTGTATTGTTCCCTGGCCATCTTTATAGAAGATCGCCATGAGGCCATTGCACCAGTTCATACTTCACAAAGTACCTTCGTTTCTGCAAGTCCCCGGGCGACTTATGGTAAGGTACAATTCCAAAATGTCTTCAGTTGACAAGACTCCCCCTTTCCTATATCAGCCAATCGAGGGTGTGGAAAGATTGGAGAGGTACCAGCCTGGGGGATATTATCCAGCACTCATTGGAGACATTTTCAAAGATCGATACCAGATTGTCCACAAACTGGGTCACGGGACATATTCTACAGTATGGCTCGCACGTGACGAGCAGCAAACAGCATATGTTGCGGTCAAGATCGGCACGGGAGACTCGCCTTCTAGCGAGGCGGACGTTCTATGTGCCATTACGGACTCCCTTGAGGCCGACTGCTCAGGGAAGGCTATGGTCCCATTGATACATGACAGATTCGAGATCCAAAGCCCCAATGGATCCCATAGATGCTACGTGACACCTCCAGCCCAAAGCAGTGTGGCTGCAGCCAGCTTCTCTAGTTTTTTCAATCTTGACACAGCACGCGCACTGGCCAGCGAGCTGGTCTTGGCGGTTGCATATATACATGCCCGAGGGTTTGTGCACGGAGGTGAGTCTTTTCGAACATAACGAGACCGGCCGGGAAAGATCCGTCGCTGACACGTCGAGATCAGATGTTCACCTTGGGAATGCCTTGATCCGGCTTCCATCGAGCTTGAACAAACTCACGGTCGAGCAGCTCTACGGAGCGTTTGGCGAGCCCTGCACAGAGCGGATTGAACGCCTTGATGGAAACCCTCTTCCTCCTGGTGTCCCTGCTTACGGGACCGTGCCAGTATGGCTAGGGAAGAAAGCGAATGAGATCGCACTCGACGAGGCCCATCTACTTCTCAGTGACTTTGGCGAGGCTTTCTCCCCATCCGATCCTCGGCAGGCACGAACCGGAGACCAGTGCTGTTCGCCACTGCCACTCTTACCGCCAGAGGCTTATTTCGAGCCCGATCGCGCGATTTCGTTTCCCGCGGACATCTGGACCCTAGCTTGCGCTATTTGGTCAATCTTTAGCTCACGTCCGCTCTTCGACGCCACTCTTGCCACACACGATGACATTTCCTCTCAGCAGGTGGACGTCCTCGGGCCGTTACCGCCTGAGTGGTGGGATGGCTGGGAGGCACGTCAGGAGTATTTCGATGATACTGGGCGGCCAATAAAGGGTCGGTTTGTTGTCCCGTCTCTTGAAGACTGCTTCGAGCGGGAGATACAGGAATCACGACAGAAGAATGGCGTGGGCCAATTTGGCAATGAAGAAACGGCGGCTCTCCTACGTATGCTTCGCCTTATGCTTGCATTCAAACCAGAGGAACGAGCCACCGCTGCGAATATCCTTGATTCCAAATGGATGACAACTTGGGGGTTGCCTGCATTTGAAAAGGCTGGGAAGGTTTGACCAATTCTTTTCTGGGCGGGACAATGTTGAAGTACACCGAAGATACCCATAAAAACAAATCCCGGACAAGTCCCGTATTTGATTGGGTCCAGAAGATACTATCCCGCCCAGTATCTCTGGATATCCACTTCTAGTACCAAAAAAAAATCAAAAAAGATATGACAAGAGTGGGATTCGAACCCACGCCACTTGCGTGACTAGGAAGTTCCGGAGAACTGTGATGGTCAGGTAAACCTGAACCTAGCGCCTTGGACCGCTCGGCCATCTTGCCTGTTGATATTTTAGATTTGGGCCACTACTGATTCGGGGGCTTACTCGCTATAGTTCTATAGATCACACTGAAAGTATCAGTCACGGTCACTATGCTACAATATTAACCATTCGGCGGCTATACTCCACAACAAATTCAATAATCTTCCCTAAAAACATAGGATAAATGATCAATTAATTTCTGATATTGATGTATTGGGTGTCTATTATATTGGAATGCCTTTGAGGCCACCCCCGCTTCGGAGCCTACTACTCGTAGCAAGCAAAATTCAATTGTCCTTTCTGGGTCCATACCTTAACACTCAAACCTGCAAGACTGAATAGATGTGGCTGGAATTCTCGTATTCGCTTTAATGCCAGTCGGTGACGGAGCAATCGGGCACGGCGCGGTAGTTCCCCTGTCTGGATTGAACGAATACTACAGGTGATCGGCGTCCTACAAAACAGCCCTATGTTTTACGCAGACATTAAAATGAACTGCTCTGTTCGGTTGGAATAGATTTCCATTGTCACTGATAACATTTCTTCTCTGTAGACCCTCGATTTATCAGGGGTTCCAAAGTTATCTCGTGTCGGGGTGATGCTGCAGTGTAACCTCGTATATTAGAATTAGCTGATGAGTGGCGCTCACAAACCAAGCCATCCCCATCCATACAGTCTGGAAAGTATCTAGAAGAGAGGGCATTGTAAACAGGTATGAATACCTTGTCAGACACAATATAAAAGCCATCATATCCACCAGCCCAAGTTCTTTCCAAGTCCTCCTGTACCCGCCCCTCTCAAGTCACCAGATACCATTCCTAACAACCATACCAAACCCTCCACACGCCAATACAAACTCGCCAAAATGAAACTACCCACCCTATCCATCATCCTCTCCAGCCTCCTCCTAGCAGCGAACGCCGCTCCAACAGATCCCGAACCGCGCGACACCAGCCCCGAAGCCCTAGGCCTAGCCAAGCGCTCCGTCAGCTGCAAGATCATCAATGTGTCAAAGTACGCCAATTGCCGATCAGGGCCTGGTACGAACTATGAAGTCCGCCACCGCGCCCCCGTGGGCCAATCCTATAATTTTGTTTGCTATAAGAAGGGAGAATGCTATCAAGGGAACTGGTAAGGATCGTTACGCTTGATGGGTGGGGGTGGTTGCTAATGGTGGGACAGTACTTGGGACAAGATTATCATTGATAGTGGCTATGTTTGCTACGTCAATGGTTATTTTACGGATAGTAAATGCAGTATGGGTATGTTCTTTTCTCACTTTCTTTCTTTCTTCTTTGCTTTCTTTGCTTCGCTGTGGTCGTTTTGCTGACGCCTGGTTGCAGCCGCTTTGGGGAAATGCTAGAGTGTATCAGTCGTGGGACTCGACAGTAGTAGGACTTTTGAAGGTCCATACGGTGGTCAATTCATATGAAATAGTCAAAGTCTTTCCTAGTGAGTTACATTGAGCCAGCTCGCCATCTCAAGTTATAGGCCCGGCGTAGTTCTATGGGGCTATGGGACTCTTCTGAAATTCCCTCGTCTCAGTCACCTTGGATTCTCGATACCCTAGCATAATTTGAATAGCCCTAACAAACAACCAACCCGCTCACCTACAAGACACAACGAACTACCATGTTGACTAGAATATCGTTTTAAGCCACAGTTAGTGCACACCATGTTTAGTAATCAACTTTGACTTACTACACAGCTGTGGCTATGAAAAAAGTTCCTATGTTGGGTTGCAGTCTCCACGTGTTAAATAAAAGGTTTGAAGTAACGGATGGCCATGCAGTAGATAGGCCACCGCTGAGAGAAATTATACATTACCATAACCTTTCTATTTGGGATAAAATAAACTACTAAAAAAAAAAATATTCAGCCACGCAAGAGCTATACGCATCGAAACGTCTCGAAAGGTTCGGACCAGTTCGTCGCAAATCGATGCTCCATAAGAGGTACAATGACATCACCTCTACGCAAACCATCTCCACACCACCATCCTAACCCATATAAGTACTCAACCTCTAATCCTATCCCCCATTCTTGAAATTTGCAGTATATTGCAATTGTCCACCCCGCATCAACCAAAAATTCAAGTCCCGAACAACCACCACCATGCCCGGCGCAACCTACAGCAGCAGCTCTTCCTCCTCCTTCTACTCGAGCTCCAGCTCATCCAGAAACGGCAACCAAGTCAGCGGCCAGCGCTATGCCACAACCTCGCAGAAGAACCCAGACGGCACGCGCGTCGTGCGATCCGGTCACCAGGAACTAGGCGGTCCGCCCGTCGTCGAAGAGCGCCGCTACGACGAGACGGGGCGGCAGCAGCTTCCGTCTACTCAAGAGTCCAGTGGTGGCGGGGCCCGACGCATTACAAATTTGGATGATGATGAAGAGGAGGAATCTCGGGGGTGATCATTTCACAGGAAGAGAAATATAACTTGATAATGTATGTTTTGTGCCGGTTTTTTTTATTTTATTTCTTTTTGACATGATCTTGTTGAATGAGTGCTAACTTGTTTGAAGGATTTTACGGCTGCGATTTTTCTTTCCTGTTGTCCTGTGCCATTGATCTGCTATTTGTCATGTTACAGGTTGCATTGTGTATAATAATAAAGGAGTGTTATTGAATATATTTATATATATATATGAGATAACGAAGCCTACATGATACATCAAGCATGAGAGTCCGAGGAAACTATGCTGATATCACTATTTCCTAGTATGGTAAAATGGCCAATTTGACACTACATTCTAATGTATAGGTCCTTTTCCTTTCTGTTCCGTTCATTCAATTGGGCAACCAAAGTTGCCACCTTATTAACTTACAGACGACCACTCGGATGGCCTCTTGCGTCGTACTTCTTCAAGAAGACGGCGTATGAGAGTTGAAAGCGTCAAGTTCTTGTCCTTCCCCGCCTCCAGCTCCTCGTATACAGTCCACTCTGGGTATTGAGTTTCACGGATTTGAAGAGATATTGGATGGTAAATTCTTCCGTGGCATCCGGCAGCTTTGCAGCCCTGCAAGCTTCGAATGCGTATTCGAAATTCACGGTCCATGTCTTTGATATTGGCCCCCGTTATGGGCGCATGCCGAGCATCCTTAAATTTCTGCCGCAATGTTGCTGCACGCTGTCGCTTGGTCGGTTCATACCGTTGTCGAAGTGACCGAAGTGTCTCATATACCGACGAACCAGTCAAAAGATAGTACGATACTTGTGGGCGATCCAGGTTTTTCCAGATCATTTGACTGACGGTATTCAGCCCTTTATTGACCGCCTTATGATCTGCATCCAGCACTTTATACAACTTTCTTTCTGTGTATAAGAGATTAACTCGCTCGGTGTACTCCTGAAGGGTTTCTTTTTCTCTCTTTGGTCCTGGAATTTCGGGTAAATTGTTTAGGCACTGATTTGACTTCATTGGGCTCTATATAAGGATCGCAGTATCCAAGCACGGATTGCTGAATAGCGACGCTCTTCATGTTATGATACCACTCCAACCAGCGGTCTGATGACCTTAGGAAGGTCCCTGGGGCCTTTGTGGTGGTGTTTCGTCTCATGATTCGCGGTCAAATCATTCAACACAAAGGCTGTGTCAGACAGTCAGACATAGAGCTTCTATACGCGGTATCGGGCTCATACCTATTGCAATATCGGACACAAGAGTGGAAGTATAATATCTAGATGCTTAAATCCTCAAGAATGCAAAAGCTTTACACCTAAACAGGAAGGATATGGGAAAATGGCCGGTTTAGACGGGAAATTGATTATATTGAAGCTTCTTAATCCCCTTACAGTTTAGGCGGGATTTCAAGATATTTATATATAGGAGATTTTAAATAGAACCGGTCTAATCGAAGCGAGGCCTCGATCATGGCAAACAACTCGGACGACGATGGCGGTGATAGCTGACAGAATACCCTTGATTTCCCAAAGTAACAACTAAGTCAACTAACGAACACGTGACCACGTGTCAGATGTATCCACTATTCAATTTAGTACTGGTCAATGTGGTCTGGCTTGGATAACATTTTTCAGATCCAGTTTTTCAATAATTGGCCGGTTGGATTAGTTGGTCATATCGTTTCGTTAACACCGAAAAGGTCGCCAGTTCGAACCTGGCACTGGTCATTTCTTTTTGTTTTTGTCCGTTCGACTACTACTACTTAGCTGGTATTCTTCCGTTTCATTTTTGTTTGTAATTGTTACTAAATGCTTTCGATTGTGTAGTGCTACTTGTACATGTAGAATTATATCTGATCTCGAAAGCTGCCGGGCCAAGCAATATACCGACAATGCAGAAATACATATCTGATAGTTTTACTTTGGCGGTTATCATGAAAACCCCTTTTTATATCTGGTTTTAAAACTCATTATCAAGTTCCTATCAATCCTTGTTCGGATTCTCGATGCTATCAAAGACTGTAATCACTTAATTTGTCGGCATGAGGGTGGCAAACCATCTCATGCCCATCTAACGACGACTGCCTGGCAGTAAACACCGGGGGGGGGGGGTGCAGACGAATAAATGATAGCATGCGCTACATGCTATTTTTGTCAATGATTAGCTAGACTTTATATGGGTAGATGACATGTTCTAAGGAGAAAAAAAGCAGACACGATTCTGGTCCTGCGTTCCAGTTTGTCTCTCTACTGTGTGCAGGCCTTATAGATTCATCTATGATATGATGCTTAAATGCTTCAGATTGGGGGTCAGAAGATATGTAATAATGACCTGTTTTATGACAGTATACTCGGACTACGCTGGGGTGTCGTTCATTATTTTTTATATGCTGGTGCGAGAATTACCAGTGGGCTACAGAAGATCATGACAATTTTGTGATTCGTATGTGACTTTGTAATCCGTGCCGCATACATTTTCTTTGGCATTGTTATGGAAATAGTCAATTCGGATTCTATGATATGCCAGTACGAGTGATGTCAAGTAAAGATACTGATGTACACTTCCTCGGGATGGTGGTATTCCTCCTAGGATAACGAGTCTGATGGCGATGAGGAGGATAACGCGACATGGGAGAACACAGAGATATGGAGGCAGATAAATTCATTAAAGAATCAAACTTAATCAGGTGACTGATGTGGATTGTTGAAATATGTAATTGAATGAAAAATGTAATTGAGTCCATAAAATTGGTGGGACCTATGGTATATCTCAGGATGGTAAGGCTCATCATCGGAATCTCTCGCGCTCTCTCTTTCTCTCCTATTTTTTTTTTAAAAAAAAAAGAGGTATATGCTTGTGTGGTCTGGCATTAAAATTTAGTACGATATATCTATGTTGGCTGGTCTGTTTGAAGGGATTCCCATATGTATTAGAGTTGAATTCATGATTCGACCTTATTGTAGAAGATTATATATTTTGCACCTGCCATTCATTAACAGATCAAGAAATCATCTAAACCCTTGATAGCAAAATGATTCCTATGACCATTATAATATCGGTTTCTGAAATATAACCTTATTACATCAGATGACTTTGAGATGCATCGATACATTGGAATATGAGGTACTTTCACCTATCGACAAGTACAGGTCCAGTGATATGTCGAGCCCTAATCATGTAAGACTGGATATAAATCAAACGGCGACAAAAGTACCTCAGCAATGGCCGGTTGGATTAGTTGGTCATATCGTTTCGTTAACACCGAAAAGGTCGCCAGTTCGAACCTGGCACTGGTCATTCTTTTTCTTTTTTGCATTTCGTGATGTTTTTGCCACCTCCACTATGGGTGGAGCATCTACCAAGGACTGCGCGGTTTACTCCACATTCTTGTAACTCGTTGGCAAACAACCTTATCACCCCTTTCCCGCCGTCCTAGAGATGGTCGGCTCCAGAGGCATGTATTCAATTACCTATTGCAATTGCGACACTTATTTGCTGAGGCTCAATGCTCCTCCCAAGAGGATCAAGGGAATGAAGGTGGATGAATCCACTCCTCGCTGTATAGACTAGTATCAATCACTAAACCCCGCAACCACACAGGATTCCAACGGATCCTTCTCGCACTGTTGATAGAAGGAATACCGTTGGGCCTAGACCATCCATCAGTCATTGCCTTGACAGATAAACCAACCAAATACGACAGCGACTGAGCTCGTATCGATCCAAGAAATTGATATCGTGCAGTAACAGCTCAGGCAGATATATCTCCGCAATCGCCATTCGTATCTCTTCCAATCAGCCCCGCTTGAATCTTGAGAGCGGAAGACATGCAGAACAGCATGGAAATCACAGCCAAATGCGTCATCAACGGCGCCGTCTCAGCGAAAATCCTCACCAGCGGGACTGGATTGAGCGTATGGGGCGGCGTCGACCCCACGACAGGCCGTATCCTGGATCGCCACCATCCCCTGTGGGATCAGTCGGTGGCTGGTCGAATCCTAGCAATCCCCTGCAGTCGGGGCTCTTGTTCCGGGAGCACCGTCATACTGGAGCTCCTGCTCAATGCGCAGGCCCCCGCGGCGCTGGTCTTCGAGCAACCCGAGGAGATCATGACCCTGGGCGTCCTAGTGGGGAAAACGCTCTTCAACCGGTCCATACCGGTCGTGGTGCCTTCGCCCGCCGGTTTTCGACAGCTCCAAGACTACCAGTTCGCGACCATCGAGGGCAACCGGGTCCATCTCAGCCAAATCCAGCCTATACGCCCCGCTCTCCCCACGGAGCCCGCCGTAGAGAACCACGTCGAGCTCTCCCCGCACGACCGGAAGATCCTTGCAGGGGAGCAAGGTCCAGGGCCCAAGATCGCCCTCGAGTTACTGATCCAGTTCGCCACCATCCAGGGCGCCCCTCGCCTAATTGACGTCTCCCGCGCGCACATTGACGCCTGCATTTACACCGGCCCAGCCAGTCTCCGCTTCGCGCAGACCTTCCACGCCCTAGGGGCGCGGTTCATGCTCCCGACGACCCTAAATGCTATATCCATCGACCAACGTCGCTGGAAGGAGATCGGCCTAGACGCCGAGCTATCCGCCCAGGCCGGTGCCCTAGCCGACACGTACGTGTTGATGGGCGCCCAGCCCAGCTTCACCTGTGCGCCTTACACGCTAGACTCCCCGCCCGGTGTCGGGGAGGACATCGGCTGGGCCGAGTCCAACGCCGTCGTATTCGCTAACAGCGTCCTGGGCGCGCGCACCCAAAAGTATCCCGACTTTGTCGACGTCTGCATTGCCCTGACGGGACGGGCACCCGCTGCGGGGTGTCACCTCCCGGACGGACGCAGACCGCAGCTGTGCATCCAGGTGGAGGGTCTGTCCGCCACCGACGACGAAGATGACTCGATCTATCCGACCCTGGGCTACCTCGTCGGCCAGCAAGCGCAGCAGCGCATCCCGCTCGTCTGCGGTCTTGAGTCCCTACACCCAACAACCACCGACCTTAAAGCGTTCAGCGCTGCCTTCGGCACGACCGGCTCAGCTGCCATGTTCCATATACGCGGGGTCACTCCTGAGGCTGCCCAGGTCGCAGCCATGGAAAGCGACCTCCCACAGATTCACGTCACTACCTTAGACCTCGCCACATGCCGGCAGGCCCTCAACTCGGCGGTCGATCCATCCGTCAGTCTCGTCTCCCTCGGGAACCCGCATTTCACCCTCGACGAATTCGCCCGTCTGGCCCGCCTCTGCACGGGGCGGATCAAGCACCCCGCCGTCGCGGTGGTGGTCACCACCAGCCGTCAGACGCAGCAGCGCGCCGAGGCCGAGGGGTATCTGGCGACGGTGGAGGCGTTCGGGGGCACGATCATCACCGACACGTGCTGGTGCATGCTGGGCGAGCCGGTCGTGCCGCCGGGTGGGCGGAATATCATGACCAATTCGGCGAAGTATGCGCATTATGCGCCGGGGATGGTGAATCGGGGGGTGCATTTTGGGTCGTTGGCGGAATGTGTGGAGGGGGCTGTGCGGGGATTCCACCAGTGATTTAATATAGGTTGTTGGTATGGACTTTAGTAAGAATTAGTGATTTGGACTGATGAGTGCTTTGCGATTGTACATACAGTATATAGCAGATAGACTGATTAGGGCCACCTCGGCAAATCCCGCCTTAAGTAGTCCCCGCATCTCCTTCTCCACACCATTCTTCTTCTTCTCCTCCTCCTTCCCCTTCTTTCTTCACATATATAAACATAGATACCACAAATAAAAATGGTCAACATCCTCCTCTACGGCACCGGCTCCGTCGGCAGCATCTACCTGCACCAACTCCAACGCGCCAACTGCAAAGTAACAGCAGTCTGCCGCTCCAACTACACCGCAGTCCAACAATCCGGCATCACGCTCCACAGCCCACTCTTCGGCACCGTCACCTACCGCCCCGACCACATCATCCGCAGCCTAACCGACTGCCCGCAGGGCGTCGTCTACGACTACATCCTAATCACCACGAAAGCGCTCAGCCCAGACACACGGCCCACCCTCGCAGAGCAACTCCGGCCCCTCCTCACCTCCCCGCACACAACGCCCCAGACCGCAATCGTCCTCGCCCAGAACGGCATTGATATCGAACAGGCCCTCGCAGACGCATACCCGACTCACCCCCTCCTCTCCGCAGTGATATACCTCCCCGCGACGCAGTCCACCCCAGGAATAACCCACCATGCCGAACGCCTCAACCGCATCGAAGTAGGCACATACCCCGCGAGCGCGCCCGCGCACCACCAAGCCGCCGCGTCGCACTTCCGCGACCTAATGGCAGCCGGAGGCGGCGACGCCATCCTACACCCCGATATCCAAACCGCGCGGTGGTCAAAGCTGCTGCTCAACGCATCGTGGAACCCCATCTGCGCGCTCTCTCTCTGCACAGACGGCGGGTTCCTGCTGACGTCGACGCCCTTCGCGCGCGATCTCGTCTGGGGCATTATGATGGAGATTGTGGCGCTGGCTGCGAAGGTGGGTGTCCCTGGGGTGGATGAGGGTGCTGCGCGGGAGAAGTTGGCCATTGCGGAGAGGAGGGCGGAGACGGGGACTGGGAGGGAGATGAGTATGTTGCAGGATGTGAGGGCGGGGAGGCCGTTTGAGGTGGAGGTTATTTTGGGGAATACGGTGCGGTTGGGGAGGAGGTGGGGGGTGGAGATGCCGCGGTTGGAGACGGTTTATGCGTTGGCGAAGGGGAGGTATGATGTTTTGGTGGGGGCACTTGGTTCATAGATTGGGATTGTGTATATATTGATTGTAGATAGGTGTGTGTGTGTGTGTGTGTGTGTGTGTGTGTAGTTGGGAGATAGTAAGATACATAGATAGATGTAAGTAGATAATGACATACTCTTGTCTAATCAGCCAGAATGATTAACTGAGATATCAGTGATGGTATTATAGACATGTAGCCAGTATTATAGATATGTATACCGGTTGTAGAAAGAGGTGTATGCTATTGATAGATGGTATATCATTACGAACCAACTAGAGAATAACACTGTATAATCAATCTACCAGATAAAACCCCCCAAAAAAACAGAAATAACACAAGCAAGTAAAACAAAAAAAGTACATCCCTCCAATATCTCCACAATACAGTTAGAATACTTGAGGTAAAAAGAAAAAAAGATAAGAATAGTGCATCATCCGTGAATCGAACACGGGCCTCATCGATGGCAACGATGAATTCTACCACTAGACCAATGATGCTTCTATATTGTATTTCTCTATCTGGATGATACAGATACCATTCCTCTTCAGCATAACCTCGAACTTCTTCCCTCCTTCTATACAATGCAGTATCATGATTAATTTGACTCAAGTAATAACATGTAATATATAATCATTTATCTACATAATACAGCCCTCCAGGTATCTTATCTTAGCTTTCCCTCATGTATGTCCATGCATCATTCCATCATCGTGAGGTGACATTTTCACGTCATTCCTACCACAGAACCCGCAGTGGTATCTACCGTCTTTACCATTCGTTCCATCCTGACACTATACAGGATATAGTCCACCGTCAAGGTTAGACACCGCGGAACTGTCACATCGTATTAGCAAAGAATCTTGAAAAGGGTTAAAAATAAAGGGAACTCACCATTCGCACAACCAAATACCACATCGCACCCACAAACTTGAAAATCGACATGCACGCCACACTCCACAGCACAACAGCCATGTAGATCGTCGCGCGCTCGTTGTCCGTCGAGCCGCCCGAGCTCGACTCGCGTTTCGGCGTCTGCGACTTCTTCTCGTCGCCTTCGAACCGGTCGAGCCCCGCCGCGCTCAGCACGACCGCGCCCAGGGCGAAGTTGCAAAACACCCACACCAGCACGACTGCACTGCGGAATCCCTTGTAGTAGTCTGCCTGGCGGTCTCCGTCCGAGATTTCCTCGACCTCCTTGGGGGCCTTCTGCGCGAACTTGGAGAGCTCCGCGTCGTACTGCGCGTTCAGGTCGCCGTCGTCTTGGGGGATGTTGACGTCGACTTTGCCGCCGGGTTTGACGTTGGCGGAGCCCAGCTTTTCGGCCTTGTCGTCGCCTTTCGTGCCCCAGGTGATGTCGTGCGTGTTGCAGAAGGCGTAGATGTTGAGGACGTTGATGTAGGTCGGTGTGAGGAGGATGTATTGGATGAACTGGTCTTGTTAGCGGGGCCCTGTAGGGTGGAAGGAAAGGGGACACATACGCAGGTGAACATGTGCCACGGGTCCAAGAAGATAAACGACGCTACAAACCACATCACGTAGGTCGACCCTAGTGATACAACAATGGAGAAGAATTGCTTGTTGGAGAACAGCTGCGTCAGCGAGAACTTGTTGTCCTGTGTCTCCTTCTGGATCGACTTGACAGTCACAAACACCGCCGCGAACGACAGGTAGATCATGATACCAATCCAGAAGTACACCATCGTCATGTAGAACTTGTTCGACCCGCCCGGGCGGTTGCCCAGGGCTAGCACGAAACACGTCACTAGTGTCGCTAGGTATAACCACTCGAACACCACGCCTAGGATCTTGCCCACTGTGCCAAGGAGCTCCTTGTCCCCTAGATACGTGGTTAAGATGTGGAAGACCAGGAAGAAGTTGCCGATACCGAACCAAGCGAACAGCATGCAGATGGTTTGGTAGATGAATTCGATCAGAAGCATGAACTTGCGCAGGAAACTGTGGTCGCTGCGCCAGATCTGGTAGAAGTGCGCGATGGCGTACACCGCCGCGAAGAAACTGCCGTTCAGCCAGCGGCGCCGCTGCAGGATGAACTCGGCCATACGGTCCGGCACGTCGGTCTCGCCCGTCGACGACTTGACGTACTGCAGCAGCCAGCGGCAGTTGCGCTTGGTCACGATCTCGAAGCACAGGATACGGTCTTCGGCCAGGTACATGTTGGCCGTGAAGATGCCCGCATTGGCGCCATGCATCTTCTCGCCCAGGAAGTACCGCTCCAGCGGGCCCTGCCCGTTCTTGTCGTTCTGCAGAGCCACGAAGCGGTAAGCCGAAAACGCACCGGGAAGCACCGAGATGAAGCCGAACGACGACTCGAGCGGCTTGTCGAGAATGTTGCTCAGCTTGTACTCGAAATTTTGACCGGCCACGAGCGGGTTGAGTAGTTTCTTTCCGTGCGACAGCATCGCTTTGATCTCGCCACAGGCGCCGCCGCACATGGGTTCGACGTCGAACGCCTTCCACAGGTGGTAGATGGAGTCGCGCCCGGGCTTGGTACCCGCATCCAGAAGCACGCAGATGTTGGGGTCCAGCACGCGACCAAAGGCCTGGAAGAACCATCGGTGCGAGTTGATCTTCTTCTGGTTCTTCTCCTTGAGGCAGAAGATCATCTGCACCGGCACGCCCGCGCGCTTCTTAAGGTGCACCTGGTTGCCCTTGAGCTCGAGGCCCACCTGCGTTGTGTATTCGTAGATGTGAGCCGTCACGTCCTTGCCGTTGACTTGCTCCTTGGCGATGCCGTCCTGGTAGACACCCAGACCGGCCAGCACGGCGCGGGTGCGCGGGTTGATCTTGGCACGCCCGTCGCTGATGACGCAAACCACGATCTTTTTCCAGGAGTCCTTGCCCCAGGTTTTGCTGTTGGTGCGCGAGCACATGTGCTCGATGTTCTTGAAGACACCGATCAGGGTGCGCGCGAAGAGGAAGTCATCCTCGTTGTACATAGTGATGGCGATGAAGAGCTCGGTGTGGCGCGGCTTGGCGAACAGTTTCTGGCGCAGGGTGAAGCGCTCGTCGAAGAAGCCGTTGGGGTCGCAGGTGGCGGCGGAGTAGCGCATGTGGGTAAACTCGTCGCGCCCGGGCGGTTCGGCGTGCGGCACCTGGCTGAGCAGTTTGGGGGCGATGGGGCAGTCGAGCACGAGGTTGCCGTTGAAGAGCTGAACCTCCTTGACGGTCTTCCAGCGTCGGATCGGGGCCGGGCTCGGCGTATGGGCCAGAGACGGATCTATCTCGTCGCTGTAGGGGTCGGGGCCGAAGGGGTTCTCCGGCTGCTGCAGGATGGGAACGCGGTCATCCTGGTAGCTCTGCTGGTGTTCCGGGTACTGTCCGAGGTCGTAGTCATCCTGGGGGGTGACGACGGAGGGTTGATATGGTTGAGTGTAGTAGGAGTCGTGGTGAGCCTCGGGATCCAACGCGTAGTCGTGGCCATAGGAATGGGGGAGTCGTTCCACGGAGTACTAGATTGTCAGTCAGTATGGGATTTTTTCCTCTTTACTTTGCCTTTCTTACCGTTGGCTGGTCGGCCAGGCGGTCCGACGAAGGCATAGCGATGTGATCCTGTCCGTAGGGGTTATCCGACAACTGGTAGGCGTTCAACGGCCGACCCGGCGACGGGGTTCTCGTGTCGTAAGGATGGGAATTCATCATGGGCGAATGTCCGTCCTCATCCCCATAGGGGTTTCCTGTTGACAAAGGATGGGTGTTAGTATGTCGTTTGATAAATTTCAATTCCGACCGCGCAACACGACCGTCCCTCTGCGCAAAGCAAGCGACAGGCAAG